GGGGGGGGGGGTTGTGTAAGGGGGATGAATCATGAAAATGGTTTACGAAATCTTGTTTTTTTGATGTACAAGCGACAGACAATGATAATAATCACGTTTTGGACAGGACGACGTCAATTTTGGCGTGTCAAGGGAGCGTCCCAAGTTATTTTGTTTTGGCACGTACGACACCTGTGGCGCGGACGGTAACAATGGTTGTCAGTCATTATGGTAATACATAATAATATTACTCAAATCACCGACTGACCTCGGGAATCTCCCTAGGTGGCCAAGCAAGAGTGTTTCGATTCTTAAAAGTACCTTTTTATGTCAAAAGACGCACTGTGCGTACTGTGCGGACGTTGTGTCATTGTGTCAAATGTGACGGAAAAGGGCTCGTGTGTGTATGTATACTAACTGTGTCGCTCAAAGACATGAGAGAGACACATACATAACACTGGGAACAACACAGACCCGTAGATGTGTAGATGATCTATCTATCCGTCCGTGTGATTACATTGGTGGTAAGGATTATATTTCAATTTCCGTATCCGCCGCCGCCGCTGCCGACTTCCAAATCCTCAGTGGCGGCCGACCTCTCCGTTGTCTCTGTGCCGACGCGTCGCAAGCGTCTGGGAAACCGATTGCCTCCGTGCCTGCTTGACTCCATTGACGACATGGCCTGTCGACCTTGCTGCTGCTGGTACAGGCCGAGACCAGACACAGCATCCGGCTGGTCGTGTCGCGGGTGCTGCTGGTGCTGATGATAATAACGTTGATCGAGGTGGGAAGCCCGAGAAGTCGCAGCTGCTGCACCATCCCAAGCCCCATTCGCTCGGTATGCTTGCTGCTGCTGCTGCTGCTGTGTCGCCCTCTCAATGTATCCTTCTCTATTAGATTCGTCAAAACCATCAATCGGACGCTGCCTCGAGACGGGTAAGCCTAAATGACGATTCCCAACGCCGCCGCCTCCTCGCCGCCACGGACGTGGAACGTTGCGCTGCCTCATGATGATCCCCGTGAGCCAATCCACTCCACCACCACCACCACCACTAAGTCTTCTCTCCCCTCGACTCGTGTCCGGTGTACTGTGAATATGATGTCCATAGACGCCCCCTGAGCCGGGGCCCATGTCCATGCGCGTCATCATCATCGCATCCTCCTTCTCCTTGCGCCGACGGTGCCTGTCGAGTTTGCGATTCACCCACCAGGTCTGCACGTCGCCGACGACAAACGCCAGCCCGATCAAAGGCACACTCAGCGCGAACCCGATGCCAAGAATCCACTTGACCACCCATCCGAGATGGAGGTTTCCTTCCTGGCTGCCGGGAGGTCGAGGGAATTCGGCAATGTTGATGGTGAAGAAACTGGCCAGGAAGCTCAGCGGCAGGAACACAATCGTCACAATGGTGAAGACCATGATGGTCTGTCCTTGTCGGACCGACTCTTCGGCCTGTTTGCGCTGGAACCTCGCCTCGAGGGCGTTGGCGTGCTTCTGCTTGAGATCCAGCACCTGCGTGAGATTGTCATTGACGCTCTTTGCCTGGCGCGTCATCCGGCCGAGGTCCAAAATGTCGAGGTCGACGAGCCGTCGTTGCTCTCCGACTTTGTTGTACAGATCGAGACGATGGTGTAATCTCTTCGCGGTGCGCAAGGTGGCGTCAAAGTCGTTCAGGACTTGTTGTTGCTGGTGCAGCACGCTGGTCAGAATGTCCAGTTCGTCTTCGACATCCTTGCACTCTACAAGCAATGCTGCTTCCTTGTCAATGTTGAGAAGATCATTGTCGAATGAGCCAGACATCTGTTGGTGCCTGTGGGCGGTGGTGGTATCGCTGGCGGGCACAGTACCGCGGTGCGCGTGACGGATACTATTACCGTCATGGTGGTGTTGGTGGTGGTGGTGGTCGTGGAGCTCATCGGATGACCAGTCTGAGGAGTGATCGTCGTCTTCTTGGTCGAGGAGACCCATGCGTGAATCGTACAGGACGTTACCACCGCCCTCGTGGGATCGTAGCCAGTGGGACGAAGCTTCCTTGAACCGTCGGAACAGCTTCGTTTCTTTCCTCGTCAGGCGGCCGATGCTTAATTCGAACATTTCGGCAAAGAGAAGGTCGTCATTGTCCCACTGTTGCCGGTCAAAGAGACCTGTGCACCGCTCGGTAATGACGGTGGCGAGTTCGAAGACGTTGCGCACTGGTGGACGCGTCGATGAATTGATGTCTTCAACAACTCCCTCAAACAGGTTCAAAGGGTCGCGGTGTGGCTGTTTCCAGCGTTCTGGAAAACACGAAATCAGCAGGTTGCCGATGCTGATCATCCACAACTGATCCACCATGAAGACTTTGAGCTCTTTTCTGCGTTTCTTGCAGTATCGATATACCACCTGGTCGGCGTCCTGGTGGTCTGTCTTGGTACTATGATGTTTGAACTGGTCCAGTGTGCGACGAGGATGCAGATCCGTCGAACCTGAAACGTAGCCGTGGATGAGCAAGATGTCCTTTGCGATCCTGGAGAGTTCCGAATCGTCAAGAGAGTCTGTGTTCCCCGCCGGCGCGCGTAAAGACTGGGTGAGTGAAGTACGATTTCGGTCAGTTTCCCAGTGGAGATAGGGCATAAACAAGACCATCATGTCGTCCTCCTGTTGGCTTTGCGCCGCCGCCGGTGCCGTCGATCGAGCAGATGGCGGTGGAGGCGGTGTTGAAGGTGCTGCTCTACGATTGTTTTGGTGTGACAGTTTCTGGGGTGTCGCTTGCGTCTGCTCGGATGCTTGTCTTGGTGGGATCCATATACGTTTGCAGGAAGGACGCATAAAGCGCGAGTGAATTTCGGAGCCACGGTGTTGCTGTCTTCCAAGCAAGCGGAGAAGACTCTTCAGGGCGGTCACATCCTTAGTGTCGCTCTCTAGGTAGTATCTTGTGAGTAGAGCTTCGAGCCAGGAGATGTTGTTTGCGGGAAGGTGAATCCAACGAAATGAGGGCTTTTTGCCCTCGACCTGGTCGAGAGCTATGGGGATAGCGGGCTTCTCTGGATTGTTCTGGTTTCGGGCATACACAATCTGCCAAACGGTCTGCTTGTTAACCTTGTTCTTGTGCTTAACGTTCCCTCGCCCGTCCTTGTCCTCGAAGAAATTTACCACAGCTGCGCGGAAGCGTTCGCAGGCCTTTCTCGCGATACGGTTCGTAGGACCCTTTAGCACGTACGGACGAAGCGCATTGACGATATCCCAATGGCCATTCTGAGCGGCACGGATGAGAGGCGTGCTGTCGAAACTGTCCTTGCTATTCGTGAGGGCATCTGGTTCTCTGAGGAGTCGGTTTAACGCGGCCAATTTGCCGCTGTCTGCTGCCCAATGCAGCGAGGTCATTCCAGAAGAGGTCCTAGCATTGACATTCGCTTTGGAAGTCAGCAGAGCATCTATTGCCTTCTCGTTGCCTTCCTTTGCAGCCATCAGCAACGGGGTCCAGTCACCGTCGCTTCTGGCCTCAATTCTAGCACCCATGAATATGAGCAGCTTGATCATCTCAGGCTCGTCATGTCTTGCTGCGAGATGAAGCGCCGAGTGACCTTGGTCGTTGCTTTGATTGATATCGGCCACGCCCTTGCCCATTTTCAGTAATGCATCGACAAGTGTCAGCTGGTTCCGTGCGGCAGCCCACAACAGAGGTGTTCGGCCTTCGCGGCCGTGGCTGTCTCGTTTGTTGAGGTCTTTGAACTTCGGCAACAGCGCAGACAAGGCCTCTGGGCTCCAGTCTGTTTTGCGCTTAGACTCGGAGGCCATGATTTGCAAGCAGTTCTTGCCAGTCGCGTCTTCGAGATTGGGATCAGCCCCACGTGCGAGCAAGGTGAGAATGACATCGCTTTGGCCCCGTAGACACGCGGCCATCAGCGGTGTCCTCCCAGTCGCATCTTTGGCTTCGAGCTCGCAGCCTCGATCGAGGAGCAGCGTGATGATTGCATTCCTCGTCTTGTCGTTGGCGCTGGCGATGGCATTTTGGAGCGGGCCATGGTTCCCGACAACGTCGGTTTTCGCACCAGCATCCAAGAGCAATTTGACGCCATGCTCGTACCCAATGCTAATGGCCTTACTCAGCAGCGCACGAAGGTCATTCTCGTCGTTGCGCCGGCTCGAGTCTTCGTCCTGCAATAGCCGTGCGAGATCTTCGTCCTTTTTCTGTGTCACGGCTTTAGTGAGCTTTATGCGCAACGGGCGCGCTTCGGTCGTAGCTGTAGCCATTTTCTCGCGAGTTGTCCCTGTGCATGTTGATTGAGCTGAGCAGAGGCCGAAGACCGGGTTGCAGACATAGATGGGACAAGGCGCAATGAGCAATAAAGACGTTTTTGACAGGAATTCAGCTGGCCACCCTCGTGATTAGGGAGAATAGGCGAGTTCGAGACCAGGGGGTGTTTTCCCAGCCAGCGAAGCTTCGAACAATTAGGCTAGGCTGGTGAGGCTGACGGTTTCCCCCCCGAACTGGAGACCCTGCATGGAGCGTTCCGTAAATGTTGCCATGCATCTCTTGGGGGCTAAAAGTTTGTGGTACCAGGCTAGCAAACATAGTTTCACGAGGCAAAGACCGCCGTTGGAAGCTGGATGCCAACAACTGAGAGGATCTGGCCTTCTCGTGTGAAGATTCACCTTGTGCGAGACACAGTCGAAAGCCTGTTGGTCACCGGGAGGTACGCCACTTCGTATCGATGACAGTGATTAGCCCAAGGCAATCATACCCTTGTCTAGCATCATGCAATGATGTGGGAGCTCTGCCGTGTATCTAGTTTCGATACTGCATTTGAGAGGTGGATGTGAGGGAGTAACTTCTCGCAGAAGAATTGGGAATGTGTGTAGCGAGACCGTCAGCCATATGTCCACGTATCCTTCTGTCGACGGACGACCTGGCTAGAATCTCTGGTCAATTTCAGTCCTCACAAACTCGGTTCTCCGGCCAGAATCATGGGAGTGCGTAGAAACTCCCGGACCGTTTCGCCGCGGTTGTATCCGCGCTTTGCATTCTGCACGTCCCTCCCGGACCAGACAACGCCCATTCGGACGACCACAATGCGTTGCGGAACGTTATCGAAGCTAGCACCCATCCTGGAAGCAGGCGGCTTGGGAGTGCAAACACTACACACGGCGTCGAATTGACTGCTGCCTGGCTCAGAATGCTATCCCTTTTCGAGATTCAAGCATACAGTTCTCGAATGCTTCTACCGAAAACTTCACCTTGGCTGAACTCGATACCCAACACCAGAGCCTTACCGATAGTCCCAGACACAATTGGAACCTCCAATTTGTGTACCTACAACAGGACCTCGCACTATCGTTCGACCGACCATGGCACCAGAAATTGAAATTCCCACTACCCATTCTGCCCTGACATTCACACGGAGAGGCGACCCGCTCAGAGTTCTGACCATAACACACGACTTCCCAACCCCGAAACCGTCCTCCCTCGGGCGCGGTGAAGCTCTCATCAAGGTCTCCGCCGTGTCCACCGACGCCGGGGTCACATTCATCATAAAAGCGATCCCACATCTGACCAGCAAACCATGGATTCCCGAGATAAACTTCGCCGGCACCATTGTGGCCATGGGACCACCGTCCTCGGACGACTCGAATGGTCTACATGTAGGCGACGAAATCGTCGGCGTGCGCGCCAACCCATTTTCTAGATACAACGGTGCCATGCAATCGTATCTTGTCAGTCCCGTAAACATGCTCGTTCGCAAACCCAAATCAACCTCGATGATCGAGGCCTCCGGTCTGCCCGCCATGGGATGTACAGCCCTCCAAGCGCTCGAGCTCGCGCGAGTCAAGAGAGGCGACAAGGTCCTGGTGACGGGAGGAAGTGGGGGTTTGGGAAACATGTGCGTCCAACTGGCGCGAGCTCTTGTCGGCGAGTCGGGAATCGTCGTGTCGACATGTTCATCACAAAACTCGGAACTTGTGAAGAGCCTAGGAGCAGATGAGGTAAGGCGGTCCTTTGATCGAAGCAGAGCCACGCACAGACAGCCGGACTAACACGGGTGGTGCGCTCAGACAATCGACTACAGAGTGCATGATCCCCTGTACGAGTACCTCAAAAAGCACCACTCCTCAGCCCCGTTCAACGCCATACTTGACGTCGCCGGCAATCCCAGCGAAATGTTCACGTCGTCCCCAGAGTTCCTCACCGAGTCCGGGATGTTTGTTGTCTTGGGGAACATGAAGGCACTAGCAAGCGCCTCTCTCCTCGCCCTGCTATCTGGATTACTGATTTTTCAGCTGAACCGCTTCCGGCCGGTGTTTTTGGGAGGGACACCTCGAAAATGCATTTTCTATTCAGCCACGCCAAATAGCAAAGACTTGAAAAGAATCTGTGACATGGTCGAGGCAGGACAGGTCAAGTCATTGGTTGACAGTGTGTGGAAATTCGAGGACGTGATCAAGGTACGTTACTGGCGTTAATTTCTGAACTTGATAAAGGCTGATCGATTGCGGTAGGCATACGAAAGAGGCCTGAGCCAAAGAGCCAGAGGGAAAATCGTTGTGACGTTTGAGTAGGACAGTGCATGCACGTACGCCGGTCGTGATGCTGCAATCCGATGCATGAAGCCGAGACACTTTTCGGCGCAATTGATGGCTGAATTGACAGGAACGGCCGATCCATGCTCCTTCCTGCTGGTATGGCGGAGCTGGTGTGTATCGAGCCTGGGCCATTGGCTCGCTCCGAGGCAGACAGTGTATCCATGCACCTTCGACTGAAGGCCGTGCAGCCTGCGATGCGACGAGTACATGTGGCCCAACATGGAAGGAGACAATGTCGTCCCATCTCGCGTAGACATTTCGTAATGTAGGACCGGTGTGGCACGAATCTCACCTAGGTATGAGGTACAACCTGCCTGAAAAGACGAGGTAGAATACCCATGCATTCCCGGGGCCCCCTCTCACTCTCATCTCAATCTTGGTGCAAGCTCGAAGCGGTGTACTTTGGAAGCGTTTGCACATATCGACATGTCCCAGTTGAACCCTTCCCCCCTCCGGATTCCCCCCTCTCGAATTCATCAACAAAATTCGTAGGACGGCCCGGCCATCCCTCGAATCGTGCGCGCGTGTATCCGTGACGTGGTATCCCGAGACCGCGTTGTCTTCTTCTTCTTCTTCTTGTTTCACTTTTCCCTTCCTCGTCCTCCCTGCACACTTTCTTCGCCCAGCACCTTCGCGCTGCCCATGAACAAAGCACCCACGTACCCGCCCAGGAACCGCATGTCTTGGGCCTGGACGGCCGTCATCCTCACCAGGTTCTCCGTGTCGGCAAGGTGCGCGTTGAGCTGGGCGAGCTGCGCGTGCAGGTGAGCGTACTGGCGGTTCTTGTTGGTCGACGTCGCGTTCATCGAGGTCGCCGACGACTGCTGGTGCTTGGACCCGGGATAGTTGTTTCGGTCCATCTTGCAAAGGTCTTCTCTCGTCTTGCGCAGACAAAACAACTGGTTCCCCGTGTCCCCCGTATAGACACGGAGTGGAGATTGTTCTCGGGAGAGAGACAGAAGGAGAATGAGAATGAGAATGACAGAGGCCGAAGGATATGCGAGGTCTGCGACACCAGCACGGAGTTACGAGGTACAAGTAAACACGTCCCGGACTATCTGCGGTAGAGATGCAGATAGGCACTAGCCTCACAGTCGCGTGGCATATCCACCTACTGTACACAATGTACGGCGCACTCTGCAAGGTATATTCAGACACGACCACAAAGACCCTACCCAGTCAAGGAAGGTTCTCAGGTTACAAGTTTGAAGGATTCATGTCTTAAATCTTTGCTCGTGTTGTTTAATTAAATATCCTGCTCACCAAGAGCCGGCGAGGCTCCTTCTCCATCATGTTACCAGAGCCATTCCTTCCACGTTCCCCATCCGCCATACAAAATGCCTTGATATTATTTCGTAAAGTCCTATCGTGTGCGCGCCTGGAAAATTTGTTATGCCCTTGAGTGTGTGAGACAACGAGGTCTTTCTACCAGGTAGCCAATATCAAGACGTGCGAGGAGAAGAACCTTTAGGCCCTCCCCTTTCCAATCCACTTCAGAGTCGACAAGAGCGCGCGGCCATTCAGATAACAGATCCCGTCTCGTGTGCGCTGGAACAAGGCCCTCCAATCGCTCCTGATTACGATGTCGTATTTACTCGAGAAGTTGAGAAGCAAGCCGAATGGCTCCAATGTTTGATTCCGATTCCGCCGTGTACCCCAAACTCGTCTCAATGCTTTTAGCAATGTTGAAAAGTCCCGTCTGAACCTTTCACGTCGTTAATTAAACTTGTATGCAAACCAGAGTGACAACTAGACATATACACAATACTCTGCACAACGCAGGCCCTAGGTCGAGAAACACCCACGAAAGCCAGCGTGGGAAGGACAATTGTTCAATTAGATGCATTTCGCAGCTGCTAGTTAGTGGGCACCAAGCATCTGCCTTTGCGCAAAGCTGCTGGTACTGCTGTGTGCGGACGGTTCAGACTCGATGTTTGCGCTTCCGCTGTCGCCGCTGCCCGCGCTGGCGCTGGCGCTTCCGGTCAAGCTCTTTACAGGTGCTTTGGGTGGCGGGAATGGTTTGTTATTGCCGGCTTGTTCGACCTGCCCGGGAATCATACCGTTTTGTCCCGGGGGGTATCTTGGTATTGGGGCGGGCATGCCTCCAGGAGGAGATGGTCTGCCATTGCGGGAAGGGCCTGGCTGCATGTATGGGTCATTCGGTGGTGAAGGTCGGCCACCCGGTATCCGTCCAGGTGGACCAAATGGGTTCCCAGGTGAGCGACTTGTCCGCCGACTAGGTGGACCAGGGTATGGGCCGCCGCTCATGCCCGGGCCACCATTCATACCAATTTCTTGCAGACGGCTTGCAGTCAGAGAGTTTGCTCGTGACTCGTCGGCCATTTCCTTCCGATCGACATTGCCATAGCGATTCGAGGAGAAGCCCATCATAGGGTTGTCCAGAATATTCGATCCAAGGACAGGCATATCTGACAAAATAGACGCGCTCGTCCGGTGCCTTCCCATTCCCATGTTAGGCCGGCCATACGAGCCTGGCCGCATAGGGCCTCCATTGACATAACCATCCTTTCGTAGCTGACTTTGACTAGGGGCTCGTTTGGTCCGTCTTGATGTAACGCTCATCATATCGAAATTGTCTGGATCAATGGAAGGAGGAGGAGGTCCACGAGCCATCATAGGATCGAAGAAATCGTCGTCGTCATCGTCATCATCGAACTCCTGATGACGGTTGTGAGAAGTTCTGCGACCGCCACCCCCAACTCCTCTCCTCATCGCCATCTCTTGTTGTTTTATTTGCAGTTCTCGCTCTCTCAACATGAGTTCACGTTCCCTCAGGGACGGCCCAACACCATTCTCAGCAAAACCAGCCGGTGCGCCATCGCCATCGGCCATTTCATCATACAAGACGACATGGCTGAATTCGTCAAGATTGTTCTCGTCATAAGACGGCCTTCGTTGCATTGGGCCTGGTCGCTGAGGAAAGCTGTTTGGAGGGCCTCGGAACCCGTTCACAGGCGGGGGCCCGCGCCTTCCAGGAGGACCCATTGGAGGCGGGCCACGCATCGGGCGTGGAGGGCCATTGAACGAGCCGTTCGGCTGTCGAGGGGGAGGAGGGTTGGATAGAGAGATTGTCCGGGGGGGTGGTTGAACTGCTGCGGTAGGAGATTGCAGTGAAGCTGGAGGAGCCGCTGAAGCGACGGGACGGTCTTTGTTGACTGTGTTAACATGGCGCAACAACGCGTACAGTGTCTCTATTCGTGGGACCTTCACACCAGCAGCTTTTGCAAGCTGGACAGGAGCCCCTAGGTATGTCTCAACCTCCATCGGACGTCGTGCCGAGAAATCCTGATACATTGTGCTGGCTTCTTGACTTGAGTCGATCATGTTAGAAATCGTGGTTTCTTTAAAATCTGCAGGAAAAACACAATTTTGGGCACGTGCTACTGAGAGCAGCTCTTCGATAACGTCTGAAATGAGGTCGTGAACCCCTGGCATTCGCACAAGATCGGCGAGGTTTGCAGTTTCGAATACGACGCTTGTAGGATGAAAAGCGATAGGCCTGAGATGTGATTAGCGAGAGACTCGCGTTCGACCATGACGTCTACTTACCCAATCATCCTTTCATACTGCTGTTGCTTGATGTTCGAGGATACCTTGCAGTCAACCTGCGCCGTGGTCAGGGTCATTGCCAGTGCTTCCGACATGTCGCGTTGAATCGCTTCAGGGATGGTTGAATTTTGACTGGACGGGCCAACCCAAATCTCCGTAGAACCTCTGTGCTCGAATTCGCTAGTACCCAGTTGTACCAAATCTGCACCCGAGACGAGGGAGAGGACGACGTTTGTCGGAAAGCGTTCCTCTAATTGTTTTTCCACCCCCAAGGTATTGGTAGTATTCACAAGAATGCATGTGTGTTGAGGAGTGACGACAGACTGGATTATATCTGCAAGATTGTACACATCGGGGAGGGCTTTGACGCAAAGAATGACATAGTCAAAGGCTGCCTGCCGGCCGCCTGCGTCTTCGGGTGTTTGAACCACTGCAGATGGTTAGTCGAAGAAGATGAAATGACAAGTTCACGTACCGTATCGAGGCTTGAATCGTTCGTTGCCGAACATTTGAGATCTGTAGTGAGGGTCAATGGCGCACTCGCAGGCCTTTGGAGAACTTGCTTACTTAAAAGAGACGCCATATTGGGCGACGCTCTGATAGTTGGCTTTCCAGACCAACGTAACGTCGCAAGCATTGGTAGCTTGCAAACGCCACGATAGGAAAGCAGAAACAGCATTGCCGCCCACTAAACAACAATGTCTCAGTTCTCGGTTCATGACTTGGGCGCGAGCACGGCTGGAAGAGGGCCCGCAATGGCAGGACGTAAGGGGGGTAGATTGTCGACAACAAAAGTTGAGTGATGCTCACCGGAAAGGATCCTCAACCGAGGAGGAGCAGGCGCCATTGTGTGCGTAGGTGCCTGTTCAGCAGGACCTGTTCAAGATATTACAAGACGGCCGGAAGAAGGCACGTCCGATGGGCGTATGGAGTGACCGCAATGCAGCTGTCCAAATTACCCTTTTTTTTTCTCTCCCGGAATAAAGCGTAGTTTTTGGGCGAGTACTGACGCCGTGCGAGACCGAATGAGGACGAAACGAAAGTGTACAAAGTTAACAGATGGCGGCCGACATCGAATTGAAACGAAAGACTGGATGTTGATGGCTGAGAAGTGAAGAGTCGAGGTCGAAGGAGCCCTGGAGGTAGGGAGAAGCGGGAGGAGTGAGGGCTCGGCGGAGCCGGAGATTCTTGCTGTGCAGTAAGACAAGGGTTGGAAGAAGAGAAGTTGCTCCTAAATCGAATCCATGTAAAGCAGCACTTGGAGGGCCACAGCGGTTGAGAAGGACTATAACGAACGTGATGAGGGCGCGGTGAGATGGTGGTACAGGATAACACGACGGCAAAGACAAACGACGTTGACAGTGCAGTGGCTGCGGTGATGAAAGGGAGGTCGCAGCAAAAACCAAATTGAGAGAGGCGTGGGAGGCGGCGCGACGATTGTGATGCGCAATGCGAAACGGGGGGATAAAGTCGCAGTACTCGTGCGGGAGCGCTAGGTGCGAGGACTAGTTAACTTTATTACTTGTGGACTCCTCGTTCGCCAGCTCCAGCACCAGCACCAGCGCCAGCAACGGGCGGCCCACGGCCACTACGACGCACAGCGGCGCATACAGGTACCCCCAGGCACCAGTTTAACGAGGCCCAGTTGGCAGTCCGGAATTTGTCCCTGAGCCAGTGAGCCCTCGCCGGTGACGCCTCAACAGCGAGCCACTCTCTGCTCCTCCTATTCGGGCTGCTACACGGTCAAAAATAGCTACGAAGGTCCTGCAAGTCCGTAGGGAGGAATAGTACTGGTAGGTACTGCACAAGTACTCTCCTGCTACTAGTCTACTGCTACTTTCGTGAAAGATAGTGCAGTACGGCAGTATCAACGGCCAACGCTTAGATAAACTATTTTTCCCTGCTAGTTACAGCTTACAGACCTCTTGTCCGCCGGAGGCAGCATCCGGATGTCTCTATCTACCATGTGTGGACGTAGGTGCCCGGTATTCTTCACGTCATCACTTGAATTTTTGGTTTGCATGTAGGACAGCTGGGTCTCGGTGCCAAGCCAACGATTGAGAGCCCGTTCGATCTCGTGTTTTAAAACACAGTCCTTGCTTCACCAAAGGCTGCCCTTCATTCTTTACTGATGGAGCGCTGTCAAGGTGGAAAATTTCCAGAGTAATTTTTTCTTTTTACTCTTGTTCCTGAGCCATCCCCATTGCTCCGGAGTATGTATGGAGTAGGGTTACGGATGATCCGTGTGTCCAAGACGTGTCCACTCTGTTCGCGCCCTCGGACCTTCAAGTAGAAACATCCCGATATCAGCAACGGATGCACAGTGCACAAAAATGATGGGTCGAAGGTGAAACTTCTGTTGAATGATTCCAGAATTGAATGATTGTAGAAATTGAGTGCACTTTCGGTCACTACACAAATTATACAGACGGCCTGTACTCGTTTGTATATCTCTGCAATCTGAAGCCCGCAGAAATGTGGAGTTGAGGCACCCTGACAATGTCCGTTTGCCGACGACGCTATTGTCTTGATAGGTTGAGGCAGAGCTCCCGCCTGTAAGACTTTTTGTCTGGCGCTAGTTACCAACTTACAGTACCAGCCCAGCTGAGGAACCTGTCAAAGACCACACGCGGACTTCTGGATAAGGTATGGAGTACTCGTACAGTACCGGAGACTCGAGGTGGGAGCCCGAGATTCTGGTGGTTTTCACCCAGCAACTAGTTTCTCGCAATTCCGCCACAACTCGTGCCCTCGCCAGAGCCAATATCCACCACTAACTTGTTGAGAACAAGACTGGTCCCATCTTACGCGCCCGAGGATGTACTAGTGAATGATGTACGCGGCTTGATGTCGGCTAATCGAGCCACTGGATGTTTTTCACGTTGTTCTCGTGGTCAGATTTACAACTCACAGCCATGGGAATTCAGGCATCCCGGTTGTTATGGAGCGGGACAACACAGCAAGGAGAATCCGCACTCGGCCTTACTTGCACACTATCTCCTCAGGAGTGAGGCATCTACAGACTACAAGGATACAGCCGCTTCTGCTGATCCCGGCTTCATATGGAGAGGAGAAAGGCGAGCCATACGATCAACTTCCCGTATGACGTACCCAAACACCGGGAGGTCAAGTCTAGAAGTACCTACAATAAACTCGCTCGGCTGGTCGCAGGCGAACTCGCTCGAAGCTGGTCAACCCCAGCCTGGTGAGCGAAGGCCTACCACGTGCTGTTGTTGTCGTGATTCGTGAGCATCCGGCTGGGTAACAATGCCGGGTGATGGGTCGTTGTTTATTACGACGAGAACTTGTACGACATGATGAATGAACATATATATGTTGCGCTTCCACGATAGCATCTCGACTTGTCGTGCTAAACAACTCCGTATGGCTCGACTCTGACCTGGATACTATCAGCGTCGATTCTGTGTGTTATGAACATGAACACTTTGCAAGACTGCCTGCAGGGGCAAGACATTGAGGACGGAGATTTCAGACTCTGCTCTGGGCTGTTGCCATGGCCGCTAATGGCATACAATGAAGGTTTAATTGGTCGGCCGAAACAGAGGCTGAATCAATGAAGATTTGGGGATACTGTTGTGTGTCTCAGGTGGAGCAGTCAATCAAAGGTGTTCTGGCAGTGCTTGCTTGGGTCGTGGACCTGTGGGACGCGATGCATCTGTCGGAGCACTGCATGTCCGGATATTGTGTACGCCTTGGATGGAGTATCTCTTCAGCAGCTGCACGCCGCGACGATGTTGAGTCTTGTTAGACTGCTGTGGTGCATTTGTCTTGGCGCCGATGCAAGATGCTGCTATCCATCTTGGTGTGTCTGTCGGTGCGACCCTTGACATGCATGTATCCTAAAGACTTGTTACGGAATCCTCGACTCCTTCAATGTGCACGCGAACGAAAGCTCCTTATGCTTTCTATTCATTCGGATCTCCAACGATCCGCATCCACTTAGCTCACTAACTAGCGGGCAAGCGAGATACAGTACAATGATCCGGAGGACCCGGGGCTAGTGAGGCTCATCCAGGTTTTCTTCCTCGCCTCTAAATGGCGTAAACATGGCCGAAATTGACAACGGGCAATCTGAAGGGCAGGGGGTTTGTGCCTTGCCATCTGGCAATAAAAGACTCGAGAGTTGGCATACTGTGTTTTGGCAGCTGCAGGCGGTCTGTTCACCGCCCCTGGAGCCTCCACAAGGCTAATATTTGTATTGATCCTGCAGATCATCTCGTTTCTTACCCGGGGCCGTACGTATTGTACAAAATATTATTGTACAGTTCTGTCGGAATTCCGTAGGCTGTACTCCGTGCTGTACGTACTCGGTCTTGTGTCAAGGACGAAGAAGCACTAAGCTGGTGGTGGCGGGTTTCGAATAGATATCCGCATCTCCTGATAGATATCTGTGCAAACATATCACCGTCGCGGGATTTATCGTGTATGCCTTGCGATTGTGGACTTCAGAGCTCTGAAAATGATGCATGGCGCGATCCCAGGCATTTCCAGATCCTGCCAGGAATTGTTCTGTTCGCTTGTTTGATGGGTTAGTTGGATCCTGGTCAGAGACCAAAACTTGGCAAATGTCGTTGCATGTCCCTGATGATTGTATCAACCATCCCTGGCACAGGTGTCGCTTGCTGAAATTGAGGTTGCAGCGAGGCTTTGCTCTTCGACGCAATACGTGAGTCCTTTGAACCAACTACTTCGCTATCTGTCGACTTGATGGCATTTGGAGCGGCCGTTGTCGATACATACTGACCACATCTCACTCACGTTTACGAGGCGAGGTCATACAAGTGTACTAATCTTAGTAACCTTGCGACGCGTTCAGTCTTTTAGCGACAGGGACGTGTTCGCCCCTCGCTTAAACGAGGTCAGACATTGTACCTGATCTTAAGCCTGAATACTACGTGCGCAGGTTTTTTTCTGTCGTAGGTAGACTCGTAGTGCAAGCATCAATGGACGATGGTCCTCTGGCCAGGACGCTGTGCCCTGGAGACGCCTGCACATTGTTTGCTACCCGGGAATCGAGGACAATGAAATGAGGTTGCCCACCAACACAGCTTGGGCAAAGAGTACGCAGTTGTCGGATACCTCGTTACGTCAGTTGGTTGCAGCTTCTGCATCACGTATCTTGGGTAGGTTTCAAAGTTTGTCGACGGATACGGAGGGTTCATGCATCAGAATCAAGATGGTTGAATGGTGTAACTCTGGCAAGGAAAGGTTTACTCCACGGCCTGTGCTCCTCCCCAACACCGACGCACGAAAGCCTAACAGTAGTTGTACCCTAAGCGGGCGAGGCCGGTGTCAGATCTTCCTCGTGTTCGCTTGCCGGACGCCGAGACCAGAGCTGTGGCCTCAACCGAGAAGAGACGCGATCCTTGCGCGTTTCAGATTCAGGGCAACCGACGCGCTCCGCTCAAAAGTTCAGTCAGAGACTCCAAACCAATTTATCTTGAGACTGAAGGCGCCGAATTTCTTTACCCTCATTATTCCAGATTCTGTGTGCGTACGAGGAGGGAAAGTTTTGATTATGAGTCCAATAGTAAGCATTGTCTGATAAACCAAGAATTTATGCAACTTCTATGCACGAGGATGACTCAGCCACAGCACCCATTGCCCCTTAAAGGGTGCACGGGCGACAAGACTTGCAAAGGGGCCGTTCAGAAAACGAAGTTTGGCCCTGGCATCTGCACATTCAAGTTGACAGTCGACGACAATGGCATTCAGGGGAGGTCGCAGAGTTATGTGCTAGTTCTTGTCCTCTGCCTAAAATGCCTTCGCAACAGTTCTCTGCATTTCCTTTTCCGCAGGGGGTGTCCAGATAGGTCTAGGATTTCTCAGCCTGGTTGCCTTCGGGCCACTCGGAGCCAGTAGTTATGCTTAAATCCGTGCCTTTGCCCCTCATGGGTTGGAGCCCCTGGTTCGTGGCGCCAAACGGCCAATTGAAGCTGGTCCAAGCATGCCTAACGGACCAACGCCAGCCTCATATCCAAGATGAACGATAATGGGAACTCAAAGGGAGAGCCTCTGCTTGGTAAGCCTATTAGCCCGCTGGGAGCGGTGATGATCTGGCTTGATGACCACTTCGCCGCTCGTACATGGACTCCATCTGGACATGGTTGCTGGACGAGCATTTCTTTCGTGCCGACTTCTCGGTGGCAGGCGATCGCCGACGGAGGCGTCTCCAGGGCGTAGCTGTACGAGCTACAAGATGTTTCCAGTAGGCAAACAGAGATTCTCCCTACTGATACCGGGACAACTACATGGAGGTACTGAATAGTGAACCCTAAGTGCACCGGAATGAAGCTGCTACCATCAGCCCGCCCCTTGGCGCGTACCGTGAAGCACTGCGCGCCTGAGCTTGGGCACATTGTGGTTGGTTCCCTCGCAAGCAGCGCCCGGGGATTCCGTACGCTACGCCTACAGTAGGTAGGTATGTATGCTTTTTCGAAACGACGCCCCCCTGCGCTCGGGCTGTAAGCTGTCGACGGTCGACAGTCGTAGTAATCTTGCTGATCTCAGTCAGAGTACTTCTTTTTTTTGTTTGTAGACACGTATTCTGCCTATCTAACATCTACTGGGAACACGAGCGAGGTAACCGTGGATCAGAACTCGCACTCGCACTCGCATACTCAGGACAGAGTCTATCGCCCCGTGCATTGGGTGTCTGCCCGTAGCCGTGCGAAGGTCCGGGCCCGAGGACCCTTTTATTTCTCACGGCCGGTGGATCACGAACCCTCCGAGAATCCCCCCAGTCATCCTCCGTCTGCGGCGAGAGCAACCCAGCCTTCCAACAGACAGTCGTCCTTCAATCCTTATCTTGAGAGGGCCTCACTGTTCTGTTCACGTTCGTCGTCGCTCTCCCATCGCCGACCACGCAGCTATGTGCCTTCTACCTCATTGCTGACGTGAGCCGACTCTTCCGCACCATCCCCTCTCAGCCCCAACGATACGGGGAAGCCCTCTTCTCGATCTTACGCGATTTGTGCCCGAAGGACCAGAATAGCTGCAAAAGCGTGTTTAATCACGCCTTAGCACGTTGGTGCCGTTGTTCTGTGGTCAAAGTCCCGCGGTCGCCTTCGTTCACGCGCCAGGCTAGACTTCTGCATCATGGCGCGGATACATTTTACAACCGGGGAGAACGAAAGCACCCAGCCAGATGTCTCCAAACCGGTCAAGAGAATGCGCTGGGCAACGACGCGCAAAGCAGGACAAAGTGGTGTGAACAAACGGCGTTCTCTGCTTGCCAGGGTTCCTAGAGTGACCCTTTCAGCATATGAAGAAAAAGCCCCTGGCCAGGACAACCATGGCCAGATCACCGATGATAGTCCAATGGGACAGGAACAGCAAGAGGAGAATTCGCAAGGTCGCACCATTTATGTTAACCAGCCCTTACCGCCAGCAGCGTTGACAGAGGAGGGACACATCAAGGCGCATTATGCAAGAAATAAAATCAGGACGGCGAAGTACACTCCTCTGAGTTTTGTGCCGAAAAATTTGTGGTTTCAATTCCATAACATCGCCAACGTATATTTCTTGTTCATCATTATCCTCAGTGTGAGTCTGGTGGTTTCATCTGCGCAAAAATCCGACTGACCAATCCTGCTAGATTTTCTCAATCTTCGGCGCCTCCAATCCTGGTCTTGGATCGGTCCCTCTGATCTTCATCTTGGTGGTCACGTCGATAAAGGATGGTTATGAAGATTTTCGGAGAACCGTACTCGACAACGAGCTGAATAACTCGCCGGTATACCGCTTGGTGGACTGGAATAATGTCAATATTGGTGAGGACGATGTCTCCCTATGGAGGCGCTTCAAAAAATCATGCACGAGGACTCTCCTTGCAGCGTATCGTTCGATAAAAGGCCTGAGATCGAAGAAGCAGAAGCGCTCAGAAAACGATCTGGACGGTTCTGGCGCCGATGGCAGAACATCCACGGGCACGAGGCCGACCATTCGGGCCTCTGTTTACTCTGAAAGGACATCGTTCCATTCCGTGCATACTCAGGGAGATGATATCGCAATGACCCCCGTCCCATCACCTGGCTATCGTGCAAGTCTATCGCCCAATGGCCAAACGTCAGAACCACCAGCCAGCGCATTTTCCTATGAAACTGCAGAAGAGACCCAGGCCCGAGGAGAGAATGCTCCATCAGCCCTCCGTGTCAGCGAGCCTGCGAAGCGTAAGAGCAACATCGCGCCTACAAAGGATTACGGCAGCATCATCAATCCATACAAAGAAGTCTCGGGTCGGGCTCGATTCAAGAAGGATTACTGGAAGAACGTCCAGGTCGGAGATTTCATTCGTATCTACAATGACGAACAAATCCCAGCAGATGTTGTTGTCCTATCTACGTCTGATCCTGATGGCGCCTGCTATGTCGAGACCAAAAATCTGGATGGGGAAACAAACTTGAAAGTTCGCCAGGCTTTGCAGGCGGGTCGTAAGGTGAAACACGCACGAGACTGCGAATATGCGGACTTCATCATTGACAGTGAAGGCCCTCACCCCAACCTTTACTCGTACAGCGCGGTCGCTAAATGGCAACAATTTGATCCTCGAAACCCAGACGCTCCTCCACGCGAAATGGCAGAACCGATCAGTATCAACAACCTACTACTCCGAGGCTGCAGCCTGAAAAATACTGAATGGGTCCTGGGTGTTGTCGTCTTCACAGGGCAGGAGACAAAGATCATGTTGAACTCCGGCATGACACCTAGCAAACGGGCGCGGATGGCTCGTGAGCTGAACTGGAATGTCATCTACAATTTTATTATCCTGTTCTTCATGTGTTTGGTCTCGGGCATTGTGCAAGGCGTTACTTGGGCCCAGGGTGACAATTCCCTGGATTATTTCGAGTTTGGTTCCATCGGTGGCAGTCCCCCGTTGGATGGCTTCATCACTTTCTGGTCGGCCGTGATTTTGTTCCAGAACTTGGTACCTATCTCCCTGTACATCACTTTGGAGATCGTCCGCTCATGTCAAGCCTTTTTCATTTGGTCCGACGTGCACATGTATTACGAGAAGCTTGATTACCCGTGCACACCAAAGAGCTGGAACATCTCTGATGATCTTGGCCAGATCGAGTACATCTTCTCAGACAAGACTGGAACATTGACTCAAAATGTCATGGAATTCAAGAAATGCACGATCAACGGACGACCATACGGCGAAGCATACACTGAAGCTGAGGCAGGCATGCGCCGAAGACAGGGCGTTGACGTCGAGGCTGAGACGGCTCGCGTTACTCAAGAGATCGCAGAAGCTCGAGTGGAGACCCTAAGACTGCTGCGAAAGACCTACGATAACCCCTATCTTCATGATGACGAACTTACATTCATTGCACCGAATTTTGTTGCGGATCTGAATGGACAGTCCGGCGAAGAGCAGGCTCGAGCCTGCGAGCACTTCATGGTTGCATTGGCACTTTGTCATACTGTTATTACAGAAACGACTCCTGGAGACCCGCCTAGAATTGAGTTCAAGGCACAATCTCCAGACGAGGCCGCTCTTGTTGCCACTGCGCGCGACATGGGATTTACAGTGCTTGGCCGTACCAATGACGACCTCCACGTCAACATCTTGGGGGAGGACCGAACATATCGTATCTTAAACACGCTTGAGTTCAACTCCACACGGAAACGAATGAGTGCCATTGTCCGAATGCCAGATGGAAAAATAAAGCTGTTCTGTAAGGGTGCTGACAGCATGATCTACTCGCGACTGAAGAAAGGCGAACAGCACGAACTCCGCAAGTTGACGGCCGAGAACCTAGAGATGTTTGCTCGGGAGGGCCTCCGAACACTCTGTGTGGCCGAGAGAGATCTTGATGAAGAGTTTTACCAAGAGTGGAACAAAGATCACGACTTCGCTGCTCAAGCACTGACCGATCGAGAAGATCGTCTCGAGGAGGTGTCAGATCGTATCGAACGGGAACTCTCTCTCATAGGAGGAACAGCCATCGAAGACCGTCTTCAAGATGGCGTCCCTGACACTATTGCTCTTCTGGGACAAGCCGGCATCAAACTATGGGTCCTAACCGGCGACAAGGTTGAGACTGCCATCAACATTGGCTTTTCGTGCAACTTGCTCTCAAACGAAATGGACTTAATCCTGTTCGATATCCCTGAAGGGACTGTAGATGATGCCGCCAGCCTCCTCGATAAGCACCTTAAGACGTTCGGTCTTACAGGATCGGACGAAGAATTGGCCATTGCTCGAACCGTCCACGAACCTCCACCACCGACTCATGCCCTGATCATTGATGGCGAGTCACTTCAACTTGTACTTCGAGACGAATTGAGACAGCGATTCCTGTTGTTGTGCAAACAGTGCAAATCAGTGCTCTGCTGCCGAGTCAGCCCGGCGCAGAAAGCAGCTGTTGTCCAACTCGTTCGGAACGGCTTGGATATCATGGCTTTATCCATCGGCGACGGAGCGAACGACGTTGCTATGATTCAAGAAGCCGATGTTGGTGTTGGTATTGCTGGCGAAGAAGGACGTCAAGCAGTCATGTCATCCGATTATGCTATCGGCCAATTTCGATACTTACAGAGACTCATTTTGGTTCATGGTCGCTGGTCTTATCGGCGTCTGGCAGAATCAATTGCCAACTTCTTCTACAAGGTATGTCTCTTGGATTTTCACATGATACAGCCACTAACTAGACACAGAACTTGGTCTGGACTTTCGCTCTTTTCTGGTATCAGATCTATAACAACTTTGACATCACATATTTGTTCGACTATACGTACATTTTGTTGGTCAACTTGGCCTTCACGTCGGTGCCCGTGGGTCTCATGGGCATTCTGGATCAAGACGTCAGTGACAAGGTCTCATTGGCAGTCCCTCAACTGTACAGACATGGCATGGAAAGGAAGGAATGGACGCAGACAAAGTTTTGGTAAAAGAACCTGCCTCCTTGAGAATTTCTATGCTAATTCAAATTCAGGTTGTATATGGCTGATGGGCTTTACCAGTCCGCCATCTGCTTCTTCATGGCATACCTCCTATTTGAGCCCGCTACATTTGAAACCGAAAACGGACGGGGTATTGCCGACCGTAGTCGCATGGGCGTCTTCGTTGCTTGCGCAGCAATTGTGGTAATCAACTCATACATCCTCCTCAACACCTACAAATGGGACTGGATCATGGTGTTGGTTACGGTAATCAGTTCTCTGTTGATCTTCGCCTGGACCGGCATCTATTCGTCTTTTGAGGCCTCCTTCCAATGGTACAAATCGGGCGCGGAGGTATATGGTTCTCTGACATTCTGGGCATTGACACTGTTGATCGTGATAATCTGCTTGCTCCCTCGATTCGCCGCCAAATTCTTCCAGAAGAATTTCAGACCCTCTGATATCGATGTTGTTCGAGAACAGGTTCGACAAGGCAAATTCAAGTACCTTGACAATTACGACGCATACGTCCCTCCCAAAGCTGTGGATGTGTCCGCAACTTCGTCCGAGCGACCAGAAGAAGGTTCGAATGAGCTGGACAAAAACCAAGGCCACAACCGGTACCCAAGCATGGCTGAGTCTCAGCGTCCTATTGTTTACCCACCATCAGAGGCACCAACTCGACACCCTCACAGCCAGACGGGCAGCGACGGGACAGACAGGACTGCGCCCTCGTTTGATCTATCCAGATATGGTGGTGATGGACACACCCCAGAAAGGGTTCGTGCCAGAAGACCTTCGTTGGAGCGAGTTCGCTCTTCCTTCGAGAGGCAGCGACAATCCTTGGACAGACTGAGACCGAGCTTTGAACAGAGCCGGGATTTTACAAGTGCTGCAATGTTGACGAGAATGGAGTCGGGATACTCGGCGTCGAATTACTCTCACCCCCTGACAGGCTACAACACCCGGAGGACGGAAGACATTGCAGAAGAGCATCGGTAGCGTTCGAACGATGTCAGGCGTCTTTACATTGCCTCATGACTTCATGGCCTTTTCTTAGATTTATGATATTTTCGGCGTCTTGCTTGGCTGGATGGGAACGAACATCCAGAATTGAGTGATTGGATTATTTTATAGTGACTCCCTCATCTGTATATAGTTTAAATCTACCACAAAAGGTGGAATGGCGGACTTGAGTAGAAGAAATGAGGGAATACCAATTGATCTTCAAAGCTAAGAGCATTTGACTGGAGACTCAGTACTAAGCTAGACCTGAGGATTATTTAATTGACTATTACGCGCTCGCCTTTTGCCGCTCAACGCGCGCGCGGGTCTTTCGTGGCTGCGGAGAAATATTTCTACGGCGGACGATGCAAGAACCTCGCATAGACAAGCCCTGATATCAACAACATGCAACACCTCACCACCCACTCTCGAACCATGTCTCAATCTCAGTCTCACTCTCGCAATCGCTTTTATTGACCTGTTCCCTTCCTATAAATGCTGCATCATTCCGCTATGAAACACCACTTTTACTCTGCTTCTGACTCCGTCTACGCTCCTGTCCTCTTCCACGGATCGCAGTCATGGCGGAATTCATAACGACCCTGCAGTAAGCCTTCTGTGAGAAAGGATTGATTTGGCTTGACACTAAATTTACCTAACTAACAGAGAACTCCAACAACTACCCGATGGGCTACATCTCCTCTGCCCTCGCCAATCAGACGAAGACTTCGACCGCTACGAAGATGAACACGACTGTGAGGGAGAAGGAGGACGGCCTGTTGATCCGGCACGAAAGGCCAGGTTCCAGGAGACAAAGATTCGTCGGAAGAAATTCATATCCTCTCTCCAACTGCTAGCCTACGACGGCACTGAGAGTGAACAGTACCAGGCCTATATCTGGGACACTGTTGATGCTGCTCTGGCCAGGTGCGACATATGCATCCGGGAATACTACATTGCGAAGGTAGACTTCTTGGCCACGTTACGGGAAGAGTATGAGGAAGAAGACATCAAGAATTTCTTTTCCATCATCAACCGACGGGATGTCCAGCGAGTTACTCGAGGTCTGGATTCTGCAGATCAGACCCTCCAAAATCTGCCCGGACCGAAAAGAGTAACATCAGCGTTAACACCAAAGGATCTACATGCTCTCTACGAGGCCCTAGTGTGTGAAGTCTTCTTAAGAGATGAAAACCTCCTCAAGGAACATTTCGACAGTCCTTTCAAGACAATACAATCACGAAAACCGCTTAAGATGCGGGAAATCCTACCAGCCGCCACACGATTTCTTTTCGATACCAATCCGGTGCGGCTAGCTTGGGCGAGTTCTATCTGGAAACGGCTTGACAGAGTTGTGAAGGACATAGAATTTGACTGGGCTATCAAAGACTTCCTGCAGGAGAAGGTGCAATATGCTGTCGAGCCTAGTGATACCACCAGATTGTGGTCCGCACTGAAGCTCATTGTCAGCAAATTAGATCATCGCATGATCACGTACAAGCTATTCGATCTGCAGCCGAATCTTTGTACCACCGCTCTCAACCACCTTTCACGACGCTCAAGCGCGGTCCCTTTCATTGTGCAGACTCTGGAAGACATTCTCGACAAGGCTCCTGACGCATTTTGGCAGGCAATGGGCTCAATCTCATCCCAGACGATCGTAGAGCAAATCTTCGCGAGTCCAAACTTCAACCGGCACTTACAGGAGTCTGTCAGACCGAGTCCAGAGACAGATGGGAAAAGCCACGTCACGAGCGACCCTCGAATCGACAACGATGTTTTGTCATGGATATCAGCATTCATGGAATCTCTTAAGCCGGCCAATCGTCCGGCGGCTGCACAAACGATAGTTGCTCAACTCTTTGAGAGGATCAATGATATCAGCCTTGTAGTCCCCGCGAGACTGATCTGTTTTGAGACTGCTGTTTCCGTCCTTCTAAAAACAGTTATCAGCTTCACTACCAATCAAGATGATCAAAAGACCATCGAGCGCCTGGTGTTGTCAGACACCCTCAATCTCGTTGGGTACCGTTTAGATGAGCTTCTCAACCCGAAAGATCCCGCTTTGGCTGAAGCTATGAGAGCTGTGAAGCCGCAGCTGCGAGGCGATATTCTAAACCTCACCAAAAATGCCGTAGCACTCGAATGTCAGTGTCTAAAAGCAGATTTCGAGATGATCAGCACGAAAGTCAATCTACGAAAGGGATCAAGCTCATATACTCCGGAATTATGGACTGCGATTATCGACAATCTGAGGGATGACGATCCTTCTTTATCTTCGGCAGCATTGCTTGGAACGATGGCACTGCCGGGCTTGGAACAATTTAGAATAAGAGAAGGTTCGCCCGATGTACAAGAAAGAAAGTCGTTCAACGCTATCTTTGACAAAATCACTGGTATGCTTGGGAAACTTCTGGAAAGAATTTCAGAGTTCAGCCCAGATCATCTGGATCGTCTCTTCAGAGCTCAAGACACAAGCATGTCTCTCATTGCCGCCCTCTTTTCGCCACATCAGAGCACATATGAAGCCGCCATCGAACTGATCAAGAACATCAGCGGAGAGTCAGGTCGAAAAGAGGCGCTAGCACACCTGATAAGCGCATTCCTTGGTGTCACAATCTACGGTATTTGCTGGACTTTTCGGCGGATTGCAAACTACAAGACCTTCGCCTCAGTTCCCCGAATGCTTAAGACTGGCATGGAAATTCTGGAGATTCTTTGCAATTTGACCGATGGCCAATTAAGAAGAGCAAAAATCTCCTCACGCGACGCATCTGCTATTCAGAGCTATTGGTCCTATCAGTGGATCGCATTGAGAGTCGTGTATAGTCAAACTGAGAAATGGTCACTCGAACTCCATAACAAGGAGCTCATGGTCGAGGTTTGCCGGGATGCTATGCAGTACGCCCAGGCCCTGTTTGACCAGTATGACCTGTTCTCCAGTGTCATTACGAAGGCGAAACCCGACAAAGCAAAAGAGATTCACCGCCTGCTTCTCGATTCTGACGATCCAAGTGTCGGGTCACCTCTTGGTACTTTGGATGCCATGTCAAAGTGGCTCAGGTTGCGAGACGAGTACCTTGCTGAAACCTTGGTGTCACTCATCACGAACATGTTGTACCGGCTAAAAGGACACGATGCCCTCAATGCAGAGAACGAAGGCCTAATCTATATTCAAGAAGTCACAACAAAGCAGTCTATTAAGACCATTCTGACTTCCTCTCAGAAAGCAATCCTAGTTCGAGCGCTCGAAAACTACTGGGGTCGCCAAATCGTGAAACCCGTTGTCAAGAAACAAGCCACCCTTAATATCAAAGGCTGGACCGAATCAGCTGCTGTTGCCCGATCCGACGCTTCCGCTTCAGAATCTCGAGATGTTGACGCAGACGAATTCGGCGACGATGATATCGCCGATGAAGACCTCGTCGAGATCGCGAGCAAGACACTTGGTACTCAGAAAGCGAGCATTACTTCGAAAGACAAGAACCAAATCAAGAATCTGCTTATACGGCAACAGCCTGTGAAACCGAAAGCTACGAAGCCATCGACAGTGGACCTAGCTGCTAAGAAAGCTCAAGAAGCCAAGGCATTTATCGAAAACCGTAAGCGTGAAGAGGCAGCTCGTAAACTGAGAGACAAGGAAGCCGCCCTTAAGTTGCGGGGCAAGATCGGCGTTGGCAAACAGACAGCAGGTCAGGGTTCTGGCCTTTCCGGTCTTGGAGTGGTCGGGAAGGATCACACTGTTGGCAGCAGTGGGATAATGGTATCATCTGACTCCGAGTCGGATACTGATTCAGACGAAGAGCTGTTTGGGAAGCTCCCCATCACCCAGGGGACTACAGTGCGCAATCAGGCAGGTTTAAGAAAACCTCTGTCAACCGGCCCTGTACGCAAAGTCAAGCAAGTGCGCTCACAACGGGATATCAGAGCCCGACTTGCCCCGGATCTGACCGAGCTCCACAGAACAATCTTGAGTTGGGACTTCTTTGCAGATACCGATCTCCCACCGAATTCCCAGAAGAACGATTATACCTTGGTCACAGACACTTTCCGCACTCCCCAGGACTACCAGAGTACGTTTGAACCACTCTTGATACTCGAAGGGTGGCAAAGCTTTCGTGCAGCTCGTGAAGATGGCACCTTCAAGCCTTTCGAGGTGAAAGTAGCCAATTCTCTGATTGTAGATCAGTTTGTTGAGATCAACTCCCAGGTGTCCATGGCTGAAGGCAAGGACCTTGGCATTAGTACCTCTGATGTTGTGCTTCTCTCAAGGTCCAACCAGCCCGATCGAGATGCGAGCGAGCCACATTGTCTTGCGCGGGTGAAGGAAATCACGCGGAAAAAAGGCGAGGTTCAGATCGTCTACCGCGTCTCCGCCTCTGCCAATCCCCTGAGACCATACTTGAATGACCAAGCACTTGTGTACGGAGTCCAGATTTTGTCACTCACACCATTGGAGAGAGAATATGGTGCATTGATGGCGCTACAGTACTACGATCTTTGCGAGGAAATCATCCGAGCCAAACCGTCGCCGATTCTGGATTACACAGAAGAAGACCTCGAGCCCCTGAAGAAAACCTACAATGTCAACTTGGCCCAAGCCAAGGCTATTAAGTCAGCCCTTGATAACGACGCATTCACCTTGATTCAGGGTCCTCCCGGCTCCGGAAAGACGAAAACCATTTGCGGTTTAGTCGGGGCTATGCTCACTGGCTCCATCAAGAAGCCCGACACCTCTGGCCAACGTTTGAACACGGCGACAGGGCGCCCTGTCGGTGCGCCTGCATCTGCGAAGAAAATACTCGTCTGTGCGCCCAGCAACGCGGCTGTGGACGAATTAGTTATGAGATTGAAAAAGGGCGTTACTCTTAGGGATGGCACCCACGAGAGATTATCCGTGGTGCGTTTGGGAAGGACTGACGCTATCAACACCAACGTGAAAGATGTTACACTTGAGGAGCTCGTCAACGCTAAACTCGGTACAGCAGCACCAAAAGATCCTCGGGATGATATTCACTCAGTCATGATGAAGCACAAAGCGATCTCAGAGGAGCTTAATGCACTTCGAAATCGCATCAACGATCAACGGGGTCGAGGCCAACCAGTACCAAGCTCAGAGGAGCAACTTATGGATGCTTTGAAACGCGAGAAGAATGGTCTCAGTTCGAAGATTGACGATATGAGAGAACGTCAGAACACCGCTTCTCGTGATATGGACCTCAATCGCAAGAGAATACAGCAAGAAATCCTTGACTCGGCCAACGTGCTTTGTGCCACCCTCAGTGGAAGTGGTCATGAAATCTTCCAGGGTCTCAACATCGAGTTCGAGACTGTCATCATTGATGAAGCGGCTCAGTCTATTGAACTCTCCGCACTGATTCCACTCAAGTATGGCTGTTCAAAGTGTATTCTGGTTGGTGATCCCAAACAGTTGCCACCCACGGTCTTGTCACGGGCAGCCGCCAAGTTCCAATACGAACAGAGTTTGTTTGCGCGTATGGAGAACAACCACAGAAAAGATGTCCATTTACTTGACACACAGTACCGTATGCATCCGGAAATCAGCCTCTTCCCCAGTAAGACATTTTATGATTCTCGACTCAAAGATGGTGCTGGCATGGCAAAACTTCGACATAGGCCGTGGCACAACAGCGAAGTCTTTGCCCCCTATCGTTTCTTTGATGTTCAGGGCATGAGTCAAGCTGCAACCAAGGGCCATTCGTTGATCAACGTTGCCGAATTGAATGTTGCCATGCAGCTTTATGACCGATTGTTGAATGATGTTCCGAAGTACAATTTCTCTGGAAAGATAGGCATTATTACACCTTACAAGGGACAGCTCAAAGAACTGAAGTTGCGTTTCAAACAACGTTATGGTGAGGACATAACTTCTAGAGTCGACTTCAACACCACCGATGCATTTCAAGGCCGAGAAAGTGAGATCATTATCTTCTCCTGTGTGCGAGCATCGACCAAAGGCATCGGCTTCTTGAACGACATTCGCCGTATGAACGTCGGCTTGACGAGAGCCATGTGTTCACTTTGGGTTCTCGGTAATTCTCAGGCACTTATGCAGGGCGAATTCTGGAAGGCATTGATCACGGACGCGAAAGGCCGAAATTTGTACACTCAGGGTGATATTACGAGCCTCCTCCGTCGGCCAGTCCTGACTGATGCCATGATGGAGGCTGATGTTGAGATGATGGACGTGGACGAACCAACTTCTGCGATCGAGCCAGAGTCCGATAATCATCACCATTCCACAATGGACTTGGATCGGCCAGAAGTCGAGACTGCGCAGCCAGTCATCAGTCGCCAAAACTCGGATGCACGTAACTCGAACTCAAAAGGACCATCGCCTGCGATCACCAAACAGCCCGATTCTAGACCTGGATCCTCCTCGGTCCAACCGACCCCTTTGCCGTCAAGACCAAGCAGCAGATTATCCAGCGACTCACCCATGTCGACCTCCTCCAAGCCTGACGCTGGGCGCCTTGATCCGTCACGTCCCGAGAGCAAGAGAGAACTGATCAAATCTAACACCACGGGCTCAAATAAAGCGCCTCCTGCACAGGTACGCCCAGAGGCATACTCGGATTCAAAGCTTAGCTATTCAGAACAGTCTCGGCCTGGGACCCATGGTCCATCTGGGGGTGGTAATGGGTTGAATGACCTTGCCAATTGTGCTATCTGTGGGTCATATGATCATTACAGCTTCAATTGTGACAATGAAGTGGCCAAGGCTGCAGCCCTGGGCAATTGTCACCGTTGCCATCGTCCCGGGCACAACTATACCGGCTGCACAGCGCCGCGATGCATCACTTGTGGTGAAGTTGGGCATGCTAGCGAGAGCTGTATGGCGCCTATTAGGCATAGGTTAACCAAAGCTCAACAAGTCGAAGTACACAAGCAGGAAGTTCGCTTTGGAATTGCCAGGGACAAAGCGAGAGAACGACGGGCCGAAAGACAACTTGGCGAGCATGGAGCCAAAATCCCTACGGTCAAGAGTACATTGCCATCAGCCAACGGCCAAGCTTCCGATGCGAAGAGGAAGAGAGATGAATCAACGGAATCTTCTGACCGTGGGAAGGTGAAACGACGTGACAAGGCGGCCGCCGGGAAGGTCCCAGCCCATAATCCAGGTGTGCCGAACAACAATTCTGCACCCAACACGTTCTCTCGTCCTCCGCCGACTGGACCTAGTGCAGGTGTCGTAGGTCTCTCGCGACCACCACCAACAGGTTCAGCGGAGCTACCACCACGGCCTCCGACGGGACCTGGAGGTCGACCAGTGACGATGAACAATGGACAACCGATGGTGCGGAAGAAGAGGGCCAACGCCAACGACATGTTTGTGAAGAGGAAATGAGACCTAGCCATGGATGACTCGGGTTGTTTTTGGGGGTTTTAGCCATATTTTTTTTTTCTTCTTTTGCGCATTGTATGGTGTACGATTCTACTCAGGGGCGTTTTTGACGAAGGTGGGCTGATGGCTTTGGCATCGTCATGAAGCTAAGATGAACTCGGTTCCGTTTTATGAAACGCGAACTGCAACTGCTCTTGGGTATTTCTCGCTCCTTGAGAGCACGATCACTAAGGGATCGATCGAGGGGTTACAAAGAGGGGACAAGATCGCATAGCGCGGCGTCGCACAGCACAGCGCAGTACAGCATAGCGTAGCGTAGCATAGCATAGCGAGAGGCGTCGTCGTTACTGCGCCTTACGGTACAGTACCAATAGAGAGTCAAAGTCGTTCTTGGGCGTTTGCGGTTGGCAGGTATTGATTGATTTACGTACCTTTGAACCCGAGCAAGTCAGTAGTAACCAGCATAGCACGCATGGGCAGCCGAGAGTCTGGGGCCTGGAAGACCCCGGGTATTCGTGCTGCGTAAAGTACGTAGCAGGGAGGTCAAGACACGCCTAGCTTGCACCCAGGTAAGGGTCAGAAGGGAATCATTAGATGATAGATATCATGGTATGTCATGGCATAGCACGGTACATGCACAGCACAGCGCAGCATATTCTAGCATCTCACGGCATAGTGTAGCATAGCATAGTATGGCATACCACGGGTCAATTTGGATGGTTCATGTTCATTTGCATTGTCATGTTCATATCCATATCGCAAGGCACGTTATGCGTTACGACCATCTCGTTTCTTCTGTGATGAATGTGTTTGTGTGTGTGCTGTGTTGTGTTGTGCTTTTCGCCACGGTTTTGAAATTTTTGATTTTGTCTCCTCCCCTTTTTTTCCCGTCTCTGCCTGTAACACAGTATCTACTACTATGCTACCGCTGGCCCTGCCTTTTTGGCCATTTACCTTGCGCAGTAGCCGCCGTCTATGAGAATGTCTGAACCGGTGGTGTAGGAACTCGCGTCGCTAGCAAGGTAGACATAGGCGCCCTTGAGCTCGGTGGCCTTGCCGTCTCGGCCCATGGGGATCATGCTGTGCCAGAGCTGCTGGACGTCCTGGGGAACGAAATCCGAGAGACCGGTGTCGATGTAGCCTGGCGAGATGGAGTTGACGCGAGCAAAGTCACGCCATTCGTTGGCGAGGGAGCGAGCCAAGTGGATACAACCTGCTTTGGCTACGTTGTAGGATGTCTGTTTTTTTGGCAATCACGTTAGTCCTTGAGCCTCATATACATACATATACTTATATGTATGATGAGAATCGTGCGAAGAAAAACCTCACCTGTTCCTGAGGGAAGTTGGCAATATGACCGCTCATACTGGCAGTGATGATGAAGCTGCCCGTCTTGCGGTCACGGAAATGCAAGCCCACGGCACGTGCGCAGTTGTACACGCCCGTCAAGTCGGTCTGGATGACCTCGTTCCACTGGCTGACGGGGGCGTCGAGGACACCGGCGTCGGCGGTGCGGCCGGCGTTGGCGATAAACACGTCGACCTTGCCAAAGTCGGCGACGACGTCCTTGACGAGCTTCTCGACGTCGGCGTAGTCGCCCACGTTGCACTTGTACGCCTTGGCCTTGACGCCGAAGTTGTCCGCCAGCTCTTTGGCGTTCTTCTCGCCGCCCTGGGGTCGAGACGCGTACGTGATGGCCACGTCGGCGCCCATTTCTGCGCAGCCTCGGGCAGCCTCAGTGCCGATGCCGGTCGGGCCGGACGCTCCCGTGACAATCACCACCTTCCCCTTGAGGGAGAAGAGGTCCTTGAGATGGGTGGCTTGGGGGACGGTGATAGGCATGTTGATGAGGTCTGGGGGGTATAACTGGAAGGGGATTGATGTATTGACTAGACGGGTGGAAAGCGGGAATGGGTGCACGAGTGTTGAGTAGAGACAGAGAGAGAGGAAGATGGAGATCGAGATCGAGAAAATTTCAAGCTACCAACGGGAAAATTGAGGACCATGGGCTCGGTGGTTTAAATACTGTGTTCGGTATCAAGTGAGGTGCGCTGATGGTGGTACGTGAACTACTCGCACGGCGGCACCTGCGGACGAGGGGTTTGGCAGAGACCTCTGATGACGTAACGCGGCCTCTAGCGGCGCTCCCGATCCGGCAACCACCCACTCCTGACTCAGCAGCCCCTTGACTCAGCAGCCTCTTCGTTACCCAACACCGTCTCGTCTCCGTGTGTCTTTGTGCCTTTATGCCTTTCAAACGGTCCCTACGCGTACGCCAGCATCCCGGTGAGGGCTGAGTGCCGACTTGGCCATGACCGGCGACGGATGAAAGGGGCATCAGAGCCACTGGATATCCACAATCAGCATTGATCTACATCTCGGTACCTAAGAGGAGGCTAGCTCTCTCAGTACATGTACATAATGAGAACCATACATCAAGATCCTCACATAGATGTAGCATTCCACGTACAATCAGCCATAGCTCTCCCGCCCTCAGTAGCCAAAAACCTCCCCGACACTCAAGCCCACCACTCGAGCACCGCCGAGTGCAGCCACTACAAGGACAACATCCACAATCAGGAGGACGCCACTGGCCATCAAATACCTCGGCATGAAAACCCTGTACAACATCAGATGTCGTCGGAGATGTCCAGCCCACATCGTCGTGGCCAACTGTATGGTAGCGTAGTACAACGCATGTGTAAGACAAGCATTAACCACATCGTGCCACACTCCCCGTAGCCCGGCTTTACCCAGAGGTCGTTTCCAAAGCACCGTCAACGGGACTGCCGCTGCACACATGATCTGTGCTCCAAAGGTATTGAGAATCACCAGGAGCGGCGACCAGGGGTATCGGATGGTGCGGAGCGGCACAAATGCTGAACTCCACTGGATCGAGGCGAGGGTGGCTTGGTGGCCAGTCTTGAAGAAGTGGTAGGAGCCAAGCAGCGCAAGAACAATGGGTCCAACGCTAGATGGAGAGGCCCATGTCATCGCAAGTGCATTACTGTCCAAGATTTCGAGTAAGCAGAGTATTTGCCATGCACAAATGGCGATGGAGAACTGGCCCATCGGTGGGAGCAGCAGGGCTACAGTCAACACTAGCATCGGGATCATCAGGTAGAACCGACTACCAAACGCGTTGGCATAGCCAAAGACCGTGAGCTGAGGGCGAGACGGTGCTTGTGTTCCCCTGGCACTCGACTTCGGGTCGGTGATCGAGATGTCTATGCAGGGTTTGGCCCAGATGAATGTACTGACACCGACAGGGAGCGCGATAGCAAGTACGCATCGAGCGACAGTGATCTTGGCCGTCTGAAGTGTCGATGAGGATATTCGATGTCTCCACCACTCGCCGTTGTCTGCAGCGTCAAGGGTCCAGTATACTGCCACAAGCAACAACCCTATGCGAAAGCAAAATCCAATCCAGAACCCAGCTGATCCGGCATATGAAGCCGTACCTCGATAGAATGCCTTGGTTATTTCTGGCAAGATCAGAGCAACCGCAAAAGGCACTAACAACTGCCAAGGCGCAGATGTAGATGAAGTGGTGGAAGCGTAAAACGTCGACCGACAGCCTGGCATCTGTTCCTCTCGACAAAGACGCGAGAAGGACGACAACCTGGCAAGAAGTACAAACATGACTGACTGGTAAACGCCCAAGATTCGGTCTTTCTGGTACGCTTGTCGTAAAGAAGATATCAACGCCACCAAGCCAAAGGTAGTCAAGAAGAAAAGCAGGATGGTGTCCTCATGAATGGTGTACGAATTAGACGCAAATCCTGCAGCCTGGGTGACCACGAAAACGAATGTCATCCAGCCCCATATCGAGGGAAAACGAAAGCGTCGAGCGACATTGTTTTGATAGGACCACACACTTGCACCGAGAATACCGCCACATGTGACTCCAAAGACGAGACCGGCAATCGCAGTGAAATATTTGGGAAGAATAATCCCCAAAACTGGGCCGAGAGCGAGGCCGGCTGTGCTTCCCAAGCCAGCGCTACGAAGCAGGCCGGTGGCGACGAGTGCCTTGTCTCCCTTGGAGAAGCGAGCAAAAAAGAGCAAAAATGCAAGTGCAGCAGCCGAGATGCAAACACCGTACAACATGTCTCCAAGATTGAAGTTTGCCCACAATTTTCGATACGTTGAGATGACTTCCTCGTGCCAGTCGACAAAGGCGTGATACGAGTCTTGCCAGCGTCCAGTGCCAATAGCATCCACCGATCGCATCATATGCGCAGCCTGGCTCTGGTAGACATCATCCGAGAGGCCAAGGTCTCGAGACTGGGAATAATGACGCTGGTACCGCGCAATCTGGGCTTGGACCAAATGTGCAACCTCTGCCAGGTTCTGCCATTTTGTCTTGCCAGGTCCCGCAAATGCTTCGGCGATGGGTCTGCCCAGATTGTTAAACGGCACTGGTAGACCTAGCAGAAGAGATAGCGTTGAAACCAGGTCTATCTGTCCGATGGGTCGCTCTTTGGCATTCAACGGTGGTGTTAGGGAATCGGGACTGACTCTGCCAAATCGAGGCTTCTTCGAGTACATCCATAAAGCCGCTTCAACTTCATCATCAGATTCTCCCCCATGATCGCCCTTGGCATCCATACCGTGGTCACCCATGATGACAAGGAGCGTGTCGTCGTCAAGTCTCTGCATAATCTGCTGGATGACGCCGTCCATTTGCCGAAGTTTCTCAGCCATTGCAGGGTGCTCGGGTCCGTAACGATGGCCCGCGTGGTCAACGCCCAGAAAATGACCGAAAACAACATCCCATCGGGCAGGAGATTGCTCCAAGAGTGGCATAATATGTTCTATAACACCATTGTCGACGGTATGTAGATCCCAGACATTAAAAGAATCATATGGTCTCGTCATATTTGGGTCGAAATATCCGGGAAACAATGACTGCCATGTGTCGTCTCCTAGGTGGACTATTGTTTTCCCTGCATCTTTCAGCTGAGATACGATGTTATCCTCGTCGATTGCAGTGCCTGCAAAATTTGAACCAATGTCGATAAAAACTGGAAGCGTTCCGGTGGTCAGGCCTTTCAATCGCTGGAGCGTGCTCGTCGGAGGATCGGCAATGAAGGGTAGTAGGAATGCATGCTCTGGATTGGCGACAGCAGTATCGTAGAGAGTGGGTAGGTTATCAAGGTAATGTCTCTGAGGATGTTTGATGGATGGACTAGCTGTCGAAGGAACAGTAAAATCATATCGTAACGCGTCGATAATTATGACTACAGCTCGATTAAAAGACTTGGGATGCCAGCATCCATTTGCCTCCCTAGACTGCTGTCCACTTGGGAGTGCAGTGCATTCAGACTTGTTATCTAAGACAAGTCTTGTAAGAAGGAAGCCTTTCGCAAAGAAGAGAATGCCGATGATATGGACAATCCTGCTCCGATTAGCGCTGGCTGCGAAGATGAGGACACACCCACGTCAGCCATAGAAAGAAGACACTAATAAGAACATGAGAGACTTTGAACGCAATGGACCTCTGCCGCTCTCGAGCCTCTGTGTCTGGTGTCACTGTTGAGGTGGCACCGTTAAAGCTCTCGGCTTGTGGACTCTGGTCAGCCAGCGTTGACATGGCCTTCTGCAGACTCTTGAAACAAAAAAGGAGTGGAAGAAAGTAATCTGTATCATGAGAGCATCATAAAAGAATGTTCGGACCGCTATTGACCCGGTAACAATATTTACATGAAAAGTCGTGAACAAAACTTCAGCTTCAACTGCGGAGGCCCGGAACTCACTTTCGAAAGGTCCTCTGTCATTTCCGTGAGAGGCAGGTCTAGCGAGCGGATAAGGGTTTAGCGTTGCAGATCACCCGCTTTGAAATCGCTTAGCTGCACAGGTTGGCCACGCCGTTCTGAAACACATCGTCACAACCAACGACAGAGAAAAGCAGAGTCGAAGCGGCGAACAGCGATATGTCAATATATGTACCGCTATGTGATAAGGAATGTTTCAAACCCCACAGAATGCTGTGGCTTGGCTTGGTAAGCGGGGAATGAGCATAGGGCAGCATCATGTCTTTTCCAGAAGAAGCTTAGTCCCGCCTTATATAAGCAAAGTTTTTCGCTGGAACCATCTGTGCCTGCGACTATGTCATACAAGTAATATATTTCGTATCGGCTTTGTCCAAACTTGCCATTGTTCTTGCGCATCCCGTTTATATCAATGATGGACACTGCACAAGCCGCCACAGAAGCGCCTGTGGTCACTTTCAAGAAGCGAAATGTCAAAGCGAAGTCGACCATAAGAAAAAGAGTTGCCACACCTCCCTCCGACTCAGATTCTGGATTCACCTCTTCCGAAGACGACGAAGGAAGGCCTATCAAGCGCCGGCGCAAAACTGCTGGAGTAACAGCATCTTCAGCAGAAAATCCTACGATTCGAGTGGCGCCTACCGAAGATCCATCAAGTGCAGTAGTTGTGCCTACTACCAATAAAGATGATGCGACAAAGAGATCAGACTGGTATGATGAAGAGAGGTCGAAGGGTGGAAAGTCCGCCACACAGACGCAAGATGACACTGTCCTTGATGGCACGTACAAGGGCACGGCGAACTACCAATCGTTCATTCAAAAGAACCCAGATCGTCTGGGCAAGCAAGTCGGACCTCTAAAGCAATCAAGCAATGTCAGAACGATCACTGTCACAGATTTTGCCCCTGATGTGTGTAAAGATTACAAGCAGACCGGCTTCTGTGGCTTTGGCGATAGTTGCAAATTCTTGCATGCAAGAGAAGACTATAAACAGGGTTGGCAGTTGGATCGAGACTGGGAAATCGACACCAAGGGGAAGAAGTTGACTGGCAAGACCGTTGCATCTGCAAACCGCGGCCAAAATACCCAAGATGACGACGATGACGAAGCATTGCTGGAAAGCATTCCGTTTGCCTGCATCATCTGCAAGAAGCCTTACACAAACCCTATCATAACAAAGTGTGGGCATTATTTCTGCGAAGCATGTGCCCTGAAAAGATATCGAAAAGACCCTTCTTGTGCTGCATGCGGTACTGGAACTGGTGGGGTGTTCAACGTTGCAAAAAAGCTGAATAGGCTCCTGGATAAGAAGCGGGAGCGAGAACTGCTGAAAAAAGAGAGAGCAGGTGAAGAGGCGGGAGAATAGCGTAGGAGTACCCTCCCCTATGTTTTTGGGTGCCCGGTCTTTGCTGCCTGTGACAGCCCTACACTACGTAGATACCTCATTATGTATAATAAGAAACTACGGAATAACTTGTGCAAGCCGTCAAAATCGTTCTCTACCATTCCTTCATACCTCTGTTCGTTATTGCAAGTAATACTCCGCCGTAGGGCTTTAGGCCGAAGCAACGAAGTGCTGTCCTTCGATCGGGGCACCACCCATAGCCATTAGTTAACTTCGTACCATACACTCGAGTCTTTCGATTTATCTCAAATTTTGTAGAGATTTACATCAAAATCTGTCTGGCAGGTGAGTCGCATGACCAGGGCCTCATTCCCATCATGCGCCCTTGACTTAGAGCGTCCTGTTTTGTCGTTCGCTTCCAACGATCGATCAGAGTGCATTCAGAATGAAGGTTGCAACACTGCAATTTTTTCCACGTTTGGGAGAAGTGGCAGCGAACTTCAGTCGTGCAGAAAGTCTTCTGATGAGGGAAGAAAGAGAAGGCCTTCTCCAGGATATTGACCTCTTGGTTCTCCCAGAACTTGCTTTCACTGGTCAGTCGCTGTTGCTTTTCCAATATTATCCTTGTAGCTTCTTGAGCCCTGAGATAGCAAATGATCAATATCACGAGCTCTGCCATTGACCATCATGCCAGGCTACAACCACCCTTCACTGGCAGCCATTGCGCCTTTTCTAGAACCCACCGCTGCGGGGCCTTCAACAAGGTGGGCCGCTCGCACTGCCAAACGACTGAAATGTACCGTTGCGGTCGGCTATCCTGAAGCAGCTGAGGAAGGAAACTACAACACTATCTTCGACAAACACATCACGGCCGAAGCTGGTGCCGTCGCTTACAACTCACTGGTGTTTGTCAGTGCTAGTGGAGATGTCGTTGCCCACTATCGAAAGTCTTTCCTCTACTACACTGATGAGACCTGGGCCCAGGAAGGCTCCGGTTTTTGGGCCGGTGTGTTACCAATAGGAGGGAAGGGTCAGCAGGTCAAGGCTGCCGCGGGAATATGCATGGATGTTAACCCATACAAGTTCGAGGCACCTTGGACAGCCTACGAATTTGGTAATCACGCGCGGGAATCCCGTGCAAAGATTGTCGTCATCAGCATGGCGTGGCTCACGAGGCTGAGTGCCGAAGAGCTGTCCAGTCAAGTGATGAGTCCGGACGAAGACACCGTCAGCTATTGGGTCGACAGACTCAGCCCGTTGTTCGGTCCGCAAGGGGCCGATCCCGAAACCATTGTTGTTTGCGCCAACCGCACTGGTGAAGAAGGTGTGAGTCCACGAATTGGCGAGGTAAGGTACGCCGGCAGCAGTTGTATCATGGGTGTGCAGAAGGGAAATTCGGTCAGGATATGGGATATCTTTGGCAGAGCACAAGAGGGTGTTCTCCTGGTGAATACCACTGGTCCCGCAAAGTACACGATCAAGCTGGGGGTAAAGCCTGAGCAGGAGGACTCGGCCGCGGAGAACCCTACGGACTGAAAGTCGATCACAAAAGTCGATCTCACAGGGCGAGGCTGTAGTCTTGCGCTCGAAAGGTGAACCACACCAGGGCGGAGCCAGTCTCTTTACGGTCTCCACAGGTCTACAAAACTGTTTGATGCAAGACTGGGCGAGAAGCCTGACATGCACTCACACATGACAGCCTGGCAGATATGGCAAAGTCATGTCTCAAACGGGCTGTCACATGCACACCATGTTGACTATTCCACCAATGTTTGTCGATCCCCCGGGAGCTGTTGCCGCCAGCCGCGGACAGTGGGACACACAACGCACCCTGGATACAATTGCGCGTGTGTCAGCCATTCACCACAGGATGCCGCACGTATGGAAACAAACGGCGACGATGGAGGGTCAGCATGGAAAAGCGATCATGAGATACAGCAGGTCTCTAGCCTGGCGGTGGTTGGTCACATGCGTCGCATCCTTTGGAGGGGTATCTCCTGCTGTCTGACAGCAACTTTTCCGGTTCAATTTCGGACTGTCTTTTGGTCAGACCTTTGTTTTTTTCCTTCCACTAGTGTTCGCTGCACAACCACCCGGCACTGGGCGAATTTCACGCTTGCCCATTCTTGTCTTAGCGTGCTTTGGTCCGCCCTCCGTCGTCCCTTGATGAACTTCCTCTCCCGTGACCTTTCCCAGACTTGTAACTGAATACCTCGCTCACTGCCAACACGATTGCGCTGTGTTCCATGGCTGGCTAAGAAATTAATTCGCCTCTTTGTCGAAACATTCCCGCGTTCCAAGCAAGTTGCAGGACTCTTCGCAGCGGTCGTCAAACGTGAGTACATCCAAAATCCCTCATTTCTTTCAACTTCGTCGAATCCGCGTCTCTTGAATTACATTATCACACGTGACGAGTCTCTATCAGCACGGGTTCTGCGCAGCTTCAAAACATCGTCACGGGAAGAGACACATGCCGCGCTCGGCTCATCACAGCAGATGAACCTCGCCGCGATGGAATCAGCCTGTCACGATGATGATGATGTTGTTGTTGCTTATAGCTCCGACTCTTCACTTCACTTGCGCACTCGTGAGATGGCACTCCAACTGAAGTGAAGTCGCCAGTCCGGCGCGTATATTCCTCACTCCACCTCGCGTCCCTCTTGACCTTTCAAAGTCGCTGCATCGTCGAATCACACAGACTCGAACTCATCCTTATATATTCCTCGCCATCTCTGTGTTGCATGTGTTATCCTTTAGCCATGGCTAACTCCAAGAACAGACAGGCACCTGCGCTGCCCTCAGCCGCTTCCTACTATCAATACCCCGACCAACTGCTCGTACCCAGTCCTTCTCGAGAAGCTTAGGGTGCTTCCCTCGAAGAATCTAAGCTGGACGACCTTCTAGATCAAGTGGCTGATTACGTTGGCACGATGGAGGCTTCAGATCCGAAGATGAGCGCTGCCAACAACAAGCGCAAGAGACTCCCTGGAGATCAGGGTCTTGGTCGTGACGCCAAGGCACAAAACACCAACGGCGACCACCAGGACTATGCTGCGTTGCTTCAAGGTCTTGATGCTGTTTCGGGCGCAGATGACAGCACGCGAACTGCGCAAGCTGCTCTCGCAGCACCAATGAACTCATCCGCATACCCCGAACCACCTTCCTTTGAGGGGGCAGCTGCACTCTCCTCGGCATTCGACGAGAACAGCCCGCCTGCGATGCCTACCATGGGCAACATGAACAACATGGGTAACAACATCGGTGGTCTGCCGCACAACAACATCCATGGCGGTAGAGGTTCGCAGTCCGAAAAGCCAGCCGTCGGATCTGCCGAGTGGCATCAACAACGCAAAGACAACCACAAAGAAGGTCTGTATCTATTCCCTGCCGCAGTCTGATCTGTCCTGACGTTTATCAGTTGAACGACGTCGCCGTGAAGTCATCAATGAAGGAATCGAGAACATCGCGAAGATTGTCCCATGCACGGAGAAAAACAAAGGCGCCATTCTGCAACGTACGCACGAGTATATTATCGCTCTCCAGACGAAGGAAGCACAGTTTGAGACCGAGCGTGCAACTTTTGATGTTGCCCTCAAAGAACTCACAAATCGTCTTGATCGCATGAAGGAAAGTGCTCGTGCGGCGTGGGCTGAGAGCAATAAATGGCAACAACGTGCACGTGATGCCGGTCTGCACTTTGATGATTACGACGAGGCAAATCTCACCGGTTTCGAAGAGGATGATGTCGCTGCTGCCGATGTTGTGTCGTAGCTTCGTCCAAGTTTCATGAGTTGATGCGCGATTTTCTCTTAGCTCCGCGTCAACACGATGACAGGGATCGGTTGGCGTTCAGGCATTTCTTCATGCCTATCTTGGGACTTTTCCTTTCGGTTGACCTTGATGACACTGGGTATGGAATGATATGGAAGTGGTGCCAGGTTCGGTGCATTCGTTGGTGCCAACAAAAATCTCGGCCAAGGTTATGGTGAGCCACTTGGTGACTATGGATTGCCACATGCATGGGCAGTGATCGAAAGAATAGATGAGTACTCGAGTAAGGTACTTTGGGGTTTGTTCAGTGGATATTTGTGAGCAAGGGCTGCTTCTTTCTGCACATTTATGGCCTGGACACGGACAGCACTGCCATGTCGGAGTTTGAACAAAGGGCCCCTGGGTGCCTTGGGATTTTATGAGATACCATTAGGAGCAGATGGGGAGTTGATCAATGGTTAATGGAGTTTCTTTTTTTCCTTTTGCAAAGTCCTTTATTTTGCAGTACTCGGACCCGTACTGTGTCTTCTGGTAGGGCAAGGCAAGTAATTTGGGAAGTTGTTTGCTCGCATTGTCTACCTACCTACCTATGTTGGGTAGGTATGTGATCCGCTGGATTGGCCCTCTTGATGACAATGCCATGGGTGGTAATGTGCCTGAGTCCTTTTCCTTCTCGTTCAAAGATTAACCAAATAGTGAAAGTCCTCGTGCACACCCCAGTACATGTAATGCAGGGACTTAGATACCTAGAAGCAACTTGATAAAATATCCGAATAGAAATGCCCTTGGTAATCGCAAATAGAACTCCAACAGCTGTCATCGACATGCTTTTCTCTGCTCCGTACTGTCTAGGGCATGCACGATCATTGAACCGCACTCTGTGGTTTGGGAACCTCCCTACTGTATGTATGCTGCCGTCCAGCCAAGAACTGCAGTGTCTTGAAATCCCGTCCGTTTGCATGGCTGGCTGTGCCGGAGCGAATCATACCGTATACAACTCCTTCCGGATACGGGGTTGGTGGATGGATGCATGGACGAACGTAACAATGTAAAATGTAGATAGATCGTATGTCTTCTTCCCTCTCCCTCTTCCTCCATGTTCTTCCCCGGTGTTGCATGGACTGACTGGTAACTACATACCTACCCCTATCAGTGTCACCAGCAGCAGTATCGCCGTCGCTCTCACTCTCACTATCCATTTCCTGGAGGTCAGGATAAGTGTGACTACCTAGTCGCCTCTACGCAAAGCCGGAGTTACACTTGAAAACTCATCCAGCACAGCTCACATACCAAGACCAAAACAGTCCCAAAACCATATACTGTTAATAAACCTAGCTGGGGACCTAGGACAGGTACCTTCGGATATTCCACAAATCATGGCTATAGGTGCCGTCGTTCTCTACCCGGCGTCGCCTGACGCGACATTCGACATGACATATTACCTCACCCGCCACAAACCGCTGTGCGTCGAGCGCTGGGGAAAGTACGGCTTCAAGGACATCACTGTGCTCAAGGTCAACGCCAGCGCGGCGGAAGGGGAGAAGCCAGCGTACAGTGTCATCGCGACCTTGACGTGGGACGATGATGGGAAGGGAGATGGGATCGCAAAGGCTTTGACTGGTAAATTGCTTTTCTGATTTATCTCCTCGTCTGGGGGCCACCCCCTTTTCTTCTTTTCTCCCCTTCTCTCCCTGTTCGGATTTCTTTCTTCTATACTCTGTCCATTTCTCTTTCCTTTCTTGTCTCTCATCTCTTCTCTCGCTCTCTTGGATCCCTCATCGGAAACCAAGTTGGAATCTGGATTCCTCCCCCGTCTTATAAGTTATGTCGCGCCGTGCCATATCCAATCACTGACGCACGCCTTTCGGTGTCATTGTCCGTTTGTAGGTGAAGATGGAGAAGCCGTCATGGGAGATATCCCCAATTTCAGCAACAAGACGCCATTGTTCCTGATGGGAGATGTTGCAAGGTAGTTCTCACACCACCAAAGTCTTCGGAAATGTCGATTGATAAATCCTAGTTAGTTAGTTAGTTAGTTACGAAGGTGTTGGACCATCTCTTGGGAATTCTTCAAGTGGTTTTGACCAAACATGAACCAACGTTCAGAATTGATTCAGTACTATTCAAAGTTCAAAACGCACCTCCCTAGTGTTCGCTCACACATCAAACGGAAACAAAACAGCCTCTCTCTTACCTATTTCTTCCCCCTCAAACTCATCCTACCCGTCATACCGTTCCTCGGTCTCGCCGCGCCATGCAACACCTGGTATGGCCTGTGACCTTCAATAGTCAACCTCTTCGCCCCAGGCACGCCATCTTTGAACTCATCCTTGGTCTCGATGGGCGTCCAACTATGTATCTTGACGCCATCGTACTCGGGCGTGAAATCCAGGTCCTTGACGACCAGCGCCAACGAGATCTTTGTCTCGATCATGGCCAGTTCCTGGCCGATACAGTTCCGCGGACCCTTTTCGAACGGTCTCCACGCGTCTTTGCCCGCCGGCGTGTGCAACTTTGCGTTCGGGTACGGCGTCAGCGACGGCAAGAACCGCTCCGGCACGAACTTGACCGGGTCAGGGAAGTAGTCTGCGTTTCTGTGGATCATGGTGGCGGCCGGCCACACGTGGAACCCTTGGATGGGATAGTTCTTGCCCGTCTTGGGGTCGTGGATGTACCGGTCCTTGGACGCCGCGATGTCCTGGGGCCGGCGAAGTTCCCGGAGCGTGCTGGCCGGCGGGAAGAGGCGGAGGACCTCTTTGATCACGGCGCCCATGTACTCCAGCTTGTTGATCGAGTGAGGGTCCGCCTTTATCTTCTCGGCTACTTCCGCCGCGGGGACATCGGCGCCGTAGACGGTGTCCAGCTCGGCGACGACCTTGGTGTGGACGTCCGGGTGTAGGTGCAGCAGGTACATCGTGTAACAGATCGTCGACGAGGTGGTGTCGTGGCCCGCGAAGATGAAGGTTTTGATCGAGTCGATGGCTAGCGTCCGAAAGGACGCGTTCAACCCCGAAGACGACTTGTCGTCGCCCACGCCCGCGGCTTCATTGTCGTACGCGTCAAGCGCGAGTTCGATGACGGAGCGTTTGCGCTCTTTGAACCCCTTCTTCTCGGTGGTGCCATCGGCGGCCTTTGCGGCCTTGCGCGCGGCGGCACGCGTGTCGATCTCGGCACCCAGAAGAGCGTCCAGTTTGCGCATGTTCAACCATATTTTCACTTCGCGCACAAAGTTCAGCCCGTCCAGCGATACACTGCTTGAGACAGGCATGAGATCGATCTGGTGCCGAAATGTTGTGACGATAGGGTGTGGTTCTGGGTCGAGCTGGGCGCGAAAGTCGGTTTCCATCACGATCTTCCCGATAATGTCGATTGTGTAGGACGTACTGAGAGCATCGAGGCTGAGGAATTCATTGGTCTTGGCCTTTTCGTGGAGGATGTCGAGGAATATCAAGGTCGAGTCGACGATGAACGGAACCAGACTTATGAGATGACTTGCTGAAAAACCGGGATTGAAGATGGAACGCAAAAACTTCCACCGCTGTCCATCGAGACCAACCATGTTGTCACGCCCCAGGAGCCTGTCCAGGTATCCTGTCGTGAGAGAGGATTTTGGAAGAGACTGGCCAGTAGTCACATACTTCGAGGCCAGCTCTGGGTCGGCGATGAAAAGCCACCGGGGCCCAAGGGGCCACCAGTCGATGTAGAATACATCTGCACAATTAGTGAGTCTCCGTGTGTAACAGCATGGAGGCACCACTGACCGCCCAGATCGAACTTCTTCCTGATATAGTTTGCCCAACACTGCATGTGAGTGTCTGGAGGGAACACTTTCTTGCATTCCCCAGCAAGCGGGAGATGGCCCCAGAAGGTGCTTGATCGAGGCGGTTGCGGCTGTTTTTCAATAAGTTCAGCTGGACAGGTCGAGCGCGGTACGACACTTGGTCGCCGCCGAAGAGGCACGTACCAGGCCGTCGAATTCTCTACGTTTCCCGTAGACGAGATTGATAAAGAACGCAACACCCGCTGTCACCAGGGCGAGGATTGCCCCGAGAAGCCGCCACATGTCGACAGGATACAAGTCCAGCTAGGCTCGATCAAAGCTTTGCCAGTGATTGGATTGAGAGCGAGAAAGAGAGCCCTGAGCAAAGACGGAGGAATCGTAATCATGAAAAAAAATCAAACAAGAAACCAGTGTCAGCCTTCGTCCATTGACCACCGGGTAGAGGCCGATCAGAGTGACCGCGTAAACATGTCCTGTATTTATGCTAGCCAGGAGGCCTAAGGTCTGGCGTCCATCTTTCGTATACTTTTTGTGCCACAATGGCGGGAAAGTGAGTTGCTGCTATTCAGGCCCCCAGCTTACCTGTAGACTGGTCGAATGCGGACAACAGCCGACCCAACACGTCGGACTAAGAACGGCGGTGTATTGTACGGATAAGAAGCGTTCGAAATGGCCTGGGACGATGCTTATCTGTCTATGCTAGCCGTGTCAGAACACGCATCCATGCTCGTACGGGGCCATGTGTTGGGGTCCACTTCAAAGTAGAAACTGCACCTAGTTGATGTGTGAATACATCTGTACAAGTTACGAGCATTTATTATTACTTCGTCTCCCAGGGCCAAGTGCAACTTCTACACGACAAATTGATCCACATTGGCTCCGTTTCATCACCGCCGTCGCCCGTGAGCTTCAAGCAGAAGTTTGCTATCTCCAGCCAGGCAATACTCTTGAGTCCGAGGAGATGCGTGCATGTTATCGAGCCTGTGTCCTCCATCCTTCTCGAGCCAAACGCCAACGCCATGCCATGCTTGTAGATCTTCAGTACGACCCTCTATTAGGTCAACTACCGCCTTTTGTCGACGTGCCCATCATATCTCAACCAGGGGGCCAGAAGCCGGGCCAGAAGCTGGACCAGAAGCTGGACCAGAACTCGCTGACTGCGCTTGTTGCTGGGCAATAGCACCTACAACCCGCCCAAAGTATTGCGCAACAAAACCCTCGGTGTAATAGCTGTGTTCGGAGCTGTGATCACCAACCAAGTTATGCGCCAACTCGTGACAGAGGGTGACCCACCAATACACAAACGCCTCAGCGTACCCGTCCGCACCTACTGCAACAGCACTCTTTTCATGCAAATCACAATAGTATCGATAGTTGCAGAAAATGCTCCCATTACGGTTGAAACCGATGGTCTTGCCAGAAGGTTCGAAGAAGATGTTAATTGTGCGTGGATCAAGACTGAACACTTCTGCGACTCCTTTGAGTAAATTTGCAAATGCTGTCAATCCTGTCGAATGTCGTTGGAGAAAGGCCGACGAATTATCCACACTCGAAGGAGACAGGTACATCTGGATACCGTGCTTGATGTCAGCAACAAAAGTGAGATCGTGGGCAGGACGTTCGTCGCAGTATGACTTCTTTTCAGTGAGGACGTTGGTCTCCCCTGGGCTGAAGATATCCGAAGAACTGTGTGCACGTGATTTCTTGACGGCATTGAGCAGATTCTCCCGCAGTTGATGTGGTGCTGTGATGGACTGCTGAGGACCAGCCTGGCCGCCTCTCTGGTCATAGTGATACGGTGGAGGTGGCTCACGGACACCATCACTGCCAGCGACTGCCCGGGGGTCCTCGTTTGCATCTTGACCCAGCATGGATTGAATGTGTCGGTTATTGCTGAGTCCCAGCTGCCTGGACAGGTTGGAGAAGAGGTTGCGACCGTGTCTTCGCTGACTGTCGTCCGTGGAAAGCGTATGCGTGGCAACTTCGGGGTTGTGGGTGAGACTTCTGGAATCAGGCGAATCGGGGAAACCACCTGGCAGCTGCTTTCGCTGTGACTCCTCGTGTGTAGCTCGTTCTTGCGACGCTCGCCACGCCTTTTCCTCCTCCTCAATACGTTTTTGTTGCTCCTCGAGTTCTCGCTGTCTCCTGCTTTCGGCAAGGCGTTGTTCGGCTGCCTTTTGCTTCAATATTCGGTTGACATTAAATCCGCGAGCGCGCAGTTCCAGAAGTTCTGTCCTCAACAACATCTCCAAGGTAATCGCCATATGAAGCTTCGGCCTGTTGAGCAAGATGTGCACCAGGGCTTGACTCACTTGGTACAGGTCCGGTTTGGCACCTGTAATCCACAGTGTGTATTGGCGGTCAACGAGGGTAATAACAGCAGTGCGCTTCTCAGTGTGGCTTATATTACGACCTTTGAGAGATCTTCTCAACGAAATTGAAGAGACTAGTTGGACGGACAGGTTCTTCTCCAACCATCTTGCATCATGCTTGATAGTTTCACGCGGCTGCTCGTGCAGGAATAAGGTTGATCTCTCGAGGATCAATTTCTGCAATTTCTCCGCAGACTTTTGATCCGGTGCTCGAGGACCATGACGGGCAGCTTCTTCAACCAGAGAGCTCAGCAAGGGAGATCCTAACATGTAGTAGAAGTCTTCTAAGCTTTCCTCTTGTGGTGCGGCCAAGATATTGGTCTTGAAAAGATTGTAGTTGAGGTAATCGTCAATGATGATAGCATCTTGAGCACTGCACAATTGGAATTCACGAATTCCTTGTGCTTCTTCCTCGTCCAGGGGCTCGGCGTCGTCCAATCCAATGCTTGGTTTCTTCTCGCTAGGCTGCGACACGGGGAGCTCTTTGCTTGCAAGCAGGAACGGTGCCCGCTTCATTTCTGCCCAAAGATCTCTGTTTTTTTTAAGGTCTTTGCTGCTGTCTGCCATGCTGCGCAATAACGCCAAGTATTTCTCGACGTTGCGGAACGTGGCCGAGATACGAGCAGGTTCTTTGACCAGGATCTGAGCAATCTCGACCTTTGTCGGTTCCAATTTGGAATGACATCTCACAAGAAACGAATTCGCTTCGTCGCCAAAATCAACATAGTTGAATATTTCGCTGAAAACATCACTCTCACCCAGGAAAACGCTTCGCGGTGAAGCATGCGTTTTCGGTGCCGAATGTTCTCTATTCTTCGCGAACACTGGAACAAACTGCAGGTCTTGAAGCCTTGCAATATGATTCCCATCGAGTTCGCCAAGTCGTCCGGCGAAATATTTGAAGATAGACCGTGCATCGCTATAATTTGTCGGAGGCTGCTTTGCTAATACGTTGATACAAATATCCATTGGAGGGTTGAGCCTGATGCCGAACTTTGAAGCATGTGGTATCCAGTCTCGCTTCAGTACGTCAAACCCGAGACGAGCCGCATCTGGGTTTGCGAAACACTGCGAAGGAGTGGCAAGATTATTAGGCTTGTTCTCCAAGGGCAGAAATGGCGATGTAATGCTCAAATAGTTGTATGCGCCATATCCGTGAGCATGGTGGTGTGAGAGGAAATATGCCAGGGCTCTATCTCGCAGGTCTAAATTCTGCGAATCCATTTTCCCAGCGGCGGCCATGATTGCAACCAGTTCTTCGACGGACGGTGTAGTACGGAGACCCAGAGAGCTTAAGAATTTGCCTTCTAGACTATTACTCCGGTACACGCCCTGCCAGGCTAGTGTTGGAAGTCCCAGCTCTCGAAGTTCAACACGCGGCTCGAACAAATCAGAGATTCTATACCGCTTAATATGTTCTTCTGCGTCGTTGTCCCGGGCATGCTTAGGACAAATTGGAGTGGTTCGAAGCCGCTGAATGTCCGCCTTGGGAATATCATCCCGCACAGAGGCAAGGTAGCTAATAAGGTCAATATGGCTCCATGGTGGTTGTTTAGTATTCTCGCTCTTTGCTGATTTGGGGTCCATCGAAAGGAGTCGCTCGAAAACAACACCGAGTTCTACGGTCTTTCTGACACCCAGCGCTACCAAGAGTTTCTCCTTGACGTTGGGCAATTTTTGGATAGTAGGAAGATCGTCAAACAGTTTCACATTGGGAAAGTAAGAGTCGCCAGGCTTCTTCATGCCGAATTTCGTAGGGATGACGGTATGTTTTGCCAGCAGCTCTACAAGAGATGTTTTGGAGGATTGGCTCAATGAGTCCCAGTGTTTTGAAAGAAGGGGCAGTACTTGAGAGCTGAAATCTGCTGACGTTGTGATGTCTTGGGCCTCAGTCAATACTTGTCGGTTTCCCGATTGGGCCACAAGCCACCTCATCCAAGGCACAAGTTGCAACTCTTCCCATCCAAGGCTCTCCAGTTCGTCCTTGCTCATGCTTTTAGTGAACTTGTGGGGCATTACAGTGGGTGGCAACGGGAGATGAACAGGTGTTCTGCTTGGATTCAGGAAATGCTTCATTTCTCCGAGTTGAAGGAATGGACTTCTACCTCCAGCATCATCGTCGTTATTGACCACGGCGACGGACAATAGGCTCTTGATAGTATTTGAGTCCAGCTGTCCTCGCGAAGCTTGCTTCGTGAGCCATGAGAGGAATTCCGATACTTGCACGGCAGTCAATGGACTGGATTCGAGGGCGGTCTTGATGTCTGAGACAGTGACTTCGGTGATGAGACCAAAGTCGATAAGCTTGCTGACAAGTACTTTCGCTTCCGTAGCTAGTTTCTCTGGTAATGTCGGAATGCCTTCCATGAAACTCATGTCCTTGGGAGCAACACGCACATCATGGGTAGGCAGAACACCGCAAGTTGAAACAACTTTGATCGACGCTTGTTTACTGCACGTCCAAAACGCATCTTCCAGCAGCTGACCAATCTGTCCTGACGGTGTCGAGTCTCGAAAGGTGAAATTTTTGAAGATCGTGATCGCCTCGTCCAAAAACGGACTCACTTCTTCTAACCGGATCTTGGATCTACCATTTGCCTCTCGCATTGTCTTTTCCTTGATCTCGTGCATTTCGCAAGACCAGGCAATTCTGCAAACAATGCCAGCTACCCTGAGCATTTCCATGTTCCAGGTTCTCACATATCTCGCGTTCAAATCGATGGACTCTCGTTCAACTGTCGGAATCACTGATGGTGCCGAAATGTGAGCACTCAGGCCAGTCGTCTGATGGGTGGGGAACCCGATGAAGATCTTGCCTCCTCTGCTGGGTAATACGGTGCCAAAGACGTCTCCAGCTGCTGATGCCTTGGTGAGACTCTCATCGGGGATGTACGGTGCTGTCAGAATGGCAAGTTTGGTGAATTTTGGTGGTGGCTTCTTTGTGGCTCGTTCGAGCTCCTCGTTGAACTTTTGACCGGTAAATGTCTTTATGGTTGCGGTGTTGACATTTAAGAAGACTGTAGCTGATACCTTTGAGGCTAAAACTTCAGTATGGCTGGGCGTTTCCGGGCGAGACTCGGGCTGTTGTTCTTCTGCAATAGCTCCGGCTAACCGCGAGAAGAACTTTCGAAAAGACGGCGCCGAATCTCGATCTGCTGTTCGAGTCGAATCCTTGGCCACTTTCCATCCGATAATACCCATCCATTGCCCATCGATCTGCGCTATCTCTTTGCAGACCTTAGCCACCTTCATGAAGCCCTCCCTCGTCTTAGGCTCAATATCGCGAGGTATTGCAATATCGTAGCTCGGTGACGTCTTCTTTGTCAGAGACAGTATGTTCCAGTTGTCTATCCAAAGCTCAATGTGTTCCAGTCCCACAAAAGTCAGACTGTTCGCCAGGAACTGTGCCAGAGGTAATAGTGGCGGTACAGGAGACGTAGTGTCGCGATAGTCCAGGACGAAGTTTGTGTCGCCACTTTTCTCCGAGTCTGGCAGCTGTAGTCGTCTTGTGAACAGTGAGTTATTTTTCCAGAAGAAAGCCATCGCCTCTTTGCCCGATGATACGAACGGGTTCTCGCAGTCTGCAAATGTAGAGTAGAAGCCCACCCCAAAGGCTCCGATCTTGGTTTCGTCCGGGTTGCCCTCTGCTATTCTCTTCAGGCGGTTCCAATCATTCTCGCTGAATGGTAGACCATTGTTTGTAACCACCAGTCTTTTCAGAGTATGGTTCTGCACGGTATGCTTCAACAAACTGGAAGGTGAAGAGTCGGTGGGTAGAGGGACCGTTGAGGAGGGCAGGGTCTCGAACTTGATCGTGATCTTGGTGGCTGAGGCATCGGCAGCGTTCTGCAAGAGTTCTCTGAGGACTGTCCACTCTCCAGAGTATCTGGCCAAAACCTTGTCTATCAGTGCGCGAGTATTGACGGTGACAGCCTCCTCGTCGGCACCAGACCGGAGAGTCTGAGCGCGCAAGGCGTCGAAATCCATGCTGAAAAGAACGACACAAGTAGAAAAGAAATGGAAGAGAAACGCTAGAAAGAAAAGAACGGCACAAAAGGCAATAGGCTTATAACATGTTGCTTGTACGGGTGCGAAGTGTGGCGATTCAATCTGAGACGGAGTTTAGATGTGAATGTCTGGATAAGGCGAATTTGAAATCGCGGGTCTGCAAGGCTGTTTCGCTGACGTCGGTTCAGGGACCGTCTAATCGGACGGAGGACGGAGTAGGCACCTGCCAATTGCGTGGAGAGGACCTAGAGTGCGCCTGGGATTAGCCCACTTTAGGTGCCTTACAGAACATGTAGGTGCATAGTGGCCTCTAACGGTACCCCGAACTGCAGCTTGCGGGCCCTCGGAGTCTCCGTACTGTTAAGTTCTGTCAAGAAGCCTACCTGAAGTTAGTGGCCGGGTGCGCCTAGTGGGCCACTAACGAACTAACTACTCGTGGTCTTAGCTGAACGCGAGAACACGTGAGCAGAACGAAACGACCTCACACCGGCCTCTCCTGCAGAGTTGTTTGTATGCCAGCAATGCACCACAGAATATGGGCTACAACCCTTTCGACCCCATTGCTGGAGCAAAGGTCAACGTTCTCTGTGTGCCAGCCGGACAGATTACGCCAGACCGATTTCAGAGATTTGTCAAAACTCTTCAGAAGTCAGCGATAATCCCGCTTGAGGACGTCGAGCCTTCGGCGACTGGCAAAGGTACGGGCGATCAACAACTCATTGAGCGAGAAGCATGTTCTAACTATGGATCTCCAGAGCGTCAAGATGGCCAAATATTCTACGATATTTCAACATATCAGGATGCACGAAGGCCAGATTTCTTCCCATTTGACACGAATAGCCGGAGTCAAATCCTGTTAGGTCTTATTGATGGTCACAGAGTTGAAGGGCTCTCGCAGTCAGCCTCGCTCGACCAAGCGGCTCCGCATGGTATTTCCGCTGCACACCAGTCCATCAAGGATGCATTTCTACACCAGTCTCCTTCGATACCGGGATTGCTAGTGCGCCAACTCATCTGGTTTGGTAGCCAACCCCCGACTGATCTGGGTCAAGATCCCCTCTTCGTACCAGACGAAGATAACAGGAACGCCGCTCATGATGTCATGGTCAGTCTATCGAGAATGTTCATGAGTCGTACGACAGACACAATCGATGAGCTCAAGAACCAGCCGATTAGTATGGTCCCGGGCATGGTACCAGGAGTCAACTCATCGCTTCCCTTGAGAGGTGGGCGGACACCGAATCTTGAAGACGGCAATTCCAACCCAACATCGACACGATCCCCAAACGCAACCCCTGTACTGCAGGAGACTGAAGCACAAAGCGAAACATCCCGAGGTCGCTTCAACATCATCCAGGGCATGCTTCGGCTACAGAATGGCCTGTGGACCCACGCACTGGACTGCCTTTCGGATGGGATTTCCATCGCTCAGAATGGCCACGACCACTTATGGCATGGGAAGGCCTTAGAGAGCCTTCTCGTATGCATGATCATTTTGTCGTGGTCGAACTCTAGCTTTACGATTCCTCAAGTTTGTCGCTCTCTTCCCAACAGAAACGGCTACCTTCAGACTGATTCGGGCCCAAAATCAGCAAAATCTGGTAAGGCGCTAGCTCAACTGATGCCGCCAATGGTTGAGACCATTCTCGAACTCTATGCAAAGGTCTCCAACTTGGACCTAGGCGGATCTTTGCAAGATGTCTTGAGGGAAGCCCGTGTCAGGCTTGTTAACCTGTTGGTGTGTGTGAAACGGAATGGAAACATTTTGAGTCAAGAATGTCTCAATCAAATTGTAACTGGCCAGCGCGGTGTTGCAGATTCGAGAGAAACTTCAGGCGAACCGGTTGCGATCTCCAAGGCTGGTATGGCCAACATTCTGATCGAAACACTACAAGCAGCCCAGTCAAGCAACAGTATTGGACACTATACGACTATACTCGTTGCCGTATCCAGCAGTCTTTCGACCCTGGGACTGGATCGTAAGCACGCATTTTATCTGAAAATGCTGATGCAACAACTCGTTCCAAAGCTTATCGAGGCGAGGAAAGTGGGAGCTTCTGAGGTGGGCGTACATCCTGCTGCAGGGCTTCCGCCCGTTAGCAATGCATCTCAAGGAATTATCCCGGAGATGGCTGCTGGCACGAGGCTTGCGTTGGATCTTGCTGCTGCTGCGTATGGATTGCCGCTTTCTCCCGTCCCAAACCCGCAGGAGGTCATTCCGGCAAATCTAGAAGTCATCCGGGATAAACTCCAAGCATGGGCCATTGAGCATAGCTTCGGAGACACATTACTGAAGATCGAAATGCTACGAATCTGTGTAGTGGCCTGCGATGCCTTGCCCGATATACCAGCGAGCTTACACTTTACATCGAGTATTCTCCGGACCGCAAAGCAGGTAATTACCATGCCCCTCCAGGAACCGTGCCTAGCTATTCCGCTCATCACAGCTGAAGAGCAAAGTAAGTTTGTGGAGAGTCTGAAGAGAGCCATTGCAGCAGCGTCACGCATTGGGGAGAGTGGCTATCGCGCGGAGTATTGGGACGATTTTCTGGTGCGAGACGTACAGGTGTTCGAGCGCGATTCTTTCTCGAAACTCATTCCACATAAGCCAAGCGATCTGTCCATCCAAGGTACCACCAACCTTGCGGAGACCGTACGCGACCCTTTCATTTACAATCCGTTCTCGAAGGCCAAGTCAGTGGCTGCTGCGCCAGTATTGGTTGCCGAGGAACTGGCGACTTTCGCAGTCGTATTGCAGAACCCACTGGAAGTGGATGTTGAGATTGATCAGATAGAGCTTATCACCACAGGCTGCGAATTCACCGCGTCGAAACACAGCATAGTGTTAGGGCCTTTCTCGACGCAGACTTTCACGTTGACTGGCAGGCCTTCAGGAAGTGGCGATCTTGAAGTCATTGGTTGTCGGGCGAGCATTCGACACTGCTACCCTCAAGACTTCCTCATCTTTACTGATGATTGGAAGTTGCCGTCTAGTCCCAAGGATAACGCTGTGGGCAAGATCAAAACCAGGAGGAAACCCAACGGCGTCCCTGACGAGGACATTGCCACGGGCACCAACCTCAAACTTCAGACACCAATCTCGACTTCCTTGAAGTTGCGAGTCATCAACCCGCAGCCACGGCTGACAATCCAGCCTACAAACTTCGATAGTGCAGCTATGATGCTTTTAGAAGGCGAGTTGCGCCGCTACGACTTCAAGATGATAAACGAAAGCAGCAGAGTCTCAGCCGATTTTGTACTGGTCACAACGCAGGACTCCGTCACCTCTCGATTACAGGATACTTTGGAAAACAAAGACCTCCTTCCTGCTGATATCTACGAAATCCAAACACAACTAGCGACCAACCCGGTTGTGCAAATTGAAAACAAGGATCGACCTGACTCAAGCTCATCTCTCAGCCCTGGTCAGAGTATAAACTATACAGTCGCCATTGTCGGGAGGCCCGGCCTTGTGAGCGCTACTGTCCAAATGGACTTTGCATATCTCGGAGCGCCATCTTCGGAGGTTAAGGGCAATTTTTACACTCGACAGGTCCGATATCCTATTTCGGTCACTGTCAATGGAAGCGTTGAGATACTCAGGTGCAATATCCTTCCGATCCATAATGACTTTTCTTGGAACGACAAACTCCGACAGACCATTTATCAGAATGGGGATGAAGTTGATAAATCTCACAAGAGGAACATCGCCCACTTTTCCCATTGGCTTAAGACACATCAGGATGCACACGATCACTGCATCCTTTCCCTGGATGTCCGCAACGTATGGCCGCAACCTCTCAGCATCCATATTCAGGCCAGAAGACCCACCTGGGGAGACACAGCGCCTGACGGGCGATGGAATGAAGCTTTTTCCGTACTGGAAACTCTGCAGCCGGGCCACGTCAGCCGCATCCTTTTGCTCGTCCCGCGTCTGTTCATCCAAGATCCCACCGCATCCATACCTAACCTCGGCACCCAGAAGCAATTTGTCGTATCAAAATCCAAGGTAAGCGCTGAGACGGAAGCAGCAAGTCGAGAATCATTCTGGTACCGCGAAGAGCTAATAAAGTGCTTGCGGGGTACTTGGAACGAGGAACCATCGGGACGGAAGGGAACTATCGACCTCAGAAAGGGCATCAGACTGAGCTCAAGGATGGTGGACGCCCTGAAATCAGACCATGTTGAGATCGAATACGATCTATTGCCAGCTGAAAAGTCTGATGCACAGTCTGCTGATGAGTCTGCTGATGGCCAAACCATTCAGCAGATAGGGCGATACCATTTCGCAATGAAGACTGAGGTATTCACAACTTTATCTGTTAGAGTCCACAACCGCACGCGAGACACGCTAAGGCTTCTTCTCCGACTCCAGCCAAGTCTTCGCAACCAGCCTCATAATATCGCTCTTGACCTATCGAGGCGATTGGCGTGGACTGGAGTCCTTCAACGTGCCTTGCATCCGGCAATCGAACCTGGAGGCGTCTGCGTCGCTCAGCTCGGGATAATAGCGCTGGCACAAGGCGATTACGAAATCAATGCCTCCGTAGAAGAGGTCAAAGGGTTTCGAACAGATCCACCTACAGTAGGTAGTGGGAGGCGGATGTGGCATGCAAGGTCGCCGTGTTTAATTGATGCCATCCACCGGTAGCTCATATAGTGTCGTATGCCATGTCAATCGGTCAGAGTACGGACAGAACAAGATCGATAACTTGTAGAAAGACGTCCCTTTCGAGTTCGACCTTCGCCAGACCAAGGCCGAGCATAAGCGACCGATTTTCCTCAGGGGATTTCGTGACAATGGTATTTGCAATCTGTGAAGCATAGAGCTGGCCCATGGTCTCGCGATCGGGACCGCCAGCGCCGAGAAGAACTCGTGGCGTGAAGCGCGCAGATGGTAGTAGATTGTCTTCGCCTGAGCGCGTGGTCTGGAAGTAAGGATCTGTTTGCGTTGGGTTATCGCTGAGGAGCGGCACAGTGACCTATAAGAAGTAAGCCGAGCTCAGCACGAGTGCTACAATCGGTTTACCCATTGCGATAGTCTGCCGTTCTGGGTGATAGTGATCAGAATCTTGTCGGCAAACGACATATACATCACGTCGGTTTTGATGCCGTTGATGTCGCCAGCAACTTGTTTCGTGGGTGCCGGGAAGGGCATGGTAACTTTGGTGTCTTCCATGTCTGACAATCCGTAGTCTTGCGGGAGTCCCATCGATTCGCGGGTTTCTTACTCTCAAGTTGACAGGTACAAAACTTCGAGGACGAGGTGTGTGGACAACCGTTGAGATCAAGACTCAAAGAGCGACTCGGTGGACTTGCCTCTTTTCGCACAGTATATTCTGGACTGCACTGAGGACGTTAAGGACGGCGAATTGCATTCACAGCATCACTTAATTTGCCTCATTGAATGCACTCTAAGCAGTACCATCACCCTAGCATTTGCTTGCCATTGCATCATGCCCCAGGTAGACACCTCGCGTAAAGACAAACCTGGGTCATCTGGCCTCGTAAAGTCGTCGAGACCACAGCGCTCTGATATCCCCCCTCACCGCCTGAACATCCCCTCACCGCCCCAAAATTCTGCCGGCCAAACTTTTTTTAATCCAAATTCAAAGAAACTGCGGAACATGCGATATTGAATGGCTCGGAGGCGATTGTAGCCTCTGGTGTTCTAAACCACTGCGAACGAAGTGGAAACCATGCCTCGATTTGTTCCTCGTCAGCGAAAACATAAGGTTCTTGCACGAGAACAGGCAGGACGCCCGCATACGCCACAAGCCGGCGCCAATGAAGAGATCATCGTGCCGTTGAGCCAGTCCGAGCGAGAGGAGAAGAGACGTCTGCTGAAAGAGGAGCTGAGGTCACAGCAGCCCGCCAAAATATCGTCCAAAAAACAAAAGCGCTTAGACAAGTATATCGAAAACAAACTGAAGAAGGATGAGACACACGATTTGTTGCGGAAATTAGAGAGGGAGAACGAAAAATACGAAGCCACTCTAGCAGACTCGAGCCACCTAGGTAAACGCAGTTTCGGGGCTTTTCTGAGTGGCTCAGGAAGAGTTGGAGAGCGAGAGAAGAAGGCAGATGCTAAGAAGCAAGAAGAGGATGGTTCTGAAGTTGAGAGCGAGGACTCGTTCGAAGGCGACAAGCGGAGTGCCTTCACCAAGGAAGCAAACGGGCAACTCGAAATCAAGATACCTGCTACAGTCTCTCAAGGCACCGGCCTCGCACGGCCATTACTGCTAGACGAAAATGGGTTACCCGTAATCCAGACTAGGAAGAGTAAAAAGCAGAAAAAGGCACAAGAAGAAATACCTGAAGAGCTACCCTGGGAAGGATTTGAGTCAGAACCAAGCGACTCTGGACATCTTTCTGACCATGGCACATCAAGTGAATCGGGAGAATCTGAATCCGAGGAATTGGTCTCGGACTCTGACTCGGCGTCAAGCGATGGGGAGGACGACGACGAGCAGGAGGAGTCTGGTTCGGACGAGGAAGACTCTGGAAGTGAAACATCCGAGATATCTGGTCAGCAAAAGTTAGCTCCCAGGAAGTCCGCCTTCAAAGCCTGGGCCACGACGCAGTTAAACCAAGCCGTGGGGCATACGCCATCGTACACTTCTGGCGAGGGCGAGCTTCTGCCAAAGCCTGCTCCCCCAGTACAGAAAACGAAGCCTGCTCCAACAGTCAAGCCTGGCATCCTTCCAGAGCTGCCAAGGTCACAAAGTCTTAGGACTGTGTACTCTGTACCTGTCGAACGGTCCGAAACGATTCAGCAATCCCGCTCTACCCTCCCTATTATACAACGAGAACAGGAAATCATGGAAGCTGTGCACAATAATGCTGTGGTCATAGTCAAAGGAGATACAGGTAGTGGAAAGACTACGCAGTTACCTCAGTTCTTGTATGAAGCAGGATATGGCTCGCCTGAAGGACCTGCACCCGGAATGATTGGGGTTACTCAACCTCGTCGGGTCGCTGCGGTCAGCATGGCAAATCGAGTAGCAAAGGAACTAGGGGCTTCGGGGAAGAAGGTTTCTTACCAGATCAGATTTGACAGTACGGTATCTTCTGATACCGCGATCAAGTTCATGACCGATGGAATCTTGCTGCGAGAATTGTCGCAGGATCTACTGCTGAGGAAGTATTCGGTAATTGTTATCGATGAAGCACATGAACGAAGTGTGAATACGGATATCCTCATTGGTATGCTCAGCAAGGTTGTTCCAGCACGGATGCAGAAAAGCAAGTTCAACCCAGATCCCAAACCTTTGAAATTGATCATCATGTCTGCTACGCTGAACCTGGATGATTTCCTCCACGAAAAGCTCTTTCCGCCCACGGTGAGACCGCCTATGGTTGAAGCTGAAGGCAGGCAGCATAGAGTGACGACTCACTTTGCGCTAAGGTCCAGGGCGGACTATGTGGAAGAGGTCATTGAGAAGGTCAGGCGCGCCCATAAGAAACTTCCGAGAGGTGGTATTCTGGTTTTCCTGACTGGTCAAAATGAGATCCGACAAGTCAGTAGCCGGCTGAAGGCCTTGCTTGCCCCCGGGAATCAATCCTCTTTTATGACCGGAATGCCTCGCGTTCAGGTAGCGGCCAGTGAAGCACCTTTGGAAGCAGAAGACTTGGAGATCGGAGATCCAAAATTCACTGCAGAAGAAGACGATTTCGATGTGGATATCGTTACTCACTCTGATGAAGAAGAGGAAGACGATGAGTTCGACATCTCTGACGATGAGGGCGAGGACGAGGACGGAAACGATGAATCTTTAAATGCGACGCTGAAATCGACGAGGGCGGCGTCGAATGAACCCTACACTTCTGTGCACATATTGCCGTTGTACTCGCAGCTGCCGACGACGGAACAGCTCAAAGTCTTTGAGCCTCCACCATCGGGTGCTCGAATGATTGTGCTGGCGACTAACGTCGCCGAAACCAGTTTGACTATCCCTGGGATCCGGTACGTTTTTGATACTGGGCGCAGCAAAGAGCGCAAATACAATCTGGACACTGGGGTGCAGAGCTTTGAAATCGACTATATCAGCAAGGCCAGCGCCCAGCAACGAGCAGGGCGTGCTGGTCGTACCGGACCTGGCCATTGTTGGCGCCTGTACACCTCAGCCGTCTATGAACAGTTTTTCCCCGACCATGCTGAACCTGAAATTCTCAGAGCACCAGCTGAGAGCATAGTCTTGCAGCTCAAAGGCTTCGCGTACCCGAGACCCATTGCACAATTCCCCTTCCCTACGCCTCCGAGTGCTTTAATGCTAAACAAGGCAGAGCAACTCCTCAAAAATCTAGGCGCGCTCACAGACTCGGGTACCATCACCGACCTAGGCAAACAGCTCTCCATCTACCCACTCTCACCACGCCTCGGCAAAATCCTGGCGGCTGGTGTGAGCGATCTGAACGTCCTCTGGCATGTACTGACTCTTGTCTCGGCGCTCGCCGTGCCTGAAATCTTCATAACAGAAGCACAGCTCGATCTCAACGTATCCTCGAACACCACTGAAGTCTACACCCTCGAAAATCAACAAGACGATGATGAGCGCGACAGACTGAAGCAGGCATACGGTCGTGCTCGTGCGATACTCAGCAAATCCGATAAGAGCTCTGACGCCATCAAGCTTCTTACTGCGGTGAACCTCTATCTAACGGCGGGGGACAAGGAACAATTATGCAGAGACCTTTTCCTGCGACCCAAAGCCATGGCCGAAATTGCACAACTTCGAGGTCAACTTGAGTCGATTGTCCGTTCCAACAACCGCACCATCACAAACGAGGTTCTTGCGGCCAGCAAGTCTAATGTCTCCCTGGACAGCAACTCCAAAGGAAAGAGCAAGATCAAGCAGTTGAACACGATAGCGGCATCCGGGTATATTGACCAGGTTGCTATTCGGTACGACCGGAGTGCCAACCATGTTGATTTGGGCACAACACCCAAGCCGCGGAGAGCGATCGACGTACCTTACATTCCTCTCGTACCACTACACGACAGGGCTTCAGCAACGCTTTTGGAACGAGCCGTCTACATCCACCCGTCGAGCGTGCTGGCCAGACTTGGCGTGAAAGACGTGCCTGAGTACATCTGCTACAGCCATCTGCAGCGCGCACAGGAGCGCGCAGTTGTGTCTGGGTCCCCGTCCAAGACACGAATGTTTCCTCTGACCCCCCTTGACGGTGCACAGTTGGCGTTTCTGGCCAAGGACACGGCCATGATCGAATACGGCAAGCCCGTGGCAAAGAGTAAAGTCGAGGACATCCCCGGTACGCCTAGAAGGAGGGAGTGCTGGGTCAATGTCGAACTCCGCGGGGCAAAGGGCACAGGAGGATACGGTTGGCCTTTGCCGCCGACAAAGGTTCGACAGGTCATGGACGTGAATAGTAAGAGTGGCTGGCGAGTTGAGAAAGTCTTGAGCTGAAACATGCCTATGACTGTCTGTCCATGTGTCTTGTCTATTCTACATGGAGGTGGTGTTTTAAATAAAGCGATTCGCTACAGGTTGTACCAGATCAGGTATACTTGGCCTCGCAAGATCAAATCAATATACAGTAAATTTATGTCATCATCTTGTGGCGTCGAAATGACTTGCTGTTTGTTTGGCTGTTTGTAAAAAGCTCAACAATGGGCCATTTGTCTAGCCTGTTCTATGGTGATCTATGTTTGGTCTATCTCGTTCTTGTTCTTTGTAGTATGATGTCTGTCCGTCTGCGCACGGCGTCTGCGTTGTGGGAGAGTGGGTATAGCTCGTGTCTGTCGTGTAACGTCATGCGATGCCATGCCACACAAATCCTAGCAAGCTCTGAGAAGAGACAAAATAGTCTAATCTCTAATCCGTACCTATCTGTCGTCTCAGCTCAGCTCAGCTCAGCTCGTTGTTGCGGTGTTGGTAGATCAAGCGTGATTGATCCTCTGTACTTGCGGAACAAGCGACCGACTGCTTGCCGCTTGCCCTGCCCACTTGTCTGCTTACTTTCCTCTGACGCCAACTCCACACCCTCATCCCCGTCCAGACACCAGTGGGGGAAAGAAAAATGATGATACCGTCGTTCCTTTCCCGGTTGATCGATCGACATCGCGAGGTCCTACTTACCCTCCTTGAGCATCTTCTCGAGGATCTGGACCGCCTTCTCAATTCGAGCCTTGGCGTCGTCGAGTTCCTTCTTCAACGCTTCAGGCGTGTATCCGCTGTCCTCCTTAATCCACCAGGGTGCAATGTTCGCGGCGATACGATGGAGCAGGACGGCCTGATGGAACTCGGGGCCTCCGAACGGGAAGTGCTCCTCTTCTCCGAAGTTGATCACCACGCCGTCCATCGGTTCGGGGGAAACGTTCTCCGCGATGCAGGCGGGCAAAGCGTCGCGACGGCCCACGCCGGCCAGGAACTCGCCGAACAATGCCACGGCCCACTCGGAGTGGCTGTTTTCGACGGTGTGGGTAAACTCTTCGGGAGATGGGTAGAAACCCGCGAATTCGAAGTCGATGACGGCGCAGACGGACACGCGTGGAGGGTCGGCGCCGGTGCCGGTGCCAGGACCGCATCGTTCAACGAGCACGTTGCGCGGGGATATGTCGTAGTGTGTAAAGGCCATGCACTCGGTCTGTCTCTTTTCCTTCTCCGGGTTGAGCAGGGAGAGCTTGGGGAGGGTGTCCTTTATGAATTGCCTCACGATGTCCTTGAGCTTGTCTCTGTGCAAGCCAATCAGTGCATTCGCCTGAAGCATCTTGAGGTTCGTGCGGAGAATGTACGTGATATACTCGAGGTAGGAGTTCAGGGGGGCCTGTGGGCGGTCTTTGTACATGATGATGCCCTGGATGTACACGTCGAGACCGGGCAGGATGGATTTGTCGTACAACGTCGCAGAAGCAGGAGGGATGGAACTGCTGCCGATCAAGCGCATATTGCCTGCTGCGCGCGTGGGTGGTAGGCATTTTCGCCAGGTCGCGACGTGCTCGGCGATTTCGTCCATGATGACCTTGCCGTGTGCCACGAGGTCCTCTTGAGTAATTGTTCGGCCGGGCGTGCGTGTCATGAGAAGCCACCCCTGGCCATTTGTTTCCTCACGGGCCCTGGTTGTATCATCTTCGAGAGTCAGCGATTTCAGCTGGCTCGGTGCGGAGACTGCGCGCTCTCGTGAACCTCGTCTGTCGACAGGCGTCTTGATGCGGCGCCCGTCTTCGGACCACGCGACCAGCTTCGGGGCCGGAATGGACGGACAGTACTTTTCGAGGAGTAACAAGCAGGTAAGTTCGTTCTGGATCTTCTCGCCGCCGAAGGGGAACCCTGAAATCTTGAGCACGAGGCTTGTCACCTGTTCACGGGTGGGATTCTTTGTGATGTCGACAGCACCACCGTTCCAGCTGGGTCTAGCAATCGAGGCGGGGGTGCTGAGGTGTATGTAGTAGATTCTGTTATTGAATGATTTTCCAGATCCAAGCTGTTCGACTGTAACGTGTTTGTCCTGGATGTCAGGTAGACTGCGGCAGACAAGGGACTTGATGGCCTCGTCGGAAAGGTAGACTTTGTAGTTGGGATTGCCAGTCGGAGTTACACGATCTAGGTCCATCCTGGAGCAGGTGGATTGCGCTTTGAGGATGGAATAGGGCAGATGAGAGCGGAGATCAAGATGAAGACGATGAGAGAGCCTGTGGGTGTGTCTCTCAGAGGGGTGTCAGTGTAGATAGACTCGTTCGTACTGCAGACAAGTGAGATAGGACACTCATTACCTCACCATCGGATGGGAACAACGGATCACCCGATGTCGACCTGGCACCTACTGAGGGTTTGACTGTTCTTCCTGGACAGTGACAGCCATTCATAACGACGACTGATTGAGGACGGTCGCCGTCGTGGACATCGCCACCGACCTACCGTGATATCTCAGAGCTTCCGCTTTGTTGTGATTTGGCCATGGAGCGACCACCTGTCGACGACCACCCGGTATCCATGAACAGTCACGTACAAGCAGAATACTAGAAGGGGCGGCCTTTATTGACTTGATATTCTTGATACTTGGCCACACACGGCAAGCATCCATTTCCATTTTCACTTCATGTGAACGTAAACATGAGCTTCAGATCACCTTGTCGATATGTCCATTGAGATGGAACACAAAGACAAGACATCTTGCAACATGTCTGGACTGCTCAGTCAAACAATCAGCTAACCAAACCGTCGTTGAGATATGGAAATATCCCACGGTTGTATAGTTTTGTCGAGTGATTAACGTGGATGAAGCTTGGAGGTGGGAGGAATTCCCATATCACGTGGCTCGAGAAAGCGCGACAAGGATTCTCGGGTACCGGAGAGACTTTTGTCCGTCTCAATAAGCCTTACAAGCCTCCAGCATCCATACAACATGTACCGAGAGCTTACAAGACTATCACGCCTTGACTATTGCTTCTTCCTCTGCCTCTAGCAACATGGTGTCCACATGCAGAAGCCCTGCTGTCGTCCTTTTGCCCAATTTCATCGACCACTCCATACTTTGCTGGCTGTTTCATCTAGCCTCAATGCCGCAATGCCATGGCATCTGAGCACGCTATTCCCATGTGGCTGTTCAGCTAGTCGAGGCTCAACTTCTTATTTTCCAGCTTCGGCCCCCTTTTCGCGACGCCCACAGACCCGTGGGTTGAAATTGACTTCTTCCGCGATCCATTCATCCCCTGCAATCGTCAGTCCGCTCGACTGTTATTCGCTCCAGCCTCCCCGTTCCTGACTTAGTGCCACAGCGCGCCTGAATCTCAACTTCAGCTGTCGTATTTGAGTATCCACGCTTCCCATAACTTGGGCTTCTAGTGGATGCACCCTTGTTAATGTCAGTCAATTTTTTCCGCTCTTGGACTCCGATCGCTTACTGTTCCCCACAACTTCTAAATAGTCCGTCACACTCCAGTTCCGGCTCTACCAAACGACTATGGGTGGCCTGAGGAGAGTGCTGACCGTGCGCACGGATGCACCACAGGTGAGGTATTGTATGCACACGCTGTGTGACACGCAGAATTCAGTAGTAGACATCCAGCAGGAGTGTTGGACCTTTGCTGCTGTTCTTAGGGAAACACTGTCTTGTTTTACGGCTGTACTCAGGCACCGCATCCGAGATCGCGGATGTCTGAATACCAGCATGAGAACTCGCTATCTGCGAGCTACAGCAACCAGCCCTGTCCAGACCCGGCTCACGATCACCTATGCTAGCACAATTAACGCCAAAATCCTACCGTCCGCCGGTTCAGCCTTAATTTCAAAGCACTTTTCTAAATTCAGCCATCGTCTCTTGGACACGGAGCATTCGCTTCTGCGTGACCATCCAGCCCGAATCCTGAGGTGGTAGTGAGGAGGTCTTGGTTCGCTAAGAGTTCTCTCGTTCCCATCCCTCCCGTCCTCTGTACTTCTGACTTTCTGTGTTTGAGGTTTTTGATTTGAGATCTTTCTGCTTCAGACTTTGTTCGCCTATCTCAATACCCAAACCTCTGACACTAGATCTTGCGACGAGCTTCGCACGTTGGCCAACGATCTGTCACCATGTCGGACTGTGAGAATGGCGCCCCGCCAATGTTCCTCTCGTGGACAAACGTCACTGTCACGACGGATCAAAAGGCCATCAATCGAGGTGTTCAGGTCTCCATGGGCACACCTCCTCAAATAGTCTCGCTCCGACCAAGTACCGCGGACGATAACCTGTACGTTGTCAATCGAGAGAATTGCGCGCCTGAATACAACGATACATGTGCTGGTCAGTATGGCGGTGTCTTCGATTACTCGAAGTCGAGCACTTTTACGCAGGTTGCGGCAGCCCAATGGAACGGAACCGATGCTGAAAACCCCAATCAGCTGTCCTTCGTTCACTTCAACGACCTCCTCACCATCGGAAATGCTTCCATTAGAGGCTACCCGTCCATGTACGATCAGCCCGGCTATGGTGGACAAGGCGTGCTACCGCTGGGCTCCAATTCAGATCTCCTCAAGATCGCAGTTGATTCAGGCGCAATTCCATCGACAGTCTTCGCAATCTGGACAGGCAGCCGATCTATAAATCACCCCGTCGATGGTTCCGTGGTGCTTGGCGGCTACGACACCAGCAGAGTCGGCGGAGACCTGGTGACGTTCAAGTCACAAGAGAAATGTGAATTCTGCGTCCTGGTCACCGGTTTCGAGTACCAAGACAACACAGGCACCCATAATCTATTCGACAACTCTTCCCAAACACTACAAGTCAATCTGCAATCCTCTCAACGCACCCTCGAAGTACCACAGAATGTATGGGAGAATCTTCAAAAGGCAAGCAACGGCGTCTACAATGCCACGTCAGGTTACCTCCAATATCCCACGTCCAATCCACCAACAGGGAACGTGACCGTCACTCTGCAAAACGGCTACAAAACCACCATACCAACCGAAGAACTCTTCTACATGCCTCGCCAATACGACGATGACGGCAAATACTCAATTCTCAACAACACATACCTGATTCCGACCATAATGAACAGCACCAACGACGGCTACGTAAAGAACTGGGGCATACCCTTTCTCACCATGAACTACATCATCGGCGACTACAAGCGCCAACAGTTCAAGATGGCTCCCGCCATCCGCACCGACTTCGAAGCCCAAGGCGGTGGTGCCTCCCTACAAGCCTCCTGCGACCCCAAGGTCAGCGGTACTCCTTCTTCCACGTCAAGTGTCACCCCCACCGGCGTCTCCACGCCTACTAGCAGTCCTCACTCCGGAGGCGGCGGTAGCAACACTGGCGCCATCGTCGGTGGTGTGGTGGGTGGTGTTCTCGGCTTCATTGCCATCGTGGGCGTATTGGCTCTACTCTTCTACCGTAGCCGACGCCGCAAGAACGCGGCCTCACAACCTGCACAAGCTACGAACGCCGGTGGTGAAACCGGCATGTCTCAGTACACGGGAAGTGTGGCAGACAGAATGTCGCACTGGACCGCCATGAGCCCTACAGAGGTTCCCAGCGAACTGGGCAACAACCAAAAAGTCGGCAATGTCAACGTGAACCAGTGGCTCTCAAGCCAGGCCAGCGATGTAAGTTTTTCTTTTCTTCCTTCTTTTTCCTTGCATTTCGCTCTCGTCCTGTATCCTTCAACCATTTCCCTGTGCTTTGTGTGTGATTTTCTTTTCAGGTTTACTAACTGCGCACTCCTCTCGATACAGACTCAGACCGTAACGGACTCGACGTCTCCGAACCCGAATGCACACCATATGGACCGGCCGTTTGAAATGCCCGCTCAGACGTGGGACACCCGATAGATGCCGAACTACTCCTCACTCATTTTCGGTTTTTCCTTAGAGTTGACGTATCCTCAAACGGCATCGAGTAGAATCGAATCAGCCGTTGGCGTGAGGTCAATGCTCGACACCTCACGCCCCCCACTTTAAACACCTCCCACAGCCATAATTGCGCCACCACATCGACCCTCTCCACGCTCTCCGCAGCCATGATGGAATCTGGTTATCCTAATCACAACCACTACTCGCCTCGCCATGCCACGTTAACGGCATACGTCTCTTTAAAGTCCTCACCCGCCAGCATCCGATCCGCCCTCCGGTTCAAAGCGCCGTTACCATCCTGTTCCAGAAAGGCAAGATTCACAACTAGTGCGCATAACCCGTGTTTGAGTGTGTGGAAGATGGGCTGCTCGACCTGCCTTGCTGTCTATCAGCTTCATGATTCCACGATCATATTCAGATTGCTCTTTTCCTTTCTTGACAGCCATTGAAATTTCCGAATCGCTTCGCGCGTTCGTTGTAACAACCATTCGTCGCAAGCTCTCAGGGCCACAGCGGGCCCGGAAGACCCTGTCTGTCCACAAACAACTCAGTCCCTTGTCTTCGTCCTGCAGTCTTTTATCAGGTTAGGGGGTGGACACTGGACACAAGCCAGGCGACGAGGAGGAGGAGGAGGAGGAGGAGGAGGACGGCTCAGGGCTGATGAGATTCGGTGTGAGCAGGCTTGTGTAATTTTTGGGGTTTTTGTCGCCCACTTTCTATGACTATTTATTAGCGTTGGCACAGCATTGTCCTTCAATCTCTACCGTGTATATAGCCCTTTTTCGTTCTCTGCTCTACGGACCAGACGAGGAGAACAGTTGTCCCAGTTGAGAATACCTATATACTCAAAAGTTCATTCAAATCTCTCTCCAAGTTTGCAACGCCTCTCCTTTGTGCGGTCATCATCCCCAGACAGAGCGTTCAGCATATTCTGACCAACTAACTATTCAACATCCTCCTGTTGTCTCGACGACTACAACTAGTGAGCTACTCCTTACTTTCCGAGAAGAGTATAGGATCCTAAACTCTGGGCTTGAGGACGTCTACTGCGTATCATGGTTGATCAGTACGAGGTTGTTCGTGCCACGCAACAGTGCCATTTCTTCTATCATCATCATCATCATCATCATCGCCCGGTCAAGCGCTCTCTCCAAGCCCTACAGTCTCGTTTTGATTCACACTGGCCATCTCTGTACTCAACCCGGAATCGTACTCAATCTCTTCGACACGAGCAGGCGTCGGAGTTCCAGGTAGTGGCTCCTCTGACAGGCGTTTCAGGATTTCTAGTAGGACAGGATCTTCATCAGATCTGAAATCTTCACCGAAATCTCCACTGCCCAAGCGGCTCAACCACATTTCCACTTCGTCCCAGCTAGCACAACTGAATCGGCCACTGGAGAACAATTTTGTTCTGCCACAACATACTATATCTGCGATTTCCGTTGGAGACAAGACACTGAGATTGTCGTTGAGGATATTCATCGTATATTCAAGGTATTCAGGTTCATTGGTCTCAAGGAAGTGTCCCTTGTCGAATTCACGCCGCAGCGATTTCTTCATTTCTGGTTCAATCCGGAGAAAGCGAGCAAGTCCACCAGGTGAGTATTGCTCGAAGTTGACCGTCGGTCTGTTGACCGTCTGCGAGTCTAGCTTTTCATACTCAGGCACAAGCAACTGGGTCTTGAATACCTCATGACAAATTAAAGCTCCATCGGATCGAACATCTTCGGGGTCAGGGATGAATTCCCAATATGGGGCAGCTATGAGAAACGCCATTACAATGGGAAATGACCCATCGCTGCTGCCCAGGACCATAGACCTTAGTTTCAGATCGAGAAAAGTGGGAGAGGACTTGGCGGTATCTAGGTGGTGCAGAAATTTGATGGAACTGCACAGATAGTAGTGTTGCCACAGCGGTCGAGAAACAGCAATCACGATCAGTCGAAAAGCCGCGTAAAAACTCAGTGAAATGGGTCGCGTCCAGGAGATGTACTGTTGCAGTATCTTTGCCAGGGGTTCATGCAACTGGTCCGAGTGGCGAAGAATCAAGGCGACGATGAGGCCTGTCGCAAAAGTTGCACCCTCCGGATCAAGTCCAGCCAGCTTTTCCCCAAGGTAAGGAACTAATTTGCGAGTTGCGGAATGACCGAACGCCAAATTCTCCAGGCCGGAGAGTTGTGGGCACTCGATATTTACTGAGTCGTCGGGCATTTCCCGTCCTTCTGGGATACATGAGTACATGGCCGAGAACAAAGTATCGAGAACATATGTCTGTACCGACGTCCATGATTCGGGGGTTGTGTGCTCAGCATAGTCCAAAGCATCGTGAGAGAAGACCGATGCCTTACTCATGACAAAACAAAGGGCAGAAGCCGTCATTAGTCGCTTCAGAGCATCCTTTTTGGGTACTCCACAAGACCGCAGAAAGTGCGCACCACTTTCGCTCTCAAGTAGGAAATCTTGTACACATCGATGGATAAATCTTAGCCCTACACAGCTTGCCTCGACTAAACAGATATAGGGAGCCTCCATCGGGTCGCGGTCTCGTTCGGTTTCGACAAGTCCTGCACAACTTGCGACGATATTAATTTCTAGATTTCGGGCCGACTCATTCAAGTCTGCTAGAAATTCGGAGTCCGGTCCATTCGCAACTTGAGCGCTGATCACGTCAAGGTCTCTTGCTGCTAGTAGTAACTGAAGTAAGCTGGGATATGCACCTATATGCACCGCAGCATCTAGCAACAGGAGGTAAGGTTTGGGGTATTTGAGATAGAACCTGTCCTGGCGTTTGAGGATGAACTCGAATAATTCATTCATTTCAGTTGGACTCTCGCTCAGACGTTGCTCGAGATCTTTGTCGCTATCGCCCTGAAGGGAACCTCGTCTTAAGTCTTCTGCGACCAAGTACGCCCACAAGAAAACTCCCTCTGCTCGTCTGGCAATATTGGAAGCGTGGACTGCAGCGCGAGTCTTGTCAAGTCGTCTGCTGCAGTATGATTCAATGTCAGCAAAGTTTAGATCTTGTAACCTTAGCATCGGGTAACGCTCAAAGCTTTGGGCAAAAAGGAACTCAGGCCGGCTGGAGCAGCAGATCTTGATATTCTTTGATTCGCGAACGAGAGACTCAATGGTTCGAATGAGGTCCTCGTGATCGTCTGCGCTTTCATCAAGGCCGTCTAACAGGAGAAGGTAATGATGCTCGGTGGCAGAGAGCAGGTAAGTGAACCAGGACGCCAATTCCTTGTCGGTCCAGGGTCGAAACGTGAGGGAACCCCGGTCAGCAATTTTCCCATCGTGGATGGCCTTCTGTATGAGGCTTTTATCCTTGGAGAGAATTTGAAAGCACAACGACCTCCAGAAGCCTTGCATTGTCTTCAGCAGCACACTTGTTGCCGGCTTGAAAAACCAGAAGTCTAGAACGTGAACACGGTTAGGAGCCGCCCATGCTTCTAAAGATGTAAAGCATGAATTTCCTGGTTTGAGGTTCTGGTATATGAAGTCCATCAACTGACTCTTTCCAGACCCAGGCTTTCCTGAAATCCAGAAGATTTCACTGCCACTGGACAGCCATTTCACAAAGTCCGATTGCGGGCAAACGTCATCAGGTGAATGTTTTATGCGGTCTGGACCCCTGAGGACCCATACAAAAGTCTCTCCAAAGTCCCGAACACGCTTTTCAATCATATTTCGACGTTCGCTCATTTCAGCAAAAGCCAGCGAATCAAGCAGATGTGACCTGGAGGACTCTCGCACTTCGTCATGAAGAGCAATAGTCTTTGTCCGCTGAGACTCCATGAGAGCCTCCTGGGCATTGAATCGACCCATTATGGTGGCTTCACTCTTATCAAGCCGGACATTCTGTTGGTTGAGATGGGAAGTTATGGCAGCTTCTGAAGCCCTGGTTGCCGCCAGTGAAGCATCAGAAGCTTGCGACAAACGCTGCAAAACACGTGCAATAATGTCTTTGTGGCCCTCCGAGAGCGTCTCAAATCGCTTTTGTCGGACACGATCATCTTCCAAAGCTTTAATACTGGGGTGATGTCAGCACCTGACAGCTCCGAGATCAAGATCGCGCTTGACATCAAGGGAAGAGCATCATAGGATCCAGGTGACAGAGACACTTGCTTTCGGGAGCATCTCTAACGACGTATGGTTCTGGAAGAGGAATGTGCTTAACTTACTACTGTTCTTTTAAAAGTGCCGAACGTAATGCGGCATCTTGCTGTTCCAACTTCGCGCGTAGCCGATCAATAGTGCCTTTATTGACGAGTGATTTCAAAGATGTCTTGAAAGCGCCCTTCCACTGGCTTTTCGACAGTTTCAAGTTGTTCAAGATCTTTTTTAGATCTTCTGCTGTTGAGAAGGCCTCGTTGGCAATGCTTTGAAGCCTTCTTGCACGAATGGCCCTAGTGCCTTCCTGCGCTTTCAAAATTGTCTGCAAGTCTTTATTCGCCACAGAAATGCTCTGGGCATATCTTTCAACCTCATTGTTTGTATCCAAAGAGCCTCGCTCATAGATTGCTTTGCACGCAACGGCTGCTTCAATGCCTTGTTCAATAAGCTGGAAAATATTGCAGACGAGGCCCAGCGCCGTGACAGGTTCGATCATAGCTTGACTACTCGTGGCTCTTCGTTTGTGAAGTAGAGTGGTTTCGAGGTAATCGTTTCAAAGCTTCCTCGCACAGAGTGTACGGTTCGAATCCCTGTTATACCCGTTGAAGGACAGTCCCGGCGAGCACCAGCGCAATGGCGCTTTAATGACGACGTTCAGAGCACGAAGCTTGTCGGTCATTGGAGAGGGTGCACTTTTGCTATGTCGTGAGCGTTGAAGGAAGAGTCAAAGACAAAAGTAACTGCATGCCTTCATGCCTTCTTCTGAAGACGAGCGAACTTCTAGGGAGTTATGGGAGGTAATGAGCTGCACTCATCAGGTAGGCTTCGAGAGCGTGCGAACTGCCTCACTGGGCTGCGGCAGAGTGGTCGTTTCATTGGCCTGCATAGCCGCCTCAAAATGAAACGAGGCAGATTCAGACCACATCTGGATATCTATCAATGCGATTAGTCTTGCCGATATACACAGCACAGAAGGCGGCAACTTTGGTATTCGTGCGGCTTTTATGCAACAGCAGAATTCATTATAGTCAACAGCGACGGCCATAGAAGTATTTGTATCCATGGTAGATGCGGGTGCTTTGGGAGGAAGGACAATTTTGCTCCTGCCGACACGCCGTAATGACCGAGGGTGGTCACGTGAGTCGTTGACTTATCGTGAGTGCTTAACGAGATATACACCGGCAATCTTTCCATCCGATTAACCCTTCGGATAACAATATATACGACCAGTAAATATAGGTAGAAAGAGGTAGATTGCACATAGATGCCCGCCAACCACGAAAAAGACAAAATAAAATCGTCAAGCCCGGAGTGTTACCACAACTGGTACGTCCTCTCGCCATCATGACATCCTCGCATACTCCACTGGGTTGTAGCGATACTGTTGACCTGGAGTCCCACCACCAGCGAAACCGGCACCGTTAGGGTCAGGGCTTGTTCCTCCCTGCGGAGTCATCGAGCGATTCGATGCAGCATTATCGTGACCCGGTAATTCGACTGCAAATGATCTCTTATCAAGTCCTGGAGATGCCATACTTCCATCTGGATCATATGAAGTGGGATGACTACTCACACTGCCTGCATAGCTCTGACGATCGCTAGCATTGCTGTTGGGGAACAATGTCTGATTTGCTGGGGGCGAACTTGCTGATAATTCCGATGCTGCGGTCGAAAAGCGATGTGGCGGCTGAAGGTTTTGGTTCTGGTGTTGTTGCGGCGCAAACTGCACGCTTCCCTCCATCTCAATCGCGAGACCTTGCGGTGGCGGTAAGTGTGAAGCATTCTGGAACTGTCTCGGGTCATGTGCGTAGCCGCCGTAGTACTGTGAATTTCGCCCATACGCGGGTGTATTAGGAGACTGAAGGTAGTTTCTGTCCATGCTGGGGGGGAGGCCTGGTGATCTTGGACCAAACTGTGCTGTAGCGGGCGACATCAAGCCGGGGGAGTATTGCCCGGACTGCTGGAATGTGTGCGACCGGTCTGCTGGGTTTAAAGTCTTGAGTTTCCCATCTTCCATCATGGCACTGAGGACGCCTGAGTCGATCAACTCGGCCTTCCTGACCAGCCTTTCGACCATGACTTTGCTCGCTTCCTTCATGCCGTTTTTGGTGAACTGCATCATAGCCCGATTACATGTGATCTCTATGTCCTCACGCAAGTACAGTCCCTCCGCTGGTGCTCCAGATCCTAGCTCTTTAGGTTCGGGGGGCTCGCCCGGCTGATTGCCTCTTATTTGCCATTTGTTTCGGATTTCTATGCCCATTGGAGGGTATACGTGCGTCTGGAGGCCCCAGGGCATGTCATGGAAGCAGCCTTTGAAGGAGATCTTGCCAGCTCCGGCTTTGCCAATTCCAGGTACGAACTGAATGCGCTGATCGATCTCATACCACGTCGAGAAGTATTCATCAGCGGGCGCACTTTGCGGGGCTTTTATAGGTCTGTAGCCGATGACAAGAGGATTCAATTCGATAATTTCGCCGTGGGAATGGAGCATATCGATCGCCAACTGACGAGGAACGTGAGAGGGGATAGGGGTTATGTTGGCGTACACGGACTTCTTCTTCATCATGATGCCGGTGTGATGGTCGTCAGCTGCAAAAGAACAGCGACTGACTTATACGGGGACTCGCAACAAGATGTTCAATCGTCTCTAACGGGATGAAGCCGTAGAGACTTTCGAAATCGAATCTGCGCGGCAGGTAGCAAGATGTGTAAGATTACTGCAGGATTCGGCGCATTGCCACGAAGTTAGCGACTAAGACGGCTGAAGCTGACACACTTGGCTGGCCGGGGTTCTCGAAGTACTCTGCGAGGATGCTTTGAATTGGTCATACAACAGGGAGTTTCGGCCAAACTCTTGACACGCTGGCAGTCAGTACGAGTACCTGAAAGTCTCCTACCAGGTACCTGGCAGACACCGCCCTGCTCTCGACACGGTCGTTGTCTACACTCGAAAAGTGGGCAACCCATGAATCTGCCCGAGAGCACGCATCATCGCGCAGCTGGGCATCAATGGGGCCGGCGACTGGATTTGAGAGATCCTGACTAAAGTCTAAAGTACGCCCAACCGTGCGTGCGTCTCTGTTCCCACAATTTCCGGAGGGGGGATGCTCGTGCACTGGGCTCCTTGCGGCGTGGCTGTACTTCGCGCTCAAGTTCCGGAGACGGAACACCGAACGGAGACTCTAGCCACCAACAAGATCGAACCTGTCAGTTGGTAACTTTGGGGGAGCAGGGGACTGATCTGTAGAAGGATTTATTATTAATCTGCACACGTCGTGAGAAAACGCGCTGCGGGAATATATGACAGATACAAGGCTGGAGTGTCATCCCGTCTATTTTCGACCATTCGATCCCCTTGCGTCTGACAAGTGGTGGCCGTGGCGAAGCTTCGAAGCACACGAGGCTTGATCTTGCGACAGGATGAATTCTATTTTCTCATCTCCAGGGACCCTGTGCTGCGGCTACATATCAGTCAACATCACATCTGTACAATGCGTGTTGATGTTCTTATTCCCCCAGACCCTAGTTCCCCTCGTCCAAGTCCCTCGCCACATGGACTCACATGTCGTCGTTCATGTACCTCTGCAGCCACTCATTTCTGCCGATGACAGATCGGATCTTCTTGCCATAAATCCTACGAGTTTGTTAGTCGCGCATTGATCAGGGTCTGGGACGTCATGCACACTCACCATAACGGAATGGTCAAGGAGCACACAAACAAGAAAAGGCCTCCAAGCACGCAGAAGACTTTCAGAGCGCCGTCCCGAGCCAACCAGTCGTTAACAAAGTAGGTCAGGCCAAAAGTCAACAGGTTGCGAGCGTTGATGGCAACAAATGCCTCCTCGTTCAATCTTGGGTATGAGTCAATCACATAGCCAAAGACACAGGTCGATGCAAATGCGAGACTCATGTTTGCGAGACCAAAGGTCAGAACAGGTCCGGTCCAGTGAGTTTGGTAATGCACTGTGGCGCCAAAGCCAAAGAATCCTACCGTGCCCAGAATTGCAACAACAACCATGAGCACCAGACGGAATTCCGGCTCATAGATACCCTTGTTCTTCCGGGTCAGGTAGACGCAAATCCAGTCGTTGAGAGGCCCAGAGATGACTTCGCCTAACAAGGTGAGGATGAAGGGCGACAAACTGATCAATCCAGTCTGCGAAACTGAAAAGTTATACGGAGGAGCGACGAAGATGACGCCGTTGACTACGGAGAACACCTGTACCCATGTCAGCAATCGTTCAGAAAACACATCATCATCGCCACCAATTCCAATGGGCCGATGCAGGACTCAAGTACTGACCACAATCCATGTCAGGGTGGTACCGTAGACCAGGAACCCCCAGAACACCGCAGGGTAGAAGAAAAGGACCACAGGACGCGTGAAGACTTTGAAGAGGGGTGCATAACTGTATCGGCCTGTGAAAACCCGCAATGATCGCCAGTACGACATCTTGGGTTCACTTGAGGCATGCGTCGCCGAGTAGGAGAGATGCTTGTTCTTCTCGCCGTGCGCCTGAGAGATGTCGTGCTCATGACCCAGTCCCATGTGTACATGTTTTGCACCAGCTTTCTCCGAGTCTCCTTCGAGCTCGTCTTCGACGGGGACAATCACAACCGCGTCACGGCGGAAGGACGTTTCTGGCACGAACAAGAGGACACCGAACAAGAGGACGCCAAAGAAGATTGCGCACACCCCGAAAGTCCACTTGTAGCCGTCGTATTCGATGATGTATCCTGAGACCAGTGCTCCGCCAGCAATACCGGTCAAAAGGAACAGATTCCATACGGCAATACGGGTGGCGCGTTCGTGGACGAAGTAGAGATCACCAATGGTACATTGAACCAACACCTGTTGGTCTCCCGCGTCAGTGGATATGGCGAGGTTGTCCTCGAAGATATCTTACCTCGTATGGGGCCATTCCGATACCCGACACAATTCGACTGGCCAGGAATGAGCTGTAGTTGTTCGCCACTGCTCCCCAGATGCTAGCTGCCAACATGATGCAACTTGCCAGAATGTAGATTGGCCGCTTTCCGTACAGCTTCGCGAGAGGATTCGTGATGAAAAGACCAAGACCGATGGTAAGAATGAGCCAAGCAGTCGCCTGCGACAAGACCTCGACCGTGATACCGAGTTCTGCAGCGATCGGGACGAAGCCGGGAGAGAGCATAGGGCCAAAGGCACCGACGACGGCAGCGGATAGACCGACGATCAGGAGGATCAACTCCTTCTGCCACTGTGGCCAGTTGAGAGGGTCGTTGGGTGAATCCGAGGGCTGAGGAACCAGGATGATGTTGGAATAGCGGCCCTTGCCGTGCTTCAGCTGCTCTCGAGGAATCTCTGAATACTCGGGAGGGAGGTCATCCTGGTCACTCATGAACGAGGTTCCAGGAACGACCTCCAACTTCTTGCAGTCGATGATACCGAAAGGCATCTTGCTTCAGTGTGATGGAAGAATAGTATCGTCTCAACGAAATGACACAAAGGCCTCCGAGACCTAGATTCCCCCCTTTTGGCAGCACTGAACCTCTTCAGGAAGTATAGCTGGGATGGAGAGGTGCGTAAAAGAGCAGAGCGGTGACCTTTAAGCTTGTGGCATGTGGTCAAGCTTGCGGGAGCCAATTCAGCTGCCTTGTTGCTATGGGCATCAAAGCTAGACGCGAGCCAGGGATGCGTTGCTATTGCCGGGGATCGATTTCCATACCTAGACTCACATTAGTCTGCAGATGGGTCAAAAAGCCACCATGCCAACTCATGCAACTACCTCCCTGACGGTCACGATGGCTGGCACATGGGCCCGGAGTATACCCATCAGAGTACCACAGTGCCATAGACCCCAGGCGCTCCAGTCGTCCCCAGAGGCTCCTCTCATGTTCGTTGCTCCATGCCCATATTTTGCTGGATGATGTGTGGGTGGAAAGGCCCCAGAAGCACGTCGCCCCAGATGAGTACCCCAACATAGCGGTATTGGGCAAGTGGAGGCATCCGCATCGGCACATTGTTCGAGTGACATCCAACACTTCGCGAACGCATTTTGGGCCTTGAAAGCGTTCACTACTTGCAATTCTTTTGGTGTCACATCCGGTATCATCAAAGGCCTCCGTGCACGATCCGTTTCACCCACCCTGGGATATACTCGGCATGTGGTTTGATACGCAAGAAAAGAGCCGTCTAGACCTCCTTCTGGCAAGTCCTTGCGTCTATCAAGCCTCGAAAAACCGACCGGATCTTTCGCCGAACGCTACTGAGCTATTGTACTTGCATGATACACCATGGAGTCGTCTAAACTCGCTTGGAAGAGAAGATATGGTTTGTGATCACCGGCGTCGGCCACGTGGTCAGCATTTGGCTTTTCAAGTGTCTGAAGGACTCCTGAGGATACGAGAACCCTATTGCAATCTCTCCGGGTGCTTAGGGAGTTTGGCTAGGGCAGCACATCTGGTAGACCATGACGCAGCTGTCCTAAAGGAGATCCTAAAGGAGACTTCGTTATGCTCAGAGTGAGTGATCGGATTTGCGAGCGCCGGATTGTCTTCTTGCGGGTCATGAAAAGATCGGAAAGGAAGAACGATTTGGTTCTCCCATTCGACTAGCCATAATCATCAGATAACCAAGGAACGTGCTTGCGGCAGTTGAGAATCCAGCTCAGTCTAATAAAAGTCACCATTGAACCGCGGGTTTCCATCAGAAAACCCGCAACTCGCTTAGTCAGACAAAAGATTTCAAGCCTTGTCACTGAAAGGGGCCACGTTCAAATTCCTTAAGACCAAGAGAAGACTATTGATAACTGCATCGCTGGTTGTCGCCGAAGGCCTGCAACTTTGTCCCATCATCCAAATCTACCGTCAACTACGCGAGCTGATCAACTTCTTGAGCAACAACTGTTGCGAGCCCGTTCTTGTTTGCCGGCTCTGACAAGCCATTTGCCTTGACATCTTTGCCTCGTCTCAAATCATTCAGAACACCATCAACCACTTCATATGCATGAGGTTCGGCGTCAAAATCCAGCAGCCATGGTTCTCTCTTCAGATGCAGAGACTTGGGGTCTTTCCAGATCTTATCCCAGTCAGCCTTGTGCCATTGCTCGCGTGTCGTTACACCCGTCATCTGGGCTCTGTGAACGCGGCCGTATCGGATAGCTTCATATGCTCGGAGTCCGAGCTGGACATTATCCTTTCCTGCCTTCTCGAGAGTGACGGCTAATGTCACACCGTCTTCCATAGACTGGCTCGCTCCTTGGATTGATGTTGGCAAGAATGGATGTGCCGCATCACCAATCAGTGCTATTCGCGCCTTTGGCGAGAGGAACGTCGGTAAAGGATCTCGGAAGACGAGCTTGTAGTCGAAAAGTCGATCTGGCGGAGTGGCATCCACGATATCATGGACTATCGGAGCCCAACCTTCAAGATTCTTCTTGACTTCTGCCTTGTCACCTGGGAACTGCCAGTCCTCGTCGATGTCAGCGTCGTCCTTGTGTGTCAGCACCCAGCTAAATTCAGTTCCATTCTTCACTGATGCTGCAAGGAAATGCTTGTCTTCACCGATCTGAAGCATATTGTCAGTGTTCTGTTCGGTCTAGATATTGCAGTTAACCACTTACCCAACCGGTATGTGTGTCCCCATTAATCACCAGGTGTTTCGTCCTCGGATTTTTGGCAAGCTCATCAGATTTAAACCAAGACCGATAGACAGCATATCCTGATGGCTTTGGCGGATCCTCGAAGCCCAGCACAATCTTCCTGCCAGCAGACTTGACTCCTTCTGCTGCCAAAACACAATCGGCAACCAGCTTCTCGCCGTTCGATACAACACCTGCCTCTGTGTCCGTCTCGAAATAATCCGTGACATGCTGGCCGAGCCGAATATCGATCCCTCTGGCCTTTGCGTGACGGTAGACGACATCATGGATCTGTCCTCTGTGGCCGTTGATCCGTCTGCCCCATTGCTTTTCCACATCCCACACCTGTCTGGTGGCAAAGTTGCCCATCCAGTCGTGGAAGTCGAGGCCTTTGCTTTTGTGAGTGATGGGATCCAGCTCGTCGACAACTCCTTCCCATCTTTCAAAGATATGGCCAGAGTTTGACGAGAAGCTAATCACATCCCCAAGGGGTTTCAGCTCCTTGACTTTCTCGAGCAAGATAACTGAGTGTCCTTTGCGGTCACATTCGATCGCTGCACACAGACCTGCAAAGCCTGCTCCGACGATTATTACCTTGACGCCCGATGGCGGCAGCCTTGCGAAGTTTGACATCTTAATGTCTGTATATGGACGAGCTGTAGCTTGATTTTCAGATGTTCAAGTGTCGACGAAATCTCCTATACATAAGCGGCCGTACTACGCAATCCGAATCGTTTGGACGTTTCCGTGCTCTCCCCCCACAGAGGCTCTTATTGTCACGTCGGCTTTCCAGACTGGGTTGGTGCCATGGACTGTCCAAATCAGGCTCTAACGACTCACGATGCTCGGGAAGAAGGGCCTGGGGTTTCTCCGCCAGCCTTTTCATGTACGACTATTGTAACTGCCGAAGAATTGGCCACCAAATTGGCTGTCCTATTCCGTACTTAGAGTCTATACGCGCGATCGAAGAATGGGCTTTCTCCGCCATGCCCCACGATGTCTATTCTCCATATCACAACCACGAGCAATTATGAGGAGAAGAGGAGCTGCTGGTGCCGATTTATCCATGCCGTGCACAGCCGCTCGCTCCATCAACGCTTTCATTGGGTGCCATGGCCTCGCCTTGGTACCTTGGGAGGCCCGTATCCAACCCCAGGGCCAACTACCGAGAACCAACTTCGGCAACTCTGCGATTGTGTTCTGCACAGAAAAAAAAAGCCGTTAAGGTCTGCCCATCACCATTATCCTCATATGCTCGGCTGAAACTGAGTGCAAGACTGTGCTGTCTCTTGTGACAAGAAACCATCCGGTGGGCTTCGCTCATGGCGTACTCAAACGTCTTCCTCCTTTGGTCGGGGTTCACAGGTATTGTCCTGTTGACGGTCCTGGGTGTTCTCATTCACGATGTGATTCTATGGAAGCGTCTACCCCCGGGCCCTCGACCTTTGCCTTTCATTGGCAACAAACTTGACATTCCAAAGCAGTATCCATGGATTCAGTTTCAAGAATGGTCCTACAAGTATGGGCCGATTTTCACATTGTGGTTTGGACGGCGACCAACCATCATTATTTCGGATCCAAATGTGGCTGCTGACCTGATGGAAAAGCGTTCTTCCAAGTACAGCTCTCGTCCCCGATTCGTGGTCATGGGTGAACTTTTATTCGGCAACTCGGGCATTCTGGTTGCACCCTACGGCAAGGCATGGCAGCTGCGAAGAAAAGCCCTCCATGCTGCCCTCACCCCAAGAGCCCTGTTGAACTATCGACAAGTGCAGGAAGCAGAGGCGACCCGGCTGTGTTACCAGCTCCTCGAAACACCACAAGACTACGAACCATTGATAGACCGCATGACAGCATCGATTGTCTTCACCATTTCTTACGGTCATCGTGTCGATAACCTGCACTCGCCCATCATTCGACAGCGCCTGAAGATGATGCACAGAGCGGCAGCATCCAACGTCCCTGGTCGGTATCTCGCCGAATCGTTCCCCATCCTCAAACACATCCCCGACATGTTCGCAGGATGGAAACGGGAACTCAAGGCTTGGGGTCTGGAGGCGGAAACAGCTGACCGCCAGCTACTCCAGTTTGTGCGGGAGGATATGGAGAATGCAAAGCTACCAGGCGCCCGGTCCATCCCAAACAGTCTGGCGAAACAGCTCATCGAAGCTCGTGACGCCGACCCTGCCTCTTTTGCGCTACTGAGCGAACGTGATTTTGCTGGCTTGCCAGCAACCCTATTCGGCGCTGGTGCAGATACCACAGCATCTACTCTGTGTTCTGCAGTTCTGGCATTGATCACGAACCAAGACACTCTACACGCGGCGCATGCTGAGCTCGACGCAGTCATCGGGCTTGACCGGCTCCCATCGTATGACGATGAAGCATCACTGCCATATCTTCGTGCGCTGTGCAAGGAAGTCTTGCGGTGGCGGCCTGTTGCTGTGCTCGGTGGCACTCCCCATGCAAGCTCAGAGGCAGACACATATCAGGGCTACCACATCCCGAAAGGCACAAACATCCTGGGTAACACATGGGCCATCAATCGGAACGAAAACTATTATCCCAATGCCGATCACTTCAACCCCTTGCGCTTCCTGGATGTCGATCCTCGCTCCCTTGGCTACCTGCCGGAGAAGTACGTGGCGAGTACGCCCATCGAGAAAGGACGCCTCGCACATCCCAGCAAGGCCGGCCACAGCTCTTTCGGCTGGGGCCGTCGAATATGTCCCGGTGCTGACTTGGCGAGCGCAAACTTGTACATCGCTCTCGCACGGTTGCTTTGGTGCTTCGACTTCAAGCCTGTCAAGGGAGTTATCTACAACACGTACGACTACACCGGTGGATTCAATATCCGACCAAACCCGTTCAAATGCGAGATCACCATCCGAAGCCCGAAGCAGGAGGCAGTGCTTAGATCTGAGTTTAAGGAGAGCCAGGAGTTCTTGTTCGACAACTTTCCATTGTTCAAAGAGCATGAGATCGTTGTTTAGTGGTTTGGGATGTCGAGCATTGAAGTCAGTATTAGCTGGCTCTGGCCGACTGTGTTAAGCTCTTGTCTTTGAGAGCTAGTGACTAGTAGAGATGAAATGTACACGTAATGAAGCACTTCGCTTTTGGAATTGTGAAGTGTTGTGAACCAAAAGAGGATTCGACTTTGGGGGCAGTTTTAAGCTCTTTAAAGCCGGGAGATGCCTGGACGTCGCTTACTAAGGCGAACGTCCAGTTAAAAGAAATAGTGACGAAGCCCCTAATGTTCCCCACCATCCAGCCTATGACGCAGTTGAAGGCCGCTGAACAAATTCACGTATTTACTTCGACATCGAAAAGTCTAGGTACGGCCTTCTGACAATCCCATAGTTCACGCACTCTGCCTCGCCCACGTATCTGGCAAACCTGTGGTAGTACGACAGGCTGGGCACGGGATGGCTGACAAGCAGAACGACACAAATCCTTTCCTGCGGCGGCCTCTCTACGGTAAGCAATCACTGTGCGCTTCCAAGTCGCACTTCTAACATCAAACAGTTTACGATTTAACACCCGAGTTACTATACACCCTCACTCTCGCGGGACGTGATAAACCAGCCCATCAGCATGGCGAAGGAGAATCTGCGCCCTCGGACGTACCGGACGCATCAAACGAAGGCTCCAATGCCCCCTCAACCTCATGCGCACTGTGCAAAGTCTCGTTCGATAATGTTCAGGATCAGCGCCAGCATGTCAAGTCTGATTTCCACCGGTACAACCTGAAACTAAGCATAAAAGGGGCGCCACCCATAGATGAGGCTACTTTTATACGAATGATAGGTGACCTCGACGAGTCATTATCCGGCTCTGAGTCTGACGACTCGGAGGACGACCAGGAAGGGAGCAAACCAGGCGATACGACGCTGAGCGCACTTTTGAGAAAGCAAGCCAAGATCTCGAATGAAGAGCAGGATGATGATTTAGTAGCCACGAAAAAGAAACACTTCGGGACGGCGCCTATGTTTTGGATGACGAGTCCAAAATTAGACCAGGACGTCGGCTTGGGAGTTTACAGAGCGATTCTGTCAAAAGAGGAGCAAGACACAGCATCTACAAGCCTAGTAGATATCATTAAGAGGAAACAAGTCAAGCCAACACTGCCCAAGCAGACCGGAAATGCAAAGGGGTCTTTGGCGCAAGACGAGCCTCATTTCTTCCTCTGCATGATTGGAGGTGGACATTTTGCCGCAATGATCGTCTCGTTGGTGCCGGAAATCAGGAAAGGACCAGGAGGTATAGAAGAGCGACATGCTGTGGTCAGAGCGCACAAGACGTTTCACCGTTACACCACGAGACGGAAACAGGGTGGCTCGCAGTCAGCGAACGACAATGCTAAAGGCAACGCACATTCCGCTGGATCTTCGATACGCCGGTACAACGAGATGGCTCTCGAAGCCGATGTGCGTAATGTCTTGTCAGAATGGAGAGGCATGATCGATACTGCAGAGCTGCTTTTCATTCGAGCGACAGGATCCACAAACAGACGAACACTCTTCGGGCCTTATGACGGTCAAGTACTACGAAGTAACGACCAGAGAATCCGAGGATTCCCATTCAGCACCAGGCGCGCCACGCAAAGCGAGCTTCTCCGCTCGTTCCAGGAGCTCACGAGGTTGAAAGTGGGCAAGTTGACCACAGCGGACGACGAAAAAGGGCAAACAGAGAAGACGGCGGCTCCAAAGGAGGCCAAACCGAAACCCCAAGTACCAAAACTCACCAAGGAAGAGGAAACAGCACTACTCCACACATCACAACTTCTAGCCCTCATCAGACGTTCAAAAGCTCCTGGATTGCTACTCTATCTCACCAAAAACGAGCTCTCGCCAAACTTCACATTCTACCCCCTCTCCGAACACCATCACGCACCTACACCGCTACATTTATCCGCCTCCTCCAATTCTCCGGCTCTCGTGACTGCCCTGCTCACCAAAGCAAATGCTGACCCGACTATTACGAACGGCGATGGGAGGACGGCGTACGACATTGCAGGCGAGCCCAAAACCCGCGATGCGTTCCGGGTTGCACGACATCAACTTGGCGAGAGCGCGTGGGATTGGACCGAGGCCCACGTTCCCTCGGCGCTGAGTCAGGAGGAGGCAGATGCAAAATCGAGACAGGAAAAGGCAGCTTCCGACGCGGCCGAGGTGCAGCGACGGAAAGCCGAGCTTGAGCAGATACGCATGGACGAGGAAAGGAGAAAGGTTGGGAAGCTCGAGAAGAAAGCCGGGCCGGGCAGGAGCCTGGAAAAGACGGCGAACGAGAAGAGAGAGGAAGAAATGCGCGGCATGACGCCCGAGATGCGGATGAGGATCGAGCGGGAGAGAAGAGCCAGGGCGGCCGAGGAGAGGTTGAAGCGGATGCAGGGAAAGTGAGGGATCAAAACTACCTACAGGTACCTCCCCGGGTTGTCTCGGTATACATCCAAGACAGTGGAAATATGACATTGGGATCAGAGATAGAGCATCAGTTAAAAGTGCCGGGGACGACAAAATCTCACGGTCGTTCTCCGAGTCCACGAAACATTGATGATCATGACCACGCATGAGACCAAAGATATCATCGCGCTTTCTCCTTCCTTGCTATGTAGGGAGGTGTCTAAAGCGTCGCTTTCACTCTCTTGCCCGCCCGAAGTCAAGTCGCAATTTTCACATTCATCGTTTTTCTTGGATTTTTTCGGCTTGTCTATTTTTTGGGGAGGGTTTTATTCATCCTCGTACACTTCAAAAAGTCATTTCATGTCCCTGATTTTAGTTCATACTCCCATTCCTGTTCCCATCCCGATTCCAATTTCCAACGTTCCGATCCCCCAATGGACCAGAACCGGTGACCCTTCATTTTTCACATGCCGCGGGAGCGATGAGGAACGGAAGACGAACCTAGAAAGCACGCTCATGGTACTGTCTTGCAGCTCGTCGTCGGACTACGTTCGCCTTCTTGGCCTGGGCCTCGGCTTCGCGCTTGTTGACGAAACCGTCGATGATGCTCACGATCTCGTCGATGAGGTTGTTGTTGCCACCGTTGCCGTTGCCGTTGCCTGTGTCCTTGTTGGAGGTCTTGTCCTTGCGTGTTTTCCCGTCGCTCTTGTTGCTGTTGGAGCTCGTGTCGGTACTGGTACTGTTGTCGGCCGTGGCCGTGTCCGTGGAGGTAGCGTTTGCGGCATCCGTGGCCGTGGCATTGGCGACGGCAGACTGGACGTCCGTGACATTTGCTCCGCACGCGGCGGCGATGGCGTCGGAGGTCGCCTGGTCTACCGCGCTGGTCTGGTTGAGCGCGGCGGCCATGGCGGCAGAGACGCACTCCGCTTCGACTGTGGCCGCGTCGGTGACGTTGGCCGCCGCCGCGGTCTCGTTGACGGACACGGCGGCTTGCGTGGCGGCGTCGATGGCGGCGGCGTCGGTGGCGTTTGCAGCCGCGGCGTCAGCACCCTTTTTCTTGTCGTCGTTCTTCTTGCGCGGAGCTAGACGGTTGAAGCCTCCTGGAGGAACGACGTATGCCGAAACTGCCGGGGCGAGGAAGCCCGGGACCATAGCCACGGCGGCTGTGAGTGAGAATGCATTGACGTCGTATGCGAGGACGCCCGGGAGGACGAGTAAGGTGAGTGCGAGAAAAAGATTGGCGAGCCGGGCCATGGTGTGTTTCTAAGAATGAATGAACAGAGAGCCTGCTGTGTCTGGTGTCTGTTGTGAAATCCTGAAAGGAGGGACAACCTGTGTCTAGTTGGGACAACTTGAAATGAATGCGGAGGTCAACTCTCGGGTGTAGAAAGAAGGACAGGAACCGGCCTGGATAGGGAGGTAAAAACGCAAACGGGAAGATGGAAGATGAGGATCTCTCATCGGACATAACGAGAGAGACTTTACCATTGATATAGATCTGGCCATGAGAGGTCCTCTTGTCTGTGGACGCGTGCGTCGAGGCTCCGCTCGTCGAGACCTCAAACTTGTAAGAGAAGACGCGAGTATCACTTTTCCTCCCAAAAGGCTTGGTTCTCTTATGGAGTAGTGAATGGACAATGGAGGCTGAGCATCGTCGTCACCTCATTGGGAGGATGGTATTCCAAAATCCGTCCTGACATCGTCACGACCTTGGAGCCGGAACCGGATGAAGGCAGATCACTCCGCCAAACACTTGGCGGGGTTAACGGGAAGTGTCGAAGAGCCCGGACGGTGGAGAGATTCGTGCATGCTTCGAGACGCTTGAAGTTCAGCTAGGTCGACTGCTGCTGCGTGTGATGTGGCAGGCTACGCTTGAGAGACGTTATCACAAAGGGATGTCAGGAAAGGATTGGCCGGAACAGGATGAGCCGTGAGACAAGACTTGTATGAAACGTGTGGGGTACGGCGAGGCTGCGGGTACCAGGGCACAAGGCCAGGGGGGGTTGCTGAGGCTGAAAACGTTGCAGGCTCGGGTATCCATAAAGTCCATGGTCTGCATGTGGCTCGGCTAGACGAAACAAAAGGGAAAAGTTGCCTTCGGATGATCAATGCAGTGGAATCGCTCGATTGGGTATCTCTCTGTTCATCAAGATCATGAAAAAGCTGTTGTACATAGTGTCACACACTGGCATCTTGCCGTCACATTTCAATCACCACCCAGTCTGCGCCCGGCGCCTCTACCACTCCAGCCATTGGAAAATCCACTGGTCCAACCTCTGCTTTGCTGCTGAGGAATGTTTTGGCCCCGTCTGAAGCTGGTACCGTACGCTTTATGACTGAAAGCACTTCGATCAGCCCCAAAATAGCGTTTGATCGCCCCTGGAGTTTGAATGTAATTCCGACCACCTTGGAAGGTCGGGTACAGTCTCGTGAGGAAGTCGTACAAGTGTGCAGCAAGGACACCGACTCCCTGCTGCAGAGCGGCTGTGGGTCCGCCCATGATCAGCGTCAAGGTGAGCATCGCCCAAGGGAGAAGCTCAACGGGGATTTGCAGGATGATGAAATGTGCCTTCTTGCCTCGGTTATCTTGCGCAAAAGTGTAGATAAAGGCGAGGAGAAGAGCCTGGGTGAAAATATTGGAGCTAAGAATTATGCCACCAATGACCTATTTCCGGTCAGTTTTTCTGAAACCATTGCATCAGAACAAAACATGATGGTTGATGAGATGTAGGAAGCATAAACCGCAAATCGTAAATTGTGTGTATCACGAAAGCTTTCTCATTAGAGCCACCACCATGCCTGCACCGCGCATAGACCCTTGACAGTTTTGCGAATGACGGGTCTAGGCGTGCCACAGGGGTAATCTCCCTCGTTACCAGGAACCGCTTCAGCTAGTTTATGGCTGGGCGGGCAGAAAATGCGAGGTATATAATTGAAAGGAAGGGGGCGTAGGGGAAAGGAGGCTGGGTTGAGCTCACCAAGATGACCGAGGCCACGAACACAACATAGGTGAAGAAATCACCAGGCTGCCCAAATCGTGGCGAGTTCAGCTCCAGGCCTGATGCGTAGGTGAACACTGCTGATGTGTGAGTAGCTTACGGTGGTGAAGCCAGCTCCACATACTGAAATACAGATCAAACACGAACGAAAAGCCGCCGCCGGTCAGGAGGAACGACGAAAGCAGCCGCCACAACTCGGGAGGAAACTTGAAGATCCAAGGCGAATAGAAGATGACTCGCAGGCCACTGACAAGGCCGCTATGAACAAGGGCAGACTCGACGAACATTGCCGCTACAATCGTCCTTGGGCACGGTCAGATATGTAACCTGCTGGAAGGATGATCAGTCTACTGACCGAGCCACCGGAGGGGCGCTCCAGAATCGATCCATGATGTCGACGCCTCCGCCGCTCATTTTTGAACAATCCAAAAAAGAGAGACCAAACCCACGAACAATGGGAAGAACGTTGAAGATGAGAAGCTGTTGAAGAGTTGACACTCTGTTCGGAGAACGACAAAATGTGACCATGCCAAGCATCTTGACGCTAGGACATTATGGTACTAGCGCAAATTTCCTCTCTCCAACCCATTTTTTTTACTGTCCAGCGGCCGCCGGATGGTCGATATTTTGTGGTATGGCAATATTTCTTCACGCTGCATATTCTGTCGTCTGCTTGATACTGTTATAGGGTATCTTGCATCATTAACGGTCTGCCCGTTCCTTTGAAGCCACTATCTTACCTGGTTGATTCCTCGGGTTCGCACAGCGTCGAGCTCAAGCATTCCGCCAACCATGGCAAAGGTTGCAGAGCCCGAAGAGGTCGACTATGCCATCAAGCCAGAGAATGTCGCCTCTGTAATTCCTACCTCTGAGTGGCCTCTGCTGCTCAAAAACTATGACAAATGTTTGTTACAGCTCTCGCTTCCATAGAAGTCCACTGACCAGCTTTCGACAGTACTCGTGCGAACGGGACATTTCACACCCATTCCCTGCGGGTGCACACCTCTGAAGCGCGATCTGAAATCCTACATCTCCTCTGGTGTCATCAACCTCGACAAGCCTTCCAACCCGTCCAGTCACGAAGTTGTCGCGTGGGTGAAGAGAATACTCCGAGTAGAAAAGACGGGTCACAGCGGCACACTCGACCCCAAAGTCACCGGTTGTCTCATTGTCTGCATAGATCGAGCAACTCGCCTGGTTAAGTCGCAACAAGGAGCCGGAAAGGAATACGTGTGCGTTGTCAGACTACACGACAAACTACCCGGCGGAGAGGCGCAATTTGCACGAGCTCTCGAGACCCTGACTGGTGCCCTCTTCCAACGACCCCCGTTGATCTCAGCCGTCAAGAGACAGCTCCGTATTCGAACTATCCACGAGAGCAAGCTCTACGAGTTCGACAATGATCGACACCTGGGCGTGTTCTGGGTGAGCTGCGAAGCAGGAACATACATCCGAACACTCTGCGTGCATCTAGGTTTGCTGCTAGGTGTTGGCGCACATATGCAAGAGCTTCGAAGAGTGCGGTCGGGAGCCATGGCCGAGAGCGACGGCATGGTCACGCTACATGACGTGCTTGACGCGCAATACATGATGGACAACAACAGAGACGAAGCGTACCTTCGAAAGGTCATTTCGCCTCTTGAAAGCCTCCTGACCTCATACAAGCGTATCGTTGTCAAGGACAGCGCAGTCAACGCCGTCTGCTATGGTGCCAAGCTCATGATCCCGGGTCTGCTGCGGTTCGAAGCAGGCATTGAAGTTCACGAGGAAGTGGTCCTGATGACCACCAAGGGTGAAGCCATTGCGCTGGGGATTGCACAAATGTCCACCGTCGAGCTGTCCACGTGTGACCACGGTGTCGTGGCCAAGGTCAAGAGATGTATCATGGAGCGAGACCTGTACCCTCGAAGATGGGGTATGGGACCGGTTGCTCTGGAAAAGAAGAAGATGAAGTCTGATGGCAAACTTGACGTAAGTTGTCCTACATGTTTTTCCCTTGTCACTACGACTGTTCGTTACTGACACAAGCACTAGAAATATGGCCGTGCCAATGAAGCCACTCCAGCCAAGTGGGCTGCTGAATACACCGACTACAACGCGCCAGCCGATGCATCTGGCTCCGCCGCTGCGCCGGTGCAGGAGAAGACGTCACAAGCCGACGTCCTTGCTGCTCCACCCGTTGCGCCCAACGGCGCAGACGCAGAGGCGATGGATGTTGACGCGACTGCCGCCGCCACGTCAGTCAACGGAGACGCCGCGTCGTTGGGTCCCAAGGAAAAGAAGGAGAAGCGGAAGAAGCACGATGGTGAAACCCCAGAAGAACGCGCCGAGCGTAAGCGTAGGAAAAAGGAGAAGAAGGAGAAGAAAGAAAAGCGAAAGAGCTCGGCCAGCAAGGCTGACGACAGCGATGAGAGTGATTGAGTTTGTGTGTGTCGGTAACCACACATACTCTGTACTTGAGTGGAAAAAGGAAAAGCTGTCGTTTCTCGTGTCGTCTCTCTCGTTCTCATTCTGGCGTTTTGACGGGGCGAGTCGGGTCTGGGGTCTCAATTGCAACTGCAACTTTGGATGGAGTCACAAAAAAGGGGAGTACCGATATGATCAGAGGGTTGAAGATGAAGACGGATGACATTCAAAGGGGAAGCATTACCCACCGACATTTGCCAAGGGTATTGTCTGTGTATGATCCCATCGTGTCATCGACTTTGACGTCGTCAATTTCCGACGGGTCAATGGGCGGACGGAGGCTTTGCAAGGACATATCCAACGGAGCATGCAAGCAGCGTTCATGTATCTTGTTTGGCAATTGGTATCCGACCACCTCACCAGTCGCCAGTCATAATCTGGATCTATTTACCTCGTACAGTCCGGTGGTCATTTGGTCGTATGTGTTTTTTGCAAGTGACGCATGTCAGTCATGTGTATGAAAAATGAGATACCTACTGTACCCCTGAGTAATCAAATCCATGGAAATCGTCTTCTTGTTCTTCACCTTGGAACAACAACCCCCCCCCCCCCCCTCCCCCAGGAGCGTGTAGTACTTGCCTTACCCGCCCAGGCAGGTAGGTACCTTCAGATAACATAAGGTGATGGTTGAGGACACGAGTTCCCGCCACTTACGGTACCTGGGCGACGGGTATATCGAGTAATTGTAGTTGGCTAGCTGGCTGGATACATTAGGTAGGAAGTACCTGTCTTAAATTAGATCTGGACATATGGTACCGAGGCGGTCCAAGGGGGTATAAGTTCAGGTGTTAGGTGCCTGTACTTTTGTCGGCATCCATATTGTACCTCTGCTCGCGACGGCGTATTCGAGAACAAAGCTTCCTTCCACCCACGTCCAGGCCTGTACGAGTGCATACACAATAGGCAGGTATGCGCTTCGACCGTCCCCGCACGGTACTAGTTAACGTACGAGTAGTTTACCTAGATACACAAGGTACTTACGAGTACCTCCAGGTAAGTAAGTACCTGAAGTAGCGGCGTACTCACTACCCGTGCGCGCCTCGTGCACCATAGTCGGTGACACCGACACCTGATACACTTGAACGTCGTTCATGAAACTGAGTTGGCCCCAGGACCAGATCGTCAGAGAGTGACGCACATTCACAACCTCAGCCACATTGCCACTCTCTCTCTCCCACTCTTGCCATGGACCAGGGCCCGGGCCTACTGGCTAGGACTGACTTGGCTTCCATTGTTCCCTGTTCCCTACGGTTTTCAAACCCTATTGAGCCTTTCTATGTCAACCTGAGGCACTTACATATTGCCAAGGGGTAGACTTTGGACCCAGGAGACTTTTTTCATAAGTTATGCAGAAACCCCCAAAAAGTCCAACGTTACTCGTACTCGTATTACAACCACCGACGCGTAAGCTACAATACACCACACAGCCTCCACCAGCCAGCCCTCAACGCGACGTCAGCGAGGCAAATATACAATAAAGGACTGCAAAGCAGATGATAGCGACCTACCTACTTGTATCTGCCGAGTGTGGGTGCCTAGCGAGTACGGAGTACGGAGTACTACGGAGAATGGACCCCGAGACCCATACGGATATAATTGCCAAGTGAGGTATCATGGGGCGCTTATACTCTACGTATGTACGTCCTGTACGTGCACGTTTGCAGGCACCTAGACCAGGTGCAGACAACCCGGGTACCGGATACCCGATATGTAGGCTAGGTAGGTGTAGGTCTCCCTACGTAGACATCTTCGGACGGGCTGAAGAGACACGAGAGAAGGAGAGAAAGAAGAGAACAAACGAAACATAGAAACGAAACAAACGCTAATTCTGAGGCATTTCATTCATCGATCGCTTTCCACTCCACTCTAGAGATGCTCGCTTTCTTTGTGACATACAATTCACCGGCTGGTGGATGAACCAGAGGCAAAAAATAGACAATCACCATCTTGAACCTCCCTCGATAAAAGAAGAAAAGAACAGCCTTCTCTGTAACGTCTCTGTTTGGGCTCCTATCGATCTCGAGGAGAAAACCGAAATCAATGGCTTTGAGGTGTCATCACTTCGTCAAAAAAGTCATCAAACTCGTGTGTGTATATGGAAAAAGACAATAATGACACGAGTGAAGGAAATTTCGTCCAGCCGCAGAAACACGCTATCATCCTTGACGACTATGTCATGTCCAAAACGTAGGTAGATTAATATCCTTCCTCGCCTGCCTTGCAAACTTTGATGTCTCTACCCCATTCGGATTTGAGGACTTGAGACGCGGTAATACGGCGACCTGGATTGGGGTCTAGAATCGAATAGATGACATTTCGACAGCGTGCCTGATGAACGGAAAAAAATATCTGTTAGCCACGTACAGTGCGTCATGAGGGAACAGCAGAATCAACTCACCCTGTGCAACGTTTCAATTGGAGCATAACCATCTTCATCTCTGCGTCCCTCGAGATAGCGCTCGTAGAATTCGTCTTCTTCCTTCCGAGCCACTCTCCATAGATGACGGCCGGTTCGCATGGCCATGTAGATTACACCACAAGCCCACACGTCGACGGCTCGAGGGTCGAATTCCCCGCCTTGATACTCCTCGGGCGCGATATAAGGGGCACTCCCGCACAGCCCGGCCGTCATGTGAGCCTCTTTTTCCCAAGCCATTCGGAAACATTCACCGTTTCCAAAGTCGGTGATTTTCAAAGCACCGCGCGTCGTAAGCAGTAGATTCTCGGGCTTCAGGTCTCGATGGGCGACGCCCATCTCATGCATGTATTCAACGCCACGCATCAACTGCTTGAAAAAGCAGTCAGCCTCCAAGACCTGTAATTGGCCAGCGGCGAGGATTAGCGTATAGAGGTCGCCTCCAGCACAGTATTCCATGACTTCGCAATAATCCCCCTTTGCATCTTGAAGGAGGTCAAGGGTGTGTATTATGTTTGGGTGTCGTAATGACGATGATATACAGAATTCGCTGGTGAGCCGTTTCTGGTACTTTTTCGCCGTCTCCTGCGGGCGGCGGCGGAACTCCTTGACGGCGTACAACGACTCTCCACTGACGCTGTTAGGATCAGGCTTGTGCGATATCCTAACGATGCCGAATGCGCCGCGACCGACGATTTCCTGGCATTTGCCGTACTTCTCAACCAGGTTGGCGGTAGCGTTGGGACCGCCCTTCTTGTCACTAGCCAAGGCATCCTTTTCCGATCTCAGCTGATCCACCCACGAGGACATCAGGGACAATTGTTGATCCCCATCTGCGTCCTTCTTCTTGCCACCCAGCATTTCGCGGAGCATGTCGGACAATTTCTCTTGCCGTTTGGCGGACTTGAGGTGATGTTCATGGGTGCCATCTTCATGTAGTTCAAATCTCTTAAATTGAGTATAAGTCGCATCTGAGGGTGGTTCGCCCTTGCTCTTTTCTTTGGCAGTCTGTAGGATGGCCATCTTCTTGTCTTTCTGGTCGCCAGAGGACGTCCTGGCCGGTACTGGTCGGCTAGATTGACCGTTGAGGGCCTCAGTCGAAGCATCCGGCCTGGGGGATGCGGCTTTGAGATGTTGTGCGTTGGCGGCGTCGATGTCCCTTTGTTCGGTGCGAGAGAACATTCGAGTGAGACGGTGTGTCATTTTGGGTTTTTTGGCGACAGGCGCAGGGAGTTGAGGGAGAGCAGGGTTGGCGGCGGCGGCGGCGGCGGGCACGGCAGCACCATTCACGGTGAGGTGAGCCGTGTCCCCCGCGAGTCTTGTTATCGAAGCAGCGTCATCCTGTGGAACTGGAGAATGTGTCAAGGCAGAAGAAGAGGACGGTTGAGAGTTGTGACTTGAAGACGATGAGCGATTCATGTGAGATATGTAAGGTGAGGTGGGGGATGCTCGTCTGGCGGGCGAGGAGCCCTGTGTCTGGTGTTCTTAGTGGCGGTAGATAAGGGAAGCCTTGGATGATACGGTCCCAAATAGCGGTGTTAATGTATGATGACGCGCGAGAGAGGATCGGAAATGAGATATTTATTTCTCCTTGCTCTTCTGCCCGGTTGAATTGGTGTTTTTTTGTAGGAGGATGATGGTGGAAGAAATGCAGCGATATTGGTGGCGAGAATGCTCAAAAAGTAACTGAATGAGTAGAAGTTGCGCAAACAGGGAGAAAGTCTGGTGATGTGTGAAGCGGGTTGGCTTTTAGGCTGGCGTCAGGAACTGGCCTTATGATGAAAGGGATTTGCGATCACTTGGTCATGATCGTGTGTGCGGTCACTGGCGGTCACTAATTTTTCTTTTCGTTAGGCGAACAGGTGGGCTTGAGCCGTGCAGGCTGCTCCTCGGGGGCTGAGTGCAGTCCGGGGACGATTCGGCTGGACAGTGAAATAGGCTTCGACGCTTAGGTGGTTACTGACTTGACAGCGCCTGCGTCAAGGGTCCCGAGGAAAAGATTGGGGGGGATCGGTAGGCTTGGTGAAGACTGAATGGCGGCCTGGCACGGGCGAGAGAGGGAGGGAGATGTCGGGATTTCGGGGGTGCTCGTGGCAGCGACAAGTCCGACTTGCTGACCAATTATTAATACCAGGTGCCTCCAGCAGAGATAGGGAGGATTATACGGCGAGCGAGTGTTCGTACTCGTTACCTCTACCGAGAACGATGGCCCGAGAGGCGTCTGCGGTGAAACTCTGATGTGGCGTGTCTCTTTCTCTTTCGACTGGCTGCCTTTGCTGCAGCAGTGCGATCTGTTCCTTTCCAGAGGTACCTAGATTGTTGCTGAGGACCTGCAATGGCAAATTCGCTATTCGTGCGTGACGAACTGGCCAAAAGAAAAATCTTTTAGATCGAGTTAAGCTTCTTTGAGAAGGAAGAAACTTTTGTGTGAGGGATATTCTAGTCGGGGTCTGGATGCCAGACTTTGGTGGGTTGGAATTTGTGGTGACCGCGGTGGCTTTTCCGGGCGGCAGTGAACAGGAACGCAGGACGATACCAGACGGTGCCAGTTCCGGAGGGATGGTGCGAGCACAAATAAGCTGATGGCGAGTGAGATACGGTGAGAAGAGGCGGTTGATAGACTGCACTTGGTCCTCAGGGTGAGGCTGAGGTTGTGGTGGCTCTTCTGCAACGCTGACAGTGACACTGCTAGATCATGATGCCGCAATAATAGCAGCGCTCTGAATGCGAATTCCTGGCGCCCACAGAGTGACCGAGGGCGCGATCTAGACAGGCCGGTCAGTGCTTTCAGTGACAGACGGATGTACTGTGTGGATGATTGCCTACCCTCCGTGTTGTAGGCAGACTAGTGGAACGCAGTCGAACTCTCTTCGAGGGAGTCAGTAAATGGGAAGTCCTCGTGCTGCACAAATGGAGTTGCACTTTCGAGAATGAACACACCGCAGACTCTCCCGGGTAATCGTCGAATCGCTTTTATATACATACCTACATATTCTCTCGCTGGTTATACAAGATGCCTCTCTACCAAGGGTGCAACCCGCAGACACGGTGGCGGTCTCAAATTAGCCCATTTGGTGAACCCCATCGCCATTTCTAGCTGCATCCTGTGGTCAAATGTTTTCCCTCCCACTTCGTTTCCATCCACGGTACGCCGTGCACCGAGGCATCCTTCACTTCGTGCGTCCACACCGCCCAACATGGATTCTACGAGACGCGCCTTGATCTGCTGGGCCAAGACTTCGGACGCACAAGCCGACATCTTCACGAGCCACTTGGTGCATGCGCTGGCCTTTCTCCCTGCTGTATACCACAGATCTACCATGGCCTGTCGCGCAGACATGTGCTTGCCACACCGTTGATTCATATCACAGTGAGCTCAACGATTCCAATCGCAACTGCAGTGCCGGTTACACAGTGGGAGCCACGCCGCAACGCCATGAAGCTTTGTGGTGCTTGACGTCCGGATAGACGGAACATGAAGCTCCTGGTCAAACACCGTCGTGAGGAACTGCCATGTGGGGAGCACTTCGGTCATGGGTGTTTAGCGAATCTGACGGTCTTTCTTTGCTTCTCGGTTGGTTCCCTTCAAACATACAGTATACATGTCTTCATCCTCACCAGACACGGCGGCACCCGTGATGGAGGGGGACTAGTTGGTGAACAAGCCTGCCTCCGCATCAGAGGGGCCGTCTGCAGGACCACCGGACTCTGCATTGTCAAAGTCATTGGCCACTATGAATCCTTCGATCGTGTGTTTCCGGATCACTATTACCCTATTGCCGCTTCTGCATGCCGTCTAGGTAAGACGAAACGCAGACTGCACGCTCACTTGCACTTGCACTTGCATTAGTCCTTTATTGGGGCGCCACCCTTCATATGCCGAGATCAAACCGGGGAAAGTCTGAGGACAAGCTCACGCTCTGCTGGCTGCACCCGTCAACTAACTCACCTTTTCGATGGCGAAATGCCTGGTTGTACAAAGTCGCAGCCCAGTATCATCTGCATCTTGCCCATTGTATCAATCATTGAGACATCAGGACACCCAATCGTCCGACCACGGGTTACCACTACGTTCGAGGCACAGCATAACCCCTGGCCTGGAGGCGGCATTAGGGTGCTGCTGGGACACGATTCCGGTCACTTTATGGACACACGAGCTGATGCGTGCAGGTAGGACTGAAACGAGAACATATATATACTCAGCCTTGCGGCATGTGAAAATTGGCACTTCGAAAGTGTATCGTGTCTCGTGTCACGAGTCTATAGGATCGCATATGATTTCAGCATGAGGATACCTTCGTGTAATGCCAACACTGCTTTCGTGACCGTTGACTCGATGGATCTCGCCACTCACGAGACACCAATTTCTCGTGCAGTCCATTGCTGCTCCAGGTACACTTCCAACCGGTTGTTCGGGTGTGACCTGGAGCCTTCGATACCCTGGTTGCAGGTTAGAGACTTTCCGAGTTCACAATGGATTGCTTGTGGAGTTTGCGCGGAATGGTGTGTCGTGGAGTGCTTACTCAGGCTACTACTCCCTATGGAAATCACGGAAGGTCACCGTCATTGAGCGTTGCTAGTACCGCCGTACGAGTACTCGTTCTTGATCTGACGCCACATCCATTGACGAGGCCGATCCCCCAGCATACTCAGACCACATCTTCCTCGTGATCCGATATCTTTACCCCAGGACTCGAATAAACCCTTCTCCGCATTGTTCAGCAGCTTACCTATCAGCCTAGGTAAGACTTGCTAAGGCAGGGACATACTTGGAGCCGTCTCTATGTCCTTCGTTGTCATTCTGGGCGTTGAACTGGCATGCGTTTCTGGACAGCGTCACTGCTTGTTCAATCGCTGATCAATGGCAAGCAAAATGACAGAAGCAAACTACTTGAAACGTGTGAAAATTAAAGCATCTGTCCCTTTACCGACCTCTCCATTATCAACGAGTTCAGGTGCGGCTTTGGAATGATGCGAAATGCCATGTTACGTTGTACAGGTTATCATCATTGACTGGGGAAGGTCGTCGGTCGAGCGATCAAAAGCGTAAATGTGAAGTTACAGAATCAGCAATGCTCTATTTCTCGTCGTCGGTAATTGAAAGAGGCACAGTAAACATAGCTGCCTGCAGAAATGACGTTGTGCCATGTCCGACGGCCGGAGTTCAGCTCATCAGTACTGGTTCTGTTATATGAGCCTCACCAGCCTAGGAATCACACGCCCTCCACATCTCGGACTTCGAAACCACCTGCGTACATGAGGTTACATCGGATTGTACGTGCCAGTAATGACATCTTACAGTGTCGCCTGAGAGAAGCAGTCACAATACCCAGGCTGCAGCCTGTCATCCCCTCGAGAGTGAAGACGAATACGAATACGACAAGCAAAGCAAAGCTTAGTCATCGGGCGCTGTGAGATTCCGTGTTTCTATTGCTATTCGAGAACAAATATCCACACCGTGAGCGGATATCTCCTCATCAAAATATCAAATAGACCGGGGCTGTGTACTCGTAGCGGGACAGGACTTGGGCCTCGCATACCTGTGCCTTATGGCGTCGCAAGGCTTCTTGATGCCAAACCAGCATTATGGGTTAGCGAGCGCAGGCTACACTAGTTAGTTAGTGGCCTACAGTAGTACTTAGTGCGGCCAAGGCCAGTGACTCAGTGAGGCTTTTGAAGCTGAACCAGTTAGTTAGATGTTTTTAAAGTTCAAAGGGTCAAGTACTTGTACTAAGGCTTGCGCGTTCCGGCAAGCCAAGAGTGCGTATTTGAAATCAACTGGAACGGGGACATCAACTTCTTCACCTCCGGCCAGGCATTTGGCATGATCCTGGTAAACCCACGCTGACTTGGGCGGACAACGTGACTGAAGCAGGACACCCCTACCACCATACAGTAAAAAGTACATCTGACACCTCAAGGTTGGGAGGGCGAATGTCGGAGAGGGAAAAGTCCGACGATGGTTCGCCTACCGTCTCGCCATCGGCCATCCAACCATTTTGCACAGTTCCGCTGTTCCCCGTTCCGAGATCTGGTTTCAGTCACTTCTTTAGTGACAGCCTGGACAGGGGGAGAGACTCGTGCTTTCGGTTCTTTCGCTTTTCTGGGCCAGTTACGTCCCTCGCTTGTGCAGCTCCGCCCGGACTAGCCCTTGCAACTCCTCGATTGAGGCGGCATTATGGAGTAGGTTTAACAACAATTTGTTAAAGAGTCATGGGTACTACACCAAGGCCTGAGCACCAATGCAACCAGCACTCGCGCGAACCTTTTTGATTTTTTCGGGAGACATAAAACAACAAGCCACAATGCGAGATGACGATGAATGATCGACCCAAGGTAACCCACCCACAGGGGATGACTTAGAAATATAGGTAAGGAGACCAAGCGAACCCGTTGAAGTCCATCGAATATATCCGGATCGGACTACTCGTATTACCTACCAGCACGGACCGATGAAACCACAATATTCCAGGTATCAAATTGTTAAAGCTTTAATTACTCCCTTTCCTTCACCCCCTCAGCACACGAGGTACGACGGTATCACAGATATAGCACGACGACACGAGAGATAAGATCTCTGCTACAATTTGCGTAGCTCTAACTCAACCCCATACAATGGACCCTAAACAGTTACTGAAACCGTTCAAACCACGAAGAGCACATACAAAGTCACGAAATGGATGCGCGTACTGTAGGAGACGAAGGATCAAGGTATGTAAACAAAACATGCGTCAACAGGCCCGTCTTCGAGGGGACAGTGCACTAACCAGATGCTTTATTGAATATAGTGCGATGAGGCCAAACCGCAATGTCACAACTGTGCCTATAGAAAACAGCCTTGCGAGTACCCCTCGGAGGCTCAGAAAGCGGCAGCAGCACAAGGTCGATCCCATAAGGGCCCATCGTCGGCGTCGCTCGACCTGGACGAACCAGGCCAGACCTCTGAAGCAGCACTACCGAACTCACCATCCACGTCGCCGACCTCGTGGCCGCTCACTCCGCTCTTGCAGACATCTAGCGAGCCGTTCCAGGCGCTGTCAGCAAGCCTGAGTCCGGATATAGAGGTTCCAACCTTTCACGAAGATCTTCATCTTTTCCATTACTACCTGGACCCGGCCAGCCGGAGTGTCGGAGCGGCACCGCCCATCGCTCACTCGCACCGGCTCTCCATAATGGCCATGGCAGCGACCAATGAGGGAATGCTCTGCGCGCTCCTGGCCGTGACCGCGGCCGCGTTCTGCGTCGACGCCCTTGTTGACGGGACTGCGCTTGAGCACGCCGACGACGTGCAGCGGCTGCTCGCAAAGAGCGACCTCTACCACGACCGAGGCCTGCAGGCGGTCCGACGACAGGTGGCCCTTGGGACGCCGAGAAATCTAGAGGTCGCACATGTTCTTTCTGCCGTGCTCTTTCCCTACGCACTGGCCCGGAGGAGACTCGTTCGCCTGCTGAAAACCCAGACACGATTCACGATGAGCGAGACGTACGGTGTCAACGACGACGACCACCCCACGAACGTGCAATGGGCGACTCTGCTCCGCGGGATCAACACGATCGGCACGGCCTGCTGCAACTCACCTCTGCACCAACATGATAGCCCAAATCCCGAGTTGGTGTACGAGGGGGAAGTTCCCCCTGCGTCCGTGTCAGCGTACATCCTGCAGGCCATCGAGGTGAGCAAGGAGAAAAGACGCTTGAGCGCGACTTCGGCGCCGCAAACGGTCGACGTGGATTCTTCCTTGATGTCCATCATCTCTGTGACGAGGGAGGGTGCCCTGGACGCGCTCCAGGGGAGAGTCGACGCACTCCAGGTAGACGTTCGGAGGTCGCTTCGTACCGAGCTGCCCACGATGGCCTTTCCAAAGGCCAGTGAACAGCTTTCCAAAGCCGCGTCCATATCTGCTTGTTCACTGGCCGTCGACATTTTGATATCGATTGGCAATGCACTGTTTCCGGAGAACGACGACAATCAGCACCCTTCTCATTCTCCTCCTCTTGATCCGATGAATGACGAGATGGCCAATCTAGGCCTCGACGACCGCGGTACACATCCGAGACTACGGTGTTTGTGGCTCAATGAATCTTTGAGATTGCCGCACACATACCACCCTTCCCTGCCCCTGATGCCGGTGATTCTGCCATGGATCAATCGCCTCCCGGAAGATTTCATGGCCATTTTGGAGTTGCCGTGGCCGTCGCGTGTTCCGGCGGCGCCGTCCGAAGGCGGAGACGTCGACTATGATTACGAGATACAGATGCTCGCGTGGGACATCTTTGCGCACTGGCTTGTTTTTGTCATGCTGGTCGAGCGAGAGGCTTGGTGGATCGGCGATCTTGGAAGAACGGATATCAAGAAATTGGCGAATATGATCCGTCGTCATCCCCAGGCCCCTCGCGACGAGAGCATGTCTGACTACGCCCAGAGTCAGGGAAAGGGCAAAAGTTATGGTTGGTGGCCGATGGATATGTGTTCTGTGGCGGAACAGTTGCAGAGATATAGAGAGCGGTAAGCGCGACGGGTCTTGACAGAGCCCATCTCACCTTTGCTGATCTCAGTTCATTTTTCTTCATGATGTTAGCGATTAGATTCCCCACTTGGATAGATAAATAGAGTGCTTGTTTCGGTTCAAAGTTTGTCTTTGATCTTTTCATCTTCCACCTTTCAATTGCCGACTCTCAAGTGAGGCTTCGGCTTGCGTGATTACATCTCTCTCGTGTGGGATGTGCGGATTATGCTTATTGCTGAGTTGTTGATGGATTCGGTGTCGAAAGTGTCGAAGTTGATATCGAACTGGAAATCGACGTAGTGAGGTGTCGCGCTGCGCCCTAAAGATGAGTTCCCTGAGGAGTAGGATAGAGCCGTCGAGGAGGGAGGGGGCTGGGACGAATCCGATGAAGCCGGTGAGATAAAGTGTCATGAGATTTTCAGGCACGAAGAAAGCAATGGCGTCTGTTAGACTTCACCGTGTCTGTTGAAGTAGAGCGTGATGGACGTCGGCATCAGAACTTTATGGTGTTGAAATATTGGCCTTTTTGAGTACATGTATGATGACAGTGTGGGCTGGGAGTTTCAAAGCAAGTGAGCGCCAGAAGGGCTCTGTGGTGTACCCACGTAGAGGTAGAATGCCATGAAATGTCCCGATCAGTGTCAGTCTGTCTCCATACTGTGAGATATGGCAAGCGCGCAGAGGATCAGAAGTGGGTGTAGTAAGAGGAAAATCTGTACCAGGACGGACGTTCAATACTGAAGGGGGCAGTGATCAAGATATATCCCTATCCAGACTAGATTTATACGCTTGCATCTTAAGACCCCCACGGCTCTGAAGGGGCCAGGTACCTGTAGTCAACCAGTAGTACTGCGTGAAGGAGAACGTATTCGTTTTCGCTTGTGTATTCGGTTCCATCTGAGAACCTGAAGCTCCACGATGCTTGACCAACACGGGGTCTGGAACGGGATGGTAGTGAATTGTGATTCGCTGTGTTATAGGGTAGACGAACCTAGCACACTTCGGTTGAGCTTATATCTGTAGCTGTACTAAGTATAACCGTCCCTTATCGTCTGTCTCGTTCCGGATCGCCACCAGGCTTGATGATTGGGCCATTGAGTGATCGCCTATTGCGTTGTGACTGTCGTTGAGACTGGTGAGGTATGGTAGAAGTGTATTGCCATGGGTGAGGGGTCATCTGGTACTTGTGGAACGTAGACGTATGGTGGATTCCGAGAATATGGTCGGCCAACGTTGACGGAGTCCAGAGAGGGATACCGAAGCGAATACGTATACGCAGAGATTGGTTCGAGGTCTTCCCGGTTCTCCATCAATCTGTTTCGGCCAGTATGGCACTGTATCCTGCAATCCCTGCACGTCTTCGACATCTGCATCCAAAAAGGTTGCGAAAATGCGCTTCTGAAGCAGTTTTTTTGGCGCTTCGTCAGGACCATCTCGATCTGGCCAAAGAGGCGCACCCGTTCCGAAGGATGCCATGTCGATGTTTCATGAAGTCTTTCTTGATTCCGCGAAGCAATTCCTGGGTCTGCAATCGATCTAGTCTTTTCACATGTCAAGGCTGGTCATGATTGATACTATCTTTGCGCTCGATCAATACGTTCTGAGCCCCATCTTGCGGGTTCGACCCGATCTTTCGGTACCATTGGGACTGCTGCTAGTCCAGCTCCTTCGCTAGGGTCAGTTGCTCTCGTAATGGTGGTCGAAACCAGTGAACGCAAGTCCTTCATAGTCTTCACGTGTCTCGCGCAGGTATACGCATGAGCTGAAAGTAGCTCGCATCCTATACATCTCACCTTCTCACTGCCCTTTTGGAAACGGCGTATTGAAGATGGATGAAGCACGTGTGAGGCAGCAGAGGCCAGACGACATGCTCATCTGATGCCTTGTTGGTCTCTTGCATCAATCCAGACGAAAATTTACCGTGAGCAGCTAATGCGGAACAGCTTGCTGATTCTGCCAACGTATCAAAGCTGGAGGGTGAAAAGAAGGTATTCCTTGAAGCTTTTCTAGAACAAGTCAGATCGGGGTCGGTTGTCGGTGACATTGACGAGGCTGCTGCGCTAACCCAATTAGCGTCGAGCTTCGTTTGCGGGCTTGAAAACCGGCGCGGGTCAAAGTCGCCTTTGTCTTCACCGGCTTCAGAATTCACGGTTCGCGTCCTTTAGTGAGAACTTTGACAATCACGCATCCTGCAATCACTGGCGACAACTTTGGCAATGACCTAAATAATATCTGGAATACCACCGCATCCTCTACACGATCCTCTCCAACAACGATCCTTGAACACGTTGGCTATGACAGTACCTCAATGTTGATCGAATCCATCTGCGCCAATGTCTGCGCCGTCCACCCGCGGTCAGCGCGGTGGCAGCTCGACGAGAGGCAATCGAGTATCCCAATCATTCCCCCCTCGCGGTCGCGGTAGCACCCGTGGTACGCCAAAACCACTGCAGGCAGGACGGGGAAGAGGTCGAGGTGCTGCGGCTGCCAACGCTTCCTCCAACGGTGGTGATGGGCTGTTGCAACGATTGAGGGCGGGTACTGTCAAAAGAGGATCTGACAATGGCGGAACAACTCCAACAAGAGGTGAGGATCAAGATGACGATTTATGGGTGGAAGTACTGAGAAAGGCCAGGTCGCGGAGCTTCTACTACAACACCTTCGTCCACAACCAGCATCCGGGGACGAGGTCGTGGGCGTGGATTTTTGTCGCAAACCTTCAATACACCAAAATCTCCTGCGTCAACACCTCCTGTATCACGGACTGCTTCTCCTGCACCCACCAACCATCGCGACTTCATGAATACTGCCTATACGAGATTCCAAGAGGTGCGTCACAGTCCTTTCGGCGTCGAGCTGACTGCGGTTTACCATGTAGGCGTCTAACATGCAAGTCCCATTTAGCTCAAGACGAAGCGAGAAGCCGAACGTGCAAAGGCCATTCGTGATGGGTTCCTCGCAGATCCCGAGAAAAAGACAAGCCTGGACAAAGCCATTACACCAGTGGGCACATGCACCGAGATGTGTCCCGAGTTTGAAAGAGTGGAGCGCACTGTTCAGAACATGGTTGACAAGGCCGAGAAGGTGTGATCGGTCAACTCCTTGAAGAGGGAAGAGCATGCTGATGGATGGTTAGGTGCACAACGAAGATACTGGAAAAGACATCCCTTCAGAGGACCGCATGGTCAAAAGATTTCGACGTTCGGCTGCAGGATATGATGAACAGCTACCCTCCGATATTAGAACCCCTGCGACACTCCGCAAGACGTTGGACTACCTACTTGATAATGTGGTTGGGGGTGAGGAACGACTTGCAACCATCCATAAATTCGTCTGGGATCGGACCCGAGGTATTCGCAACGACTTTTCGATTCAACAGGTGACGAATATCGAAGATGTCAAAATTGCCGTCGATTGCTACGAACGGATTGCCAGATTCCACATCCTCTCGCTACATCAGCTCTCAAACCCGGACAATCTGTGGGATGGCGAGAACTTCGATGCTCATCAAGAGCGTGAGCAGCTCAACAATACTCTGCTATCCCTGCTGTATTACTACGACGACAATCGCTCGCGCATCGAGTTCACTAACGAAGCAGAGTTCCGAGCATACTGCATCATATTTGAGTTTCAGTCACAGCATCCGGATTTGGAAGATCGCATACAGGCGTGGCCTTCCTATCTCCTCAACGACAAGAGAGTACAGACTGCCCTCAAACTCTATCAAAATGCCGGTAACTCTTTGTTCGATCAAGGCCCACTTCGACCCATGGAACCATTCCCGATCGCCCGGAGCAACACGGGGGGATTTTGGCATCTTCTATCATCGAAGGCCGTGCCTTACATCATGGCGTGTGTGGCAGAAATCTACTTTGCACATATTCGATTTGCGGCTCTGGACGCTTTGTGGCGCTCTTGCAAAAGCGCCCCTGCAGCTCAACAAGCAAAATCTAGAGATTGGAGTCTCAGCGAGGTCACGGCGTTCCTCGGTTTCGATACCGACGAAGAGACGACGCACTTCTGTGCTGCTTTCGAACTTTACTTTGGGACAGATGAACATGGCGAGGAATACCTTGATGTCACTTCGAACGCTTCCCACTCACTCGATCGTGCGTACGCCCACTTCCCTAGCACTGGTCCTGAACAATTTCTGATATCTGCGTAGAATCCTCTATACCCAACAAGCAAACCTTTTCTCACAGCTACGTCGAGAAGAAACGCTACCATCGAACCCTAACTGCCGTCATCAATGGAACCTCGGTTAGCGAAGCGATACGCCGGGGATTGATCGAAGCGCCGGAGGACGAGGTGGACAATGAGCAGAATGAAGTGAACGATGACGATCAAAGCATGTTTGTACCTCAAGATCAACCAAAAGCTGCGACTTTCGGCACCTCATTGAACCCGGAAGCCTCAACTTTCACTCCGAAGTTTGGACAAACACCAGCCACTCCGAAAACGATCGAGTCTTCGACATTTGGACAGCCAACCTCGACATCGATGTCTGGAAAACAATCCACTGGGTTCGCTAGCTCAGGCTTTGGTGGCTTTGGGTCCTCGCCTGTTCCCGCAGACTCGCCTTTTGGCAAGCCATCCCCTGCTCCCAAGCCACCAACGCAGCAGAGTGCTGGTCCACCCAGCTTTGGGGGCTTCAAAACTTCTATCGAAACTACAGCAGATGCGGGAAAGAATGCGACTTCTGAAAAACCTGCTCCGCCCATCTCCAGCGAACAGAAACCTGTTTTCAGCGGGTTTGGCGGTTTTGGGTTGGAAAAGGCTCCGTCTACGCCAGCACAGACCTCAGCTCTTTCCCCTTCAATATCTACCAAAACATCGGGTGTCCCTCCGATCTTTGGACAGGCTCCGTCTTCCCAGACAAGCTTCGGTTTTTCTAAGCCAGCTGAAGGTATGCTTAGTGATTTCCCATTTGCGACAGGATTAAATTGTCAAGAAAGAGGCTGCAGACTAATGGTGTATTCCCTTTCTAGTTACAACGACCAAATCTGCCGACCCGCAACCACCAGTATCATTCACAAACTTTTCACAGCCACCTATAGATCCTTCAAAACCAACAGAGGCTACGCATACGCCTCTGCCACAGATCTCGAACAAGACTCCGTCACTTTCCTCTCCAGCTCCATCGTTCGGATTTCAACAACAGCCAGTTTCACAATCTCCACCAACGAAACCGCAGACATTCGCATCGCCCTCTCCTGCTGGATTTTCTTTTCAGCCTGTCTCGAAACCGAACTCCTCACCCCCACCAACCTTGTCTGCCGCGCAACCTGCATCCCAGTCTAAGGACACCCCCAAGCCTTCTGAAGCTTTCAAGTTTCCTCCTATTCAACCAGCACCAACTTCATCACCGATCCATACTCTTACACCGCCTTTACAAATCCCATCCGAGCCACTTGCTGCCTCAACCTCACGACCAGAAGAACGACCTCAACGAAGCACCACACCGCCTCACTCGCCACCTCGATTACCTACGCAACCACCCTCCATTGAAGTCGAGCGCGTGCGCCTTGCCAATGAAGTCTCTAGAATCGCCCTACTGCGCCAAGACGGGTTGATGAGGAAATACATTGAATACATGATTCCCGATCTCGTCAGGACAGCATTCAATCAACACCAGCTCGAGGTACATGACGCAGCTATTGGTAAGTAACAATGTATCTGGCCTTGGCATATGTTATTAACACATCGACTAGCCTCCATACGCGAACGTATCCTACAACGGAAGTTTGGCATGATCTGGCGTTCACGAGCCTGGAAAAACAATCTCAGTCGACGTGCTAAGCATCGGCGCAAACTTATCGCCGAGACAATCAAAGCTGAAGAGGCCAAGAAGAAAAGAAGCGAGGAAGAATTGGAAGAAATCTTGAGAGCCGCCCAGGAAACAAGGCGTCTTCAGCAAGAGGTCAGAGAAGCAGCCGAGGCAAAGAAATTGAAAGAAAAGCAAGACCAATTTGCCATCAGCCAGATTGTTGGGCGGAAGAGAAAGAGCTTTTCCGAACAAAAGCCTAAAGATAGCAGGCTTTCCGCGGAGTCTACCATCTCTTCGTCCCTTGGGCATAAGCGATCCAAGACGATGAGCACCTCTTCAGAACCGTCATCCTCTTCGGTGCTTGGTGGTAGACCTCCTGTACCTGTCTTTCATTCCTCAACAAACCGACCGCCCCATGTGTCTATCTTTTCGGGCAAATCCGTGTTCGGTCGGTCTACGAGCATCCAGGATTTGCGAAGATCTAGTATGGAGCAGAAGATGGACAACACCCACACCGACTACTTCCGGCTCAAAGCGATGGGTCTGGACCCCGAGACACCAATCGTCCCTGACACGAAGGAAACACTAGCCATCCGAAAACGAAAAGAAGAAGAAGAACGACGAAGTGTTTTGGCCCGAGCCAGAAGACGACCGTTCGTGCCGTCCTCTGCGCAAAGTTCGCCTCCATCAGCATCACCCCAGCCTGTATTTGCACCTATCGAGACTAGTCCTTTGATTTCACGGTCAACTACGCCGATAGTAGTGTCGAAGAAGCCTGTTGTCGAGGATGATTTCCTTAAACAGATTCGTGAGGCTCGAGAAGCATTGAAAGAGCAGGAAGACTGGTTCAAGCAGCAAGCCGTGGAATTCGAGAGAGAAGTGGAGCAGCAAGAAGAGTTCAAAAAATCCCAAAGCAGTCATCGAGAAAGTGTAACTTCTACGAATGGCCTCGCCAGGGTCAACGGATACGAGTACCTTCCCAGTCAGAGTAAACTCGGCTCCAGCTTGTCACGCACGGAATTGAGAATTCGACAGACCGGCGCTCACGGCCTCGCGACAAAACCATTGCGGGTCAGTGGCGATTATATTCCTGTTGCCATGTCAAAGAAGAGTGCGCAGCAGTATTATGGCGGCGAGAGTCAAGCAAGCAGCCCTGCACGCAAAAGATCTCGTGAAGATGCCGATGTCAATAATCATGTCGACCCAACATCAAGTGACGATGATCAGGATTCCCATGTCAGTACGACTCGATATGCAATAAAACGACCGAAGTCTGCAGCTCAGTCGATTTCTCAGCAGAAGTTGCCAGCCAATCAAGGAATGCCTACTCAAGTGGCACAGTCGAATGCATTTTCATTGTTACAAGAAGTCGAGCTGGACGAAGAAGAGAGCCTTGAAGAAGAAGACGAGAGTCTTGAAGAGGAAGAAGATGAACTTTTTGACGAGGATGGTCCAGAGGGTCGACATTATTCTGGGGACTACGAAAATGCTGAAGAAGAGCTCGAAGAAGATGAAGATGGAGACGATCGAGAGAGAGAGGGCTATGAGGATGAAGACGAGGATGAATCTGAATCTGAGTCTGACGAGGACGATGGCGAAGACATCGGGTATGGGTACCACGATAACGGAGGACAAACACCTTTCTCGAATCCGGAATTGAGTCGAGCAGCCAGCAGTGCCCCTGGTGGAAGTGCTGACGATGCCTTGGTGTTGAGTGATAGTGACTGAGACCTTGGATGATCCACACTCGGTTATGCATCAGGTATTGAGATTCAGTCGAACGACATTCGTCGTGCTAGCTTATCAAACGCCGTTGGTACATGAGCCAACGCAAACTGTACTCCAACCTGTGCTCTGGAATACTAGAATGAGATTACATTTTGGGGTAAGTTTTGCTTTCTCCGTCTGTGTGCAAGTCTATCGATGACTTGCTAGACTCACTCTGTACTGTCATTATGCTTATGGGGGGACGTAGCCAGGCGGAGCAGGATGAGGCTCGGTCCGGGGCTCGAGGCTCGCGGATACACCTACAATATTGACTATTGTACGGAGTAGATACAGGCGTTAACTAAGTCAAGACGGGTATAGCGCCCATGCTGCCCATACTGCCACAGCCCTGCACATTTCGCTGACCTCTACTGAACTTCGCCGGGACGCCCTCTCCCCTACCTAAGGTACCTACCACACGCCCTCTAGTTGTCCAGCCGGGATGCAATCGCTGCTGGCACAATCTGCTTCGACGTGTCCCCGCCTATACAGCCAATAGCCATCAGAGAGATACCACAGGCAAGCTCTCCGGATGCAGGATGGTCACAGGGACCCGGGCGTCTCGACCAGCCACAATCTGCAGCCTACGCCCAAAAACTCGCAGAGAGGGCGTTCAGGTAGGGATCAAGTTTGCCCTGGTGGCTCCCCCCGGGCGCCTCGAATGTACCCAATGCCATCATGGACAGATGAGTGACTACACCGCCCCTTCGCCCTCTTAGCGCGTCAAGCCCAACCTGAGATTCCTCCTCGAGAAATGTTCAGAGAGATCGATTTGCATTCACCTTCAACTCTCGCTTTCAAACGTTTTCCAAACCTCAAACAACGACGCAGGAATATCCAAGGCTCTCCAAAGCACCAGAAACATGTCATCTATTCCTAACGACTGTTGGGAAACCATTTTGCGAGATGACTCCTTCATGGATTTCACAGGCACCGACATTGACTTTAACTCGGCCAGCGACTTTCTTGACTCCTACAATAACAGCAGTGTCTCAGAAAGTCTCATCGGGGACGACGGAGGTTATCGAGGCATCACCATCGCACCAGAACACAGCTTTGCAAACAATGGATACGGCGCAATCTCCTCAGGTGATGAAGGCATCAATCCATCGCTCATTGAAGGCCACGGAGGCTTTCCAAGCTTCAACATTCGACTGCCAGGTGCTGCAGGAGTCAACATCAGTCACAACTACGGTATGAACAATCAGAACACCTTTCCTTCGCCAACATGGCCCTTAGCCTCAGCGTACTCCTTTCAGACAGAGTCCAACAGGAGAGGGTTGAAGCGCCCCAACAGCCCAGGCACCCTGCCCTCTCAGGGCGTCCACGGGGCGCACAGCTGTCTCACCAGCTCGGCACAAGGTGCTTTGGATGCCGGGCCGGTTTCTGGCCATCACCATGCTGAGCCAATTGACGTGAGTTTTTTTTTTAGACTGACGCTAGCAGGGCGTTGATCAAGGAAGGCTCCTAAATCTTGGCTCTCTTGCGGGAAAAGCAAATCGATCACTTCACATTTGCCCGTGGTACAATTGTTCCAGAACCTTGGATTCCAAGGACATTACCAATGAACATGTCGTCGACCACCTGACAGCACTTTGTCGTGATTGGCCAGGCCCGATCGAGTGCCAGTGGTCTAGATGTAAATCGAAAGCAGTCTTCCACACCTACTCACTGCTGAAGGATCATATCAACAACAAACATCTTGAGCCACTCGTCTGCCAAGTCCCAGGATGCACCCGGCGGGAACCGTTCGGACGGCACGCTGACCTCCGCCGCCACAAGAGGTCTAAGCATGAGGATGTGGCGGAATACAGATGTCAGGTCAAGGATTGTGGCGCCGAGTTCCACAGAAAGGACAAATTAGTCCTGCATACGAGATCTGTACATCAAGACCTTCAGTGTATCAACCACCACTGCAGAGCGATAGTGTCTGGGAAAGGGGCCGTGAACCACCACCTACGATCCCATGGGCACCTTGAATGCGCAATTGGATTCTGTGCAAACGGGGGCAGGTCACATTTCGATTGGTTTAGTCTAAAGACTCATTTCGAAAAGGATCACTCTATATCCCGTTCAGTTGCGGATGAAATGGGAAGACTTGCTTTCCGCGCAGAGGACAGAACGGCACGTCCTGAAATGTGTGAGGAAAATAATATCACCTGGGAAGACTGCAAATGGTGTGCTGAACGCCGAGACCGCCTCTCTCAAGATGGCAATGACGCCTGAGCGTTTCTCGGTGGCCGAGTATTTCACTGTCTCGGGTCAATGGAATCTTCTACCATGGAAAAGAGATCGGATCTCCTTCTAACGCTCTGGGAAAGCTAGCTATGGCGGTGCAACTCAGGAGGACGTGCGGCATTTAATCTACAGGCCTCTCAGCATGCAATCGTTCAACACTATTGCATTAAGCGGGATGATCTCGACCTCTACTCGTAAGAAGTAGTCGGCGACGGCAGGATGGACTGGGCTTCAACACCCAGCTAAGTGGAGAGGTAAGGTAGTTAGGTAGTTAGTTGACAGATTTCAATTCAGCCTTACGGTGTTCAGTTTTCCATTTTCCGAGTCTCCAAGCTTGATTTGAGACTTTCTCTACTCTGGCCGATCCATACCGTCGTAGTAGTATCAGCATATCGTCGACGCTGCCGAGTACTCGCATCCTTAGATACCTATCTAACAAGCCTCCACTTTTCGACCATGATTGATAGACGGAGACACTAAGACAGTAATCTCATCTCGTCAGCCTGCATTCGTTTCCCTTGGTGAGTAAGGCACACATCTCCTTCATCGTCTTTGCTCAAGGACACTGTCTACCACCCAGATTTCTTTGCGATGCGTATACCATACTTTTCTATGTACGACATCTCGGCTACGGCTACAACTTGCTCTTGGTCTGGAACTTCTGGGCGCCCAACGCGACCTTCTCGACGCCCATGGTCCTGAACAACTCGTCGGACCTCTGTGCCTGCCGGGCCAATTTGGCCTTGATGGCGTCCCTGCGCGTGCGGTTCTCCCTCTTCCCCAGCTGCTGCAGATGCACCTCGTCCGGGCCGTCGGCGATCCTCAGGGTGCGCAGGTGCGCCCACATGTAGGCGAGCGGGGTGTCCTGGCAGACGCCGGCGGCGCCGTAGGCCTGGACGGCGCGGTCGATGACCTCGAGGGCGACCTGGGGCACCTTGACCTTGGCCTCGGCGATCTCCCTGAGGGCGAACTTGGCGTCGCGCTGGTCGGTCTTGATGGCGGCGTTGAGCACGATGAGCCGGCAGGCGTCGATCTCGATGCGGGCCTTGGCCACCCACTCGAGCAGCACGCCATGCTCGGCCAGGGGCTTGCCGAAGGGGACCTTGCGCTCGTCGTTGAGCCGGTTGATGAGCCACTCGAGGGCCTTCTCCGAGGCGCCGATGCCGCGCATGGCGTGGTGGATACGGCCCGGGCCCAGGCGGCCCTGCATGATCTCGTTGCCGCGCCCCTCGCCCAGGATCATGGCGTCGAGCGGCACGCGCACGTTGGTGAAGGTGATGTGCCCGTGGCCGTGCGGCGCGTCGTCGAACCCGTACACGCTGAGCATGCGGTGCACCGTGATGCCCGGTGTGTCGGCGGGGACCAGCATCATCGACTGCCGCTGGTACCTGTCCGGGTGGTCGGGCGCGGTCTGACCCATGGTGATGAAGATCTTGCACCGGTCGTCGCCCGCCCCCGACGACCACCACTTGCTGCCGTTGAGGACGTAGTGGTCCCCCTTGCGCTCCATGCGGAGTCGGATGTTGGACCCGTCCGACGACGCGATGTCCGGTTCCGTCATGAGGAACGCGGACCTGATTTCTCCCGCCATGAGCGGCTTGAGCCACCGTTCCTTTTGCGCAGGACTGCCGTATCGCGCAATCACTTCCATGTTACCCGTATCTGGGGCTGCACAGTTACATGCCTGGACGAGGAATGGTCAGAGAGTGGGCGGATTTGTCCGTAGAGAAAGCAGAAAGCGGAAAGCAGAGGACGGGATCTTGAAGGTGAAGCTGAAACAGAACTCCAAATCCACTCACCTCGCTTGCAGTGATACTCTTCCCCAACTGCTCCGCCATGAGTCCGTACTCGACATTCGTGAACTGCGGGCCTTCTTTGAAATGGTTCTTGGGCAAAAACATGTTCCAGAGTCCCAGGCTTTGGGCTTTACGTTTGAGATCGTCCATCTGATGAATGAAAAATACGCCAAAGAATTGTTAGCCATCGTATCACAAAGAGAGATAGGGGCAATGGGAGGGGAGGGAGGCAAGAGGAAAGAGAGAAGAGAGAGACACAGAGGAGAAGACAACTCACCACACTAGGATGTCCTTGCCATCTGGCCTCTCCGAGGCCAATTTGAGCATGGTAGACGGCGTCGGCAGGGATACATTCCTCGTCGACGAACTTCTCGACCACGTCCAACAACTTGCGAGCGCGCTCTGACACAAACGGCTGCGCGATGGGAGGGATGGATTCTGATGCTGTCGGGGCGGGCGCCATGGTAGGTATCGTGTTTTGTTTTTGGTTTTGGTTTTTGGTTGTCAGACGCAAAACACACACTTTCTCTCTCTTTTGCGATATCTCTACGATATCTCACTCAAGACAACACGGAGCTTTTGATCTCCAGATCAGTGAGAAGACAAGGAGGGAGGGAGGAAGACAGGAGTTCATCCAAACGCTGGAATTGGCCTCGGTTGTGATAGATTCACGGTTAAGCGTCGGGGTACCGTCCTCCGTATGGAGCAGATACTCTTTATATTATCTTTCTGTGCCTAGGTAAGGTAGTAGTATGCTCTGTTGATTTGCGGGGAAAAAGAAGAGAAACAGACCGACTATTGTATCTCCAGAACTGGAGTAGTCGACATTTACCTCGGCAACGTGCCCGACTGGGGTTTAACGAGGCTGAACGGGGTTGGGGGCCAGAACTGATCAACAAAACTCAAGTCACATCACACACAGTAAGTAGTACGGGATAGACTCTTCGCCCGAGGCCGACACTACCAAACTCATAAGATTTCCTCGGGCCTCGTCTCCAAAGCTGGCATTTGACAAAGGGTCGGGACGGGCATTTATCAAGGATTTCGGCCTTGTTGGTATTGTTTGCTCTGTTGCATACATCCATCCAGCCTAACTTAGTCAGTCCTTCAGAACCTCAAATCAAGACTCCCCCGTGTTTGAGATCGGTCACCGATGCTCTGCGTCCGACATTGAGCTTGGTGTACTATTGTTCCTTACCAGTACCAACCTACCTTTCTCTTTCTCTTTCTCATCGGATACGCCCAAGAAGGACCCAATCTTGGTCAAGAGCTGCGTGACGACATTCTGATCCTGCTTCCCATCTTCAACCTTGTTGATGGGTCGCCGCTCGACGGTATACGGGTATCCCCTGTCTCTTTTAGCCTCGCTTCGACGTGATTGGTGTTGTTGTCTCTTGTGCATCTCTGCCACTTCATCATCCTTCTCCTTGAGCCTCCGCTCCAGATACCGTACCCTGGCATCGAGATCCTCACTTCTAGGGTCAGGGGCAGGCCCACTACTGCCAGCGTCGGTGCTGTCCTGCTGCAGAGTCGTGATGAGGTTCAGGTACCGTGGATGCTGCTCTTCGGCCAGTTGTCGGATATTGACCCCTAGGCTAATGCCATCATCATGGCGCTGGCGGGCCCGTGCGCCGATGGCACTGAGTTCGCTAATGATGCTCTCAGTGCCTTCCTCGTCCTCTTCCCTCTGTGCCTCGTCCAGACTCTCCTGTAGCTCAGCACGTTCTCGGTCGTAATTCTTCCGTGTCGCACTGATATCTGCGAGGATCAGCTTCCCGGCTTCGGTCTCGGCCAAGGTCTTTCCCTCATCCACCAGTTGTCGCTGGATGTCAAGAGTGACGAGGGAGGAAGTGGCTCTCTCCATCAGCATGCGGACCATCTCTCGAGCCGATGACCGTTGGCCAATGTGCCGCGCGACCATACTCCCCAACTCTATCATGTCAGCCCAGTAGGTGCTCTGTAGCTCAGATAGCCGCTGATGCGCCACGTCTGCTTCACCGTTTCGTTCCATTTCCGACCACATGGTCGTTGCCAGGACGACATGCCCGAAGGCGGACTCCCCACACAAATTCTTAAACACGCTGAGATTCTTCACTGCCGAACCGAGCATCCTGGCGTCAGAGATGCGATGCAGGTAGATGAGTCCGGCCAGTCGGATCCTGTTGGCGTACATGGCGGCTAGGAAATAGGAAATGTCCTTCAAAATCTCCGCATCGGAGCGAGCCGTGTCGTCGAAACCTGGCGTATCGACCAGGAAAACCGTCCTGCCAGAGTCATCGGTGAAGCTATATGCCTTGACGTTCACCGTGTCTGCATAATGCAGCGTCAGCCTTGGGAGATCGTCTCTTCGGTCTTCCGGGATCCTTACTAGAGCGTAAGCTGTGGGACACCTCGACGTCTTGATCGGCAAGGAGGGATATAAACGAGCTCTTTCCCGATCCAGTGACGCCCATGATGACGATGACCATACTCCCAGCCCTTGAAGAGATGATGTTAGAAGTGTACACTCCAAGGACCGACCAAGACCCTACAATGACTGCAAACCGTGTCCGTCCTCAAGTTCTCCTCCGTCCCAAGCCGATGATCTCGACCCCAACCCGCCTCCCATCCCATCGCTCGGCGAAGATGGTATTGAATAAGAGGCAGATCCGTACTGCGAAGTTGGGCGCGAAGACTGTCTACTGCTCCTGGCAGGACGTCGGGGTGGCTTGTCGGACTGTTCCTCGGTGTCCAGGCTGATGCTTTGTCTCTGAACGCCACGATGTTGACCTTCAGACGGGGTACGTTGGAAATTACGGGGCCTCATGTTGGGCCGCCCTGTGCATAACAAAGGTCGATGAGGTGAAGATTTATTGTTTCTGTCGGTCCAAAAAGCGAACGAGATAGGTCGGAACTTCCAACAGGAGTTTGCTGGCAGGTCAGTATTATGGCCAGGGGTGGAATCACGTGAAGCCGGCCAGCTCCTTTTGAGGCAGACCCAATCAACAAGCGTCAGGTATGTACTGCGTACAGAGTGTCCTTGTCACTACTGGCGTCGAGTTCTCAATGTGGCCAAAAGACGGTGTTGGTCGGACAGGTACGTCTACAACGGTGCTTCACTCCGACTAACGAAGACCGGAACCGTACCTTATCCTATCCGGCATCAACAACGAATGCTGCGCGATAAGGCTTCAGTAAGCTTGTGCCGGTGGCAAGTTGGGAGCTGATCACTTCAGCAGGCGAAAATTCCCATTCACTCATGCCGTCAGGTAGCTTCAACTTTCGGCTCAAACCGGTGTCAGCCTCCTTACATGATATCGTCAATCCATTGCCAGTAGTTAAGCGAGTGAAGACGATAATGCATGAGACGATGAGTCCTAATTGGGTAGGTTGCAGCTGCACAATACGATGGTGTGGTGACGTGTCCCACGAGACGGCCATTCTTCGAAATATGGTGGAACAAATCATTGCAAGGACCCCCAAAAAGCGTCAATACTCGTCCTCAACACTGCTGGGGTATTCTTGGTAGTGCCTAGCAAAAACGTCAACGGCGACAATGCAACAGAGCACACCAAACCATCTCTGCCGACCTTTATTGGACGCTGACCACGATGCGGCTGAACGACGAACCACTAAGATGTATAATGGGAGTGCGCCATGCGAGCATTCACGTCGGATGGCGGGCAGAGTCGACACGCAGACGGTTTTATGAACAGTTGAAACCCTCAGAGATACTCAACTTGATGACCTGCTTATCTCAAGGCTCTCAACGGATCACAAGTGTCCTTTCACATACGGATTCATGGCTCTTAGTTACCCGTTTCCGAATCCCAACGAAGCAACCTACAAAGACAGTCCACCGGCATACGAATTCAACGACAGTGTGATGGAAATGAGTGATTCCGCACCTCTGCTTTTCCAGTAGGTTTGAATGACCGTGTTGAGCCTTCTGCTGGAGGCTGAATATATTGCTGATTTCCTTTCGCTGATGCCAAAAAAGAATGCGAGATTTTCGACGTGAACAGGCTTTTATCGCCGTAATGGGCATGACTGGTTCTGGAAAGAGCACGTTTATCCGGAACTTTTGCAAGACTGCCATAATTGGCGAGGGTCTCCATTCGAGCAAGTCTCCTCCTTCCAATAGCGTTTCCATGACGACTGCTCCAGCAGAGCTGACGGCAGAAAATTCCGTGTGCAGAGACGGCGAAGGTGGAAGCGCATCCAGCAGAGACCACCATTTACGGCCACGAGGTCGTCTTCGTCGACACGCCGGGCTTCGACGACACAACCCGATACGAGGCCGATATCCTGCGCGAGATAGCCGACTGGATTAGCGGAGCGGATGAAAAAGGTATCAAGCTAACGGGTATCGTGTACCTGCACGGAATCCAGAACCCCCGCGTAGGGGGCACCATGCGGAGTAACCTTCGGCTGTTTAGGAAACTGTGCGGCGATGCATCCATGTCGTCGGTGGCACTTGCAACTACGCATTGGAGCAGCAGCGAAGCAGACCGGGTCGCGCAGCGGAGACGGCACCAAGAGCTCATCGACGATGGCGATTTCTGGGCGAAGATGATGGCCAATGGGGCGCAGGACTTCATCCACGACAAGGGGCTGGCGTCGGCGCTGGAAATCGTACGCTACCTGCTGGACCAGCGGCCCCCGGGCGGCCTGAAGTTGGCGATCCAGCAAGAGATGGCCAGCGGCATGACCCTCAACGAGACGGGCGCGGGCAAGGCGCTCGAGGAGAAGCTCGACAGCATCCGGGAGTCGTACGAGCGCACCCTCCAGTCTCTAAGGGTCGACCTCGACGAAGCGAAGCGCGAGAACAAACGGACCCACGAGCAGAGGGAAATCGAAGTCAAGAGTATAACCGAGGAGATAAAGAAACTCGAAAAGAGGATCGAGGACGAGAGCCTCGACAGGATGCGCCTCCAGGTCGACCTGGCGACGCTCCAAAAGCAACGCCAGAAGGAGCTGGAAAGGGTCGCCGAGGACGCCAAACGCTCGTACGACGAGCTGGCCGATCGCTTGGCCTTGGAGCACGAGGAGCATCTGAGAGTTGAGGTCGAGAAGGAAAAGGTCAAGAGGAAACAACTCCAGGCGAGGATCAGACACGCCCAGGAATGTACAGTGATGTGAGGTGACGTTAAAAAGAGGGTCGTGATAGAACCGGAAGAAAATGGTTCCGGATTTCCGCCTCAGAGTATTTGATGGTCTTTGGGCTGCTTTCCGGGACGAGACAGCAGCTCCCTCCGCCCAATAGTATTATTTACTACAGTCAATACTATCCCAAATCTCACAGGTTGCGCTGCTATAATCACCACCGCCATAGAAAATGCTGCGGAAAACCCTTCGGTCTCTTGATGGAGTTGAAATTCTCCCAGTCTTCCTCTGACGGGGAGGTATGTATGTAGTTCACTGGCAGTCAATATATAATTGTATCAATCTAGCTAGGTACTTGCTCATTGTCATCGCTGCCATACACCCCCCCAACAATAGAAACAAACTTCTTCTCGCTAAGAGGAAGAATTTGATGTGAATTCAACAGAGCACTGGCCCCCCTTTTTTTGTCTGTGAAGGTCTACCGGCTGAACATTTGAGAACGAATCCCCAATCCTTTTCCTTAAAATGCTGTCCTTGTCGACGTAGAAAAATAATGTGGTATCGAGTAAAGGACATACTTCAACCGTCGCGCTAAACCCCCCATGCCTTTGTTCCAATTTTCTTTGATGTAACAAACACTGTTGGTACACTCCATGACACCTCGTTGCAAGAAAAAAGTACATCCCATAGAAGTCATCAGTGTCGAGGTCCCAATCAAGACAAAAGTGAGGGTCGAAAGTTGATCGAGTATGTGTGAAAGACGATGTTTTTTTTTCTTGCATTCCATTTCTCCGCTCAACCACCCAAAACAAACAAAAAAGCCCCCAGTAGATTGTCGACCGGGCCGTACAAAAGTTCAGCTAAAAGGTAATGCTCCGTAGAATCACAAATGGAAGTTATGCCAACCTCCAACCCACTCATGATCATCTTCATCCATCGATGAGTCAATCACCTTGGCTTGACGCCAATCCTGATTCAAGTACGCCGGGCGTGCCTTGCTCCGGCTGTCACGTCGATGCATGGGATGATGATCAGACGCAATAACTTGTGTCGGTCTCTTGCGAGAGCCAGTGGTGAAGGATCGTTTCTTGGTACTCCAGGTAGAAACGTGACCGTCGGGACCAGACTGAGGAAGACCACGTCTCTTGTCGCCCAAGGCCGCCCACTTGTCGACGGGAACTTGCTTGGGGGAGAGTCGAGCTGTGCGACCACGCCATCCCAAGGGGTCGTTCTCCTTCGAGGCATGGGTGGTCTTGACAGGAGAAATGGCCCTTGGGGTCCGGCTAAGACGGGCGTTGCTGGAGGATCTTGACTCGGTAAGAACACCGCGGGGGACAGGCAGTCCCTTCTGGCTATCTTCACTCCAGCTGCGCGAGTTTTGTTCATGTCTCATCTTGAGCTCGGCCTCGGCCTCGCGCTCCCATTCTTCCTCGTCCTCTTCGAACATGTCACTCCAGCTCTTGGCCACAGCGTCGTTCTTCTTTCCAAAGACTGACGACATGGTTGGGATAGGTCGAGATGCACGGATCGGCAAGGAGTTGGGGATGGGAACGGGATCCGGTCGTGGTGGATTGCGGTGGGTAGGACGCTGAATGGCCAAGGACTTGAGAGAGCCATACGCCGAATCCAGAACGGACGTCAGGGAAGGAGTATTGTTATGTCCAGAGTACCAGGATTCGCCCAGCTTGAGGCCTTTGTCGGAAAACAAATCCTCGTCGTACAGGTCAGGAATAGAAGCCAGTTGCGGTTGCTTGCTGCTGGGAGAGTGCAATGCTTTGGCCCAAGGGAACGAATCGCCATCCATCTGGGGACTCTGGATGGATGGGGTACGTAGGGGTTCGCGGTTGGCGCTGGCACGTACCACATCGCGTTCCTCGGCACAAAAGTCGTCAATGGACTCGTCGTCGGTGGTGAAGGTGACGGCACGAAGCACGGCCTGCTTCAGTGCAGCCAGGTCACGCTTGGCAGGGTCCAAAGCCATGGCAATCGACAAAATCTCGAACGTATCCTGTGACATGCTCGGGAAGATGTCGAAGAGAGACTGACGATCTCGAACATAGTCAGAGAAGAGCACATCGGACTCCGACGGGGTGACAAAGGGGTTTCTGGCAAACAAGACATTGAGCAAGCAGATACCAATGGACCAAATGTCGGCCTTGGCTGGAGAATAACCGATGTTGGCAGGATCGTACTGCTCCGGGGCCATGTATCGGTCACTTCCCACGCAAGACTCGTAAGACCAAAGGCTCCTGGTTGCCAGGCCAAAATCACCAAGCTTCATGGACCCGTCACTGGTGAGGAAGATGTTCTCCGGCTTGATGTCTCGATGATACAGCCCATTGGCGTGCATGTGCTGCACGGCACCGATGAGCTGGAGCATGAATCGTCGAACATGTTCGGTCTGCAACGGTCCACGGTCGAGTCGGATGGCCTCGTAAAGATCACCTTGGGAACAGTACTCCAGCACCAAATAGGTATGGGCTTCGGTGTTGAAGTGATGAACAAGGTTGACCAAGTGAGGATGTTGCTTGAGAATTGCATGGCAAGCCAACTCTTCAGCACCTTCGTCAGTGGTCGATGCTGGAGAGGTGTTATTGGCAACGGTCGGCTTGGTCAAGCATTTGATGGCCACCTCCTGTCCTGTATGGAGATCCTCCGCGAGGAAGACCATGCCAAATGAGCCGTGGTTGAGCGGGGCAACTGTCCGAAATCGCCCGTCAAGAATCTGGTCTTTGCGGAAACCATCTTTCAAGCACTCCATGGCAGGGTATCGTTGACTCGTAGACCTTGTCCAAAGTAAACTGTCGACCTCCTCTGGGCTGGAAAACAACAGCTTTCAAATCGAGAGTCGAGAAATATAGCTCAGGCGAGGTTTGTACACAGGGAGTATGGACAGGGAGAGGATATGTCGAGAGCAGCTGTGCTCAGATGAAGAAGACAAAGTTGAGGAATAAAACCACGACACCAAGCATAGATCCGCCTTAGAACTCGAAAGCTTCAACCACCAATATCATGTGTTTGAGAGAAAGCAACACCGCGGAACTCCTAGTCGTCGTGTGGTATCAGAGGCTCATAGAATAGGTTAAGGTCGTCGTTAACGTTAAGAGACAAAAGGAAATTGGGTTGTAGTCGAAGACGCAGAGCTTGTGAGGGCTCGTTGTTCAATCGAACAAGCAACGGGCGTAAAGAGCGTTTAGTTATTGAGTCATTGTTGAAGGAGAGCGAAGAAGGACTGGTTCCGGCTGCAAGTAGGCCAAAAAAGAGAGCGTAGGTACCGAAGAGTCGGAGTGAGTATTAGGTATTTAGGTAGAGTAAGTCGTCAAGTAGGTTGAGCCGAGGGAGTGAGAGGAAGATAGGAGGATGAGGTTGTGGTGGTGGGCCGGTCGAGGTCAATGGAGCCTGACGGACAATAGGCAACCACAGATGCTCGCCACCGAGGTCGTTGACTTGACGGTGGAAAGATCACTTGACTTGTATTGTTGTCAAAGAAGATTCTGCTTCTTTGTTATTGCGGTGGGTGCGGTAAGTTGCAAGTGACACCACCAACAACGGTCCAACAAATCAGGCCCAGGATCGACGTCGAGCTTCTGGAAAGGACAACGAGGACGATCTCAACGTCTCTTGCAGCCTTGATCAACTCGCCACAGCAGCTCGATCAACAGTATAGAGAGATTATAGGTACTGAGGAGGTGATGGTTGTCGAGTCCCGTACTGCAGGTATGGGAGTGGGGGAGCTCTGACAGAATGTAGCGGGGGTCGCCGGGTGGCAACGAGGAAGGTAGGAGAAGGAAGAGTCGTCGTCGAGACGGTGCGTATGAGAGAAGGACACGGCCAGGTGCTTTGGACGAGATGTATGAGAGCAACGAACACTCGTTTGCGGGCGTATCCTTTCACATTGCAGAGTGGTTCGACTTGGGGGGGTGAAGACGAGGCAAGGAGAGTAAACAAGAGAGATTATGGATGGGATATGAAGGGAAGATGGAGAGACAGCACTGACTGGCGGTGACCGGCAGCAAAGAGTCGGTGTCTGTGCCCCGGCCGAGTCATTGGGCGGTTGAGCAGTAGCTCGGAGGAGGGTCGACTAGGCGTTACTGAGGGACTCGTCGGCGGTGGCGCCAGCACGAGGCACGTCTTTGTTGGGCGATGAATCGAAAGACATGGAAGCCTCAGCGTTGGTGGGTTTATTGTCGACTACTGCGCCCGCTAGGCCGGTTTGGGCCATGGTGGCTCTGCACGAACTCGCCTCCCAATTTCCACTCCTAGTGCGTGACCACAACTTCTCAGTGCTGAGATATACGCCTGCCGCCGCTCATGGAGACCTTAGACATGGCCGTACGAGCACGAGTCCACGACGCGACCACAGGCCCGACGTCAGGTCAGATTCGAGACACGTCCAGAAGACACCTTTATTGGTCCTACGGCGCCGACTACAGCACAGTACAGTACAGTACTCGACGGGGACGAGGACGAGGACAACGCCGGGGCTTGGAGAGGGCTCCTGCAGACGTCTCACCAACCAATGGTCCTCAGGCCACAACGGGATCGCCGTCGTGAGCTTTGTCGCCTGCAACACGCAATCGAGCAGTGGAATACTCGGTACGGCTGACTCCTAGAAGATGCCACCTTGGCTACTCGCCATCCCGGACAATTCACTCAAGAGAATTACGAATCTCCTGCCCAAGATGTTGTCAGCGTTCCGAGACATTCTTGCACCTACAGTGCTCGAACTCTCATTTCCCCTGGCGCCCTCCTGGGAATCAATTCATTGTTGACGAGTGCATTGTCCACAAGCCCAGAGCTGTCATTCTATTCTCGGGAGACCATTTCCGGGTACAACCACAGTTGCCGTGGCCCGTCTTCCCCCTACTCGTGTCCGCAGGGCCTCGACCCTCCCGACGGCTGTAACAGCCAGAAGTGATGTATCGAGCAGTTGTCCTCAGTTCTGTTTGTTGCCCAGTACGAGTGCCACTGGTGTCTAGAACACGGCGAGCACCTCGTTCCCGCTTGTACGAGTACAGATGACCGATACGACTGCTTTGTCGGATATCATCGTCGATGTCCTGCTGACTGAGAAAGCTCACAAAGTTACGAGTCTCTCCTGCCTCCAGTAGAACCGCCGTGTGACACTTACCCCGCAAACACTCGGGTGGTTTGAGGATCCAGGAGTTCACCCATTGGGGTCTGCAGCAGTAAGTTTCAGATTCTTCGCGGCAGTTCACAGAAGAGTTTGACGACACGAGAAGATTCTATGAGTCTCCTGATTCTCTACTCACCCCACCGTTCCTCGAGTCACACTGGAGCGATATTCGAGCCGTAAACTGTAATGCTTTTTGGCGAGTCCCAAAGCTTTCCGGGTCATGTGACCGCGGTCTGGGGGGTGTCACGTGCCGCCTCTGTCAAGTGCCTCTCTTTTGGCCCTGGCGGGACTTTTTGACACTTTGGCACTGCTGCCACGAGAAGATCATGCTAACCGCGTATACTCGTACACCACAGCGACTGATCGACTTGAGGAGACTTCGATCCACTTCCAAGGGGTTCTCACAATTTGACTCGTAGAGATAGCCACGCACCGAGAATTTGACAGGGCGGCTTGGACGTGTCGGAGGCCGGTTGTTTATCAAGATCAGCAGTGTCACGGACTGACGGCCAAAGCAAAGGCCAAGTCAAAAACATGGAAGCGGCCACTGAACGATAAGGTACTGATTGCCAGTGATTGGTAGCTTCGTCGAGAGCATCATCTCGGATAATTTCGCAATCCACCCCAAGGGCTTACGAAGTCGACAGCTGGCAGTTTCGAGGGATCAACGTGAGACAAGTTGTTGATGTTTCGAAACAAATCCTTCTGTCATGGCACAACTCTCCCAGAAGCTCATCGAGTCGTCGTCGTCGGGGGCCTGGACATCAAGACCTCCGATCGGGAGTCGTTAGATTGACGACGAGGGACCGCGTAGATACGAGTCCTGTACAACAACCACAGTGCTGCAATTTACGCCGTTAGTACCGATGGTGAGTTGAAAGATCTTTTCGCTTGAATACCAAACACCAGTCTCTATGCTACGAGGACCAATTCGTGAAGTGTTCGATTCCTTGGTTGAAAGTCGGTGAGAAGCACAGAGAATGCCAATCTCGCTCTGGCCTCCTCCAGTGGGCTGAATGGCATTGTAGGAGTGCTGTCTGCAGGCGAGCCTAATGCAGCCTACGGGGTTACGCTCCGGCTAGATATGCAGGCCATGCATAAGCGCAGGGACAAGTAACAACTTACAACAACAACTAAACAACTCTTTTTTGTTCTCCCCATTTCGAGTTCACCGGGTTGGCTACGGAGTTCACGTAGTACGACAAGACTCGAACCCAGCCTTCCAGGTATCTCCTGTAGGTACAGGAGTCGTGCTGGTCCGCCTTGCTGTCAACAAGAAACCAAGCAATCAATGTTGCAACCGAGGACACTGACTGCTGACGGATCTGGAGTCCACGGCTGGTGAAACCATCCAGTCGAGAGAGGCCACGACCCGTATCTTGGTGTTGGGCGCGTTGATGCAGGTACAGCACTCCTTTACTTACCGCCGACGTGAGGTCTTGTTGTTGGTCGCCGAACGGGCCGCGACAGAACGAGTATGGAGGAGAGAGGAGATCCCTTGGTGGACTCATCAGAGAGTCGAGCAGGCCTACTGTGCAAACCTACAGTACAGTATTTCTCCTTGCTCGTGTCCCACTTTCTCCTGCAAATCCATCCTGTGTTCGTCGCGGGCCGAAGCTGGCGCGATTTCTGCACAACAATCCACAGCAGGTACAGTACAATACCTAACTACTCGTACTCGTACGGAGTATTGGAGTAATAAAGTGTCGCAGGCCTCTCACTCCCCCCACCAGCGCCGGCTAGGACGAGGAGGCGTCGGATCTCACCGCGGCTGGTCATTTTTTGGCTGGGCAAAGCTCCGGGATCATTGAGATCTCATCTCGCACCCGTTCATTGCATGTACAGTACTCCGTATACCACCCGGTCGTTGCGGCGGCATCTCGAGAACCTTTCCCAACCCGTTCTAAACACCCACGGGAGACCTGGGAACCAAGACGACAATCCAACCCGAACCACTGCAATGCAATGCAATGCTATGCTATGCAATGCAATGTAATACTATTATCCTCGCTACGGATACTTGTTCATCGGGTTCGCTTCTTCTTCTTCTTCTCCTCGGTGAAAAGTTGTCGGAGACATCGGGATCGTCTATCTTTTTTTTTTCTTTCGCTTTCTTTTTTTCGCCGCCCGACAACAGTCGCTGTCACCATTGCATGCATTTAGCTCGACTACTACTTCCAAGTACGTATAGTATGACTTTGTGTACGCCATACAAGCGACATGCCGACCCTCCCATCTGGCGTTATGGGGGGCTCCATTACATCTTTCAACCCCGGATGGCGGTGAACATACCGCTCTTGAATTTTGGTTGTTTTTTTTCCCTCTGTTTCGATTTTTTTTTTCTGTGTGTGTGCCTGCGAGTAGAATTTTTTTCCCACTCGCAAACTCGGCAAACGACACTTCTACACTACGAGAAGGAGAACGAATGTCGGGGGAAGTACCCGAGGGAAATCATCCCGTCACCATCTTTTTCACCTACCTTTCAGTTGTCCATCACAGGCCTGAGGCGATGGCACGAGATCCGGGGGGGGGTTTACTGCATGTCGATGTGTGTGTGTGTGTGTGGGTGTGTGAGTGGACGTTTTGTGGACTCACCTACGAGTACCTACTCTCGACAGTTTGTCGCGAGTATCCGGAAAGAAAGAAGGAAGAGAGGAAAAAAACAAGGCCAACCCTAGCTGCGCTCGATGGACAGGAGACAAACGACCAAACTAAAAGTTTACCGTGTTCATTCGGTTGCGCCCATTTATCGAGCACACACACTCTCTCTCTGTACCGTGAGAACTGAAACATGCTGTCTGCGTGTGTGCTGTACGGGCATCCTCGATCTTTACGGTACGTCCCCCCTTTGAGGTACATACCTAGGTAGGTAGGTATTTGATGCGCCTCCTCTGTCCGTACCGACAGTGCTTTGTTGAATCAGCTGTTCACAACGAACCGAGGGTCAACAAATGCTCTACACCCCATCATATACGACGGTGGTGACGATATCACACTGAGCGCAAGTCATCAATGGTCTGGTCACTTCGATAGTACTCGTAAGACCCTGATGTCTCTTGTACAGTACCAACCACGGACCAAAAGGCGAGTAATCGGTGGTGTCATTATTGTACAGGTCTTACGTGATATCTATATAAGCTAAACCATCCACATACCCTACCCATTATCAACAGTGCTGCCTCCTGAAATGTATCTCATAATTATCCAGACAAGCGCAGAGATATGACCTGACACATCTCATACTGTACGTTTGCACAGTTTGCGCTGGAATTGTGCAATGGTATCCCGTTGATCGAGATGCATACAACCGGCACAATCTTCCTGGGCATGCTCATGCGTCGTCGACATCTTTCGTCTTTTTGGTCTTTCCCCTGCAACCATCTTGCTCCAGCTACGACGCCTCGAAGGTGAACCCAACAAAAGTAAAAAGGCCAGGCCGAGAGACCCCAGGCATCTCCGTTTCAACAAGACGTATGCCATCATGTGGCCAGTACATCAACTTTGAACAAATACTTCGGTCGGATAGAAGACCCGATCCCCTTGGGTCTAGACTCTGCCCACAACCTGGTTCCAATACGATGTTGGACCTCGTGACGACAAACAGCATCAATAGTTGCTCGCGAAAAGCCGCTCCTGACAGCTAGAGGGCGCCACCCAGAGCTTCAACCAACCATAACGCGAGTCTGACCTTCAAACCCACCCTTCGATCAATTCTGGCCAGAGTATCCTGTGTGGCAATTGTAGCATCTGCCTCCAGGGCCTCCGTCTCTTTCTTCAATTTAGCTTTGAGTTTCTCATCTCCCGTAAGAATCATCGCGCCGACTTCCAAATCGAGACTGTAACTTCTTTTCGTATAGTTACTGCTCCCGACCACGGTAACACTGGGCCCGGTTTCATCAACGAGATTCGCGTCTGCACCTGGTTGTGGCGGCAGCGTCACCCACAGCCCTTTTGCATGATACGTCATTCCCCCCGGCTCGCCGACAGTGCCTTTACGCCATTCCTTCAGTTCTATCTGATTCTCCTTGCCGGCGGTGGCGACGGTGCGGAGGAAACGCCTGGACAAAAGAGTGTAGGCTGCTGGAAGCATACCGCTCACCCCAGGACTTCCGTAGAAGCCATTGGCCCAAGGCGAGGCGGTAATCACTGTGCACGCCTTTTCGGAGGCTTCGGTTCCTGGGACAACAACCCCAGGCTCGGGTGCAGCCGCAATGAGCAACTTGCAGATGTCGGGGTCAATGTTGAAGTAACCTGCTGTAAAGGTCCATCGGGACTTGTGCAAACGCTCGTCTTCAGCGAGATTGGTTAATAATCGCGTTATGGCTGGTTTCTCTGTCGAGGTGTACGTTGCAAATTCGTAGTCGAGGAATGCAATGTTTCTCGGTTGCCCCAGCAGGATGTCGAACTGGGCCAAGGGGTAAACAAAAGTTTTGTCTTTGGTAAATGGTACCGGAAACATCTTCTGTCTGGCTTTCTTGTGGATGAGTGGTTCGAGTGTCTCTTTCGCATATTGCTTGAATCTCTTGGTATGCCACAATGGGTCGGGGAAGCCGCGCTCATGAGGGCTGACCAGCTCAAATCCCCCTGATCGTTCGTCCGAGGGCCGGAGAGTATATGAGATATCGCAGACGCCTTCATGGACAGCTCCATAGAAGTCAGCGAGCTCCTTGGACTTGAACAGGTGGTAGCGGTCCAGTCGGTTCGTGAAGTAGTCGTTGGATAGATTTGCGCTAAGGATGGTCAATTTGCGCTCAAGAGAGAATCAGCTTGACATACCCCGACAGTATGATCTCATCATCGAATCCGTAGAGTTTCATGTGCTGCAGACCCCATCCTTCATTGATGCGTTTGGGCATGTACTTCTTCTTCCATCCATTCAGATTGGGGGTATGAAACATGGAGATTCTCACTCTGTCCCCAAACTGGGAGACCAAGGGTGCCAGAAGAGTGCCGCATGAGGCTTCTGGGTCTTCACGAGTCCCTCGGAGAGCATCTGTGAGGACCGAAAGCTCCAAATCAGGATTGGCTTCGAGAGCTTCCCTGAGCGTATCAATCAATTCGTGTTCAGTCTTTCCAATATATAGCGTGGACAAGTATATTCTTCTATTTGCTCCTCGTATTTTGGCCTACACAATGCCTTAGCAGGGCGTTCTCTCTGGATGATGTCCTGCACACTAAATACCTTCAGCGTCTCGTAGAAAGCAGTTGGGGAATCGAGGATTTCGATGTTATCAGGGTCTATCTCGAATCGAGGAGCAACGTGATCGAGTTGGGATGCAACCCCAGCAAGAGGGTGAGCGGTCGGAGGTGCAGCATGGCTGATGGCGGTCGACGAGGAAGAAAAGCGTCTTGGGATTTGGCGTGCTGCAGAAGTCGAGGGAATCCTGGTAGCTCGGGTGCAGTTTCGTAGAACTCGCACACCCACACCCCTTGCGAACATTTCCCTGGAAAGAATGTTCTCACCAAAGTCTTCCTACCTGATATGTCCCAGAGTTGACATGGCTGGGGCTTGACGCTGAACAGCTAGAGGCTCCTTCGCAGCCTCGTAGAACTTTTTGTCTGCGACTGTTGGCTGCTTTCCTCAGGGACCATTGATGTCATTGGCTTGGCGAAGGCCATCGCCGTTTTAGAGCGACCCAATGACCACGAGTGATGGTTGGCATTTACAGCCGCAGCTAACTATCTTTGGTATGGACGCTTGCTGTAATCTCTGTGTCTCGAGTCCAAGAAGTGTCGCCGCTTTATCCAACACTTCTCCCTTCTGGCCAGGTTCCTCCTCCTCAATCCCTTGAATGACTGCGTTTGGTCCTTATGAATTGAGCTGTTCAATGCGAAAAGTGAGGCGGTGAATGAAAGCTCGCCTTGCAATACGATTGGAGGCTCACACAGTACAAGTACCCCCGCTAAAATCTAAGCAGGCGGGGCGCCAAACGCGAAAAATCGCATAAAATCGCGTGCCTCAACTTCTCATCCTTCCAACAACTATGCAAAATGCCTGCCCTGAGAAGACCTCTACAATCTATCGACCCTAATGGGAGGTCAAATAAGGAGTTAACTCCTTATAAAAGAGCCAAAATCGTCGGCGCGCGCGCATGCGACATCTCATGGCACCAGATTTTAGAGACGTCCAAAATACCCATTCAAACGGCGCGTATAACTGTTGAATTAAACGATTTACGAGTCGGTGATCACTCTCAACCACGCAGTGAAAGACTAACTATATATAGTGAGCGTGATGAGTGAGCAATTCTGTGTCTAGTGCGACATCTTTCGAAGTTAACTTATAACTCTGTTTGTCGTCAAACTGATCTTTTCTTCTCGGACAAGACAATTAAGCGAATACTTAACAAGTATAGTATAGGTAATTAGATTGCCATAAAACGATCTCTCTTAATAGTTGAGAATGCTCAAAATCGACTTTGTTGGTGTAAGAAATATAAGGATTAAGTCTTAGAGTAATGAAAGACTATAATTTTTAGTGATAAATACTCACTAGAACAAGGCGCTGGAAGATGACTGACCTGAGTCTTTTAAATATCTTAATAGAAGTGAAATAAGAAGATAATTATCTCTTATATCAAAGAAAGAGACCTTTCTATTATGATTTAGGCCTCTATATAGATCGAAGGAAACTCTAACTTGATTATTATAGTGCGAGATTCAGAGTCAAAAAAGAATGAGTTCTTAACACATTGTTGTGCAACACTCAGTTCTAGGCGATGTCTGGGGGCTAAATGGGATGTATTGACGAGTCTGACCTCCAGGACTAGGAGGTCGCTGTTCTATGTATTTATATGGCAAAGGAGCGAAAACTTCTTCATCCTGCTGGAGGAGGTTCTCTCCCGGGCATCGGCGGCGGCCGAGGAGGTCGTCGTTGGAGGCCGACGTCCTTGCGTCGGCGAGGTCCTGTTCCTCTATCCTGAGGACTATAAAATGGCAAGAATGAGTGAATTCATGGTGTTGCAAGGTTTGCAATAAGGAACGTGAGGGCGTCGGCGTTCCGCCGGAGGCGCTAAGACGCTAGGCATGAGTATTTGGCTTGTAAAGACAGTGCTGACAGCGCCCGCAACTCAGCCTAGTTCAACACACATTTACATATCGCTATACTTAATGAATAAATACCTCGTTATTAGGAATCAGGTCGCATTTTTATACAGGATAATGCGCCTATTCACAAGGCTAAAATAACTGAGAAATAGTTCAAGGAGAATACTATTTTATGCCTAGAATAGCCGCTATATTCATCAGTTCTCAATTCATTGAGAACATCTAGACGATCCTTAAGAACAGACTCCTCAAGAATTAGAAGCACCTCCTAAACGGCGGCAAGATAGACAAGGATCGTGAGGACCTCGTAACAGCGATTCGGCATGAGTGGGACAATATATCACAAAAATATATTAATAATACTATAAGGAGTGTTGAGAGAAGGGTTCAGGCGATGATAGACACGGAGGGTTGGTACACGCAATGGTAGAGCCTAAAACACCATGATTAGCCTATATCATTCGATAGAGAACGCAATGACAATCATTTCTATATATAGAACGTTAAGTTTTGCTAGGATATGCGCCAATAGCGTTGATTTATATGGGGGGCGGCATGGTTGAGTAAAATGGCGAAAATGCGGCTTGCGTGGACTTTAGCGGGATTATTGTACGTCGCTACAGAACGAACCGCTCCGTGGTCTCATCTAGGATGTTACCCAGTTGGCAAAGTCATGTATGTTGCTCTTCCTGATCCTCTCCTTGGCGCACAACAGCAATTCGGGGAGCCAGTCCAGGACCTTGCCATCCGGACGGCCGTGCGTATTCTTGTTGTTCTCCTTTTCGCGACCTAGGACCATGAGACCTACAGCGACTCCGGCCAACCACGTCGATACCATACCTTCACCATTGAACCCGGCTGTTATCCATTCGCATGGCGTTGGAGCCTTTGAATTACCAAGGTTCGTTGACACTAGCTTTCTCCCGGTCAGGATAGGATCGAGTCTACCGACGTAAGGAAGCAAATCAAGCGTGAATCCCATACAACCAGTCCATCCTCGGATCAACCTTGCAGGGCTCGAATCTGCTCCCCAATTCTCAGAGCCGAAAGCAACTGGTAGGATTCCTCCAAGGTAGGCACTAATGCTGACACTGGTATGGTCATCACCCCAAACACCAACCTCGTCCATGCCTTGCTCCTCGGACAAATCGATGCCTCCACCGGCCATTATGACATCTGTGAGTGGATTCGCCTCGTTGTGGGGGTGCTGAGTGATGTACTCAAAGCCTGAATTCCGAATCAGGCCCCATGATCGCGAACCACCGAAGTCCGGGAAAGCGTCGCCCGGCCTCTGTGCCGTCATGTGTCCCCTTATAGGGAACAATTTTCCCTTCAGGCCTGGAATGAGCGTTGATGCGAAAGCGTCGGTGGCATGGATCACGTGGGTAGCGGCGATGTCGCCGCGCGATGTCTTTACCAGAAAAGGACATTTGTCATCTTCACCGCTCACCTGTATGGATTCGACCATGGTGTTTGTTTCGATAGAGAAGTTCTGCGGATGACGAGCCAGAAGAAGATGGTACAGAGCGGTAACGAATCGATAAGGCCACAGGGCTCCAGCCGAATATGTCATGACTCCAACACAGTCAGCGCCAACGTGAAATTTCTTGCATATCGTTAATAGAGAGAGACTTGAAGAGTAAAAGCGACCGCTTACCTCCCGAGCCTCGGCCGATTCCCAGAGCTTGATACCGGCCGCGACGTCTGGCACATCCTCCTGCAGCTCTTTGAACATGGCTTTGGCCTTGGCCCACGCACGAGCTTCCAGGAAGACATCGACGGTTTCCACTTCTCGTACGTCGGCGTCAGTCAGTCCCTCGGCCGTGGCCAGTTTGCTGAGAACCGGTAGATGAAGCAGCTGGAATTGCAACAGCTGGCGGGCATGCGCGACACCAAACCTGGACTTCCAGCGGGGATAGTCATCGTACGGGACACATTTTACGTGACCTCCATTGCGTCCTGTGGCACCGGAGCAAATCTGACGGCCCTCCAACATGACGACCGACTTCGAAACGCCCATGGTCTCGCATTCTGTCAATATGGTGTACGCCAGGCTGGCGCCGGACATGCCAGAGCCGATGATGACAATGTCTGCAGAAGCGCCCAGGCTCGGGGACTGAACGTCTACCAGGTCCGGGAACAACGGGTCGCATTGCCAGCTTGAGACCGTCGATTTGGCTGGAGGAAGCGCTGGAGAAGAGATGCGTTTGATCACCCTATTAAACCGATCTCCGGTTTCTTCGAGTTCCCGCAACAGACCTTTCAAAGCTGAATACGTGGAAGAAACGCTAGACCAGACGGTTCCCATGTCTTAGCTTCTCGCTCCTCTTTTCTGCCCTTGTGCGCGCATAGACAACCCCGAGTCCTGAATGAAGCTCACCAGCTCTGGTGTGAAGGTGCTTGACCTGGCCACTGTTTATCGAGCTGAGGGGAGAACGGGGGAAGATAAGTTTGCACACAGAACAACTACTTTTAAGGTTCGTGCCGACATGAGCTTGTCAAGAGCTATATATTGATAACTCAGCCAATCACGAAGCGTTAGTTTTTGGACACCACGTTTTTGCTCCGCCTGGCTGCTTGTCCGTGAACACTGATGATGATGCACCTAGCTCTGCCCTTGCGGCCCCGATGACCCCATACTTTCGGGGGGGTATCTACGCGATGGTGAGAAGGCCCTTACTCCTGGTGAGTCGTAAAGCAACCACCCCTTACAGCTTACTACGGTCATTCTCAGGCTTGACGCTCCCCGCTGCACGATAGCTGAAATGTGAAGCCGCGGTGTTGTGTATGATATTGATGAGCTCCCTACATTCTGCCTAGTGTCAATCAATCACTACTGCCTGCTACTATCGGTCGAGAGGACTACCATTTGCCATTTGCCTTGTTGTCGCCTCCAGGCGCAGCATCGAGGTCTGTGGATTTTCCCACCTCCGCTCCGCCGGTGCTCGTAACAGAGCCGATACACCCTCTCCACAACATTGAACGGCACTGCTACCCTTCCAAAACTTTGACCCTGACGCCTTTGCTGTCCAATTTAGGGCTCGGCAAGAAGAAGTCATGCGCCAGCTCGACGTCAGAGCTGTCAGTCTCGTAAAGTTCCAAGCTGAAATTGCGAAAGACGCCAGCAAGGGCCATGTAGAGCTCGGCGTGGGCCAGGCTACAGAGAAGGAAGAAAAAAGCGAGTTAGCAATGGACGAAGCGACATGGGGCCAGATGGGAGTGTCTGACGACTATAATTTTCGACAATCGGTTCAATCAACAGGTTAACTTACTTGATTCCCAGACAAGATCGTGTCCCCTTGCCGAATCCCACGAAGTACCTCTCAAGGCTGCTTCCGTCTTCCGTCTTGGGAGAATTCATCCACCGCTCTGGCCGGAACTGTCGGGGGTTCGGAAAGATGGCCTCATCGTCGCATACGTCCACGATGGTCATTGAGATGGGTGTTCGGGGCGGGATCTCCCAGTTCTTGTACACCACAGGCCTGGAGAATATCCGCGGGTTTCGCGTGGTAACCGCGTATGACATGCGCACCGCTTCCCGGACGCAACCCGTGAGGAAGGGTAGTTTTTCGAGTTCGGTCCAGGACAAGGGAGCCGAGGGGTCCGGGATGGCAGCTTCGAGCTCCTTGCGCAGTTGCGCGAGGGTGGATGGATTGTTGAGCAGGTGAAATGCCGCGGTCGAGAGCGCCCAGCCCGTAGTCGTGACACCGGCGGCCACCACGAGCTGTGCCTCGTCTTGAAGGCGGCGGGTCTCCTTCTCAGACGCCGGCAGTGACCCTGCAATGAGCTCCTGGAAGACGGTCGGATGTGTCGATTTCTGAGCCGCGTTGCTCAGATCGCCTGCTTTGAGTGCAAGGATCTGCCGACGCAGGTCCTAGTGCAGCAGCCTCGTTAGTACGTGATGACAGCATGACACAGGGAGGGGGGCTTTTGGGGGATTCTCATACGGCTTGCATCCGGAAAACAAGAGCGTACAGTGGCTCAATCTTGGTCAAGATCGACTCTGGAAGCATGTTGAGCAGTTTGGGGACCCAGGGCATTTGCAGCGATAGATGGCCACTGATGCTTGCCGCCATAAAGGGCTCGTGCATGGTCTCGTCGAAGTTCACGCCTTTGACATGGTCGTAGCTGTGGGAGAAGCAATACTCCATCACCACATCGCCGGTAAATGCCATGAATGCCCGGTTGAGCCGCAACACTCTGCCCTCCTCCCGAAATTCGCGGATCCGAGCTAACAAGGTGTCGAGCTTCTGTCGAATGATGTCCTGCAAGTCAAGGATGCGCGCCCGCGAGAAGAATGGATTCAACGCACCCCGCCGCACTCGATGTAGTTCGTCTGGGCCGGTGGTGAAGACAGACGTGTCACAACCGAACCGACCTGCCATCCAATCATACTTGTCCACCCGGCCAGCTTTGGTGTAGAGGGTGTCGTAGAATTCAGAGTCCTGGATGTGTATCTCGTCTGGAACAATACGGACGATGGGGCCTGGCCCGCATCAGAATAGCCTCAGCCTCGGCGGGCAGCAAGACCTACCATATTGCTTGTGCAGTTCCTGGACCTTGAAGGTGAATTGTCCCTGCTTGACAACCTCGTAGTAGAATTCATGCCACCTGCTGATGGCGGCGTACTTGGGGCCAGGGAACTTGGCGAGGGGATGGAAGTAGAGGCGGTAGATAACCAGTCCCACGAGATAAAGGACGTAGGCCCCGAAGAGGCTGGTGACGGGCGACGCGGTAACTGAGAAAACGGTCATATTGAAACTTCGCAGTCCTGTGGAAGTGCTCGAAGTGACTGAGACAGCTCAGCAGGTCGTGGACGTCGCGGGGGCTCAAATTCGAGGCAACTCCCCCTTCAGCATCTGGGGTTTGTATAACTGATGGTTGAAAGAGGTCCCATGTGCGAGAGAGACACAGGTCCAATCAGCCCCGCCATCGTTTGATGCGGCCTCAGTGGCCCAGGCTCCCCAGGCCAAAGTGGTGTGTAGCATCGTCGACAGGAGTAAAAGCGAGATGTAGATAAGACTAAAACGTCCCCTCCTTGCACGAGGGCGGGTCGGGTAATGTCGCACGCCCGTTAGCCACGCCGGACGCAACTCAGTCTCAAGCCGTCCCAGCGCCTGTAGTGGTGCCGATTGGAGGGCCGATCGAGGGCCGTTGGAAGACTGGAGCCATAGCTGGCGGGGACATGTTTCCTACTGGTCTCGTTTTGCAGGTGAGTGATTCGGGGGAGCGGAAGATGCACCCAAGGGACCCAGTCCTGATGCGCTGGCAGCACCTACTGAGGTTCACCATGTCTCCAACACCTCCAAGTACCTCGTACACAGGTCCTGCGCTATACTTAGGGAGCAGCCTAGCGGGCCCGACAAGGGAGCTTCGTCCCTCTGGGCTTGAGGATCGAGCGTTCGTCTCGCAAGCTCTCCTCTTAGCTGCATTCCCCCGTCCTAGGCGCAGACACGTGCCGGTTGCCTACAAGAGAAATCCTTGAGTAGGCAGTCAATGTGGATTGTCTGGGATCGTCGACCTCCCATCCGTACAAGTATTTCAAGCTTCCCTTGTGGTGCCGATGGCCCCGCTGATGGTGGCTGTCAAGGAAACTCAACACGCTGAAACAAGCCTGATCGACAGATCGAGTGATGCTGCACGGCAAGTTGACAACAACTCTATCAAAGTGACAGGATCCCATAAATCAGCACTCCGTTCCGTTCGCTCCAGATTCATCGTCCTTCGACGCCTGAATCCCGGCTGGTTGCTGTCCACCTGCTCGTCCCCGGATGCTGTCTCTAGCCGGCGCGCTTTAGATGAACGAGGGCGACTATCCAGAGTCGGCGGGTGATGGTTTCATCTCCGCCGAGGACGCGTCAGTGGTAAGTTTTCACGTTGGTCGGATATTTCGACAGCAATTGACCGCGCGATTCTTTGATCCTTCTACTAGGGATCACAAGATGATACAGACTCAGCCTTCTCCGACGATGCACAGTCGCGACTGAGCTCGTCGCTTCGGTCGTCGGTGTACAATTACAGATATGAAAACGGTCGCACTTATCATGGGTTCCGGGACGGCGAATATCCAATCCCCAACGACGAGGAGGAACAAGACCGTCTGGACCTGCTTCATCATCTCTTCAAAATGATTCTAGGAGGGAATCTATTCATCACCCAGCTCCCTCCGTCACCTCAACGCATTCTCGACATCGGCACAGGCACTGGAATCTGGGCAGTCGAGTGTGCCGACCTCTTCCCGTCGGCTTCTGTCATCGGCACCGACCTTTCTCCCATTCAGCCCGCATGGGTTCCGCCCAATCTTCAATTTTATGTCGACGACGCCGAGAGCGACTGGGTCTTTGACGATGTCGGAGAGTTTGACTTCATCCACGCTCGCGCCTTGTGCGGAGGCATCGCAGACTGGCCGAAGCTCTATGCTCAGGCGTACCGCAACTTGTCCCCAGGGGGATGGCTGGAAATTCAGGACCACGAATGCTGGCTGAACAGCGATGACGGTGGCATGGCCAGAGCCCCCGCGTGTACCCAATGGATCCATGAAGTAGACAGGGCCAGCACCATGTTCGGCAAAAAGCTCAACATTGCTCATCAGCACCGCCAATGGATGATTGATGCTGGATTCCAAGATGTCCGGGAAGTTGTCCACAAGGTCCCGTATTACCGCCTCTTCAAGAAGTCTCGCCACTGACAGGTTACAGATCCCCATTGGACCTTGGCCAAAGGATCCCAAGCTGAAAGAGCTGGGAAAACTTATGCGAGTGCAGATGACTCAATCAGTACCATCTTTCATGCTGGCATATTTCGTCCGGATACTGGGCTACAGCAGGGAATACACCGAGGTCGTGATGGCGCAGGTCAAACGTGAATTTCGGGATCCCACGTTACACTTATACTTGAGATGGCATTTTGTGTCAGGCAAGAAGCCTGAAGCAGGTTAGATGAGATCTTGTACCTGAGCGGCCATTCTACTATACGCTAACAGCATTCTGCGTTGACAACGCTGCTGGCAGATCCTGTGCCAGTTTCTTGGGTAAGGAGTTGAACAGTTCATGCTCGGGGGGAGGGAAGCACATAGCGAGCGAGAAAATCCTTGGCCAATGAGCCTCCTTCCTGAGGGTATACTTATTCTCAGCAAAGCAAAGCAACCGGAGTCGCTTCACAACTCGTTTAGGGTCTAGGAACTCGAGGGGTTGCTCTGAGCTCTACGCTTTCGCCCTTCTCCCAGGTGACGAGTGATTGGCCTAGGTCTGATTCCCAGTCTGCTCTCGCATTGTGCATCACAATCGGCAAGACCAACAGGGCGGCCTTCCTTCTGTAATGACCTGTAGAGGAATGTTTTGTGAAGGAATTGGGTGTAAAGTTGATACCACTAGAAAATAACCCAAGGCGATTTGCCTACACGGACTTTGCGGTCCGCCGTACCAGGTACTTGTCCTATCTCGCACTCCCGTTTCTCATACTCACCTTCACATTGTGGCCAACGACGGGAATAGAGTCACTTTCTTGATGGGTTGTCAGCGTGCATGAATCGTGTAGGTGTCTGCAACTGACTATCCTCAGGTATAATGACTAGGTCACCATTGGAACTCGGTGTCAAGACGACCCGGTGTCTGATCACTTCTCCGAGCTTCGGCGGAATAAACATGATGATGGACTTCAGTTTCGGGCCTGAGTCGACACAGTGGAGGAGCTCACAATGAGAAGCACAGCACGCGGTACTTTTAGTTTCGGACCTAGAAAGATCTAGGATGGAGCGTTGGGATTTATCTCCTCCGAGAAGCCGCAACATGAAGCTCATATAAGAGCAAGCCGCCAGGCTCACACCCGCTCGATTCAGACCCTCTCAGTACATAAAGCCTTCAACGCGGCAGAACATTCCTGGAGCCGAAAATGACGAGCTCTCATCCCAAAGCCGAGGAACCACAAGTCGACTATGAGCCTACCCAAAGTTCCAACCTCTCAGAGACACAGAAGCCTGAAGACCAAGGCACGCCTCCCGAGTCCTCGAAACCTCTCGACAAACCTGAGGCTGCGGACCAATACTACCATGGCAAGAGACTCGCCATTGTGGTCGCGTCTTTGATGCTGGGCACTTTCCTCATAGCTCTGGACAACGTCAGTACATACCCTCCAAAACTCCCACAGCAGCAATCGATCTGGACTAACAGCCCTTTCTTGATCGTAGACGATCATTGCCACGGCGATTCCAAGAATTACAGATGAATTTCACGGTCTTGACAACGTGTCGTGGTACAGCTCTGCATATTTTATGACTTTTGGCACGTTCCAATCCACATGGGGCAAGCTCTTCAAGTACTTCAACCTCAAGATCTACTTCCTCGCCTCCATCGTCGTCTTCGAGCTGGGCAGCCTGATTTGCGCCGTCGCACAGGGCCCCACGACCTTGATCGTCGGCCGGGCCCTTGCTGGCCTCGGCGGCGCCGGCGTCGGCACAGGCGCATTCACCATCATCGGGTTCATCGTAGAGCCCAAGTCTCGCCCGGCGGTGATTGGATTCAACGGGGCCACCTACGGCATCGCAGGCGTCCTTGGTCCTCTCCTCGGCGGCGTCTTCACCGACAAAGTCAGCTGGCGATGGTGCTTCTACATCAACTTGCCCATTGGCGGTGTGGCCCTGGCCATGTTGTTCTTCTTCTTCAACACCCCGGCCGACGCGAAGCCAACTCCAGCCACTCCCAGGGAGAAGTTGCTTCAACTGGACCTCATCGGTGCTATGCTCGTCATGGGCCTCATCGTCTCGTACGTCCTCGCGCTGCAGCGCGGCGGACAGACCGAGTCTTGGGGGAGCAGCGTTGTTGTCGGCTTGCTCGTCGGATTCGTCGTCATAACTGCCGCGTATATACTGTGGGAAATGTTCCAGGGTGAACGAGCCATGCTGATTCCAAGATTGGTGCGTAATGCGGACACACGTTCCCCCTTCTCACTCTCTGTCTCTATCACCATAGGGTCAGAATTGTATACTCTGGAGCTAGGCAGGCAAGAAACGACGGATGGTCCCGGTCCCCACTGACTCGTGTGTGCACAGTTCAAACAACGCGTTGTCTGGGTCGGGTGCATCTTCCAGTTCTTCTTCGCCGGCTCGTACTTTATCGTCCTCTACTATTTGCCCATCTATTTTCAGAGCGTGTTCGACGCCAGCCCCATCGGGTCTGGAGTGCGCAACCTCCCCCTTGTCATCACGCTTACCGTTGGAGCTATTGCCCAGGGCGTGGTCTTGTCCAAGGTCGGATATCCCGCTCCGTTCCTTATCGGCGGATCTGCACTGGGCATGGTGTCGTGCGGCCTTTTGTACACGCTCGACATCCACACGTCCACGGGCAAATGGATCGGATACCAGATCTTGAGCGGTATCTTCATCGGCTTCACGTTTCAAACCGCCATCGTTGTGGTTCAGGTTCATTCGAAACCGGAGGACATGGCCACTGCTACGGCAATGATTTTCTGTAAGTACTGCAATAACCAGTGTTTATGCTCTCCTCCTCATCCTTTCCTCCCTGAAAGCACATACTTCCATGATTGGTGTGGCTGGTTGCTCCGAGTGAGTGGGTGAATGGATGAATGGGTGAGGGAGTAAGAGCAGATCAAGAACAAACCCCCCCGGCTAATCATGACAATGTAAAGTCTTCCAAATGATCGGCGGCTCATTCACCCTCTCGGCGGCGCAATCGGCCTTCAACAACAAGCTGATATCGACACTTCGATCCACCGCGCCAGGGGTCGACCCCGGCTTGGTCCTCGTCACGGGAGCCACCGAGATCCGCCGAGTCTTCACTCCTGCCCAAGTCCCCGGGATCGTGGCCGCGTATATGCAGGGGCTCAAGTCGGTCTTTGCCATCGGAACCGGCACTTTCGGAGCCGCCTTCTTGGCGTCGATGTGTGCGCCTTGGACGAGGCTTCACCCGGACGACCTGGAGAATATAGAGGGAGGTGCAGCCGCCTGAGTCCCGAGTCCTGGGTGCCGAGAACCACTAGGCCGGTCGGTGAGCAGGGGTGAGTGGTACGATCATGTCATTTCATACGCTGCGAGGGTATGAAATCCGCGTAGCTGTTCTTTGGTCGTGTTTTGTTGTTCGATTTCCTCAGGACGGCGGCGGCACCATATTATATTTTGGATGCCTATGCTCTTCCTCGGTGGACTGAGATATTGTTCAGTTGGGCACTTGGTTGAAAAAAGGACCATGATGCATAATTACATGTGTATAGATTGATAGATTGATAGATTGATAGAAATTCGTCCCTACTCCGCACCGCACAGACAAGCAAGCAAGCCGCAAGCACGCATTGCTATTTATTGCACTTTTATTGATGCTTCTGCCGTAACGACCGGGAAACTCCTCGGAGGATTCGAAGTTTTCCTTGGAAAGGGAGAAAGAGACCGACTTGTCGCTTAGCGACCAAGCTACGTTCGCGTACATGTATGTATGTATGTATGTATGTATGTATGTATGTATGTATGTATGGATATCACATCGCTCACGCTCGCCAATACCATCACCCTGTATAGGCATTCATTGATCGGGTCCAGTCGCTGCTTGCATCTCCATTCGCAGCCTGCGGGTCCATCTGCATCATGATCAGACTGTCGAAAAACACTCCGTCCATGCCAGGAATTGCCCACTCGTTCGCACCCGGCGTGACGCTGGCAGGGTATATGTTGGTGTTCTGCATCATAAAGTCATCAGACGGGAGGGCACTGGCATTAGTCATCTGCAGGTTGTCCGCGTCCGTGAGTGCATGTGGTGGTTGGTCGTTCTCGGAAGGTGGTGAGACATAGCCATGCTGCCGCCCAACTCCCATCTGCAGCGCAGCCGTGGGAAGCTCGCGCTCATGATCGTCCGCGATCGTGCCCTCGACGACTCGTATTGTCCCGATGCCGCCGAGCTTGATGCCTTGGCCCGGATGATCAGGCGATGGAGCGTCGTCGGGCCCTTCCTCAAGGAACTCGATCCCACGTTTTGACACCTTGAACGTGCCACAGTATGGGCCCGTCATCAAAAAAATGCCATTGCTATCTCTCCCGTCGTCACGGCCGTTTCCGGCTCCTTTGGCCTCGTCTGTGCGTTCTTCATGCCACTCGGCGGCATCCGCCTCGATGCGCAGCAGCCGCCGCAGCACGTCCACACACTTGGCAGTTAGCATGTCGTCGTTCGGCTTGGAGATGACCTCGACCTCCTCGAGAACCTTTTCGACTACCGCCCTGTCCCCCAATCGCTGGTGCGAGAGGGCGTTGCCGTTCTTTGCCACGCGATGCCCGTCAATGTGTGCCAACACCAGAGTTATGCCGGCCACGACGGCGAGGAAGTCGGCTAGGCGGCAGCACGCTGAGATGGTGTTCAAGGTGCGAAAGGTGATGAACCGACTCAAGATCTCACGGCTGGCATAGATGCACGATGTTCGGGAGTACTCGTTCAGACCAGAACTTGGACACAGGAGATACGGCAAATGCAGCTGATTGAGCAGGGAGAAGTGCGTTACGTGGTCCCTTATTCGCAAGGCTTCCTCGAGAGCGTCTTCTGTGTCGGTTTGCATGCCGCTACATTCTGCCGGCCTCCAGAAATTGGCCGGGATGGTCTCTGCCGTCTTTCGAAGCTCCCTGTCAATTTCCAGAGTCTGGGCCATGACCTGCTGCGAGGGACGGAGTTGGTTTCGTTCAAAGATCTTCACGGACACAACGGCGTGGAAGGATTCTAGACCCTCCCTTGGCTTTTCGTTTGCGGGTGCGGCGTGCACTTCGGGGTTACTAGTAATGTCGGTGTTGCCGGGGGGGAGGCCAAGCATCAGAGAGACGAAGCGGTCGACGTAGAGAACATGTGTCCATAAACTTGCCCTGTTGGTCTTCGTTTCAGGATCGAGTCTTCTCGGCGCGGGTCCGTTGACCCTGTCAAGAGCGAGAAGTTGAGCCACCATCAGAGCCCTTCTGTGCGCGAGCCATGCTCGTCGGATATTCCCACAGTTGGAATGATGTTGCCCTTCAAGTAGGATGCATTCCAGGCTCTCTAGCGAACTTGAAAACTCATCATTCGTCGTCACAAGGCTGATGGCGGCATCTGCAAGTTTCAACATGACGCTGTGATGGTGTTCGAGTACGCCGGGGGCCTGTTGATGCCGCGGGAAACCCATCAGTAGAGCTGCGACCATGAGCATGTGCTTAGCCAAAAGAACTGGGTGAGTCTGAGGTCCTAGTTCCTTCGCCGCGCCCGCAATTTCTCCTGTACTTCTGTGGAAGAACCCAGACTTGATGCGAGGACAGATTTGCGAAAAACCAGGGTTGGCTTTCATTAGAGTATTGATCTCGTTTTGAGAGGGAAAGGATGCAAAGAGGGCTTGTGAGATCTTGTCCTGGCCACTTGCCTTGGAAACCGACGTCCACGATATCGGAGATGCTTGAAACTCGGGCGTGCAATCTGACGGAGCAGTGAGGAAGGCATTCCAATCTCTCGAACCTTGAAGAATGCCCCCCTAGGCCGGAGTCAGTATTGAAGAACGGGATAATGGATTCTTGAACACACCGCTGGAGATTCACGCGAGCTAACTGACGGCGCAGGCGGCGGACGACTGGCTGCTCTGGAGGAATTCATTCGCCCATGGCTCTCCTGGGTCTGTACTGACTGGCGCCTCGGTCGATCCTCTGTCGTCCTGTGGTCGATATTCTTGACCAACTTATTCAGGAGTGCCTCGACTCGTTCCATGCTGCCAGCGCCATCGTCCACTGGACACTCCTCTTCGGGAACATCCTGACCGATGCATCTTGTACCGCGCCGTTGGCAGGTGATACAAGTCGAGTCTGTTGAGGACGCAAATGTGCATCGAACCTTTCTCCGCTTGCACTCCCAGCAGCTGTGCGTCCCTTTCCTGAGCCTTTTGCGTTTGGATTCGACTTCGCCTCGCTCACACTGTTGATCCGCGTTCATGCTTTCCGATCAAAGTGAGGATGGGACGCCACCATCAGCTCACTCCGGCGACGGTGGTGTGTCTTCATCCAGCGGCAGGACCGTCTTGGAGACGCCGATCAACCGCTATCGTTCTTCCGCCGACTCGGCGGTTGAAACCTGCCGTCGACCCACTATACGCAGCCACCCGCTCTCTCGGCGGAATCGAGCGATGAGAGACGTAAGTCAATGATGACAAAGCATGATCGTCGCGAAGAAGTGCTGGATCCAAGCTAGACACAGACAACTCGAATTTGGGAACACGAGACCCCTGACACGGGACTGAAGGGCAGACAGATCTCTGTCTTTCAAATACAGCATCTGACTTTCAATCGGTGACGGCGAGTCTAGACCTCAACCTCGCTGTTCACTCCACGCAGACCCTGCAGCTGCTGTAGAGCTGATCACCATTGGATCTAGTGTCACTGAATGGAAGATCACCGCAGCTCCAAAGGACTCCTTGACTTAGACCTTCCCGGGCTTCAGAACGTGGTCTAGATTGTGCTCCTGCAGAGACCCTATGGCACAGGCATAACGGCTGCAGTCCCTCATCCAGCCTCGAGGGCTATCACAGGCTCGGTCGTGCCTCGCAGCCATGTGACAACTCCGTAAAAGTGCGAGAAGCTCAGCTCCTGCAAAAGGTCCATGTCATCATCTCGTATCCGACCGCCTTCAAGCCGCGTTGACTCACCAAAACCTAACCCTAAGAAGTAAATCCGCAAGTTCAGCTATATGCATCTCAAAAATCTTCAAATGACACTTCGTGCCCTGCTTTATGCCGGAAGCTGAGGTCTTTGGCACGGGTATAGGTATGGGTGGTACGCTAGATGTCCTCGTTGACAATCAAACTTGAAAAGAACCACAACATCCATCAGTTCACTTGACTTGAACCGTAACTTGTGTCACCTATCCCAGTTGTTCTTGCTTCCGACATGGCATCTCTGAAAACGGTGACGGTCGCCCTGGCTCGCACAGAGAAATCACCAGTCACCTCTACCCCCGAGAAGATCACCTGCGTATTCAACTACATCTGGGAAGATGAGCGCGAAGTGGGAAGAGCTTACCTTTCCACCATCAACGGGTACACCTTCGGTGCTGCCCTCGACGACGGGTCCGGCACGAAGTCCTTTGCAGGGGCTCCCGTCTGGGCAACCAATCAATTGATGGGCGGCATCAGTTTCGAGGTCTCCAGGTTCGTCTTGAAGGTGGGAGCGACTGACAAGGACAACAAAGCGGCGGTCTGGGTGAAGCAGGACGACAAGGAAAAGTTGCTGTACAAGACCTTCAACTATGCATGAATGGCCGAATAAGGAGGGAGGGTTGATCATCTTGTTGAAAGCTATCTAGCCCAAGCACATCCATCGTGCCGATCAAGCAACAAGGTATGCTTGCTGGATTCCGCACAGGGTCTAGTTACTGAAATAAAGCTTCACTGTTTTATCCTGGGCCTGTTCCTCCTTTCCTTTCTTGAGGCGTTCGCTCAAGGTTTCGCTTGAAGGATCAAAGAATGGCACCTCGCCGAAGATGGCTGTGCGCTTGCCTTCCCTGAGCGACGTGTCATAACCTCCAGGCAGAGCCCTGTGAGCAACGACTCGGTTGTCCCAGAATGCCACACTGCCTGCCTCCCATTTCCACCTGACAGTGAGGTCGTCGGCAGCATGAAGATGCTCGCGCAGGAAGTTGAGCGTATGGATGCCCTCTTGACCCTTGAGCTCGGCAATATGGATAACAAACAGCGGGTTATAAAAGAGGGACTTTAATTTGGTTACTGGATGCGTGCGAACCTGTTCACGGTATCAGCCAATGATGTTCACCAGTGCCATTTACTGGAGTGGAGTGGTCCCTTACCAAGGGGTGCTCATGTCTGTGCGGCGCACGGAATGGCTGATAGCCAGCGTTGACCGATGCCAGGAATGTGACCTATCGTTGGGATATCAGCCTCTTCTTCCATTCTGGCGGAAGACACATGTCATACCTCGGAGCTGTGGACGCCATGAAGGCCCTCAAACAGCTTCTGAAACGGCGCGCTCAGTTTATCAAACAATGCCGTCTGGCTGGTGAAGATGGTGTCGCCACCAAACTCGGGGGTTTTGACCATTCGTAACATGGTGTATGCTGGAGGGTTGGCTTCATGAGAATGGTCTGAATGGTATTCACCCGAAAAATCGCCATACGCTCGGATGTCGCTGTCAACAATCAGTCTTGCTGTCTGGCAAGAGGCGTCTGCAGGTACTTACTTATCGCGGCCGAGGATGGTAACGTGACGGGGATCCTGCTGATTGGGATCTCGGTCTTGCTATAGATCGCGAGTATCAGCATCCACCGAACCAAGCGTCAGAGGCCACTCTCCGGGGTGTCTACTTACGATGCCATAGTGCCTAGTCAGCTCGTGCTGTTGCTCCAGCGTAATGTCCTGGTCTCGGAAGAACACTACGCCTCTCTGCGCCATTGTCAGCACTGGAGCGCTTCAGCCATGACATGGAATCATCATCAACCTCGGCCACCAACAGGGCAAGTTCATCCTTTTGTGCTTCGTTGAGTTGACTGAGTTGCACTCCAACCAACTCCGTCCCGATATAGGGGGTGAGATGTCGAACTTGCTTGACTGCAGCGAACAGGCTTTTCTTCTCAGGGTCTGCGAAAAAGGCGCGATCTTTGGGAGGCTCAAAGACTTCAACTTGAGGATTAGGTGCACGATAAGCGAGCACCTGCTCGGTGATTCCGGTACGTGTGGCGCTCATGGTAGTTGCTGTTTTGGTCGCTTAGCCTTGGAGGTGCCTGCAGGAGGTGATAAGGAGAATGCAAAGAAGACCCCAGCGAATAAGTACTTCTTGCGGAAAACAGCCCGAGATGCGCATTTGTCAGGTCTTCATATCCTCTCCCCGGCCGCCCTCGTATGGAGAGGAGCGTATCTGGAGGCATCCATCGAGGGCACATACCTGCATAGCGGATATCTGCGGGAGACGACCATTCGCCATACCTGACAAGGATGAGCAATGGGCCGAGTTGTTTTGCGAAGGCTCATTAGGCGAAAGAGATGCTTCGCAATCGTTATCACGGTTGACGTGCTATCTCACGGTTTATAAGACTGCATGGTTGATCCCCGGGCCCACCTTCGACTCCATGCTATTGGGTCCTGGGCACGGCGAAGACTACAAGGGCCGATGATCGTTGAACCTCCGTCGGAACTCATACGTTCAATAACGGTCCCCGTGTCTCTCTAACCAGGGAAAAGTATCCCATGCGCTTGTGGCGTTGAGCTACTACTATCGCGGCCACGGAGAAGCCAATGATTTCTTAATCATATGCGATGGACATGTCTGGCTTCACCCGCCATGGATTGGCGGCTGCAACTTTACGTGAGCAATGCGACGAAACATGCCAGCCTAGCCCCCATGCCATCGTGCTTGGAGGTATCGAGAGCCTCCAGTCTTGGTCTCTGTCGCAATCTTGCTCGGCAAGGCGTGATTGCACCTAGAAACAAAGCTATGTTACAATATCAAGATCCTTATCATGCGTCTTCTACGGTCTGGTATAAGAGGATTGGCACAGCAGCCTGGACGGGAGGCGACGACTTTTCGACGTACATTTGTCCGATCATCTTGCTTTGTCGTCCATCGGAACATGTCTTCCATACCAGTGCCTCCACCGCGTCCCTCGCATGAGGCGGTCCTTGGGGCTGGCGAGGTCAAGGCCTCCGGTGTTGACGAGAACGACCTCAACTCGTCGGGGAATGAGGAAGACAGCATCGATCTACACAAAGAAATATACGATACCAGCGCCATAGACCCCGTTTTGGCAAAGAAAATGGCGTTGACAAACAATGCGATTGACGAGATTGGCATGACCCCATGGCAATGGAAGCTGTTCTGTTTGAATGGGTTTGGCTACACCGTAGACTCGGTGAGCTCCTTTTCTGTCTCAATCTGGCGAATACTACTAACGCCTTCTCCCGTTTGTTTTAGCTGTTGATTGTGTGCCAATCTATTGCACAACCAGCCGTGGCACAAGAATTTGGCAATCCCAGCAAGCACATTGCTGGCGTGTCTCTGGCGTCTCAAGTCGGGCTCCTAGTCGGTGCTGCCGTTTGGGGGTTCAGCGCCGACATCATCGGTCGACGCATAGCGTTCAACAGCAGTCTATTCATCTGTGCATTGTTTGTGCTTATTGCGGGTGCCATGCCTAGTTACATCTCCTTCTCTGCCATGTAGGTTGGAAACTCTGCCATGATGTCGGGCGCCTCTTCTCTAACCTTGTGACAGGGTAGCCATCTACTCGGCAGGCGCTGGAGGCAACTACATCCTCGATGCGACCAACTTGATTGAGTTCCTCCCCGCAAGTCACTATTGGCTCGTGACATTCATGGCCGTCTGGTGGGCTATAGGTTACATGATCACCGGCTTTCTCGCCTGGGGATTCATGAGTAACTACTCTTGCGACCCCGATGCCACGGTGGCCGAATGTACTTGGGGAGACAACTGGGGCTGGCGATATCTCCATTTCACCTGCGGCGCGCTTGTCCTCGTCATCGCCACTCTTCGTGTGCTGGTCATCCGCATGCCACAGACGCCGAAGTGGTTGATCTCACAAAACCGCGACGAGGAGGTCGTGGCCTCCCTCGCAAAAATTGCACAGCAGTATAATCGCCCCTTCTCGCTGACGGTGGAGAGGTTGGAAAGTATCGGCCGCGTGCTGCACACCGAGAAGAGCGTCTTCTCTGCCTTGCGACTTCGACAGCATTTCTCCCAGCTGTTCAAAACCAAGCGTCTGGCGTATTCGACAATCATGATCATCGCCAACTGGACTGTCATCGGGACCGTGTCACCGCTGTTTAGCATTTTCTTACCGTACTATCTGAAAACCCGAGGGGCAGATACCGGATCAAACAGTAACTGTGAGTCGTCGCCCGAGCAATCCCTTGTTTTTCCATCGAGTGTTGTTTGGAACTGTCCAGAGCATTGACCCCCGCTGACCGTGTATGCTTTTTCTGAATTCGACAGACACCGTCTGGCGCAATTACGCACTCAACCAGGTTTCCGGCCTCTTTGGACCCATCATCGCCGCGGTGCTCGTGGAGACTCGCTACTTCGGTCGACGGGGCACACTGGCCGTTGGCGCCGCCATCACGACGGCTCTGCAGTTCGGGTATACACAGATCAAAACGCCCGCGCAGAACGTAGGTGTGTCTTGTGCGATTTCGGCCGCCAGCAACATCTACTACGGGACGATATACGCCTACACGCCTGAGATTCTCCCCGCCGCACACAGGGCGACAGGGTACGCTATCTGCGTGGTTCTGAACAGGGTAGGTGGCATCGTGGGTGTCTTGGTCGGAAGCTATGCGAACGTCGAAACTACGGCGCCGTTGTTCATTTGCGGCTCGTTGTTCGGTCTGTTGATCATCTTGAGTCTCTTGTTGCCTTTTGAGACGCTGGGCCGGAGAACCGTGTGAAAGTACGAGCCATGTACCTGCGACAGTGCACCCTCCCTGACTGCCTGATGTGTATACATATCTTGCATCATGACAAGGTGAGGATAGCAAACGGTATGATCGTAAGTAGACTGGTAGTGAATAATATTGGCTGGACATCACTCTATTTTGACTTTTATCGCCACCTCGTACCAATTCAGACAGGTATTCATGAACTATGAGCTACGGACTGTGTACAAGGTACAAGTAAAGTGTCCAGGTCCCAGCCATAACAACGTTATACGTACAGACATCGCACGTCGTATAATTGGTGTTCGAAATGCCTTGGAAAAAACAGGCCAAAGCCAGTGTGAAGTGTTGGGGTGATTGAGATATACTTTGTACTAGTGGGTTGGTATTTACCGTGTCAAGGGTTCAGACACCCAAAAGCCTCCAACGAAGGTGGCAGGTAGGTATGTAGATAGACAGATCTACGGCATGCCTCGATATCATACGCACAAGGCCCCCCCATACGAGTCTCAGACAGACAACCAGTCACGTGTATGATGTACTCGATTCAGCAAATGAACTTAGGGAGTGGGTTCTTTCATAGATTGATGACCGGACCATGTACTGCAGGGAGTTTAAGTTCATAGATGGGTGACCGAGCTATGTACTGCAGGGGGTTAAGTTTGTAAATTAGACAGACAGGTATCCAACAAATTAAGCCATCTTCTCAACCACATGGGCATCTTTACGTGATCCACTCGACCCATCCTCCTCCTTGGTAGCCGAGCGTGTACTCGCATCGGATTCGCCGCTCTCGAATCCGACCGTCACTTCTTCGGTCGGGTCGAACGCACCGGCCTCGGCCACCTGCGCCTCGAACGGCATGCCCCGAACCTCCTCGTGACCCGGGACCTTCCAGGCGGCGCAGATGACGTAGTAAGCCAGGCTGCCAACGAGGAAACTCAGCACCCAGCCCAGGGCGTACATGTGCGTGGCGGCGTCGCCGATGTCGTGGCCGAAACTGGCCGCGAACCCGGGCAGGGGCAGCAGGAACCCAACGACGAAGGCGGCGAAGGCGCGCAGGTTGAAGCCGTGGAAGAAGTAGTAGCGGCCGTGCGGCGAGAGGGTGAAGAGGTCCGCGAGGGAGAGGTTGCCCCTGCGGATGAAAAAGTAGTCGACCAGCATTATGCCGACGACGGGGCCCTGGAAGATGGAGTATCCGCCGAGGAAGTTGAGGAAGCCGTTTGCAGTCGCGACGATGCGCCTGTTGTGTAGGGGAGACACGTCAGAATGGGAATATCATTCCTAGGGGAAGCAGGGAGAGGGGAGAGGGGAGCTAGAAAGTAGCGCAAGGAGGGAAGGGGAAAAAAAAAGACAATCAAGCAACGGGATGACGAAGAAATGAAGCAATGAAGCAATGGAAAAAGGGTCTGATGAAAACGTACCAGGGCACAATTGCAAATGCAATCACCAAACATAACAATTGACCGCGGACGATATTGATGTACCTTGGCAACAGGCAGGTGACGTCCGCGGCGAATGGGATAAAGTTACACGCGATCGAGGTGCCGAGGGTGGCAAAGGCGAAACTAGCAGACGCGAAGAAGACTCCTGCGCGTGCTTTGGACGAGTACGATTCGTCGAGAATGCCGTTGAGGAGATCGTATGGGTTCCAGTAAGCTTGACCGTACATGTTCAAAACGGCGGACTGAAGAGTCAAGGTGACCAAACAGTTAGTATTGCTTGGTAAATCCGTGGAAAAGGAGAGAGGGATCACCACAACGGCCATCATTATCAATGGGTCGTGAAAGAGAAACACGAAGACGTACAGTTGAAATGACACCAAATGCAGCACAGAGAGTCTGCCCAATCGGTAGACTGATGAGTTGGCCCCAGAGTTGAGCATTCCTGGTCCTGGAGTATCGCGCCAAATCAGGCACCGTCACCAAAAGGGCAGAGTTCGCTCCCATGACCGAGTTGAACTGTGAGATGATCCCCCACGCCAGTACGGAGGTGGAGGGTTTGGCAACCGAACTCTCGAGACTTCCGGAAGACACTCCACCGTTCTTGCTTGTGGCCCAGATAACGATCCCCAAACCCGCGGCGGGCATGATGACAGACTTCACGCTGAAGAGATGTTGGATCTTGGAGGTGTGGATGAAGAGGAATGGAATCGTGAACAAAAAGGCCAGGAAGAACCCGACCATGACCTGCGTGGTGATGTATTGGTTCGCTGGGATACTGTTGTGGATCTTCGTCCACCCGGGAAAGATACATCTGAGGCAAACCGAGATGAATTGGCCTTCAAAGTAGAGCTGCACACCGCCCCAGATGATACCCAGGATCGACCGTAGGACGACGACAAAGTACTCGCCGTAGATGCCGAAGCTGGACCGGGATATGACGGGATACCCGATGTGGTATCTCGAAGCAGCTCGACCGTTGAGTACGATGACCACCGCAGAGAGCAGGTTGGCAACGAAGACGACGAGCAGAGCGTCACGAATAGTTGCACCCAGGGTGATGAACGAGGCACCGACGGACCATGTCGAAACGTTCCAGGACTCGCTCCACCAGTAGGCGAAGAAGTTCCAAATTGTCCAAGTCTGCCTACTCGGCGGGGAAGGCGCGAGATCTTCGTTGATCAAGATGGACGTCGAGCTCTTGAGTCTCAGGGCCTCGTGGAATGCGGAGGGGGAAGTGAAGGCATGTCTGAAGCGTTGCCATCGCGAAGGACCTTCCATTGTGAGTGCCGTGGAGGTGAGAAAGCGACAGAGAGTCCGAAGTACGGTGGAGGGATGAACTCCTTGTAAGCGAGAGAATTGCAGAACCTAGACGATACTGCTATATGTGTAGGCTCTTTGCACAACTTCGCACCCCACCGTCCGGGAGTGATGATGTCCGTCGGCACTGTGGCTATCATCTTCTCTCAGACGTATCTTCCTCGCTGGCCAGGGTCTGGATGCATCATCTGCTAAGTGCCATGTGAGCGGCCAGAAGGGGCAGTGATAGTAAAACAAAACAGGGTAAGTCAATTGATCTCCAAACCATCTGATTGTCTGCTCGAGCCTTGGCTAGAGTGGGCATGTCCCACGCAACTTTACCATAAAGTGAGTTGGGGCCTGCTGGGCTGGACAGCCTGACGCTATGAAAGGTTGACCTATCGCATAGGCTTCCGTAGCCGAACGCTGGTTGTCGATCGAAGAGGATTAGCTTCAATCGTTTATACACATTTCAGTCCCGCTATATTATCAGTCTTGTGCGGGATGGGTGCTGCGTGGGCATATGTGGACAAAGTCGCCAATATCAAGTATATGTGGCAACGCTTGGCCAGATATGTGCCGTGTCTTTGCGCGTTTGAAGTCTTACCCTTCTTCACGGGTCTCAGGCTCATTGGTGGTGTGAGATGTCTGGTGATAGCCTTCCAATCGTGGTCCGAAGTTCCTCGGACGAGGAGATGAAGTAATGTGAACGTCGCTTCTTCGAAGTCCTCGTAAACATCCCGCATATGTTATCCTCGCGGCTTGTCAATACCTCCACGAGACCCAGTACGTTAGGGCGGATGATAGATTGTGCATCTCCAATGCACCTTGCTCAAACTCTGAGGGCATATCGATCAAAAGTGATTCTGCTCACTTGCTTCTAGACATCTGTCTTGTCAACCAATCGTGCAGAATTTGTTCTGAAGCTCTGGCACGATGGTGTGCCCACCAGTACACGCGCGATGGTAACAGGATCCTCACGGCACGATAGAAGTGGTACAACACGATCAGTGCCCGTAAGTCGCTTTGCTGAACCTTGGAAGCAAATGGTCCGTAGCACTGGACTGGGAAGAGGAGAATATAGCTGGCCAACTTTGGCAGTATCGTCTCGACATGAGAGCTATTGACGTTCTGAGGCTCTCCTTCTGACTGTGAGTGGCCGCCGGGAAGAAATGATAGAAGGAGAGATAAGCCACTAACGGGTCTCTCGTACTCGGCAATCTCACCCTCGCCGTCCTCATGCTCGGACAAAGCAGAAGTGGCTTCCGCAAACTTGTTGCTTGTATCCTTGGCAGGCTCTGTACCAACAATACTGCTAAGATCTAAGAGCTCCGGGCTTATCGGACTGTGTAGGAGGCGGTTTCGGTATTGATTCCTTAGATTGCTGTTTTTCTGCTCGCTCATTGCGGTCAAGAATTCGATGGGGGAATTATGTTGCATGTGCGAGATGCATACAGAGGGTTGAGCAAAAGCGGGTGGCACGCACTTTAAAAAGACCTGCTTCATACTTGAGCAGTATGAGAATAGGCGGTCTGTTAGTGCGTCTCTTCCATGCATGATGCAAACATCTTCCTGAGGCCTCTTGACATCGTCTCCCATCCAGATCTCGTAATGAAGCAAGCGAGACGTGAGGATGAAGGCATCCAGATGCATCGAAGGGAAGGGACGAGCCATTTCATGCCGAAATCTGACCAATGCTCTGGACAAATGATTATTTGCTGCTGTGGCGTACATCGTTCCCCCGGGCTGTAGCGATGCCCGGTGCCGAGCTGCAACGCACAGAATTGCATTCATCACATAATCGAAATGAAAGGACAATCGTATTGCATAGGCCCAGAACTCCGATTCGCCAACGAGGGTGTGCTGCGTGCTTGTTTGGAAATGATGAAATAGTTCCATGTGCAGTAGGTTCACATTGGCGCCCATTGGACTCGGTCCAGTCTCCAGGTTCACGGGCTGAGTCGGCGAGGATGAGGTCAAGACGGCCGAGGCGGCTCGTCTCGATATATGACAGGGTTCTTTCCTACGCGTACAGTTCCCACAGGGTAGTTCTTCATTGCACTATCGTGCGTCACATCAGTAAGTGAGCCTGGGGTACAACTAGGAGTGGGCGAGATACCTTGATTCGCCTTCTTTTGCAGTTATCACATCCTGCTCGGGATTTTCGATGAGCACGTCGTTGTCGGGCTGGGTCGATGTTCAGAGACTTTGGAACTTGGAAAAGACCCTGTGTTGAGCCCGAGTCAGAAGAAAGAACAAACACGTTTGTAAGGTCGTCGACACCGCGGTGGAGTCCCGTCTCCATGGTCCCCATAACGATAGCGGGTTCGACAAGAAGATGGTTCTCGCTTATAGGAGGTATCTCTCGCAAGAAGGACAAGTCCCGTCAAAGGGGACGAACGCGTGGAACAGTCTTTAGATCCCGGCAACCGTACCTGGCCTATAATTCTCTGCCTTATCTCCGTTTTTATGGCCGAGTTATAGATGCTATGTGACCTCAACTGGCTAAGTTAACTAGTGCAGCTCACATGGTGCTCTTTTTGGGGACTAGCGGTTCGAGTACAGCATCGCTCACGAGGCAAAGGGACGGCGAGCTGAAGAGTATGTTCCAAGTTCTAACGCAGAAGGAATTGATTCGCTTCGTTCCTTGTGCGCCAGCCTGGAGATTAGCGAGCGTTCTGGAGGGAGGCATCGACTCCAGCGGCACCAGCCATGGCGTATGCTTTCGCTATGCCAGCACCGATGCCCTTGTCGGCTCCTGCAACCTCTACGTGGTAGGGAGGTCGTGGGCTGGCAATGTGGGACCTATTGCCCTACGCGCTCTGAGCGTCACCGGCGGGGCCGTTGTATTCATATCAGCCTGTAGATGGGACAGAGATTCTGGTATCGTCGCTGCCGTGTACGACAGTGACATGGAGCTGAAGTTCAAGGATGAAATACAGTTTATGAGTAGATGATAGACTTTAGAAGTGACTTTTAGTCGGCCTACACTTATTGGTGGCGCTTTGTTGTCAACGAGTAGCTGTTGATAGCTGTCCACGAGCGTCACCAAAACGATATCATCACATTCCAGAACGTGATACACCCTCCTGTGATTGTAGCAGTCGGAAAGTTGTATCTCCAATTCTCACAACTAAAATCATTTAATCCCGGGGAGACAATCCCCGGTAACAGACCTCGGTGGGCTTATTACAACCACGAACGAGCTGCACGTCTGAGATCCAATAATGCTCGATGTAGTGTCAGAATTGAAGGTGTCTAACCTTAAGTTCGAGGCTTTACAGTGGAGGCGGCTGCCGGGCGGCAACAATCCGCTCGACACCATAGGCAAGCTCAAGCAACGTCTGCTCTCGGTACGGCAGACCTAGCAATTCCAAGCCAACAGGCAAGCCTGGAGCTGTCTGATCCTGCGTTAGCCCAACAGGCACAGAAATAGCAGGCATGAGCGATTGTGACGCGACAAGCGTATTCGTGGGGAATGTGTCAGCGGGCCAGCGTTGAGCGAGGGCATCTTTTAGCAATGGCGCGGGGATCTGGCAGTCTGGAAAGGCCAAAGCATCGAGTTCGTATTTAGCCATGAGCGAGATAATGGCCTGCTGAAGCCGATCGCGCGCAAGTAGCCTAGATGTAAATGTAGGATCACGTTCGGGCGTACCGGGCCCGAGTGCGATGTCTTCGAAAAGGTCGAGGGCCGGGTGATATTGTTTCGAGCCGTAGATGGCCTTTGTGTCGGTCTTGAGGAACGTGTGGCGAGCGAACCACGCATCGAGATCGGATCTCGAACGCTGTGGATACGTGAATGTGAGAGAGAGGATTTGTGCGAGGTCTGGGATGCGGACGTCGACCAGCGTCGTGCCGTTGTCTTGGAGCGTCTTCAGCGCGCTGTTGATGACTTTGTTTACAGAGTGGCAAGCTGGGTCTGAGTCTGGCCCAAGGGTGCCCTCGAGTAGACCCAGTCGTGCTGACTTGATCCTTTCCATGGAGAGATTGGCTGCATAACTTCCTCCCTTCGGCGGGCCGGCGATTACTGCCGTTGCGGTGTACGGGTCTCGTTCATCGAAACCAGCGAGGACGTCGAGCATCAGGGCGGCGTCGGTGACGGTGCGGCACATAGGGCCTGGAGTGTCTTGAGGTACGAGCAGTGGTGACAAGCCGAAGCGGCTGATTGTACCCGGTGTGCATCGCAGGCCAACGAGACCACAGAAGAAAGATGGTAAGCGGATCGAGCCCCCAGTGTCCTCGCCGACTCCTAGAAGACCTAGATCTGCTGCGACGGCTGTGCCAGTGCCGGAGCTGGAACCACCTGGGTCGCGTACCAGATCGTATGGGTTCTTGGTCACTCCGGATATAGAGGATGTTGAGTGCCAGGACGTCGCCCAGTCTGTCGCGTAGATTTGGTAAGAACGTTTCCCCTTCAACAGTGGTGATGATGATGGTGAGGTGGTTGATGGTTGAGTCCTTCACTTACCAGGCATGGTCGTCTTTGCGAGAACGATGGCTCCAGCTGCTTTCAGCCTCGCCACGAGAGCGGCATCTTCCTTTGGGACATTGTCTTTTGCAACAATGGAGCCGTACGTCGTGGTAAGGCCTTTGGTGTCGGCTTGGTCCTTGATGACCACGGGTATACCGTGAAGACCGCCCTTGAGCGAGGACGTGCTTTTGAGATGTGCATCCAGGGCATCTGCTTCCGCGAGGGCGGTGGTAGAGACGGCGAGGATACTGTTCAGGTTTGGACCGTTGGGGTCTTTGTCCAATCTTTGGATCCGGTCAAGGTAGTACTCCACCACTTGTCGAGCTGTGAATCTCCCACTTTTGTAGCCGTCATGGGCTGCTAAGACCGTCAATTCTCTCAATTCTGAGGCCATTGTCTGTGCTGATATCCCAAACAATGCAGTAGGACTTTATTTTCTGCTGAGCGAACTTCAGAGTATCTCGTCGAAGTAGAGAGGGACTAGGGAGTTATCATGGTGGCAGCTCGGCCGCCGGACATAGCCGCATGGGAGTCTCCCCAGAGCTGCGGTCAAAGTCCGAGCAAAGAAGCAAGATACGCCTTGAGGTCGAGAGCCTGGCAAGTGTAAGTCCACAGCCAGAACATGGAGCTTCCGCTCCCAAGCGATAAAGAAGGTGTATCCTGCTTGGAATGATTGCACGACACGAAATCCATAACACAAAATTCTCGACGCTGCACAAGCCTGGAGGAGAATTCTTAGACTGGCGAGGCTGGACGAGGCTGGACGAGGCTGAGGATGACTAAGAATCTGGGGCATCCCTTCTTGGCAACGGGTTAAGGTTGATCCGCATCTCTGAATCGCGGCGACACAAGATTAGGTATTGTACGCAACAGGTATCCCTCATATCCCTTGATTGAGCTGCACCATGATATCTTTCGCGCCTGTCATGGTATAAGTTTATATACCTAGGTACTAAGAACACCAGAATACCCATGTCTCGACAACCAGCTTCCATCGCATTTGGAAGAGATGTGGTATCTTGAAGGAGCCCTTTTCATCTTGTCTCTACTCGATGTCGCCGCTGCCACAACCTCGGCGTCTGGCACCTCTTCTCTTCCGCCTGGCACTTGTCCGTCTCGCACGGCGAACTACATTACACATAGCCTACGGCAGCAATGCATAACTTCCTCTCGCACGGTCAATTTGACCTCGGCTTCCACTACAACTGACGCTGTGGTTGACTCGACCGCGAATGTTGAATCTATTATTCAGATCACTACAGATAACTCCAACGCTTCCTCGCTCGTGTCCTCCACGGCCACACGCTCCCCCGCCTCTACCTCCGAATCCGAAACATCTGTGACCAAACATGGTTCTGTAACATCGAATCCTGCTGATACGGGAGTTCCTCCGACCGAGGCCACCCATGACGCCTCAAACTCGGCCCCCGAGCCTGCAGAGGAAGATTCGCCCTTAGGGGACGGCAAGTTCTTGTCCTTTGAAGATTGGAAGAAGGAGAACCTGAAACAGGCGGGACAGTCTGAGCATATTGGACGAGCTCATGGAGTCGAGCAACGTGAAATCAAGAGGCGGCCAACACTTGACCAAGACTCTTTGGACGCACTTGGCGATGATGCAGAGATAAATCTTGACTTCTCTGGCTTTGTTGCGGACAATATCGAGCCTCCAACGCAACCGCCGCCGCGAACCAGTCAGGGAATTGAAGATGCGCCAGTCGATCAGGGTCGGGGTCCGAGGGCGGGTGTTCGAAGTAAGGATGCGGGTACCACTTGCAAAGAGAGGTTCAACTATGCTTCTTACGACTGTGCAGCGACCATCTTGAAGACGAATCCCGAAGCCAAAGGTGCGAACGCGGTGCTGGGCAAGAACAAGGACTCTTATATGTTGAACGAGTGCTCGGCTAAGAATAAATTCATTATTCTTGAGCTTTGTGACGATATCTCTATTGACACAATAGTCCTGGCCAATTACGAGTTTTTCAGCTCTACATTCAGGACATTCCGTGTCAGTGTGTCGGACAAATACCCCGTCAAGATCGACAAGTGGAAGACGCTCGGTACTTTCGAAGCGCGCAACACTCGCGATCTGCAGGCATTTTTGGTCGAGAATCCCGTCATCTGGGCCAGGTATTTGCGAATCGAATTCCTAACTCATTACGGAAATGAGTACTTCTGCCCGGTCAGCTTGATCCGAGTTCATGGAACAACGATGTATGAGGATTACAAACACGACCTCACATCTCTACAAGGAGAGGAAGAGGAGGAAGAAATTGAAGCAGTGGATGGAAATAGCGAAGCTGACATTGACGCCTTGGTCCCGGAGGCTGTGGCGGAGCCGTTGTTGACAAAGGTTGAAACTGTTCACACTGAAGTCTCGCTGGAGACGTCTGTCGAATTCGAGCAGCGCGGCTCCGATGAGCGTGAAGAGGAGAATATGCCTGCAAACGCATCGCAGTTGGTCTCACTCGAAACGGTGACCAGCAACATGCCAACATCTCCGGCGAACCTTTCACACGGGTTGGGCGATCTGAGTCTGGGGGCCGAGATGAACGAAATGTGTGACCGCTCCGAAGAGAGCAGAATCTCGAAAGCGGCACAAACACAGTCGTCGACGGCACAACCCACCAGCGAGGAGTTCACTGCTAGTGGGACCTCAACCTCAGCAGTACCTGATACCGACGTTGACAAATCATCTATTTCGGGGTCCTCGGTAAAGCAGACTGGATCCAGTGATACGGAGTCGCCAGATTCCACAACGAAGCCTGAAGTGCCAAATAATACTACCACGAGCAAGACTTCGACGACTTCAGGGTCGGTTAGTGGTACGAAAGTTTCGTCTTCTTACACGAACCCTCCTCCCGCAGCTCCGACTATGCAAGAATCCTTCTTCAAATCTGTGCAGAAGCGTCTGCAAATGCTAGAGTCGAATTCGTCTCTATCTCTCCAGTACATCGAAGAACAATCTCGTGCTCTCCGGGATGCCTTTCAGAAGGTCGAGCAAAGGCAGCTTTCTAAGACCACATCTTTCTTGGACCATCTGAATGCAACCGTCCTGAATGAACTTCGGGATTTCCGACAGCAGTATGACCAACTTTGGCAGTCCACTGTCATCGAGCTCGAGATGCAACGAGAACGTTATCAACAGGAGCACATGGCCATCAATGCTCGGCTCGGAGTTCTTGCTGACGAGGTCATTTTCCAGAAGCGGATGTCCATTCTGCAGATGATTTTGATTTTGATCTGCCTCGGTTTGGTCATTTTCTCCAAGGGGTCCATCCACAGCTATCGTGAAATGCCTTTCGTACAGAGTGTACTCGCCCGGTCCCCAAGTTCGAAATGGCTGAATTTGACCGCTCTGGAATCACCAACCCATAGTCCACCTGTGACCAGAGCAAGCTCTACGGGAAGCGGACGACGACGGCAGGGGATTTTGAAGGGCCATCGTCGTCTTCCGTCAGAAGACACGGCAGACGAAGCCCTCAGCCCGTCAGACCCTTACACCCCTCTTACTCCTGTCAGTATAGATGACCCATCCCAGGTTGAGGACTTCAGGGGCGGCGACCTTGGTGATCCTCAGTTTGACCCAAGTCTCATTGAACGTCCTGGCACAAGCCCGCCAGTCCTCTCTGCATCAGACACACCCATGACCCCACCACTTAAACCTGAGTTGGGAGATCCTCCGGTCGTTAGAAATCTGACCACCTCGACTAGCACTGACGTGAATCAAACACCTCCAATGCTGGTCCTCGAGGACGCCACACCTCCTTCAAAGCAGCTGAAGTGGAATCTGCCAGACAGCTGAAAGTAATTGAGATGTTGATGACACAATGTACAGTTAATCACTCTATGTAATATTAGTTTTTCTCTGGAGAATAGATTCGTGCAGCGAATTCTCATGAATTAAGATCTGCTCCCTCGCTATCAGAACATACCGAGCTGGCCTTGACAAAATCCCTAGGCTTTAGAACGAGCTCGAGGATCAAAGGAGGTTTGAACCTCTTTAGCAAAGACGTGTAGACCTGGTGCAAGTTCGCCACGGCGGTCGAAATGCAATGACACATAGAATGTGCCTCGGGTCACCCTTGGGGGGAAGCTGTTCGAATTCATGTTGGTTCCTAGGGTTCTTTGATCTGAGGCCACAACATCCTCAGAGAAACAATGAATGATTTTAATGTAAATTCGAGATCATCGTAACGGGCTGTATACAGTATACAAGTGATCACTGAACGGTATTTTGCTAGTATCCTGTCTAGACTGTCACGGAGCTCCAATCTGGTCGAGTAAGCCCACCTTGGCCAGCCACTTTGCTCATTGGCTAGCAACGAACGCAACGGCCATATGATGCGTAGATATGAGGGACAGAGAGGAGCGAGGAATGTTAGTATCCGTAGCAACATTCTTCGATTTTGACAAGACAGTTGGGTCTTCTGAAAATAGCAAGTCAATGCATTGAGTGCTAAGGTTTTGTTCAAGCCGCTTCTTAAATGAGTAGTAGAATTAAGAATTGTCTTGAGCCGGACTGGCTTGGCTCTGCTTCTACGATGTGCGCGATCTATATGTACTATATACTACACCTTAACTCATCTCAAAGTTCGCGCCCAAAGTTCGCCCAGCGATACATAGTAGGTATTTGGTATGGGAATTAGTTATATTTAATCATTTATATACAGTACAAGTACATTAATCACTTCACCCTTACAGGTTTCATGAAACACGAGACCAAATTGATTCAATCCTGACTTAACTCAGGGCTAATAGATTTTGAGCTAAATCAGGTTACCCATCAGATTCTTAGTCCATGAACCAGAGTCAAATCAGAGTTGACTCGGGTTTGATCGAGGCTTGCGAGACTCGAGTCAACCCACCATCAATTGAATTATACCTGAGTCTGGCCTTGATTAAGCCCCAGTTCGGACACCGGTTCCTGGTAGTAGTAACTGTGAGCACCCCTAGGGTGGGCCAGGAATCCTATGTAGTATGTATTTTGCTCTTACATCACGAAGTTCGAAACGTTTGTCAGTAGGACTGCGCAGGACTAGATAGTACTAACTTTTGTAGAGACTTAAGCCACTCGTATATTACTAGTAATGTCAATCAAATTTAACCTAGCCTAGTAGCTACTAGTAGCAAGCAGGTTGCTTGGGAGACTTCCACTTTCGTCGAGTTGCTTTTGTGTCTTTTCACGCCGAGCAGACAGAGGACGCGTCACTGGCAATTCGCTCTGTTTGCATCGGAGGTGAGCTATATAGACTACTTGTACTACTAATGCCAAAGATACTCTTCAAGAAACCATACGAGTATATACTCGTATGATTTTGATATGTAGTTCAATCACCCTGATTATTATAGCTGAGGTCGAGCGTGAGAGATCTACAGTTGTGCTGATTGAGTACTATCAGTACTTGCTACTGTTATGCCTCCCTGGGTAGGGAGGGCATCAGACCGCCCAGTGGTTTCAGACTGCCTGGAACTCAGATTCGGCATCATTTCGGCTGAGAGTCAGAGCGCAGTATGTCTAGACCCCTTCAATAGAGATTCTAGATCTGTGTCTGTGCCTTGGTAGTACGGTAGTCGTGAGCAGTGTTGTTTTTCCCTTTACGTACACGCACTTAGCGTTCAGCCCTGGATGACCAGCGAACTACAGAGTTTCTCGCCCCCAGGACGGTCAGGAAAAGGTAGGGTCAGAGTCATTCGTACGACATGGCGCTGGGAGTTAGAATAGTTTCGTGTTTCTGAAGATACGGAAGATGATAAACATGCTACCGAAATTTCCTAATTAGGTAAGACTACTGTGCACTCGAACAATCGATCAACTCCCTGAGAAGGTAAATAAGGGGACACTAAAGAAGCCCCCCATACTCGAATAACAGGTAGTACTTAACGTCTAATATAGTACTGGTAGCACCTAACCTTCCAGTTGGACTCATCATAGCCCCCCCCCCCCCCCCCCCTTTCTACAATATTGACCTCAGGCAACTCCGTACGCTTGGGTGACCTTTTCGGGTATCTGCTTTTCCTTCCAGTTGGACTCATCATAGCCCCCCCCCCCCCCCCTTCTTTCTACAATATTGACCTCTACTAGTAACCAACCAGGGGTGTGTGTATTTAACAAAGAGATCATCCATACTGATATTATGCATAACACTGACTCGCAACTCATTCATTCTCATGCGAAAACAGATCGATCACACTTTGCTGCTAGGAGCACTTGCTTCTGTTCTAATTTCCAAGGCTGATTGCTTTATTGATACAGAGTAGATTCGGCAAGAGACGTAAGTGCTTACGGAACAGCAGCGATCAGCTACTTACCATTCATTTACTACGCGTACTAATCTGTAGAAAAATGTGAGAAAGTGGTAGTAGAACGTAGCTACCTACTACTACGTCAGTTTAGTATAGAGAGAAAATGTGTTGAAAATTAGGAAAGGGGGGGAGGGGGTGAAGACCCGAGGCCTAATTAACATTATGTACTTTAGGGGTGAGTGATTATAAGGGGGGGCCACTAAACTGTTAGCCGTAGTAAGAGACGCTTCTGGTTCCCCAGGTCTCGCAGAGAGAGGCCCTACAAGACAACACTAATGGCTCAGCGAGATGACCGTAAAGCATGAAATCACGTCTTTTGGCTTTTGTGTATGAGCCCCCCCATTTACTTTGTAGGTGAAGTTGCCCAGAGATGTAGCCTACAGAGTACTACTAACTAATAATGCCCATAGTAGTCTACTAGTGACTGTTCGCTTCTTTTAGGACCTAAAACTAGTAATACCAGTACTGATACTACTACATTCTGTTCAGGTTTTTCCACGCAGAGCACTACTACTATTATTATATTATAGTATCAACTGATACAGATCTGTACCGTTGCACATTGCGTTAAAGTCATTGTTGATTGTAAAACTCCTTTAAAGGGCTACCGCTATCGACTATCAATGTAATAAAGTAGTAAATTCGTTTCGTGTCGTAAGTGGCTTTGAGCATTTTGGTGTAAAGCCTCATTTCAATTCAAGCTTCCTCTTCTTCGTCTTCGTCTTCATCCGATCCAGATTCTCGGTCGTCGATTTCTTCGTTATTACCTACGTGTCCTGGACCCACAGGGCCGGCCACAGCATTGTGGTTCTGTTGAGGGGGCGGTGGAGGAATAGCAACAGTGTCGGGTCTAGCGAGTCCAGGCGTACGTGGTGGTGCTTGGGCGGTCCCCGGTTCATCGGCCGCGTTACCACCGTTTTGTGGTATTCGAGGGTCTGGCAAGGCAATCGCCGCTAGCGAACCTGGTCTGTACTGGTCTCGAAGTCGCTGGATTCTACGTATGAGATCTCGTGCGAGGACGCCCATGTCTTCCAATTCCTGAAACTCTGTCAAGTGCGGTGGTACAACGTGATGATGGTAATGGTGGCCGTGGTTCATGCCTAAAGGCCTCTGCATGGGCGCCAGCAGTGCTTGCATTGCCGGGCGATTTGCACCAGGAGGGTGCTGAGCAGTACTGTTCGGAGGGCGCCCTGACACAGAAGCAGCATGATGCGGTGGAGTGGGATTGGTGGTCGGATGCAAGCTGGTGAAGAACTCAACGAGACCATCGATGGCTTCCTCGGTGGTTGCAAGCGATCCGTGTCCGCCAAGTCGCCGCTGCTCGACAGGTTTGCGTATTCGATCCCTCCTCTTTTTCATCTTCCTCGACGATGACTGTGCTATCAGGAATGCTTGAGACCTTCTCTTGCACTTTCCAGACACCATCCTAGCCCACCGGCAATTTGGGCAGAAAAAGAGGGGTGCATGCTCGCCTGATGAAACTTGCTCCTCGGTTTGGGGAGCCATGCAGCCCTTGCAAGGACATGGAGGTTCCAAAGTGCTCATGCAATCCCCGCAGATGTTGATTCTGCACTCGAGGCACTGCTTCATGATGGCAGGACAGCGCCGTCTGTGGTCTCCGGGAGCACGTGTAGCCGGACAGAAAAACGCCTGGCAGCCTTGCCATATTGGTAATGCCGGCGGCTCATCTTCTGGACGCAGAGCACTAAGAGACGGTTCAGGCGTTGCAGGGTTTGAGTGAGCTGAAGGCGTAGGTGACGTCGATCGTGACAGGGGGCCGGTACTAGTCGATGCTGGCGACAGTGGTCGATGAGGTGGATCAAGATCAGCTAGGGGGGTTCTATGAGCGCGCAAGGCTTGTCTGAGTCCAATAGCCGGTGCCTCAACATCATCCCTTTCGACTCCATCATATAAGCCCTCAGATCTAGATGGTAGTTGCGGGTTAGGAGGTACCCATCGACGGGTGGACGAACCGTCCGGCCTTGATCTCGCCTGGTCCTGTTGCGCTGCTGGCTTCTCTGCTGCCAGCCTCTCCTTTCGATGTCGTACCAATGTGGCCAAAAGTTTCAATGCCTTTTGTCGAGACTTATACTCCTGCCTCTCTGCAACGACATCCCTATAGCCACAGATCCTTACCTTCATTCGGTCGCCGATGTCGTGCTTGAGACACAATGATGTTGCGCAGGCCTTACATTTCAGTCTCCAGTGCTCTGTACTGTAGCACTCGTCGCACAGAACCCTAGGTATCGAAAACGACGGAGGCTCATCGGAGCTTAAGGCTTCGGCTGTCCTGAAGAAGCTGTCGATCGATGGCCATCGACCACCGGGGCCTTGTTGCACCGATTCATCTTCGACGGCTGGCCGTTCGGAACCAAACTCTGGATCTTCCCACCCCTTGCCGATGGGTAGAGGAGCTGCTCGGATTTTGTCCGTTTCTCGGCTGTTGGTATTGCCAAAGGTGATACCTCCGCCACCAGAGAACACGGGCTCGGTACAGCACCATCTGAACTTGATATTTGGCATCAAATTAGGATCAGCATTTTGAGCGCCATTGGCTCCATTGGCAGGTTGGTCCTGATCCTGCATCGTGCAAGGAGACACAGCATAACCTGGCGCCCACCAGAACTTGTTCCGCTCCTCCTCTGGTGCGTTTTTATTCCGTAAATACGGTCGGTCGAATGCACAGCTTGCACAGAGTGTTTTCCTACACCCAGTGCAGTGCATCATCACCGAGCATTGTTCGCATCTTTCTAGAATTTCGGCGGAGCAGTTATGACACACAATGTCTTCAACAAAGTCTTTGTGAGTCTGGCGAAGATGTGCCGGCGTCGCCTTTCCTTCTCTGCTTACTCCGATGGCCTCACCGTTAACACCTTCCTCGTCAAACTCCCAACTTCGACCATCCCGCCTCCGTTTCTTCGGCGGAGTTGAACTATTAGATCCTAAAGTTTCAACCGGACCCAACCAGTTCCGACTTCTCCATAGACGATCATAAACCACCCAGACCTCTCTCGTGCCCTGGGGCATTCGCATCTTCACATAGCCTCTCCGGCGAAAACAGCGAGCTCCGGGTGTTGTGCACCATGCAGTATCGGTCCAGATCCCCAGCTTATGACAGGTACTGACCAGTTCATGAGTAGGCTCACTATCGCTTTCCTTCCGTGACAGGCTGCTCGGCAGGTATGGTCTGCGTCTATGATGGCGGCACCGATATGTGTATAAACTCTCCAGAGCAAGCGTCTCAAAGCCGGTTGGACCTCGGGCAGGTTGGGACTCTCGTGCAAGAGCGTGCATCTGCAGCCAGGGATTGATATGGTATTTCAACGAGACGTTCTTGCAGCCACGGACAGACACATGCCTCAGGGTATCTCTTCTCAAAATCAAAACGGTCGACGTGAGTGTGGCTCCGCTAACCGCCGTATTGTCCAGTTCGAGGCTAACCAGCCTTGTACTAAATGGATTGATGATGTTCAGGAGGATTTGATCGAGGGCGTAGTTACTAGACTGGCGCTGCCCAGTAGCACCATTGGCAGTGGCGGCAGCATTCGAAATCGTAGGCTGGTACAAACGCCAGGATATATAGCGCCACGACGTGGGAGACTTTGAGAGAAAGTCCCGAAGGAAGGACGAGGTCTGGTAGAGACGAAATATGGTGTCGGTCGGTACTTGAGCAAGTAGCGACTGGAGGATCGGTGGATTGCAGGTAATTAGGAGTTCGAAGGACGATGGGCCAGACCGAGTAGGCAACTCTTCGAAGTCCATTGTGGGAGACGCCATCTATTCTCTCCGCGAGGACATGGATAGACTCGTTAAACGGTGGCTCATTTTCCGGCCATAGGAACTCGAACTCCAGGAGAGTCAAGACATCGCGTTGCTACCAACAGTGGTCCGTTTATGTGAATCAGGCTGTGGCAGTGAGATTGTATCGACGAGGCGTTTGTGCAGGAATGTCGACGTGCAATTGACGACAGACACAGGGCGGACGTTGATTTGTGAAAGGCGCAGGCATAGGGTCACGTGGATTGGATTGGCGGCAGCCTTGTGATGGAGAGTCTCGATCGGGGCGTCAGACTCGGACGCTGCACAGTACGGACTGAAGCCAGTGGTGATGGTACATATTGGCATTCAAGCTTACCACTGTGCACGTCAAGTGTTCTGTCGCTGAGGCCGGAGTGATGATTTACCTTCCATGATCGAGGGAATATGTCGGCAACAAACGCGCGACGATCTGTGATCAACGGTCGGGAATATTCACAGCAAAATGAACACTATCCGAGGGTTGGTTATTCGCATCCCTCTTAGAGAGGCAGAGCGATGGTAGCTCCTGACTGCTAGCTAGGTAGCCGTGGGAGTAATACCCTAGCTAGAGAGACACGCTCACCATCGCGGCCGGGTACTCCAACAAAGTCCTGACTCTTTTGTCCTCATCGCGCATCAGATAGCCAACGATTGACCTGCATTCCGTTGCGCTTCTTTGACTGATCCACCACTGTTGTGTTCTAGTCATCATGGCAAGCCAGTGAGCCAGGATCAGCAACGCCCGTTTCTCGAGCCGAAGTAAGAGTTCCTTAAATTTCCCATCCAGTTTTCCTACAAAGGCAATCAACTTCGCAAAGTTGTTCAAGCAAGGTCCCAAGTGACGGTAGGAGAGCAGATGACCGAGGGGAACGTAGAAAGGATTGTCTTCCGGAGATGACTGCTCCGTGATCCCGCAGAGGTCGAGAAATAGTGTGCGTGTTCGGTCCTCCTGAAGATGGTTCCAAAATGGGAGAACGACGTAGCCGGCATCTTGCATCACTGGTCCCCATATTGACTGCAATACGAGATCTCCTAGGCTTCGGCACACCGCCTGGTAACCTTTGCCCATCTCAAGCCACTGGAGGCACTCACGCCGTCGCTCAAGAGGTGCATCGACAAAGCTTTTCGCTGCATCAGGTCCTGGATCATCAAGCATGTACTGATGTACACATACGAGCATCATGGTAGATATGAGAGCATCTATGGATTGAAGCACGACGCCGGATTCCAGGTCACTGCGGAAGAGCCGCAGGGCCTCCTTCCAGTGATATGCGGCTGCCAGTCGGTGCTGTCGATGTTGATGGGGATGTTGATCTGCTGGGATAAGATGACAGAGGTGTTCAGCGGATACTCCATTGACCGCGTGAAGCAGCGCGGGGTTTTCCACCACAAGCTTGTGCATGCATGTCTTGATTACCTGTTGCGCTAGCTGCGATCCCATGGAGCAATATGTCACTGTGTTGAAATGATGGAGAGTCTGCAAGATCGGTGTCATCTGATCCGGTTGGCCTACCATGCTTGGAGTGGGTGGAAGTGGGGTGATATTCAGGCGGCTCAGCGGTGATATGTATGTGATCTTTGCCCTGGTCGACGAACCGGGGGGCTTCGCAGTTATAGCAGTCGGATCTTCATACTTGTTCTTCGGTAAAACCGTTCTCCTAGCGTTGGGAGAGCTCCCCTGAAGATAGTCACATTCGAGGCTATGGCTCTGACATTTCAGGCAACCGCCCTCGATATTCTCGTCACACTGACATACATCAAATCAGGATGCAATCGGTTCGTGCGGGAAACCACCTACCTTGATTCGCCGTTGCTTACATGTTTTGCAGCCGGACCTCGACTTTCTGTGAGACTTCCGTGCATGGACGGCCGTCCTTCGGACCTTCGGACGTCTTGAATATGAGTGAGTGGGTATTTTCAAGACTCCTTGCATGAGCCTTTGTGCTTCGCTGGGTGCATGGCGCGTTTTGCTGGTCATTGTCGCTACAACCATCTTCTGGCATGATCCATGAGTATTAGCCAGATGAACCACGAGTCAATATGCAGTCAACGACGGAAAAGTGATGTTGAAGGGTGTAAGTGAATACGATATATACCCGTTTGCAGATTAGGCTCCAACATATCTTCGAGCATCGAAGAGAGAGTGTTCTGATGCCAGTAGTGAGTGTTTCGGAAGATGCCCTCAATTCCGCAAACGGAAGTCAGCCGTATTCCAGACCAATCATATCCCAGTAGACTAACCTTGTTAGACGAGGCTATTGAAGCATGGAATACTGGATCTGTGTAGGTCATGGACAAGTCAGGTTAATTCATATAAAAGGTATGTGATTCTACCTGGGCCATCTATGCACATCCAACCTCCCAGTCCTCACAGACCAGATTTCGCCCGTCAGCTCATTACAAGACATCTTTGTTAGTCGCGCTCAACCAAGACAACAGCCATCATTTGCACGTTGAAATGCGCCATGGAAAAACTCCTGCATAGCCGTATAATGGAACAGAATCCCTGCAAGAACGGCAATGTGCCAGATGTTATGACTACCACCAGCGTAGTCAAAGAGACCGGGCCACCATTTCTCGGGAACTTTGCTGGCATATATAATCGCGCCGGTCAAGTAGACCATCACACTTTTCGTCACCGGCGCATAGAAGTAGAACGTCCAAGCAACTCCCCTCGTATAATTTAGTTGTATGACAGGAGCGAACCCTGTAACGGCCATCGTGACGAAGAAAGACACACGTGCCCACGCCATGTCGGCGCGATTGAAGCTTTCCCGCCAGGGCAGAATAACTCCGGCAATTCCAAGTAGAGCCGTCATCGTCATGTAGACGGCACGGGAAAGCGGCTCGCAATAGAATGCCGTCCATTCTGTACTGAGAATGCTGGCTGCCACCAAGAATGAGATACCGGTGTAGTCGACACAGGCAAACCGATCTAGCAGGCACTTATCTGCAATGCTGTTCATGGTGTGCCACATGATTGAGCAAATTAGGCACTTGCAAGCTGCGAGGAAAAAGGAAGCCGCAATCAGGACGTCCCATTTGCTGGACAACGGAAATGTTGACGAGGCGGGATAGTAGTAGAAAGCCACTGCAAGCACGATGATCAAACCGATGCCGTGAGACCAAATGTTGACAGTTTCATTGGAAGGTCGGAAAGCCGAGGTGATGCATTCGATCTTGGTCCGGTTGAACCGATAGCCCCGGAGAATGTGAGGGTTGTTTCGCCACGGCACGGGCAGGTCGTCGTAATGAATCAGCCTAGATTCGGCCGCGCGACTCAGAGCATGAGAGATCGATTCAGCAAGCAGGTCGGTTGCCCGAATAGCTTTGTCGAACCCGTCCTCGAGAATCTCGCGCGTCGCAGTTATAGAGTCATCGACTTTCTTCCATCCGGAATCAAACAACTGCTTCTTTCTCGAGTGTGCCCTGGTTTCCAGTTCGGAGAGATAGCATTCCATCAAACGCAAGCTTGCTTGTGCCTTTTGCTCGAAGGTCTCGCGGGAAGGCATCAGATCATTGTATCGACTCTCTAGCGTTTCGACAAGTATGTTTGCTCGCTGCCGTGCTGCGCCCCACAGGAGCTCTCCAGAATGGTACGGTGAACAAGAATCCCGCACATCTCTGACTATCTGAAAGGCTCGCTCAAGTTGTGAATCGAGACTCAAAATGCTTTCTTGCCTGTATTTTTCCAGCCTATCGACTCGCTGTCTGAGCTCAGTGAGGAACAAATCGACCCGTACAAAGACTGCATCGGCATTACAAATACTCGAATTGCGTCGTCGCGAAGTGTTGTATGAATGTCGCCGACCTCTAAGGAACAGGGCAGTCCGCTCGTCGTCTCTCGAGGAACTGGTGGCTGGACTAGAAGAGGAGGATTCAATTGTGACGGCGGACGCTGTGCAGGTCATATTGCCTTGTCTACGCTCATGCGGCAGAGTCTGTAATCAATGCCCGCAGATAGACAAGCGACGGCAGTCAGGTAGAAGATCGCTTTGGCTTGCACAGAGGCTAGTAGTAGGTTGCGTGGAGAGTGGTACGGTAGCAGCGTGAGCTTGTCGTAGGAAATTGGATATGGTTCGGATAGCGCAAAGTGCGTGAGATTGGGCCGGGAACAACAGGACCGGAGTGACGGTAAGGGCTGGATGGAGTGATTGAATGAGTGATAGGTGAGGCTCTACGTAGGTCAACGGACATCGAGAGAAGAAAAGTAGTGCGGTTGACAGGATATGATGATGGAACCGACGGCGAAATGTGCAGGAAGAAGGCGAGAGCAAAGACGCCGCAGTCCGGCCACGGCGGGCCGAAAATCACAACGTCATTTCAGCCAATTTCTCACCGGACGGCGGCGTCTTTGACGGGTGGCTGGAGAAAGTTCGTCGAATGACATTTGATTTGACATGACAGCCAGATCTGTGGAGACGAACAGCCTTTAACCCTCTCGGGATCCTCGTTCAGGGACCTGATCTATAGCACGACCTCATACCCGCCCCTATCATTCGCAGATTGAAGCAATCGAGACTCCGAGATCGATTTCCACAATGCCAATCCATCAAGTTCCCACGCAGCCATAGGCCAAAGGACCCCAACAACCTCCATTCAAGCAGTTTGCTCCCCCCAACCTTCAAGTCAAAGGCTCGTGGCTCTCAGACAGGTGCCTTTTGTTTCGCTGTTGGGCAATCTTTTAAGGTCTGAACGAGTGATGATGATGACGAGCGGCTGCTCCGAGAACAGTACTCTTGGTCACTTTTAGTCCACTTCCATCACCTCTCTAGCCAGATTCAATCAACGGCGACCTGGTTATCTATCGAGGCAGATAAGGACCATGGTGTAATGCACCACATCGCTCCCAGAGGACTCAAGATCGGGTCTTCGAGAACCTCGACATTTTGTCATTGCTCCTCCTGAGAAGGTCACTTCACTTAGGGTCTTCCTTTCTTCGAAAACGGCCTTGGAGCCAGCACCGGAACATCTTGATCCTGCGCTGCCGGTTGACGATGAGTCTCCGGTCAATGTCGAGATTCAGAATATCAAATGTGTCGCCCCAGATCTGCTCGAGTTCTTCTTTCTCGAAAAAATAAACTCGAGTTCCATCCCCGCGGACGTAGAAATTCTCTTCCATCCATCGTCCAGCCTTGAACCTGACCTGCGCAAGATCGCCCCTGCCATAGTCCCGAAAGAGAACCTCACCGCCCGGTTTCAATATTCGTTGGATGTTCCTAACAGCCTGCTGCCATTGTTTCGGGTTCAGGGCGGAGAAGATAAATATCATGATGACTATATCGACGCTGCCCTCGTCAACGCCTGTAGGAAGATGTTCGCCAGCTGCATCCCAAACATCAGCTGCCATGACCCCGCCACAATTTCTGTAATCATCTGCGTCTCTCATGGTGTCCACTGCCTTTTTGCTGAAATCCACGGCGAATATCTTCAATTCTGGGTTCTCATTCATTCTCAATATGGGAAATGCAGTGTTACCAGCACCAGCACCAACTTCGAGGATGATTTTCTTCCCAGCGTCTTTTCTGGTAACGTCGTTCAGAACCGGGAACTCCTGCGCCAACCATTTTCGGTCCTTGAAAAATGTGCTTGTCTTTTGCTTGTAGAACAGATCCCACCATTTTTCTGGGTGCTCATTAAAGCGCGTACGGTCAAAGTCAGAGACTGGAGCGGCTCGTTGGGCTGCATATTGAGATTCGCAATATTCATGATGTGCTTCGTCGGGGACTACATGGTCCCAGGCATTGTATTCAAAGACATCTGCGGATTCTGACAAGTAACGCTGACCGAACTGGAATGGATCTGTCCGCTTTGCGCTCGTAGCAGGGTCATGGGAAAGATGCGGAGGGATAGTTGAGCCTTCAGGGCCTGCGCCGAGGTCTTTGTCGGAGGAAGTCTTCGTTGAACTCGTCTCGGCCTCCAGTAAGACATTGTTCGCCTGGGCGTCTCCAGGATCAGCGTCCACAATGGTTTCCATGCCTCTGTCTGGCGCCATGGCATAGGTTGAAAGTATCTGCATGGGAGCCACTGTCCTTTCACTGGAAGATTTGTGGTGCGGAGAATCTTGGACTCCGATTGGTGAGCGCTGTCAAATCCAGGCATTCCGCCGACTTGTTGTCCTCGTTGTCCTTGACTTTCCTGCTATGACCAGAGATGCCCGCCTTCATCCGATTTGAATACTGCAGACAGCCTTAAGCCATGGCTATCGAGGATCTTGTTACGGATCCTACGTTGCAGCCACTGCTGGAGACATCCCGCACGACGCTTTCTCAAGTCCTTGCCGTGCTATCATGGCTCGAAGCAAACTCCACCACTGACAATCCAACCTCGGAACAGAAGCTGGAACTTGCGGAGCGACAGAAGATTCTCTATGCCTATGTGGCCAAACTTCGTGGTCAGCATCGCCAGGCTGCCTTCGGCGCAAGGGCGACAAAGCAAGAGACCGCGGAAGCGAGACAGGAAGTAGATCGACTCCTGCTTCAGCTTCAGAACTTGTACTACGAGCAGCGACACCTGATGGGTGAGATTGGTGCCTGCGAAGGATATGAGTATGTCGATCCTCTTTTCTACCAGTTTCATCTCTAACAGCATCTACCAGTCATGCGTATACACACCTACCGCTTCTTTCACTTGACGAATATTTAGCGCAGTTTCCCGACCAAGCAAGACTTTCGGAGCAGGAGTTGATGCCCCTGCGGATTGAACATGAGAAGCAGGAACGCGAAAAGATGGAACAAGAGCGACTAGAACTCGTGAAGATTAAAGATGGGTTGGTAAAGGAAAATACCCGGAAAAAGGATGAGCTGAAGAAGATGGACGACAAGCTCGAGGCCATGATCGATGGTTTCACTGCCTTGCAGGAAGGTCTAGAGAAGGAGCTATGAGGCTGTCAGTGATTTCTTTCTGCCTCTTTTCCATCTCAAAGCAATCAGCTTCACAATACGGTGGAATTGACCCACACGCAAGGTATCACAAGCGAGAACACTTGGACAACTTTATCGATTCACGCACATATCAGCGTCATGGGCGATGTAAGTCAACATACCACCAAGCCTCCCTACAACGTGGCGACAAGTAGGCTAGGACAGCATGGCCAGTGGAAACATCGGATTGAGAGGAACCGCGTGTTGGCTACTCCTTACCTCGCGCCAGAAATACGTGCCGAGGCTTTCAGGAACTATCCCCAGCCGATGGAAGAATATTTCTCACATTCCAAGCAAGGTCTTCCCCGGCTGTCCTACTCATCAGTCGCCAAACAATCGAGTTATCACGCCCTACACAAAATCACCAGACACATCTTCTTCTCTCTAATCCGCCCACAACTCTTCTCAAAGGCGATCATCCACGACCGGGAGAAGAGCCTTTTAATTGATGTTGGTAGAAACAGTAAGCACTGTTCTAACAGTTCCACATCTTGCGCTCAGATACAACAGACCGATCATCGAAGCGTTATCGCTCCATTTGCATATCAACAAACGGGAATACCCCGACTTTCGAGATGATACAGAGTCGGTGCGATTTTAAGAACTTTGACGACAGCGCACCTTGATACAAATGCTCTGAAGCCATGCACAACGATCGGCCAATCCGAGGAGCAGCCAAGCTCACAGCCCAGGAAGCAAAAAAGGATAGGACAGCTGAGCGGCCGTGGGAGGAACATTCGGATGACGCAGCATTGTACGAGTTCAAGGGGCTTGTCGAAAAGGGCGTGAACTCTGACCATGGCTGAATCATGAGAAGCAGCTCTAACCGTGTCGTTCTGGGACCTTTAAGAAGGGGGTAATCAGTGGCAGGGCGATGGCCGAGTTACTCTGTACGGAGGACAAATGGCAATGCTACGAGCAAGGCCATTATCGAGGCGATGTGTCTCAGCAGCAATGCTCCATATTCCGTATAGTCAAGCAGTTTATGATTATGGAGAAGCCCTCTCTGTAACTCATCTGAGATCAATGAGATTAAAATAGCATAAGTACAGACTTAAGCTTATCAATAGACACCATGTTTTTGTGCTTATGTACGTTTAGGTACAGTACATACAAGGCAGACACGCAATTCGGCCTTGGCGGGCAGCCTCAAATCCTCCTCCGTGCAGCCGCAACCGTCCCTGCTTGTTAAGTGAACTCGTGTCACAACAACGTTTACAGGATCTGAGAGTGATAATTTTCTAAAGCACATCAACGCGGACTTAGACGTGGACCATGGGTATCGCCTTGCTTTTGTGTTGTTCCTCGGAAGCCCGCGGCGCAAGCCAAGTTGAAACCGAAACCCGCTATACTCGCATCGTCTCAGTCAGACCTACTCGTCCTTATTCACCCAGGCACTGCGAGAGTCCTCCTCGTTATAGTGACGTTGCACAGCAACCATTACTCTCAATTGACGAGAAGAAAGCCTCCCAGTTTGAGATACTCGTCCAGTCCGAGATCGAGGAAGATGGCACCTGCGCACCCCTCTCCCCTGTATCTTCGGTCGTCTCGATTTCGTCCGCGCGATACACAACCTTAACGGCTATGAACACAGGCGAGACCACGAGGACCTTTGCGAGAATGAGCATGGAGACTTCGTCTACCGGGCGAACGCGGCCTCCTTCGTATCATGCCAGTGCGAGGAGAAGTCCAAGTCCAGCAGCGACGGAAGGAAGTGGTAGAGATAGTATTCTGCAACATCCTGTGATGAGGAGAGATTGGTTGGACACTTTGCGACAGAATTCCCAGCGAGAGGCAAGATTACGATCTGACACGGCCAGAGACGGTGATATTCCCGATACTGGCGCAGTTTGAACGAATCCCTGTGATACAAGGCCATCTTTGAACTGCTAGCCACGGAACTATCACAACACGGGTCATTGTGTTCGGACTCAGGAGCCTACCGGCAAAACGATGACAAGAGGAGCAACGGCTGAAACCCCAAGACGTCGACATCCACTGCAATGCCTGCGCCTTCTCCAGCAAGTCGACCCCCACCAGGAAGAGTCTTACCGCAGCAATTTCTATTCCAGACTGCAAATCTGGATGTCAGGGTTATGCTCCCCAGTTGGAAACTGACAAACATGCTGAATGAGACATGTGCTTTCGTGACATCAGAATATGTCATCTTCACACTTCAAACTATCATCTGGATAGCCAGAGCAGCGTGAATCGCCTTGCCTGTGCCTCGCGGTAGTCCGAAAGAATCGCGTAACGGTCACGTCCGCGGGTATTCAGCCTCAGACATTGCCGTGGCGAGGCACCGGCTTTGAAGGCCTTGGGTCAACATTTTCCATTGTCTGGTGGCATTCGAGCTGTCAGACAGTACATAAGGGCTGGCTTCATCCTTTGCGAAAGACGGGAAGACTCTCTACTCTTCACCACTTGAACACATGTTCCACAGCCGGGGAACCTCGCCCTCAGTACGCTCGTGTCAGCCATACCAGGAATGGCCTTGATCCAGCCTTAACCATTGGCATTCTTTTGATATACTGATTGCAGCCTGAGCAAAGGTCAAGGCTGCGTGCCGAACCTACCTGTACGAGTTACATAGATTACTCGCGAGATCGCCAGATGACATTTGAATGCATGTCCCGTGCACAGATCTGCAACCGTTGTGTCCCCTCACTGGATCAACATTGTTCGAGCTGCTGCGAGATGACGTTGACAGTTGCCGAGTGCCCAGGTTCCCAGGGCTTCTACATCATGGCTCCGACTACTGTTGTTATTATTATTAGGTGAAGAAATTGCTTCGTCAGGTAAAGCTTGGGACGGGCGGGCCGCGAAATTTAGGCCACTGCTACCTATTGTACTAGGCCTCACTAGCCCGCACACCGGCCACCGAAACTGCACCAACAAGTCAACAAGGCCAGCGATTTCGCGGGGTCGGCCATGACCTGTCAAAAGTTTGCTCGCTTCCAAACCAAAAGAGGGGAGGCGAGGAGTTTCCCGCGGCCTGTTCTTTCATTAAGCCCTTCAGGTACGGTCCTTCTGTCTTGTGGCTGAATTGACTTTTCAACAATCATCAGTGCCAGTTGACACAACCACCCGAGCGACTGGATCTCTGCGCTATAGTTCCATCATAGCTCATGTGCTCAGTAATCAAAACAAAAATAGTCTTACCGGATATGAGGTTCGTGGAAGCCATGTTCCTACCAAGACATTGCGCCAGGTTTTCGCTCGACAGCCAATAGCAATGTCGGGGAACTCTGCTGCCAGCTCTCCTTCCTCACCTGGTCTGGGAATCACCGGAGGCTATGAAGGCGATAGCCTGGCCGTCAAGGTCATCATCGCCTTCTTCCTCTCACTTGCAATGTACAATGTTATAGAACTCCAGATACTGGTGTTTGGCACCTTCAACAAGTTCAAGGGTCTATATTTCTGGAGTCTGGTCATTTCAGGACTCGGCATTATACCTTACTCCCTGGGCTTTCTGTTCAAATATTTCTCGATATTGAAAGGTGGAGGGAAATGGTTTTCTATCTTCCTCCTGTCAATCGGCTGGTATCCCATGGTGACTGGTCAAGCCGTTGTCTTGTGGTCAAGACTGCATCTCATTGTCACCGGAGAAAAAGGTGACAAAATTCTCAAATGGACAAAATGGATGATCATTGTCAATGCAATCTGCTTGCATGTACCAACAACCGTTCTGACCTTCGGCTCCAACGGCGATACCGACACCCAGACCTTCGTGCGAGGGTATAATGTCATGGAGAAGGTGCAGATGTGTGGCTTCTTTCTTCAAGAGGTTATTCTTTCGACCATCTACATCATCGAGACAGTGCGAATCCTCCATACATCAGTACAAGAGAATACTCGACGACTGATGTACCAGCTGATGGCGATCAACATCCTCATCATTATTATGGACATCGGCCTATTGGGTCTTGAGTGTGCATCCCTGTACATCCTCGAGACGACGATCAAACCCGTCTTTTACTCTGTCAAGCTTAAGCTTGAATTCGCCATCCTTGGAAGGCTTGTAAAGTTCGTTGGTGGCCCCCGACGTGGCAGTGACCGACGTCCTTCGATCACGATTCCAGGAAGCGCCGAAAAACGCAACTCGTCTGCATTGAGTCGAGTAGACGAAAACGATGTGTCTGATTTTGTGGATCTAACCAAGATCAGGACTGATGTCACGCGGGCTTCTCATCCACGAAATCGAAGCACTTCTCTTCATCGCAATGGAGAAGACTTCGATATTGATCTCGAGATTGCAAGACTTGAGCATGTCGATACTCTACCGTCACAAATTCCAATCCCGAATGGACATGCAAACGGACCCGGTTGAGAGTGATGGTATGTTTGACAGCTAACATCGAGTTCTTGTGCAGAGAGTCATTTGCAAGCTGTTCCATGCTGCCAATCGCTGCACATTTGCGCAAGAGCTATTCAAGACCGCCGAAGCCATTCATGGTCCTCGAGACCACGCATGACCATTAGCGGCAAGTCTTGCCAAGTTGGCTGTTACGGGCTCCTCACTAAGCAGATCACTGCCACATCTCCGGTAATAGCATCTCACGAGATTAGGCTTTACCCGACCTTCGGGCCTTGAACAAATCTCTCATGGAATCAGTCACACTCATTCGTCGGCTAGTCCGGCTCCATGAGGGAATGTCGTGAACCCTTGCTGCAGGGCCATTCCGGCGTTTGTTGATGCTGTCAATGCTTTGTAGATGCACGTTATCGTTGGTTTGGCGAGTTTCTTCGATCTCGGCTTCCGTGGGATGGTGTTTGTGGCCAAGGCCACCTATGATAGATCAGAATATGCACTTCCAACATACACCCACAGCTAAACGATGGATGCCAACCTATACCAGTGTAATGGCTCTCTTCACGACGCGCGATGCCTGGCGCCTGCATATCATACAGCAATCGAACGGTCTCCTCGACCTCGTTTTGCTTCTCAAGCTGGTTGGCCATGGCGATGTTCCCAGATCCTCCGATGCCAGTGCTGTACCTGCGAGAGCCAAGGTCCTGCCGGAGAGGTTGTGGGTCGGTCATATGGCTCGGACGTCGTGTGTCAACTACGACATTTCCTAGTTCCAGTCATTATGATTTGTGTGGTCTGAACGCGAGAAGACCAGACGTACCTGCACCACCAATGCCAATATGGACGAAAAGTTTGTCGCCTTTAGTTGCAACCATTGCAATTCCGAAAGGAGGTTGGTATGAACTGAAGTAGGGCGTGTCTGCTGGTAAAGAGTGATCAGTATTGGTTTCATTGCATGGCTGTCGAACACTCTTTTCGTTCGCTCAGGACGTGAGTGAGAAGCAGCATGTGGCTGGGAGACTGAAAAGCGACGACGCCGCGGCAGGACCGTCAACTCAGTTGCGGCGCGCAGAAGAACGGTATGCTGTCGTTGAGCTGACGACGCCACCACTACGCCAGCACCTTGAACAGTCTAGAATGCTTTACTCAAGCCTGACCCGGAGTGGTCAGAGATAAGCATAAACGAGCAGTTCCAATTTTGGCCAATAGATTGTAGCTTCAGAACATCGGGTGATGGCTGCGGGAACTTACGCTTTTGGTCGGTCGAAAAAGAAAAGCGCTCAGTTTCGAAAACTGTTGAGTACGGGGTTGAGACTGCTCTAGTCTTGCGAATTTCCGGTTGTCTCCAAGACGACTATAAGACGACAGTGAGTGGGAGAGAGTCGAATCCTTGTCATGAGACCTCGAGTAAAGTTGTCTGTGCTCCAAACACCCCGGATTCGACCTCTAAAGGGGGTGTTCTCGAGGGGAGGAGACGATTGGCCATCCCCCCGCAGCGAAGATAAGCTCATGTGCTAAGAGCAAATAAGACCTACCAAGCTTTGGATAAGGTGCGCTTGTCCGACTGGTGGGGTTGGCACTACTCTTCGTTGGGGAGAGGTGACGACTGCGTGCAGGTCAGTTGAGAGGTCTTGTGTGGAAGTGCGGCATTTCCCATTCGAGACAGTCATCAGAGATGGGCATTCACTCACCTGACCCCGGACGACCTGAATCCTGTGGTCAAAAGGTTACTTCACTCAAGGAGGCGGCACGAGTACTGGATCCGGTGAACGAGATCTTGACACCATGGAACATTGAACCCAATGGTTGTTTTTAGTTCTAGAAGACTGTACTCTGATCCACGCTTTGCGTTCTGTCTCAGATCCCCTTCCGCGCATTTTTCTCAGCCCATCCCGACACTTACAGATGTCCTGTGGAATGAGGAGCCCTTGCTGCTAGGTAAAGTTGATTGGTGCAGACTGGAGGTTGATACATCGAGCCTTTGCTCTTAGCATTCGAAATTCTAGTATATGTTGACTGCCCGTCATGCCTTCTCCTCTAGTATTTGAAGATCCCATGCATGCGTACCGTGGAAGGACGAAGCTGTGGGCCTCCCAATCGATACCGTCGACCATCGCAATCAGCCCTTAGGATCCGAAGTATATAACGATGGTTGTGTAGCATGTGACCATGTTGATTCTCGAGTATCGACAATTGGGTGCCTGTTCGGCGAGGTTCTTCTCGAAGGGCATGCCTGGTTCCTCCTAGGCAGATGGACGTTGAGGGGCCATGGGAGTAGGAGATGATAGATTTGCATCATGAAGGACAGGTAGGTCAGAGGAAGGCTCGATGGATAATGCACATCAAACGTCTATGTTCATGTCTCCGACGACCGAGGACATTGCCTTTCCACGCAACTTTCGTCAACCAGGTCGTCGTCAGGTGTGTGAAAAACCACTCACTCATCGACGGTCTACAGTGTGTAGCGAGGTGCGGTCTACGGGGCGAGACATTTGCTCTCTCTCTCTCTCTCTCTCTCTCTCTTTGCCCGCGGTCCAGTCGTCGAACCAGCCAGTATCCTTTCCTCGATCAATTCAATTGCAGATTTACGAATTAATGCACCCGTGCACAACGGGCCCCTTTGGTCCTGCGCTCGGCCCCCGTCGTCCTTCTTCTGCACCCGGTTTCACAACTGTGGGATAAAAGGGGTCCGGCGGACTCGGTCCGAAAAAGCACGCTGGAGCCTGCATTCGAACGGACGTTGATGGAGATGGATATGATATCGTCACAGTACGAGTTGTTAGCCCACGGGTGACCACGCCACCCACCCACGTACAAATATCCCCATTCTCACCGCGCGCGGAATCGGGGACCAGTCGATCCTTGACAAGGTATGTAACTCCGTACAGCCTCACCAGTTAGCCAGTTGGTTAGTTGGCCCTACGGAGCTGCCACCGTGTGGTCTTGAAAGGTTTTTTTAACTCTCGCATAACGAGTGATGTGTACCGTAGATTCGGAGTCTCCTGCTGAAAAGAGCCATGTTTGCCGGCCGATTCCACCGGGCTGGGGGGAACCTGGACCTCGACGGCATGCGAAGGACGGTTCACTGTAGTTAGAGATCTACAGACTTACGCGACCGGTGATCAATGATCGACCACGCACCACCGTTGGAAAACCCCTTTGGCAATGCAGAAACGATCTACATACATACATACAATACAGTTTGTCGGTCGGTTTCTCTTTATCTCGAATGACTTTGTTTTTACCACGTTGAACTCTGCTGTTGGATGATCCGCACGGGAGTATTGTTCCGCTGTCGTGGATGGGTCCACACGGGCGGGCGATCAAGTCGTGTAATACTGTACCTCAGGTTGATCCTATAGAGTACCCATACAAAGGGAGAGTACAGCCCTACATGCCTCCTCCTGTGGGCCTCATGGGCCACTCGTCAAGACGACCCCATTGCCTCGAAACAACATCGCGAGGGATGATGCACCGGTGACGAAGCGTCCAAAAGAGAAGCACACCATTGCCTAGTGACTACTGCAGTGTCGAGGGTCGTAGGCAAGACATGAAGTCGCAAGCGAGGTTGGCAGTTTGCTAAAAGGTTCTACTTACTCTACGATACTCGGTACTTCGTCCCGCTACAAATCACGTTCGTGCATCACCGGAAATTTCCCCCCCCCTGGGCCCCCCCTGGTAGAAATGTTCGGCAGTTGAAAGGTATGCAAAACCCTCGCCAGGTTGGTCCCTGGGATCCCATACGCTCTACGTTAGGTATGTACCGTGGTTTAGGCATCTACCTAACTAGTTAGTTACTGTACCTGCTACCTACTGTACCCAGGTGGTAACCTACTGTAACCCGGTAACCTTATGTACGTACCCAGGGTACAATATCTACTCGTAGTTAGTTAGGGCACCCTCGGCGCCTCTTTCTGTGGTCCTGCTTCGGGGGGTGGGTGCCTAAAATGGTGATTGCCCAGCACCCGGGAAATGGGGCCCGGGGGTCCGCCCGGGGGCTGGCTCGCTCAGTTTAGGCGGGCTGACCTGCGTGATTCGGATTCCAACTGTAAGCACCTACAGTAACTAACTACTGCACGGTAAGGTGACATTTTCCAGCGGAGACCCGTTTCCAGGGATGTCTCTGTTGTACTGTACAGTATCAATTGTAGGTACTGTAGGTAGGTAGTTAGAGCACCGGAACAATAGTCATCTGTTGTGTTTCACTTCCCTTTTTTTTGGGTCTTCGGCTACGGTCTACAGTTTGGGGTCTATGGTCTACTGGGTCCTTGATTCATTCAAGTGCCGTGTGTTTCGGGGCGGGGATCCTTGCACTTGTGTTGCTGTCTCTCTTCGCTGCCATGAACCCGAATCAAGGCAAATTGTTTCTTTTCTCTGCTTCTCGTTTCAATTTTGCGTTTAAGGGGGGGGGAAGGGGGCGGGGTCAAGACTCAACAGAGAATCTAAGGTACATAACAAACGATACTGTAGAATAGCCCCAGCAACGTCCACGTCCCACCCGTCGTTGATTGTTACCTGGGTATACTGTACATACATACTGACTGAGGCACTGGCACTGGCACTGGCGTTACAAGTTACACACTGACTTAAACCGGGGCCGGAAGCCCAGTAAGGCTTGACACCCCGGTTAAAGCGAAAGTAAGTACCTACTGTACTCCGTATGGACATTAGGTACTCCGAATATATCTTACCTAAGGCTACACACCCAGGTACAGTATGTGTACCATGTACAAGTATATCCAATGTTGTCTCCGGTTATTTATTCCGTGGAGGAAGCCCCTCCCCTCTCCCCCCCTTTCTCCCCCGCTCTTGTTCCTGATGGACAGACACATGCCTCGGGGACACGAGAGACACGTGTACACAAGACAGGGACAGGGACAGGAGCAAATTGTGGGCAATAAACACACACACACACACACACACACACACACACACACACACACACGGCAGCCAAGAGAACGTCGCGACTCGTCAGTCACTGCTACATGGTGAGTCCCTGGCTGGGCAAATGCGCGACGCCAACAGAGTTGACTTTTTTTCCCTTCAACCTTGTTTTTTTCACGGCTTGAACACCCACCCGCGCCCGCCATATGGACCCATGTATCCATGTCACGGATGGGAATTGTTGTTCCGCAAGCGACGTGGTAATGTACAAAGTAGTGCCCGCCTGGCTAGAGGGAGGGGGGGGACCGGTGCACGCGTGGAAGCGAATGGTGCATCGCCCAAAACCCCCCCCCACAAACTCGTACGGTCGAGGTGGTGATGACACTCACACTCACGCCGTCGCAAATATCTCACCCAGGAGGTCGTCATCAGGTCGGGTCGTAGGCTCAACGGTGACGAGTTGCAGTACATACGATAGCCTCGTGAGCCCCACGGTAGTAGGTAGGCAGAGAGTATCCGTCGCTGACCAGCAACAATGCAGGTAGTTAGTGGGCGTATGCAACAAACAACCACTTTGGTAACCCGTGCCCGAGGCTCGTACTCTGGAGTTCGTACTATGTACTCGTAGATATGGGACTACCACACTTCTAGGCCTGCGCAAAGAGACACTCGATCCTTGGTCATCGTGTATAGCTCATACTCAGGGTTGCTCTCCTCATTCATACATCTTGTGTGGTACTCCGGATGTATGGAGTAAAGTGCCTGTTGAAGAAAAATGAATCATTCTTCTTCATCTGCATACACATCCACAAGCGTGCGCGTATAGACTAGAGACACTGTTTTTCCCTGAGCTCCCTCTTCCCCCCCCTCTCTATATCTCTCCTCTTCACAACCCAAAAACCATTCCTTCCCCAGAATGTAGCTTCGAATTCAAATGTGCCGATGGCCTTCTCTGTTCTTTCTCCCACCCTTCGCAAAATCCTGCCACACTTTGCCACAGAGAAACCCAAAAACCCAAAACGAATGACAAAAGAAGAAGAAAAAGAAGGGAAGAAATAGAAACACCATCCAGCGCCAACGCTCATAGCTCAAATTTCAACTCATCCATCGAGAATAATCAACGTTTGACAGAACTCGCGCAGCAGATAAAAAGGTATGCCACATATCCTCTCTTCCTATTCCAATGTAAAAATCAGAAAAACGACAACACGCCGTCCCTGAGGTCATATTACGATGGAAAGAAAAAGACTTCAAAACTGAGGCGCCGCCCCTTGGCCCCAAAAGGCCCCCCCAATCGATGGTACTGTTGACCCATCGTGTCATATCAAATGTATGCAGGCTTTTGTTTGCGTCCGGGTATACTCAACTCGGCTTGGGAACAAAAAGAACAGGCTCCCACGAACACAAGGAAAAGAAAAGATCGAAGATGAAAAGCCTAAATGGGGCGATTCGTAACCCGACTGACCAGATCACCAAAGGCTTCGTTTGTGTTCTTGATGATCACACCTGAATGATGGCATGAACATAAACATGAATATGGTATCGTTGTTGTTGTTGTTGTTGTTGTTGTTGTTGTTGTTGTTGTTGTTGTTGTTGTTGTTGTTGTTGTTGTCGTCGTCGTCAAAGGAGTACCCCGTCTACTGAATTCTCGCATTGCGGTATGGCGGAGTGGAGATGGCGGTGGTGGTGAGAAGGAAGAAACGGTAAAGTCGAGGTCCCGGATCAATGATCGATGATCATCCTTGCGGCGAAGACAGATCAATCGCCGTATTGAGACCAGTCAAGTAATGACGACGAACCCCTCAAGTCGTTCTGATGGCGACCACCGTCCATGTACTTGAACTTACTGTGGCCTCGATCGAGGTTCGGTCGCCGCATTCGAGTGTCCCTCCGTAGCCGCGCAGTTGGTGCATTCCCAATTTTCGCAGTCCGTGCGTATTTGAACGTCTGTTTGAGGCTTGCAGGCGTTTCCAGAGCCTCAAGGCCTTCGGGATCGTCGTCAGCGTCAATGGGTGGAAAGCGTTCGTCGGAGTACTTCCGCTTGCGTTCGGATGGTGGACTAATCTCTGGATTCATCAACGATTCCACGCTCATTGGTGATTTGGCCGATCTCAGGGACTTGACGGTTGGCGTAGGGGATGATGGTGATGGAAGGCCTTCTAAAAGGTCAGACATCGGTAGTGACGGGGTTGGCTCGGCATAGGAAAACGCACTACGAAAGTCCGTCAGATCCTCATAGTGTGGCGACGAGGGACAGAACGATTCATCGGTCTCGTGGGTGATGAAATGCTTGGAGAAGAGTTGAATGGCATAGCCCATTCTGCCGGCGTGCTCGGTTTCGAAATTCACATTGGGCAGTCCTAGCTGGGATAAGACGAACTGGCGCTCCTGCGCAGACTCAAGCATTGGCGAGTCTAGAACACGCCTGAGTTGGCTTGGGCCCTTGTTGACGTAGAAGAGTAGATTGTGTTCGTTGAGTTCGATGCGCCAGTCAGGATCCTGCTGGCTGAACCAAGTCATTAGCCCGTTAGTCTCACAACTCTGATATTGGCCGTACCTGGAGGTGAATTGGTTCCAAGGAATCATATTGTGTATCGAGATAGCGAGTTGAACCTGGGAGCGATAGCTGATCGCTCGGCATCGGTAGTTTGAAGAGTCAGCTGCTGGAATGCCGAAAAGCGCCGACTAATATATGGTACATCAAGCTGACATGAGGTGGAATTGTGAGGGAGATTGTTTCATAAGGCCCGAGAGAGGTCGCCGCGAATGCGTATTCGAACAGGGGACGTATTGTGAAGCGGTGATATGCCTGTCAGCCCTACGCGAGCTTCGCCGTCGACTAGTCTTAGAATCGGGGATTGACAGCGATGAAGTCTCGCGGCAGAGTCTGAGAGCACACGCCGCTGGGGACGACGGGACTCATGGGAGATGAGATGTTTCGCAATACTGATGGTCTCCAAAGGCACTTCTGTCTTCTTCTTTTCGTTCACAAAGGTATCAAGACGGGTTCGTTCTGTTGAGTGTGGACTGTGGAGTGAATTTGACAGGACGACGGATGAGTCGGGTGGAAGGGATCCGGGACGTCTTTGGTGGGACCAGTCAAGCCGGAACTGTGGTTGACATGCGCGCGTGGCAAGCAATTCCGTTTAGGGAGAGGCCCGAGACGCTGACAGGCGCCCGTGGTGAGTCGATTTTCCAGTTGACATGAATCCAGAGGGTGTCAAAGGGAGGATCAACAACAAAAATTATGGTGCCGGCCCGAGAAAAGCTAGGCTTATGAACGGGCAGAGAGCGCCTGGAGATGGGTTGGCATGATGACCCTTGGCAAAGAGGACGACAGCAACTTGCAAGCGAATGATTAGGGACTTGTTGAGTGGCAAGGGAAGGCGGGAGAGCTCCTCACTAGTTAGCAGATCCTGGAGCCGCAGGGAAGTGGAACGGCGGCAAGGGAACGGTGCTCCGGACGGCGCGTAGGTGGATTTTGGAAAGGATCTGGTCGCTGATTTGACCACGCTGCGATACACGCTGACCTCGACCTGGAACGAGGGTGTGAATCTGGCGGCACGGGGGTCTAGGGATTTGACACTTGACAGTTATGCCACTAGGCTGCTCGGCGGCGGTATCGAAACTGCTAGGTCGAAGGCGGCACCTTAGCTGTCGATGCGGGACGGTTTGAGTTGATACAGTAGACCATGGCTCTGTCCTGATTTTCAGACAAGGGAGCCCTGGGTGCGTCGAGATGACGATAGACGATGCCTAGTGAGGCCAACCGCACCCACATCCACGCGGAGTGTTATTAGAGTCTTGCACTTTTAGAGCCAAAAATGGCTTCTGGATCAGCAAGCGGAAAGACGGAATGCAGGAGGGCGACCTAGACGACCTTCAGCACAGCGGGAAGCGCAGTCCCCGGGAAGGGGGCCTGTATTGTAGCCTGTGACTTCAGCTCCACGGGAGACGGCCGCAGCACGCTTGCATGCATCATGCATGGCTCTCTTAGCGTGATCCTCGTTTAACTGTAGGTCGATGCCCCGTGGGCCCTCAGGCCACTTGTCTAAGCTCTTTCGAGGGAGCATCTGCAGCTTTGTAAGAGAAGCTTACACTGACGAGCCTGGGCTTCGGGACTTATCGACGCCAATGTGATGTGATGTAGGCCTGGTAGAGGGCTGTCTTTCTCCCACTGAGCTCAGCAGGATTCTGACACTCCCGATCCACGGGTGACTGTGCCCCATTGTCTTGAGCGACCAAGATGCCACCTTTGCATGGTCTGACACTTTCTAAGCAGCTGGCGGTTGCTGTCGCAAGGATAGATTGGCACTCTTTAGCCTGAGAAACGGATCAGCAGGGAGACGGATGTGAACATTGTGGAGTGGTTAGTGTGGTGCATTCAGACCTAGCAAGGTGCAAGTCAGGAATGTGGTAGTTCCATCATTAGTCGACGATCCAAACCATCATGACAAGTAAATAATAGTCGAGGATGATACGGAGTACGAGTGAAGTCACTGATCGATTGCGCACTGGGGCTGCTGGCGAAAGACCTATTGTGGCCCTGGCCCAAGAGTGCTCGAGCGTGAGAGTCGGATACAAAGGGGGCACATCCTGCCCATAAGTTCGTCTATGTTCTCAGCCTGAGGCTAGTCAACCGGGGCATCCTGCTCGCGTCTAGCGCCATTCCACCACGGAGCGCGAGAGGCACGAGCCTTGTTTTAGTTAAGACCCTCTATACCAAGATCATTGGCACGGGGAAGTATCCAGAGCAGGGGTTAGACCAGAGGGGAGTACAAGAGACTGGGGTTGAGAACAGCTCCTTTCAGATTCCTCTGGTCAGACTCGTGCCTGCGTCGAATGCCAGAAAGCAGTAGCTGTTGTCGAAGCAAACCTGCGCAGCCGTGCTGGGGCTGCCTGTCTTGTCGGAGCAACTTCCACCCGAGTCCAAAGCCCACCAAGGCTGGTGGACTCCAGAACAAAAGTCCTTTGCTTGATCGTATTTGTACGAGCTGACCGACATCCTAGCTTGGGCGTCCGCTCGACGCATGACGAAGTCTGAAGTCGACGGGAAAAGAGTAGTGCCAAAAGTGCGTTGAGCGCCCCGAAGCTGGGGGAATTTGGCCAGCCTAAGGAGTGCCAACTCGGAAGAGCCAATCAACCCCAGCAGATATGCAAGCCACGGTCTAACTAGCTGGTATGGAAATCCTGTTCATCCAGCTTCTCGGCCATGGACGAGACTCCGACTGGTCCATCTTGGGCCCTCCCTCGTGGTTCTGTGCCTCGACGCTCGTGTCCAGAATTGAAATTGAGAGAGAAGGGGGTTGCACGTCTGGGTTTTCATTTGCGGCGCTTTTGTTACGTCGCCGTCCATCGATGGGCGTGGCCAATGGCCACTGCTGGCATGAGAATGCCCTGCGGTGGCGGCTTCGCTTCAAGAAGGAATCACTTGACACTGGCGAGAATGGTGGATTGACAGGCATGCTCGAAGTGCACCCGTCTGTCTCCCTTGGGCCTTCAGATTTCACTTGACCAAAGCTCACACCCGTAAGCATTTGTTGAGTATTCATTTTTTGGACGGGGGGATCCCGAAAAAAGATCCTCGCAGCCTCGCCTGGAGATTCATGTTCCGGGCTTCATCGATTGGACCTCGGCCTACTCTGTGGAGGCGTCGATGATGGGCAGGGAGGAGTGTCTCAGCGTTGGAAGTTTCGCGGGCACGACCGTCGGTGAGCACATTTGACGCGGATGGTGACACGCACAGTTATGATGCCTGTCCTCCAAGGTCCAGATGTGCTTCCACTGGGTTGACCACCTGCACCTCAGGTTGACACTATTGAATCCGGTAAGCCCGGACATGCAGATGCTGTATGTCATGGTTAAGTCGCAAGCAGTCAATTCCAATGGACAGGCGCGCGTAGATGGGTAGAGGGGATGCTCAACCACTGTGCTGGTACGCTACTACAGCAGGTTGATCTTAGCGATGTTGGCATCGACGCTGTTGAGACCCTGCTCTTCGTAGCGTCGTCGCGTCGAGGATCAGCTGGTCGATGGCCGACGCTCGTCTCTCTTCCAGCGCGATGATACCTTGCCGGACGAGGGAGACAGACTCCGTCATGTCGTTGTCTCGCTTGTTGGTGCGGCTGTTTGGTGCATTTCCCTGAGTCATAGCACATCGCTACGGGGTTACACCGTTCCAGGTTGGGAAGAGGGGATTCAATAGTACTTGCAGGTCGCATAGGCGATGGTGGTGGTGGTGGGAGTTTCAGGATGGTGTTCAGAAGCCAGTGCCATTTTAGATCAGCCTCAACGATGAATTGAGGATTAACCACAATTACGCGATACTCTCCTCTCTCCTCGTCCTCTGTATGTTCTATTCTACTCGCTCCTCGGGCGGTTCCCTAGGCTAGACTGAGTCCTGACAGGCTGGCGGCGCTTTGGATACAGTCTACATCGGAGCAGGTGCAGGCTCACGGCAACCAGGGCCCGAAGCGGCGCGGTTTCACTGCTGCACACCATCGACGATTCGGCGTTCTGGCTCTCCTTGATGCGCATCTTGGTTCCCCTTCGCTTCTTGACCCAACATTACCATCACCGAGATGCAATAGTCTCGGTTCGTGCTCGTTTCGATGGATTAACCTCTCGGCCGCGGCAATTTCCGAGCCTCCCAGTGACATCCCCTTCTACGCTTCACCCGGCAGGGCAAAGCCAGATTCTCGACCTCACTCCTGACTCGTTCTGAGTCGGGAATCCTAACATAACGCCGTTCATGGCTCAATACGGCCAGCTGCATGCCATCCAGCGCTCTGTATGGCAGGCTCGACTGCCTCTGGAAATCCGGCTAGCCGCCTCAGAATGTCGAAGCTTTAACCGAGCCGACCCCTACCTGGTCAGTGTTTCCCTTCGGGCTTCGAGCAGGTTTTGTGGAATGGCGCAAGCTGACTGTGGTTCCATCTACAGATTGCTTTTCCTCGACTCTCGTACCTGCCTCTGTTGCTGCCGCGTCTACACGCCTTTTTCTACAGCTCACTGATAGCCGACCCCGAGACGGTGTCGCCGTATGCGGGCTATTTTACGTACGACAATGTTCCGCTGAAGTGGCATCTGCCTTTGGGCTTGCTCTACGACATCTATGTCTTGTCCACACAAGATGCTGGCCCTGACCATGCTGCCTCGGAGTCGTTGCCATTTAAGCTGACGTTACATTTCGCTCCAGACGAGACAGGATCGTCGATGCTGGACGCGACCCCTGTGGTGTTGCACGACTCCTTCATCAACTCGGTCAAGGAGGCGGACTTTCTTCGATCGGGGACCGCGAAACCCATCATGACCTTGTCAGCTCAGGAGAGTAAGGCGTTGTGGACTTCGACGCAGGAAGGTGACTTGATGACCTTTGCGAAAATCCACAGCAGCCTGGTGCCAGCACCGGGACAGTTACGCAACGTTCCTCTACGCGTCTATCTGCCGTCTTCGCCGGATCAAGATCCGAGTAAGGCTCAGATAAAGGTTCTACAGTCCCATATCTCTCCTACCGTGCCGGGTGGTGGCCCGTCCTCTCCAGCAGCACTTCGAGGTGGTGGTAGCGGTGCAGGGCAGCCTCAGACACTCGGCACGGCTCTACACCAACTCATCCCAAGCCTCTTTCCCTCCCGGAGGACTCCCATACTTGCGACCCCTCTCCTCCATGGCACTCCTATACCCATGACTGCGAACTTGGACGAGTTGCTTCGATGGGGCTGTTATGCAGATGGCTGGTTGTCCATTGTACTGGCCATGCGTGGATAGATGGTAAACAAGTCTACAATAATTATGAATTGCAAAAGGATTCTCTGTGAGATGCCCAGTACCCTCTCCAGCCGTAGTGATATCTCTTGAGTCTCCATAAGCTGAGCTGAGTCTGGTGTCTATAAGACTGGGACGGGGCCGGGGCACAGCCACAATTCCCAAGTCGTGCGTCATCAGCCTCGTCGAGGCTCGACCTTGGATAGCCGCCCAACCCGTGGTCAAACACATGAGGTACACTCACTATACTGCCGCCTTCATGAACATCGTGCGCTTGCTTGACCACAGGACTAATACGCTGCTATCATGCTGTGACTTCTCGGTGTCTCCCCTCATCAAAATCCGCCCTTTGTTGTACAACAACATGCCACCATTTCCTGGCGAAGAAATACTGACAACAGTGTAAGACTGACGTGCCCCGACCGCCCTCCTACCCCTTTGTCTCACTGTGAATGTCTACAGGTACGCCGATGTACACACCTACTTTGACGCGCCTACTCCTCGACCGTTCCTCCATCGCTTCGACAAGACCTCCTACTTCTACATCTACTACAACTCGACGAGACAAACCAGCCGCGTTGAAGTCGCGCTTCACCCTGGCTCGGCCGACCAAGCCGCGTTCAGTGGCCATCTCGACAATGTACACATCACAAACACCCATCATTTTCCTACCCGCGTGACGCTTATCGTGGACGCAACCGGCCCGACAACTGCGTCGCCCGCATCTGCTCGTTCATCACGAGAGCCTGATGAATGGCGCCTCGCCAGCGCCGATCCGCGGGACCCGGGAACAACGAAGTACAGGATACACACGATCGATTTCTACTTCTGGAACCAGCAGGATGCGAAATTGATCGTGGACATATGCAAGAGACTGTTGCAACCGCACCAACTGGACGTTGATGAGCTCGAGGAATCGCATGAAGATGCAGATGCACACGAGGTCGAGTCCGAGCCCGAGCCCGAGCCTGAACCATACCCCCATGACATGGTCAGTCCAGTGGTGCAAAACCTCGAGCATGTCGCCATATCCGATCCGGCATACGGCAAAGACAAGAGCCACGATCCTGCCAGAGCGCAAAGCATGTCGATACCCCCGCCGCCTCTGCCGGTGGCTGCTCAGGAGGCCGGTCTATCCCATGCCGCCTCGGTAGCAGCAGCAGCAGCGTCGCCCTCCCCGGGCTCTGCGTCCGCAAACATCGAAAGAAATCATTCAGCACAACCGCACACGTCGGCCTCTGCGACAAACTTCACTCCCTTGGCATACAACCCAGCGGCACCCGCCGCCCCGGAACCCATTGCGCACCGCGAAGACACTCCCCCTCCAGTCGACGCAGCAAACGGCACCGGCCTCTCGACAGCCGCGATGCACGACCACGCCTATGCCCCGGTTCAAGTTCAGCACCAACAGCGACCCTACACGCTTCCGGGAGGTGCAAGTACCGGTGTCGTCCCAGGCCCAGGGCAACAGCCCGTTCCGTACGGGCACTACGGCTCACCACAACCACCTGCTGCTCCTGCTCCTGCTCCTGCTCCCGGTGGTGCAGTACCATCCTTCGGTCCGCACGCGACAACCCCACCACAGCATCAGCACGCATCATATGGTGGAGGACCTCCGCAGTCTCTGTCTTCGGCTCTTCAAACCTCTCCGCGAACGTCCGGGTCGACGTTCGGCGGCGGCGGCGGCGTATCAAGCGCCACAAGTCCAGACTCAAGCCGCCATCCCAGCGTCGCCGCACAGCACTACGTTCCTCCACCGGCGAACCAGGACCCCAACGCCCACATCTTCGGCGGACAGGCCGTCCAGAGCCCCGGCGCGCAGTTTTACCAGTCCATCACCGCCCAGCCTCACAAGCCCCTGCAGCACGTTCAACCACAGTACCCCGACTACCTGTCAGCTGGATCCTCCCCGCCCCCGGCTCCTCCTGTAGGCGGGTACGCGACCTACAACTACGCACAGACCGGACAATCTGGTGGTGTGGCTCCCCATGGCGTCGGCCCCGGAGCTGGAGTTGGAGTTGGAGGAGGTGGAAGCCCGTACGACGTCCACGGCCAAGTTTACCGACCTACCGAGGACGAGTACCACACTCACCACCACCAGCGGAAGCCGTCACGGGCGTCCAGCGCGCAGCACAAGGAGCCGTCTACCGTGGACAGGTTGGAAAAGGGGGTCGGCAAGTTTTTCAAGAAGATCGAGAAGAAGATAGGATGAGATGGCAAAGTTTTGTTCCGAGACATTGATGAGAAGAAGATGCCCGAGGATGGGATAGGATTAGGGTTGAATGGGAGCCCCGACCCGACCGGACCAGCAGCGAAACACCACGACGCGATACCGGGAGGCGTCAACGTGTGAGTGTTCGGCGCCATGATGAAATGACCACCGCCAACGACAACGACAGAATGATGAAATTAACGATTGATGATGTGTCTGACTTTGCTTGTTGAAAAGAAACTATGGTTGAAATCTCGCAAGTATACACAAGCTCACTTCCTGGCAATTAGCGAGCGTCCTGCATGTGTTTGGTAAACCTTGATGAGTCGGGGTCAAAGTCCGGGGTATTTTGAATCTACCTTTGTATTTGCAAAGTTATTTTCCACCGACTCTCACACTCTGCTTTTTATGTTGTCGTGTGTGCGCACGTGCTGACCCTGTATGTACGCTCTTCCCTCACCACCACCTCATGGTAAGTGGAAGATAGTACAGGTACTGACATTGCGCGTTCTCTCGCTCTATCTCCCAGCACATGAAACCCCAGTCTGCAGCCCATGTTCTCTTCCTCCAGAATTCCACACTGTCGCTGACTATGTAGTGTCTTGTCTGGAGACACATTTGCGCTTCCAGCATCCGCACTTCTCTCTCTTCGGACTCGTGGTGGCTTGGTTTGATCCCATTATACCGGTGGCTGTTCGCGACGAGTCTGTCCTGGACCGGCCCTGCGGTTCCATATCCCTTTGACGTCAAGTCGTGCAAGAGCACCGTTGGCCAATCGCCGTCTGCTGGAATCACGGGAACCGTTCTTACCCTGTATGAGAAAAGGCGTTAGAAGTATGGACGTGGTTCCTTGAAGGGCGGTGATGGGGATATACCCAACGCTGCAGGAAAATGAGGGATTGGGGTTACTACAGGGCTGTCTACCTTGGTATCGGGTAGTTCGAAGACACTTCTCTCGGTGGTGCTTCTGGAGTGTTGTAGTTTCCAGGTTGCCGTGTCAACCCAGGGGGGTTCGGACGTGGTCTTTGGGCGATGCGCGGTGCGAGCGTGACGGGAACGGCGTCCTTCGGCTTCGACTTCGACTTTGGTGTCGGTGTCGGTGTCGGTGTCTGCGGGCTCGACCCATGCTGTGGGTGGACGACTTTGACATCATCCTATGCTGTCGCCGGTGTAGCGAGTGCTGCTGACTCTTGCATCATCTGGGCGTGTGACGGTTTCCCCCGAGTCCCGCACCGTGGCTCGGATCGAGGGCGGGTGAGTGACTTGTCGCTTGAGGAGTCGGCGGACAGAACTCGTGGAAGGGACATGATGGTTCCTGGGAGATGGACGTCGCGGTCAACGAGTGATTTAGGTATGTATCATATGAGAATGGCACAGCGATGCTAATACTGAGTGAATGTGAGGCCGATGTGAGGGTTGAGTTGGATGGATGGGTAGTTTCATGCTCTAACAGTCGTCGGCATGAGGGACGTCTACATCGTGGCTGCCTTTCTGCTTCACGTCTCTCTTGACATGACTTCCCGAGAAGCACTCGACGAAGGTCCCTCGCGGACTGAGCATGTCGGAGGAAAGTCCAAGTTGAAAAACAACGATCATATCCCACGACGAATACCGGGTCGCGCATCTCGAGAAGAGTCTCCGAGAGCTCTCGGCTGTCCACGTCATGTCATGCTTCCTCCTCCAGAGAAGTGCAAAGCACTCATGGCAGGCAGGTCCCTGTTAGCTTCATCTTTCATGTCGATGCCATGATGACCGATCAGTCTGCCTCTTGAGAATCCGTTGTGCCTCGATACGAGGACTTCGTACAACTAAGTACAGTCTTTCAAGTTTCCCTTAAGTTAGAGGCACCAGGCTGGTCATAGCAAAGGTCCGATCACGCCACTGTCCCGTTCGGATGAGCGCTACTGCTCTACAAATGACGGAGGAAAGTAGAATGTCAGAAATTATGATTGCTACTACTCATGCTGTCTTCTGAAAAACAAGCAACCCAGTAATAATACATGTTGGTGATTTTGAGACTTGCTCATGTTAAATTGACATTGTATGCCTTCTGAAATCGGTTGGCATTGCTCGAGTCTTCCTGATCTTCAGTCCATCTGAAGTGAACGCGCCGCCAACCAGCCTCAAGGGACCGATAAAATAGCACCGCGAAAAGTGTTGCTCTCAAAATCAAAACCCTTGGTCAGGCAGCAAGGGCCACGACCAACACGCTCTCAATGGTGCATAACTTTACAGACGTCGCATCGCAAGCTCTATCCTTGAGGGCGAAAGTTTTTAATGTGTTGATGCGTCAGTGTTGGTCTCGAAACATTTCTCTTTCCAGCTCTTTCACGTACCTGTCGGCTACCGCCGCCACCAAAGGCGAACCCAGCCTCACACGGTCTTGTTCGTCCGTCCATCAACTCGTTGATCTATAAAGGGTAGCTTGAAGAAGCTTCTCGTGGTAATTCAGTCAGCTTTGTCCCCCTTGACCAGCATCTGTAGCAGGATTGAGTTCGCATTTCACAGGGTGCGAATATAACAGCTCTAGTGCTTCTTTGCCAATAGAGAGGCATTCATCCCTTGACGGCGGCCGCACGTTCCAGAGAGTATGAACGACTGCAAGCGAGTTCCAGCATGCTAGAGCCGCGAAGCATGCCTCTAGCAACGATTGTCTGTCCGAGTTCCTAATGCCATTTAGAGACCTTACTATACGCCGCCATTGTCCAAAAATGTTCAGATCATTGAGCGTGATTGTGTCTGCAGTGCCACGTCCAATAGCTTTACTCAGTGTTGGAAGGAAAATGTCCCTCACCGCAAGATCACTCGGTGAGATTTGATCTCTGATTGGCCGACCTATTCGCTTCAGGGTAGAGTAGATGATATCGTGTAGTTGATCTCCAGAGAGGCCATCGACTCTGGTCCTTATCGTCTCCAACTGGACGATTTCATTGCCCCAGAGGGCCTCGGTAGCAGCGAGAAAGATCTTGTTAGTGTCTGATTCGTTCAGAAAAGACCCATGCCTAACCAGAACGCCACTTGAGTCTCTGGCAGAGTCACTCTCGGTTCCGTCAGAACTGTCTGAGCTTATGTCGCTGGGCTCATAGTCTCCGGATTCAAAAGGTTCATCAGCTGACGACGTTTCACTTCCGTCCACATTCCGTTCTGAAGCAGTCTCACTCTCTCCCTGGATTTCTGCATTTGTTGCGCCATATACATGATCCTCAGCGACTGAGATGCCTGTGACCTCCAATTGTTCATGCTCTGATGGGTCGTGTTCTGCCTGCTCAGCCGATGATGTGTACCCAGAATCGTCCCCCAGGTATTCAGAGTCGGACTCGTCAGACACACTTGCCGAATAGTCTGGTAACGCGTCTGCGAGGATCCAATCCGGCGTATCCAGGAATCTGTACACATGATATGAATAGGTTCGAGTTTGGTTGGTCGGATTGGCCACATCTCTGTGTCTTGCACTTTGAATGTCCCGCGATTCAGAGACTGTGCCGACTTCAATGGCACTCAGCGCGCTTGTCAGACCATCGATCTCATTCCGAAGCTCGTTAGTGGATGAGTCTGCGGGTTCACCCAGTAGCGGAGCGTCGGCGACATGTTCAGAGGTCGTTCCGACGACCGCATCTAGATCGCTGTCGTCGTGGCTGGTTTGGGCGGAACTCCCCCTGGTACCATCGGCCTCCGAGATGCTTTGTGTCTCCTCATGGGTTCGGGGCATTGTTTCCTGGCCACCGCGGAGTGCTTTGTGCTCCTGGCTCGCAGCTGCTTCCACTCCAGGAACCTTGAAAAATCTTGGCTCTCCTGGCAGAGGGGAGTTTTTAACGTTAGCACCGGTCTCCACGGGTGCAGGTCGATTGCCAGACCCATCATCTAAGTTATGCCCAGAGAAGGATATTGGCAGCGAAATATTGCGCGGAGGCCTGGGACGAGGGCTTTTCGGAATCAGTATGCGTCGGCGGGCTAAAAACGCCGCAGTTCGTTCGTAAACCGGGCTTGAAGTTTCTGATGCGTTTCCACCAGATGGACTCCTGGAAGCATCCGTGATCGAGGTCTGTGGCTCAGAGAGCTCCCTCGTGCTCGCTGTTTCCGGAGCTGAATTGATCTCGTCGCAATTTGCGTTCTGCAATTTCGGCGACGCCTGGCCCTGGAGCGGTCTGTTTCCCACAACTGCCACTTGAGATGAAAAAGGAGTACGTCCTGGGGTCGTACCCGTTTCCAGCTCTAAATTTTGCCGTAGATGAGCAAGCATCGCTTCTTCAGAGGCAGGAGGCCGGCTCCAGATACCGCGTCCCGCCACGAGCACATTCTCTTGCGTTGATGAAGGTCGTTGATCGTGCTGAGTTTCTGCGGCGGGTATGTTGTTTTCTACATGATTAGCTTTGTTCGATTCAGAACTAGGCAAAGCACTGCCTTTGACAGAGCTGTCTACGTGAGTAGACAACTTAACAGAAGCAGGAGAAGCTGTTTGAGCTGACCCATGACTTTGGTCACGGTGATGCATGCTCCCCAATCGGATCTGAGGGGTTATCAGATCTGTTCCATTGAGCCTATTGTTAAGCCGAATTTGGCTTATATATCCAGACAATTTTGGTCTCAAAACTCTTGTCGCCCAGAAAATCATGTTGTCGACAATGTGGCGGGTTGCTATTACTCCCCATGTTGTAGTGAGAGTTCCTGACCAGATGCACACCATTCTCTACTGAAGCATCAGCGAAAGCAACACAGGAAAACCAACAAAAGGGAACCGGGAAATCGCACGAACGGACGTACATGACAGCGAGACTTTTCCTGTGGTGAACTGGAATAAGCCAACCATGTTCTAATGAACGGTCCTATGCAAGTGAAAGCCACAACTGGAGGAATGCGCCTTTCAGGTCCACCAGCACGTTCAAGCAATTTCTCGAGGAGTCTCAATGCAGCTGATGTTGCATTAGCCGCTTGACAATACGCAAAGTAAATCTCGCTTTGCGGAACCATTGACGGCTTGAGCTCGACAACAGCCCACGGAAAGCACATCCGATGGCTTCGAAGTATCTCAAAACTGGGGTTTTGAACCCAGTTGCTGAGCCCGCTTAGGGGAGCCGAGATGAGCCCTTGGGTGCGAAGCTTTCCAAGCTCTTTCAACGAAAAGTTCGTCACAGAATCATCGTCTTTGAAGCCTTCGGCAAGATGGTGAAGGGACTGGTGGATCGGGAATCCGTATGTGAGGTCTGGTTTCGGGCCGGTGGGTCCAGTTATACTTCCATCGTAGTTGGCGTACTTGTGTGCTTCATTCCAACGAGCATCCGTTTCTCTATCATACCCCTTAGCGTTGTAAGCAATAAGTGAACACGGAGAACGAACAGTGCCCATTGATCGAGTAGATAGCTTCAATAAATCGTCAGACTTTGAGCTAGGAGCTCTTGAAGCAGGCTAAGCACTTACTTGTACTCTGTCACTTCAGTAAAATTATCGTGGAATTCTTTGAATAGGTACTTCATCATGAACTTCAACCAAGTTGCTTCATTGACCTTAGAGTCCGCGTTTCGTCGGGCTTCACACACTATTTCTTTCTGCATCTCGTCTACCTCCTTGTCCGTATAATAATGACGAAGTACGCGCCAGTCTGTCCCTTCGTGTTTTTCTTTCTCATAAGCCGACTGCGGTGGCTTTGCGCTGTAGCCTTCATTGTTTACGCTGCCAATAATTGTCGAGTACTCCAAAGCTTCTTTCTCGAACAGTTCCTCGCGTGTTTTTGGTAAGACGGCTCCAAAGCGCAGGAGAGCTTGCCTGACGGACTCGACGTGTTCTGGCAGGTGACTTTTTGGAGTACCGTGCTGTGGCAGATCTGGGCGATAGACCTTTTCGGAGAAGGTGATCCCATGATTTTCAAGAACAGTCCGATCAAGCTTGGGTTTGTCGACTGGCATTTCGTTCTTTCCAGACTTTTTGACTGTTCCGCAATATTGCGACAGAACGAGTTCACAGCACTAGATATTTGTGACGGAGTTCGCATCAGGCACCGAAGCTACGTTACGAAAGTTGGCCATGGATCCCACTCGCACATAGGCTGCTATTGTATCCTCTCCTTTCCCAACAACCAGCCTCAGACAGCTTAGTGCCTTCTGAAATTAACGTAGCATCATATGTATGTCTCTCCAATAGTGCAGGCCTCATTGGATGAAGACGATAGACAGCGGCTAAATAAGCCACGGAACCTCCTGAATTTAGGAGGTGTTCTTTCGCCGAACTATGTAGGCGAGTGTAGCAAAGTACGCAAGACACATTGGCCCCCACCCCACGACTGGTGAGACAGGGCGCATCACGCTGTTCCCAAAACATGGTGGGCGAGGTATGCGGCGTTACTTAAGTGGCACGAAACCTGAATCACTTTTCAGCCTAATGTACTTCTATCTGGATAGTTTATATATCCTGGTCGAGAATATCCATGCACTGGATAAGCTTGGCGACCAAGGGTGGGAAGTTCATCTCCGATGGATTCGATCCACCTCGGGGTGCCCGGCAACGAGGCGGCCGACCGAGCGAGCTGCGGAAGCCGCAAACGAGGGATAAGACGCATGAGCAGAGCAGGACTTGTTACAATAAGAACATGTCATACCGAAAATTCTCGTGGCGACCACCAAACTCGCCATCCGCCGAAAGTTGAGAGATGAATGGGACAAGAACTGGGAACCTGCTAAACATGGCAGACAGCACGGCCCTCTCGAGAATCTAAAGGAGGGGTCACTTTGGACACCAGGGGAGAAACCGATTCCTACAGTACATACAGTATGCCGATTTTAGACTCTTACTGTAGGAAATACTACTGTACACTTCAAGCGCACAGAAGAGGCTGCAGTAGTTAGTGTGGCGCCCAGGGTCCACTGAAGTGCTCCCTTTAGGCCCCTAGAGAGCTTTGGGCCCTGTGGGTTTCTGACTCCAGGGCTTGGGTGGCCCATCCTGTAACCCTTTCAAGGGAAAAGGAAGTATCCATCGACGTCGTCTTATTACAGTAATCCCTCCTCCTCCAGATAACCAGCCTACTGTGCAGATCCTATTCGGACTAGACACCTACCCCCAAAACCCGACCCGACCACGTTCGGTCCGCAGTCTACTCCCGACCTAGCAGTAAGTTGGGCTTCACACTAGGTCTTTGTACAATATTAATCTACGATTGGCGAGTGTACGCAACATCTTGACTAACGCAGGATCCGGAGTGTGGTTGGTCACTGTCTGTAGGGATGCTGAGGTGAATAACGCAAACGCGGGGGAAGATAAAGAGATCAGTGAAGGAGTGTGGGGTGAACAGGCAATCGTTGCCCTGGGGTGCCGCCTATTTTTGCGGCTCCTATGGGGGGATGGCGTCACTGTTCTCAGGCGTCGGAGGTATAGTCAACCAGCCCGCTAGGGACTTTAACTTTCGGGGCGAAGGAAATCTGTTAGGCAACGCTCAGATGGAGGATATATTGACGAGTCTGGTCTCTAGAACTAGGAGGTCAGTTCTATAGAATATATATAACCCAATAAGTGAAAATCGTTCTCCTTTGAAGATCCTTTCTCGCCGCGATATCGAGCGATGCCTGTAGAGTATGGGCAGCTGCTGCGGGGGGTCTAAGTTCACTTCACACTATACGGAAGGAGAGGAGAGAAATGAAGCTTGTGATATAGCGAGATACAGTGAGTAGGAGGGGAATTGATGGTGTAGTAAAACTTACGAAAGAGTGTCGGGGCGTCGGCGCTCGGCTGGGGGGCGCCAGGCTGACTGAGTTAAGGACGTCGCCCTTCCGAGGTGCAGAGGATATTGACTCCCACGCTCCGGGACTCTGCTCAAGGAATTCAGAAACCCCTGGTCTTGCGACAGCCTTCAATGACCTGCGCAACTTTAGCTTCTTCCTTTTCTCCTCCTTCTCTTTGTCAGGATTCCGACTCAGCAACGTAGCTGAGTGCCAGGCCACAAGGCGCCAATCCTATTCCGGACATGCGTCCATACCTGTGGCCGCACCCTGATGGCCTCGTTCTAGTTCTCCGTACTGAAATTTCATCAATTCATCGCACAAAGCCTGATAGTCTTTGAGATTTTCCTGTAGCTTCTTGAGTTCCTCCTCTTCCCTTTTCAGAGATTCTCGTACCATCTTGAGTTCCTCGCCTTCTAGAATTTCCTGTACCTTCTTGAGTAACTCCTCCTCCTCGTTGAGGAATTCTTGTAGCTTCCTGAGTTCCTTCTCCTCTTTTAGAATTTTCGGTAGCTCCTTGAGCTTCTCATCCTTCTCTATTAGAATTACTAGGAGCTTCCTGAGTCTCTCACCCTTCTTCCTTTCCTTCTCGATTTTCTTGAGCCGCTTGAGTTCCTCGAGCGTCTCTTTGAGAACTTGATGCCAGCAGGATACAATTGTCACATGCAGTTCCTCTTCAATTTTGAAGCGGAGTGCTTGTTGGTCAATTGTCTCAGCTTGGGCTGCGGCAGGGGCTGGGGCGAAGGGCAGGGAATCTAACCACCGGAGATAGTATCGGCAGTGGAGGCCTGAAGTCAAGGTCCGATCCTCATCAGAAGTTACCTCGCTTCGGTTAAATCCGAGTCGCAGGACACGATCCGCTTTCGACAAGTACATATGAGCGGCCTTGTGTGACTTATTGACCTTGGAAATCTGTCCCAGTGTCAAGAACAGTTGCGCAGCAAGGATGGTTTCATCACCGATGGCCATTGATTTGAAGACGTCAGGCATGAGATCTGATATCGTGTCCGAGAACGGCCTGACGTTGTCCACATCGAGCACCTCGAGCATCCTGAGAAGCGAATATGAGCTTGAATTTGTTGCTGATCCAAGTATTCTCCTGATCGATGCCAAAAGCTCGCCCGCTTCCGCTCGCCATACTTCTGCGGCTTCCTCTATACTCAAACCAGTAATTCCATGGACTAGACCCAAAAGCAGGTATGGTAGGAGAACCGGGGGGTTGTCATACAGGACGTTTAAGAACCACTTTGCCGGCATTGGTTTGAGCTCCGGCGTGGTTGGGGAGGTACCAACCTGTAATCGCCGTGGCCGGAGCGATCGTTGCAGAAGATGAGCAACCAGTGTGCAGCTGAAGTTGTCCAAATCGAGAGCGTAAGTGGATTCCTCTCTGTACCGTTCCACGCCAACTCTCGTATATACGTTGGCGTAGAAATTGAACGTTTCTTGTGCCGCATGGACAGCTGGGATCCAGAGAAGAGGCACGCTTGGGCTTTCCGCTTGCCAACCAGGGCCATACTGGCATGGGTAGTTGAAGGTACTTTCGCCGAAGTACCAGAGATCAGCGTCGGCAGAAATATGCCATCCTTGTCGCAAGGCTCGTCTCCATCAAGGTCCATAAGAGCCCTTTCGTCAGCGTAGAGGCACTCATTGTCCTGATCCACTTGATTCAACTCTGCAAATGATACTTCAGGGGGCGGTAAGGCTGAACGAAGGCTCAATGCAGGTGGCCAGTACTGGATGACTTCAGAGAAGACTTCAGGGAATCCGAAGTACGGTGAGTCTTTTGGTCCGTATGGTTTTCGCTTCCAATATCTCTGCACATCAGCCAGCGTGATGATTTCATCCCGAATACGCAGCATGGTGTCCATGCCGACCGACTGGCGCTGGCGGATGATAAAAGCGGCGATTACCATATCCCACTCCTTGCACGAAGTCAGAGTGTGATAGGGCTGTATATGTGGAACTTACCCTCCTGTTCTTGTTCAAACCCCAGGTATAGATGCGCCGCTTGTAGTGCACTTCTCTGTGCGGACGTCAGTTCCGAATCACGGAGAGGTAAGCGTCATCTGAGCGTATACTTTGCATGGAATCCCTTCTCTCCCAAAATCTCGATAACCTCTGAAAGCTTTTTCCCCTCTGTCTTGTACAACTTGGTAAACAGTGGGCGGATAGCGTCCCATTCCTCTCGAGTATGCGGATGCTCTCGAGTTGGAGGCATTTCGGAAGCGAAACAAGGATAGATAGCTCCATTCTAGGCCTGGGAACCAAGGAGTCCCTATATAGCTCTGCGGCAAGACATTGTATGGCATGATGGTTGACAAGGGGTGATTCGGCTGAACGAACAAAAGTTGCACCAGTCGAAAGATGATTGGGCATTTCACATGGCTTGGGCGCTTGCAGGGGTGTTGGCCATTTGTCTTCTGCATTGTCTTTCGTCTGGGGGTCTCAGCCTTACAAAAGTCGCTATCCTTTCTGTGCCGCCTTTTTTGCGGCTCCTGTTGGGAAATGGCGTCGCCACCTACGAGGTTTCAGGATGGGGGAAAATCCATGACAAGCGAGATTCAAACTAGAGATTGAAAGCTTGAGAAGGGAATCGCAGGAAACGGACGTGGGTCTACCCGCCGAGGCCACTGGGCTGCAGAGTTGGCAACTTTTGTTCTCGGGGGAACTACATATAGTTATGATTTCAAGTGCAAAGGATTCCATTATCTGCATTCGACCTCTCCACGTTGCTCGACGATGTCCAGTCTCACCATCCATACCATGATTTCGCCTGTTCGCCTCTCACATCCCTTCTGGCACAAGAACAATCCTGCTCTTGATCTTCCCGTGGTGCAAATCATCCAGGATCTTGGGGAAGTCTTTCATCTCCCCCGTCTCAACCTGCGGCGTAATGACGCCCTTTGCGATGAGATCCAGACTGGCCTCCAGGTCTGCAGAAGTCCCTCCATAACTTCCCAAAATGTCCAGTCGCTTCGTGATCGGCACGAAGGAATTGAAAGACATGCTGGGATTGATCAAGCCCACGAGGACGACCGTGCCAGCCCGTCGCACTATCCCAAACAGACATGTCAGCGCACGCTGTCCCTGAAAAGACATGAAGCGGTATCCTGCCAAACCTACCTGATTCCAGAGCTGCGTTGAAGGTTTCTGACACCCCCACAAAGTCTATTGCTGTGTCGACGAGCAGCTCCTTACCGTTGATCCATTCCGCCACGTCCGCCGTTCCCACGGGCACAACGTCCTCCGGGTTGACGCCGAACTTGATGGCGTTGTCGAGCACCTCCTGCCGTTGGTCCACGACAATCACCCTCGCCCCGATGCTGAGCATGATCTGTAACGCGTTGAATCCCAGGCCGCCCAATCCAAATAGCAGGACCGTGTCGCCTTTCTTGACTTTCCCTCTCCCAACCACCGCTTGATACGCAGTCAAGACCGCATCCGTGGCCACCGCACCAGCGGCATAGCTGACGCCCGTGGGTAGCTTGACCGCCGCTCTCTCATGAATGGCAACATAGGGTGCAAAGGACCCATTATGCCCTATGCCGTAGTGTTCCCCCAATGGGCAAATCTGAGGCACGCCCCTCGAGCAGTCTGGGCATGACTCGCCTCCACATCCAGGCACTGACAGGATCGATATCATGTCCCCCGGCCTGAACTTGGTGACGGCGGGTCCGACGGAGACCACCTCGCCGCATCCCTCATGGCCCTGTGGTGACATATCGTTAGCACTGCGAGAGACGCTGTCGTCATTTGTTTGGGCCGACGCACGAGAGTGTACTTGTCCAAGTAAAAAGGCGGCTTCTCTTCCACGCTCAATAAATAGACATCGCTGTGGCAGACTACAGTATGTTCAGCTCGTGTACCTCGATTTTCGAGGTCGCCATAGACACTCACCTCCAGCTGCATATACCTTTACCAAGAGTCCGTCGGTGGGCGCCGACGGAACTTTAACACTGACTCGTTTCTAGTCAGAGTCAGACCAAACACAAAGGCAGACTCTGAAACATGGGCTTGTCGAACACCTTGGTCCTTCACAATGCACATACCGGTAGCACGCTGCCAAAGTGTTTTTGCCATGCTAGCATGGTGTCCGGTATCGCTCCAGCCGCCATGTTGCCAAATGTGAAGACTGTCCGCGATGCAGACTAAGGGCGCGATTTACAGCAATCCTGAAAGCACCAAATGCCTATAAGATGTGATCTCTTCTGGAGTATGAGGAAGGAAGAGCCTCTGCTTCGATAAGTCAATTGTAGCCCCTCGAGGTATCTAGTAAAGTATTATCCGGGGTCATTGCCTGGTGCCGAGGTTCAGTATGTACCCCATACAATTGGAGGGGGTCTCCGGGTCCCCCCTCAAGTCAGCCTCTGCGCATGCTTTGGTTCAAGATTGAGGACGGATCAGACAAACATCCCAGTCTGCGGTTAAAGAACCGATGGCTCATCTCTGAGTCTGCCGTCTCAGCCTGAGCACGCAAGGTCTGATGTCCTTGAGGCTGGCTTGGTCTGCCATGGTATTCCAGGGCTAGCAAAAATCTGGGAAATGGTATTACCCCAAAGAGAAAGAACCGCGATTGTCCAGTAACTATTAGTGGTGACACTTCAAAGGGACTGGCTGACTCGCCCAGCATTACCGTGTTTCCCTAGCCAGCATTGGCTCAGCCAACGGTCAAGTACCATTCGAAACCAATCATATTCCGTCCGAGAGTGGCTTACCCATCCAAGACGGACGAAGCAGCTCAGTCCGCACGTGATATCAGCCATATCATTCTACCGCGTTGGAAGGCACCCAAATCTATTTGCCATGTTGTAGTGAATAGTGGCATTAAGGTGGGTCTCACATATGCCTCAAAACAGGGAGAAACTTCATCCCCCTTTGCATGGCCATGAAAGATATATAAAGGTCGTGGATGCTCGCCTCAATCGTTGCAGGAGGGACATCCAGCAAAAGCTACACAAAATAACGAGCCATGGCTTCACCACAGACACCCCTAGATCAGTTCCTCAATGGTATCAATGCTGCTGATCTGACCCAAATGCTGGGTGCTTTCACCACGGATGCTGAGATATTCGACGATGGAAAGAGCTTCAAGGGTGAAGCAATGAAAGCGCTATGTGAACAGGGCATCATTGGACATAGGACCCGCGTCGAGATGCTTGAGAGGGAGGGGCACCAAGATGGCAAGATCTTTCAGCACATAAAGATGGACGGTGACTTTGTTGAGGATTTCAACATCCACGAACCCTTCGACCTGTTTCTCCTTGCGACCATCAAGAACAACAAGATCGAGCACCTAGAGATGGGAGGTGTCGACACCAGAAAGCCGACCATTCGCACTGTCTATGCCGCCTCCGGGAATGCCTCAGATCCACTGTCTTCAGTCCGTATCAACAGGAGGAAGCTCCCCGAGCCCAAGGAGGGTTGGGTCAGAGTAAAGATGCAAGCAGTCGGTCTTAACTTTCACGACATCTTCACCCTCCGCGGCATAGGAATGCACGAGATCCGATTCCCAATGACTTTGGGCAATGAGGGCGCAGGCATTCTGGATGATGGCACGGAAATTGCAATTTATCCTGACCTCGGCGACCCAGATTTCAAGGGAGACGAAACCCTGGACCCAAATAGGCACGTTCTGGGAGAACTTGTGCAAGGGACATTGGCAGAGTACGTCGTTGTGCCGAAGAGGAATGTGGTCCCAAGGCCACCAGGGTTGAGCGCAAATGATGCATCGGTCATGGGAGTGGCCTGGTTGACAGCCTACCGTATGTTGTTCAAACAGGCTAATTTGAGACCCGGCCAGACAGTCTTGGTCCAAGGTTGCTCTGGGGGTGAGTTTAACGAAGACTTCCCAGATCCGCTCATGCTGACATCCTGTTAGGTGTCACCACAGCTTTGATACAGCTTGGCTCATCGGCTGGTCTTCGAGTCTGGGCCACAGGTCGTACAGAGGCCAAACGAGCACTAGGACTCAAACTGGGTGCTGAACGCACATTCGAGCCTCTCCAAAAGCTGCCATATCTTGTTGACGCTGCATTTGATACATCCGGGGCGGCCACCATCTCCAACTCTCTCGCGTCCGTAAAGCCAGGAGGTAGAGTTGTGTCATGTGGCATTCACTCGGAAGGCGGATCGAACGAGGTCACCATCGACCTCATGCATCTGTTCGTCAACCAGATCGCACTCATCGGCGTCTACACTGGAACAAGAGAGGAGTTTGTTGACCTGCTGAATTATGTTGCGGCCAAGAAAATAAAGCCTCATATTGGAAAAGTCTTACCTCTGGAGAAGACAGAGGAAGGGTTGAAGGATATCTGGGAAGGCAGGACTGATGGTAAGATAGTCATTACGATCTGACCACCGCTCAGAAGACGGGATTGCAGAGACACAAAGCTGGAGTGGGAGTCGAGGCGAGAACGAACATCCACCTTGTTTCGAAGTTATAGAGATGTCGACGGTGAGACAATCCACCGATCGTCGCAGGAACAATGTCGGTGAGCCAGGGGAGGACACTGATCCTGGACACGAAGTCGGCGAAACGTGGCCGAAGCTAGTCCTGATTCCTTCATCAATGAGTCTATCATGCGCGATTTTCATGTCTCATGTAATTATCTTCACTCCAATAGACTGGCGGTCGAAGCTCAAGATTGTGGAAAAACGCTGAGTCACATCAGGAGACATTGTGGTTTGATGCCGGGAAAGAATCGGCCTTGCACGTGAAGATAGAGCTAAGTTACCCCGCTAGACTGTAATGGGACTAGTGGCGGGCGCTATCTAATCTATGACCCGGGCTGCCGTCAAGGCCCCTTATCAAGACGGTACTTGCAGCCCTACGACTCTTCAGACTCCTCCCACCAGGCTCTTCACAGTCTAATGCAGTGGATCCTTCGTGAGAATTGCGAGAGTGGCTCCGACAGCAAAGGTCTATCTGGACAGGCTACGAACCTCTCGATATAAATACCATCGCGAGCACTGTGATCAATCGGCCGAGAGTGGCTGCTTTGCGACTTCACCGATAACATTCCATCTACTACCACCATGGCTCTGTGGACAGGATTTCCCGCCGGTGTAGGGCTACCACCGCAGTCAGACCTAGTACCAACTATTCGAAAGCCTTTGAAATGTCGCGCGAAGAGCGAAGACTTTGAGAGGAAGTTATCCACTCGTTTCGCCGTGTCAGATCAGGTAATGAATGACCCGAGTCTGGCTGAAGCGACGTACTTGTTCCTGACGAGAACAGATTCTATCCGACGCCGATGAGGAAGCCGATGGCGATCCGCTGCTGCTGAAGATGCCATTCGAGATCCTCCTGGCCATTTACGACAGTCTAGAACACTCCCCGTCTCAGATCGCACTGGCATTGACTTGCAAACGGATGGCTATAGTTGCCAGGGACGTTCATCTGCATCTTTCACCCACTTCTCCAAAATATGCCGGGTTTCTTCCGAAAACCGTCTTCGACGTTCCTGAACTTATGGCCCAACTTAAACCTTGGATGCCTGCCGACTTGCGTCTGTGCAATCACTGCTTGACCAACCGTCCGCGCGATGAAAAGTACTGGAACGGAATAGTTGGCTGCGAGATTAGCAACTTTTGGATCCAAAAGACTGGCTGGAATTTCCACGACGCGAGCTGGCATAAGCAGGTGCATGATATCTGCCCTGCTTGCCACGTCAATTGCACCTTGAGCGACTATGTCGATTGCGACGGTTGTCGAGCCCTGGGTAGACTGGGAGATATAGACTGGACCAGAGTCTCAGACTCCTGGCGACGGAGAACAGAGGCGGAACTGCAGGCAGGCCGTTTCGCGACAGGTCCTACCTGAATGGAAAGGAGTCGGCATCCACGGGCACCGAGCCTTTACACATGCAGCACACTCAGGGGCTGGCTCCGAGATAATTCATCACGGCCTGTATCATCCCCCAGTTGAGAATCGTCTCACGCCAGCTTCATACGTCAGGTTGAGCCCACGTCGTAATCGGCCGCAATGAAGCTGCGACTCCGGCACTTGTTGTGGGCTGCAGGACTGCAGGAGCAATTCGGCAACAAAGCATCCAGCGGATAAATACACTTACAAGGCTTCGATCGGCCATTTGCACCATTGAATATGCATCCGACAATCCCATGTCTACCGTTGGGGGAACACCTCCAGTCCCTCTGTCGCCGGCCTACTATTAGGGTTCTACATGACCCACCCCGGCACTAGCAAATTCCAACATCATATCTCTAGCCCCTCAAAAATTGAGCAGAATTCGTGGTCTGGTGGTGTAGTTGGTTATCACATCTGCTTAACACGCAGAAGGTCCTGGGATCGAGCCCCAGCCGGATCATTGACTCAATTCAATTTCGTGGAGTTCTCTTTTTGAACTTGATCGATTTTTTTTATTTTCTTTGCGTGATCGCCGGTATCGTGCTGAGCATTGTGGGGTGACTTGAGGGCTCGGCAAAGTATCCGTATATTGTGTCGAGTATTAACCTAAGCCGAGGGTGACTCTTAGTCAGCACGACGTGCGTGTTTTTGGTAACCTGTCTGTTCATCAAAGTTCTTTGCTTGAACGATCCATATGACCTCACATTCGTCGATAGAGACTCATCTTAAGTAGAGTTACTGCTGAAGGTTACGTCTCCCAACCTGGGAACGGCCCTGGAGTCGAGACCCACGAATCACAATGTCAAGGCAGCAATCACCGTAAACACAGCATCATGCGCGAAATTGTCTTCATTAATTACGCGAATGGTCATCATCGGAATGACACCGAACAGCAAAGTTGTATCTCGGCCCATTCAGCGAAGTTGAAGCAATCGAAGAGAAAAGTACTGGGCAGCAAGAGGTGTCTCAATGAGGTTCCAGATGCCACCAACAAGAATGTCCTTGGCTCGCCACGACGAAAGCATCGGTCTCCAATACACAACCTGTCGAACGCCGAAGAACTGTTGGCAGAGGAAGATGTGATCATAAATAGTATCAAATTCGATCCTTACGACAAGCTTGCGTACATGAACATTCCAGAGCATCGGAGGATAGCCGACTATGGTACGCCATTGACAGGATATCAGTGTTGTCCTATGAACTGATGGATTTATCTAAGTCATTCGACACTATGCACGCCGAATACAACCCCTTCAGCGAGCCACCGGCACTGCCAAAACGTCGGCTGAAAAGAACTTTGCGATGGCATTAATGAGTCCGGAGCTCTTCTACGCGATAATGGCTATGGGATGTGCCGATTACGAAAGTAAGTCTCATACAGAAACGAATACGGTCGAATCTATAGTCCATCCACGAGGGTCAATTTTCCTCGCATGTTGCTTTCCATTGCTGACAATTTGCATAGTGAGAATGACACATATGATCCCAGAAAAGCCATCACAACGTGTGCTACTCTTCAAAGGGTTGGCTCTCCAAACACTCTCGTCCAAACTGCAACATCACTTTGAAGACGTAGACATGGCTGCTGTTTTGGCCATTGTTATGCTAATGGGTCTCGATGTGCGTACGTCAATACCGTTCTGGGGACACAGAGTACTCAAACCTCGCAGATAGCATTTCAGGACTTTCAACCGGTGATGATACACCGGCGTGCCTTGCGACAGCTAATAGCGCTACCACACGTACCTGGCTTGTATGATCATCTTCTCGCCTGACTCTGTGAGGTTGGCTAACTTCGGTCATAGACCTGCGTCTGGGGCTTTCTTGACCCACGAGAACTTGTCCTCCTTCACCGACAGCTTTCTTTCCGAGTATGGCATCTTCGCGTTTTGAGCCGTCTGTTAAACTTACTTGTCGCACAGGGAGGAACCGGCGTGGAACATTGATCCCACCGAGGACATGCTATTCCCCTATTCGTCCGATCAACACCAACCACTACGTTACCCTAGTGCTGCTGAGCTCGCAACTGTCCTGCCGAAGATACCCGCAGGAATTCGAAATGTAGCACTGGATGGTGCCCTCAGCATGGAATTGCTGGAGATCATGATGCGAGTGACCCAATTAACGACGATTCTTCACAAAGGACAGCGTCGAGATGAACCCCTCACAAGTGCCGAGACCGCGTACGTGTTAGCATACAGAGCTGAACACGAGTTTCACAATTGTATCGATTGCTTGCGCCGCATCTCTCTTCGGGAAAGGCCAGAGGCGGCCACGATTGCGAACCCGGGGAGTATCGTCATCGAGCACGTCGTTTGCCTGGCTTTACTGCTTCTCTGCAACTGTGAATTCGGGTGCATGCTCCATGGGCCTATTTTCAAGAAAACACACGATGCTTTCCGCGTTGCTGTCGAACAATGCCCGGTCAAATTGGGACAAGAAGACTGCATGATCTGGGCGCAATCCATCGGGCTATGGGCGGCAGTTCTCACGACGGGCGAGAAGGGCCAGGATGCAGAGTTCTACATTACGAGGTTTCGACGAGGTTACACCAAGCACTTGTGCCTCGAGGAATACAAAGATGTTCTGAAGAAATTTCTCTGGACGGAACTCATGATGAGATTCTGCGAACGAAGCTTTGAGCGGTTTGTCGTAGCTCCGACGGATTCGAAGACCTGACGTTGTCAGGACGAGATCCATGAGGGAACAAAAGATTTGGCTCCTCGAGGCATCTAGCTCGTACAAGTACTTTAATTTGAGTACGGCTTGCCTGTCCGTCTTTGCACGATGCGGACAGCCAGCTCAGACTGAGGTCTTTGCTCAATGCCTGTGGGCGCGACGAGTCTTACCTTGCATATGTGGATTAATATGCAGACCATGGTATTCATTGGGGACTGGCTTCGTGCCCTTGGCTCCTGTCGAAGGGAAGGGTCATCGTGGGGAAAGGAAGCAAGCTCAACCCCAGCACCCAGTGGTCGCACGAGCAGTCCTATACCAAGGCAAAGCGGTGTCTCAGAGAGCCACCAATTCTTCGCTATCACTTGACTCTGTAAATGTTACCCATTCGTGCATTCAGAATGTAAGAATATATAGATGCAAAGTACATTTCATGTCTACAATATCTGGCGGGGGAGAACGATCGACGAAGAATCGTGCTGACAAAGCGGACGAGGCTGTCGGCACAAATCCATTTGAGAACTGACTGATCGTCAGACCTCGGCACATGCTGTTTTCATGCTTCTTCGTCTTGTGCGAATGTTGCTCACATTTCACCAAGGTTGCCGGCGCTGTCATCTTTCCTGATTACTGTTCGAGGAATTCAACCATCCTTGTCCTTCAATTCCGATCGAATTCCGGCCGTAGAGAGCATACAAAAGAGCACCGCCCTACACAACACTCTCCCCGACACTCGCTCGATCTTTTTCATCGCACGCCGCACCATCGCCCCTCGCGACGTCCAGCCATGGCCGACGCTCTCTGTGGCCCTTCCAACCCGCTCCAGAATCTGCAGAAACATACTCAGGTCGATAGGACCCTCCAGCAGGATCGTCTCGTCGGTCCAAGACAGGCTCCCGGACAGGCAAGTTTCTTCTTGACCAGGTGTCTCGCGCAGCATGATTATTGACATTATGGCTCACCCAGGGCTTCCGTACCGCCGATCCCAGAGCCGGTTCTCTCGATGCCGACTTCTATGCCTTTGAGAACGCCGCGCCGAGCCCCTTTCAGCACGCACCGCCAGAGTTCGCCAATGCCTTTCCTACCACTGCCTTTTCTTCTCCCCGGCCCTCGCTTGGACCGGCTGGATGGGCCGCTGATTTCCAGCGTCTGAACCTCCACGACCAGCCCGTCCCTGCAGGTCAATTCCGCACCGAAGCGCCGCTCGTGAAGTCTACAATCGGGGGGTGGCAAAATGAGTTCATGCGGCAGCGCTCAGGTATGGCGTCGCCCGTGGCGCAGGGTAAGCAGGCCGTACGAGAACCGATACAGATGAACATGAACGCAAACGCATCGTACATGGGTTACTCGTCCATGGCGCAGCAGGCGTACGGCAGCGGGATGTACCAAGACGGAGGGTTTGAACAGCAACAAATGCCAGGAATGTCCATGGAGCAACAACAAGTCCCCATGTCCGATGTCGACTTCGACGCGGCGTTCCAAGAGGCCGTCGCGCACGCCCAAGAAATGGACCAGCTACGACAACAGACGATCCAAGTCTCCGAAACGGTCGCCGAGTCGGCAATGACGACGGACCAAATGGAACCCGCGCGCAAGATCGGGTCCGATGCAATCGAGTACCGCGAGCGGGCGGAGCGTACCGAGGACCAACACTCTCGCGACGCCGACGAACTGGCCCGCACAGCCGGGCAGTTGCTGACGAGCGTGCAACACGACACCAGCGACAAGTTCCAAAACTCGCAGTTTCTGGATCTCATGCGTCGCATCCGCGACAGGCAAGTCGAGGTGGCCAACAACGATCTACAGGACGTATCTACAGGGCAAGCGGCGACTTCGACTGCGGCGTTGTCGGACTCGATGCAGCCCGAATCGCAGCAACCACAGGCCCAGGGAGAGAGGGAATCAACGCATCAGCAGCAGCAGCAGCAGCAACAAGAACCGCCATCGCATTTCGAGTTTCCAGACATGGACGTCGTCTATGCGGTGGGGGAAACGAGTCGTCATTCTCCCTACACAAATCACGGGCTGTTCGACGACGGAAGCGGATCCGTGCCCGTCGTCGCAATGCAGCCACGTCGCCAGGTTGACGACATCCACCCGGGCGGGAAATGGTATCCCGACTTGAGTCCGCAGATGAGGACGGTGCCGCTCGCGTCGCGTGAGGACGACGACGGCGGGAGTCTCGAGAGGAGGATCAGCGCGAGCGAATTCGATTACGTTGATGAAAGCGCCGGGTTGGCCAGACGGTTTTCCTAGGATTAAAAAAATCTGCCGTCAGTATACCTGTAGGTATGTGTTCTATATGTGTACTACCTACCTCTGCACGTACGAACAGATATGGCAACGGAAACCTAGCGAAGGGTACGCTGTGTGTTGGCGATGATGGCATTGACGACGTTAATAATGATGACGACGATGATGACGACAATGATAACGATGATCAACTATATATGAGAAGAGCATTCGATGCTGGAGGACAGGACCGGGCAGGGCAGGGCAGGACAGGACATGATGCGATAAGGTCCTGGGTCGTCGACTTGTATATTTTTTATTCATACTTGTAACTACAAGTATTTCTATTGTACCTACTTCGGCCTGGTCCGCGTACCTGACAGGGAATCCACGTCCTTTCCCGATGTTAGACTTCGACACGGACAGGGGACGTTGTTGCAGTACGAATACTCCTCGTGCAAGGTCCTTGGCATGTAGTGTATGTATGTATGTATATATGTATGCACGCACGCACGCTATTCTTTTTGTCCTCGAACTGTCTCCCTCCCTCCCTCCCTGCATACCCAAGGTAGGTACGCTCCCTGCGTAAGTCTCTCTAAATAAGAGTCTCCTCCAGTCACGTCGCCTCACGCGCACGACGATCTGATCTACAGGTGTCAAACATTTGTGTCGGGATCAGTCGCGTCCACCATGGTGTACTTTTCCTCCTCCAGGTACCGTCCTACAAGATCGAAGCCGATCGTACCAAGATTAGTGGTACAGTAGTGTTGTAGCACGGCACATCCAGCACACCACCTGTACATCGAGGTCAGGCAGTAGTACCTCCAGCACAAAACAGGAGGATTCGTTCATCCCGCACAGTGAAATTCTGGAAGTAATTCTCATTCTGCACTCCTCTTTTTCAATTTCTTTATCCTCTTGTGGCTTTTCTGGGGCTAATCAATCCTGCGTGTCAATACTGATGATACACGACCATGGGGTCTAGCTAGTATTACTACCTCTGCAAGACCCTCGTCGTCTCCACTCATCGGTGGATTCCCCTTACTTCCCTCTTTCTTGCTCAAAAAAGACAACCGTGCTGTGACCCGAAACTGTCTGCTCACTTACTTTTGGGAATGAGCCTTTCGCCATTTTGCCATCTTTTCTTTCACCAAGTCGAACCTCATACATAATCACATGGTAGCGTCAATCCGTCCACAGTCTCATCCATGTCTCGATGCTGATAGCTTCGAGTGCGAGCGACGCAAAAGCCTTGGATCTCGCCGTCTCCTGGATCTCTTGACCCCAATATTGTTTCCTGACCTTGTGACAACTCATAACCAATCACTAGGGTGTCATGCGTTGCTCTTCAGATAAATCATCGAAGAAGGCCACATCTGAAAGCCGGTTGTTCAGCACCAAAAGACGAACGGGCCTCTCTCCAGTTTCGGACAACGTTTTTTCACCGGCCTGGCACGAGCGGTTGTTCCCTGCGAAGATGATCCTGGGACGTCGTGACTCATGCCATGACCATCGTCAACGTCCATGGAATCAGAGCCTCCTTTCTCTTTCTCATTCTCATCGTCCGACTCCGTTCCCGTCTCCGAATCCGACTCTCCGTCTGATCGGTCAGGAGTATCAAGTCCGGCGCCTTGCTCGTCGATTTCGTATCCGGGAGACGATGCGCCGTTGATGCCGCATCTCCACCATCGGCCCATCATGATCTTTCCACCCGGTAGGATGATGCCTTCGTATGCATAAGCGTACTCCATGTCTGTCCACTCCATATGTTCACTTCTCTTGAATCGTTCCTCCATGTCGGCGATAACGTGCTTGTCCATATTCTCGGGATGGCGCCATGCTGGATTCCTCGACAATTTGTCGTCGATATATCTCTTCCTCGCCAACTCGATCTCCTCGGGGTCGAGATCTCCTACTGCTAGCTGCTGTAATCCAAGCTGAAGTTGTCCGTTTTGGATCATGTGGTTGGCTATGGCTGCACCAAAAAAGCCGCCAAAGTTCTGCTCGGCATGTTCGAGGACCGCAATTTGCATTTCTGTGGTGGGCTTGTACATGACCATGACGATCCTACTCCATCCAGGAATACTCGCGCGAGAGTTTTTTAGCTGATCTGGTCGAGGCAAGCTACCGATTGGGTGGATCACACCACGCACTCGAAGAGAGGTATATGGGTGATACTTGGGTACTCCTGGAACCGTCAAAGTCGCCTTTGACATGGAAGTTCTGACAGACTCCATCGCTTGCAGGTCGACAAAGGGTGCAATGCCGCGGAAAGAGATGCTCGACTCCAGTCCGTCTGGAATTGTTTCGTTGAAAACCGGAATGTCGCGAAAGATGGGAGGCCAGTATGCTAGATCGTTCCTCGGGGCAATTGCAATCTCGAGTCTCTAATAGTCGGTGGTTAGTCAAGATGAGTGTAACTAGGTGTCAAGGTGAACTTACAAGGGGATGAGCTGAGCTCCAATCTTCAGCATCAGTTTGAGCCACATCTAGGTCCTGTCTTCTCTTCGGCCACGGGTGAACGCAGCTGTAATGGCCGTACCACTCGTTCGCGATCCGAGGAAGTCCTTGAACTAGCATCTGGTCCCATGGTCGAGGCGTGATGCCAGCGTCACATAGGAGATTAGCCATAGTGGTATACGTGCGTTCGTTCATGCTGCTGGAGGGGTACTCGGGACTGCTGTTTCTCTCGATGAGATGGCGATGAAAGAAATTTCGTACATGGAGCAACGCGTATGTGTCGACTTCGTACTTTGGTTCCTGACCTCGTCGCATCAAATTAGGAAACACTGGTCGAGCGCGAGTAGGCGTCGATGGAGGTTCAGATCTCGGAATTCGGCGGTAAATCAACGTCAACGGACTCCCCCAGTTGTAAACCAATGCCATGTCGTACTTATGCCTGGAGGACTGCACAGCATGCGCCATCTCCGAAGCTGGGGATAACAACAAGTGTGACAATGCAACTTGGATTGCGTCGAAGAGAGCGTGTGGTTGACCGTATTTGTTTGAATCTCTGCTCAAGGTCTGGGGATAGAAGGTATTGTTCAAGAAGCTCGTCATCCAAGGAGAAGCCTGTGCTGAGTCAAATGCTTCGATATTGAGAGAGATCAGTGGTGCGGGAAGGTGCTTCTCTGGCCGATGATACGCTTCTGATGCTACTGTCAGCCTCGCTTAGTGCAGAATGTCTCTACATAGTTCTTTACCTAAGATCATGTAAGTCAAGTGTTCCAACTGGTAGATCAACCGGGGATCATTCTCATTGTTGAAATCGCCAAATTGACTTAAGATGCATCCTCTTTCTCGATACACGATGGCAAAGTACTTGTTGTTTCGAACAAACGGATAGTCCCATTTCCGCAAGAATCTCTCTCGCCAGATAGCAGATGTATTTGGTTTAAGCGCCTCGCTCAAGGTTGGGGAGGCCCGCACGAGTCCGAATAGGTCTGCATCACTGGGGAGCTCGGAAGCAATACGATTCAGGATCTGATCAAGTTAGTACAGATCTGTCTCTTGTATAGTTGACTGACTTCAATGGGCAAATTTTCGAGCCTGCTGAGTTGGCGGGCGGAGTTGCGCAGCCTCTTCGCTCCACGCTGATTCTCATCGTGATTGGGTTGTAGTGAGGTTATTTTGCGCTTTGAACCTGGAGGAGTATTGAGATTCGTATGAAACAAATCCTCACTGACGGAAGCTGTCATATCCTCGAGATCTGTTGGCGGCTCAGAAAGGTCTGAGTCGAGATCCCAGACAGCCATGAGTACATCTGGGCTCGATGCCATGACGTCGCACACGTGGAGGCTGGATGGTTCGGTCCGGAAACAGGCGAACATCAAAACATGAAACTCAGCTGAGGCATGGCAGGGTAGGCCTGTAATAATGCTGAAGGAACGTAAGGATAGATGTAGAACGCGCTGAATGTGGGATACAAGCAATCCGACTTTGACATTGCAAATCTTTCACCCTTGGGCGATTGCGCCGGTTGACACGAGGTGGTGAAGTCTATCTCACCACGGGCGAATGCACCAATGAGCGCGTCCGGCATCTGCTTTCCAGAAGAAAGTGGCCAACTGGAAATCCATGTGACTTCGCAGGTGAATGCCTGACATTCCTGTGGCCGACCGTACCGTGATATCACTGTTACAAAACCAGCGCCAGCAACATCGAAACAAAGGACAACCGGCTAGCTCCTGAAGCCCATGCAGGTCCGATGCTGCCTGCTATGTTTGTAGCCGTTGACGTACTTGTCGAGGATGATGTTGGTGTTGGCCCAGGGATTTTCGCACCTGAGGCTCGTGTGATTAAATATATTTCGCCGGAAGCATCTGAGGAGACGTACAATCGTCCGTGCGAATCGAAAGCCATTCCAGCAGGCCGAAAACAACTGTGGGGGCACTTCGAATTGTCCTGGTTGGTCAACACATCTCGTGCTGCATCCTTACTGTCAAGAGAGTCCTCGGGTTCTCCATTACGGTCAAATGCCACCACTGATACCATGTACCCTACGGGTAGCGTCCGATCCCAGCTACCGTGGAAGGTTATCCATGCCTCGGTACCACTGTTGTTGAACTTGATATCGAGAGGTGCCATATGTGCCTGGAAAACCAGGCGAGCCGGCTCTTGTTGAGCACAATACGTATCTGTTTGGTTCTTGTTGTGCGAAGCTGGAGATGCATCGACCGCATACTGGCTACCGACGGTCAGGTTGCCGTTGTCAGGGAGTTCGTCGACTCCCCATGCAGAGAAACACCATGGATAGCCAAAATTCCCTCCTTGAGGAGCGTATTCCTTTCCGTCAAGATAGCCAAGGAAGTTCAATTCTTCCGCAGGGTTATCCTCGTGGATATCGACTCCCATCCGTGTCAATTCATCGGCCGAGTTTTCAACGGTGTAAATGCCGCCGCTTTCAGGATGCTCTGCAACCCCGACATCATTCCTCAAACCCCAACCAAGACGAAGTCCATCGACATCGAAATCGTACACCCCAGTACGATTCGTCAAGTTGAAGGCTTTGACCTGCGAGTGACCAGATTCCAAGCTGGCAGCGTCAATATCGATATTGGAAGTGCTACCCCTCGTCACCACAAGCATTCCAGGCGCCTTCCGAGACAGAAGTAGAGTTCTCGTCGTGTGGTCACTAGTTGTCATGTTGGCCACAATTTGTGCCTGATTCGATACTGTTCGAGCCGACGCATCATAGCTCCAAGAGTAGACAGCTCCAGCCGACGACGCATATAGCGTTCCACCATCGTCGGACATTTCGATGCCGTGATTGAGCTAAGATGCGTCAGCGATTGTAAGGTATCCTCATGGTGTGTTTTCCATACATCCAACCTGGAAGTCAAATCAACAGATGATCTTACGGACATGCAGCCACTATTCTCATTCAGCGTATGAGCGGAGACTACGCCTCTTCCTTGTTCCACCACCAACAAATTCCCGGCATTGTCAAGGAGAAGGCCTCGGGGTTTAGACAAGCCAGTTGCGACAACTTGCACATGAAAGCCAGACGCGACAGAGGGCTTGATGACCCCTGAAGGCGCAGGTCCACAAGTTGATGAGGATTTTGCGAGTGACGACAGGGACAGGAGGGCAATAAGGGCCGTCAGGAAGACGGATCTTTTGCTCATTGTCAGTCCACCGATTAGGACCGGGCTGTCTGGCAAGTTCAAGGAGGCCACAAGAAAATCCTGCGAAGGGAGGTACGATGGATGTGAAAGGACATGAGAGAAGCTGGACGCGACAGCATGATACCTGTATTAACAGCAGAGGTCTTCCAAGGATTATGATAACACCATAACAACAATGACTTCATGGTACATGGTTCTTCCCAGAAAGTCGCCCCGTTACTCCTTAGTCTGAAACAGGAATCTTGGCCGGGACACGGTGTTTTTCCGATGATGCTCCGCAGCCTCACAGATAATCCGCCCCTGGGATGGAACGGAGTGCCCTAGCAATCAGCAGTGTGGCCAATGCTGCTGAGCTGTATTGCACACTTGAATGATCGACGGCAGCAGATTATTAGCTGTTACGTGACTACACCACAAGAGACTAAGACCTTTATATAGCAGATGGACGGCGTACAGCGAGGGAGCAGGTTGGTATGTCAATTCTGCCTGTATCTACGAGCTGTGAACGGTGTCTCAATGAGCTTGAACGACCCCAGCTTCGTTTGCCTGCGCTAATATCTTCTTCTTGTAAGCATTTACATCACCAGGGAATTTTTCAACCGTGCCTTTGTCGCACACCCACAAGCTGGTGCATACATTCTGCAACATCGTGACGTCGTGACTGACCATCAGAACACCTCCCTGGAATTGCTGCAAAGCAGTCGAGAGAGCATCCATAGCTTCAATATCCAAATGATTGGACGGTTCGTCAAGCACAAGAATATGTGGATTTGTCAGGGATAAGCACGCAAATGCGACCCTCGATTTTTGACCACCAGACAGAAGCTCTAGCTTCTGCAGCCCTGTCATCCCAGTTATACCAAACGCACCGAGATGACGACGGTATTCTTCGTCGGTTTTACCAGGGTAGGTCTTTTGCATGAAGCCCACGGCGGAAGTGTTCATGTCCAGAGCGTCCACATGGTGTTGAGCAAAATAACCAACGCGGAGACGTGGATTCTGCGAGATAAGTCCAGTGGTGGGTTGTAGCTGTCCGGTCAGGAGTTTCAGTACCGTTGTCTTACCTGCACCGTTGGGCCCAACGATGCCAATCCGGGAATCGAGTTGAACATCCAGATCAACTCCATGCAGAAGAGGTTTCTCCTTGGTGTATCCAAAAGCAACGTCGGTCATCTGAATAATGGGGGGTGACAGCTTTTCCACGTCTGGAAATTTGAAGTGTACTGAATACTCGGCCTCTGGAGGCTCAAGTACTGGCATACGTTCCAGCTTCTTGATCCGTGACTGTGCTTCTGAGCTTTTCGCTGCATTGTAGCGGAACTTGTCAATGAACGCTTGCAAATGAGCTCTTTGTGCCATCTGATTTTCATATTCACGCTTGGCATTCTTTCGGCGCTCTTCCTTTGTCGCATAGAAGGAGTCGAAATTGGCTCCTTTGTAATAGTCCAATCGTTCAGAGTGTTGGTGAATGATATCGGTAGCAACCTCATTCAAGAATGCTCGGTCGTGGGAAACGACCAGAACCGTGCTGGGGTAAGTTTGGAGGTAATTCGACAAGAAGGTAATTGACGGCACGTCCAACATGTTGGAAGGTTCATCCAACAGGAGTAGATCAGGCTCGCAGAATAGTGCTCTGGCTAGTGCTAATCTCATGCGCCAACCACCAGAGAAAGTCTTAGTGGCATATTGTTGACGCTCTGGAGAAAAGCCCAAGCCAGCCAGTATACTCGCAGCTCTGGATTCTGCTTTATCCGATTCCATCTCGCTGAGTTTCGCTTGGATATCGCCCAATGTGGTGTCGAGGCCGTCCTTTTCTTTGTCCAGCCGAGCTGCATCTTTCGACGTATCAGCCATTGTCGATCTCTCGCTCTCGAGGGCTGCTAATTGCTTGCTGATTTTGTCTTGCTCAGCTAAAAGGTGTTTCCGCCATACATCGGCGTCAAGGACAGCTTGGAGAGCTGGTGTGTCATCTCCCAAAATCTCTTGTTCAACGTGGAGAATTGAGATATGAGTAGGAATGGCAACTTCACGTCGACTCAAGGCACGAAGCAATGTAGATTTGCCAATACCGTTCTGACCAACCAGACCGTACCGTCGGCCGTATGCCAGTGTTAGAGAGGTATCGGTGAGAATACGCTTGCCAGAAATAGACACGTCAATCCCATCAACCTTGATGTCTTTGCTCTTTGATTGTGCATCGGATCCCAGCTGGAGTGGGTTGACTGCCATGAAGAACTCTTCGTAGGACTGGGTGCTGTCAGGCTGATCTAGCAATCGTGATGCTTCATATTCCACGTTCTTCATAATCTTCTTGTCTTGCTTCGCTCGAATCTTGCGCTCAGCTTTTTCGAGTTTCTTCTTATCTACCTTAGATTCCACCTTGCGAGCGTTGGCAGCCTCTAGGTCTATGGCACCACTGGTCAAACCCAAGGTGGACGAGATATTCCGCTGTGAGCTGACTTGAATGGTCTGCTCAAGCTTTTTGGCAGCAAATGGCATCTGCCTCCGCTCTGGATCAACTCCATTGGCATCTCCCAACCTGGCGATAAACTTTTCAATCAAGTTTCGAATGGCAGCTTCGTTCTGCTCCGAGAAATTGCCTGAAGCAGAGACCAGGAGGGCAGTGATTGTCTCCAAAGCTTCGGCGAGGGGAGACTGAGCAGATGGATCTTCATCGGAAAAATAAAGCTTTGATGCATGGTTGAGATAACCCTAACAAGAAGTCAGTTGGGAGGTCACATCAAAAGCACGTTTGTCAGCCCTGCCAGACCCAGGCTGAGAATCTGATAAACAATTCTGAACTAGTGCGTGATACGAGAAGACGCTAGAATAGGTACTTACCACGGAGTATTCTGAGAGGACTTGGTCAATATTGGGAATCTGAGCTTGGATTTCGGACTCCATTCTGCAGGGTCAGAGGTTTGCTCCGAGCTTGTGAGGTTAGAATTGGTCGGACGTAGTCCGTATCGTGAGCAGAAGCACAATCGCGCAACCTTAGCGGACTTCCAGTCTCGAGTCCTTGGTCCGGGAGCGGAGCGGCAACAAGAGACTGTTTGAGAGGATCTGCGAAATTGCAAGGGAGGTGGGATTCGGTGTGGCGAGGCTAGCCAGGACAACCCGGTCCTATGCCTTACTGGAACCGTTTGGAATTGCGGTATAGCATATCTTGATGACGACCGGCGGAGTCTGTGACCTGAGGTGACTGCCGCTCTCCTCTTCTTGTCCGTGTGATCCTGTGGCTTGAGATAATCTCGTGCTGTTCAAGTGGTTGAACGATATTGCGCATCCGACCGTGAAGTTTCAAGACCCGAGGTCTTGGCGAACTAACCAGGCCTGGACTAGAGCATCAGCACTGCTGTCGGCGTTTTTCCCTCTATGACGAGAAGTCTGGAGACTCTTGTTGACCATCAGCTTCAAGTTAGCGCGTGGGACTATGTACGCGTCGTCCTTCTCGTATGCAGGATTCTGCAGCATGACCTGCTTCACTACGGTAAGAGGACTTTTGCAGGGAGGCCAAGCAAGACATCGACGCAGCTAGCCATTCCCTTCGCGGCATCCCTCCACGTTACCACCGGGGTCACGACGCACATTCAGGGAAGATGCATCGCCTAAACTTGCACTAGAAAAAGTGCGGGCGATCCGGAAATCCTGTCCAGGCTGCATCTGCCAAAACCACGTTAGATGCAGTCGACTTTGGATGCCTGATCTGTTGACTTGAAACGTGGAAAGATAGATTCTTAACCTGGCAGCGCTTGGAAGCTCCTGTGTTCGCCATGTTGCAGGTATTACTTCTCTCCGCTGCAGCTTTACACCAGTTCACACTTGATGCAAGTTGATATATTCAGCCACGAATCCAGCATGCATCAATGAGACTGGAAATCGAGGATTACGTGGGTTTCATCGATAACGTGTCAGATTTGAACGTTACGACAGCCCTGGCCATGTACAATACCAACCTGAGCGTTCATCGGTTTGTGCATCTCGCTCTTACGAAGTTATCTATTATATACACGCGAATCAAGCATCGAGAGGGCTTTTCCTAGCTGCACCTATACCTAGTGTTGACCGTATGGATAGGTCTCAGACCCGGTTTGATCTTTTAGGCAAACGACATGTTTTCAAAGGCAACAACGACCTTCGCAACTGTTCACCGGACCTGATTCAGGTGTTTACCAACATCCCAGCCGTTGCGGACGTTGTGGAAGGCCTCCAAAACCCAAAACATCCCCGCATTCACCTGGTTCAGTTGGGCCAGGTGCAGCCCCTGCCGCTCTCCTGCCGCTCCCCTGCTGCCCATGAACATCATCAATCAGGCCTCCTGGAACGTTCATACACATGTAGTCGTGTTTGCAAGCATGGGTGAGTTCCAAATATGGACCGCTTGACATCGATCTTATCCTCTGGCACAATGGAGAGGCGCGTGTCCAATTTGCCCAACGGCCGAATGAATCACGAGCGACTGGAGATCCGCTGGGCACCGTCAGTCTGGCTACTGGCATGCGGCTGGAGTTCGAATGACATCCCACATAAGTCCGAACCTTGAGCCGGTGTCCATGCCGCACCAGCCGCTGCACACAATTACAGAAGCGGTGTCTGATCACGTCTACTGCTTGTCCAGACGATCCAACGTTAGGTCTGACGAGTGTTACCCTACAAGAAGCTGCTGGCGTTTGTGATCGGCGTGCTGCCGTCTCCGTACTCTGAGCAGTTTTATCGTTCGTTCTTACCTGTCATGCAGGCCACGATGAGCAGATCAGAGAAGAACGATGTCCAAGCGGTAGAAGGCCGATACCTCGCATTAGCTTGGACCACCTGTTTGGGCTAGATCCACGCAGGCGAGACGCGACGTCGACGCGAGATCTGACTCTGGGCGTATCACATCTGGCCGCTTTGGCCGATGATTCCGTCATTCCAAGCCTCACCGTATTATTGTGGCGTCTGCAGTGCCCTGTTTACAGAACATGCCACCTCCACAGCACCACTAGCTTGTCGTTTAGACAAGCGGCCGGCTTCAGATCTGACAGCCATTCGGCTTGCACTATTCCTTCAGACCGAACTTTTCGCGTCCCCGCCTGGTCTCGTTCGGCTTTCAGCATTGGGCAACTATCGACAACAAAACCAAACAACGTTGCCGGACTGCATGTTTTTGTTGTTTTGCCCGGTCCCAGAAACGGGCGTTGGAGGATCGTGAGACACCACCACCCGCGGGCATGTGTGGGCTGGCGGATTCCATGTCAGCAGATGCTGATGCGTCGACCTAATCCTTGTTGTCCGATTGACCAGCTTTTACGTACATGCTCGTCGCGTCCAGTCCAGCTCAATGCCGCGTTTCACGTATGCGGTTCCTCGCTACTGCACATCCAATCTTGCTTCGGTTCCTTGCCTCGGATCTATCTCCAAGCCTGGGGTTCATCAGCTCTGTCCAAGCAGCGTGTTCTCAACTTCTCAGAACATGGTGAGAGGCTCTAATGCAGGCATTGAGTCATGGTGATATTCATGCGGTGGGACCCAAGTCAATGATTGATAGCGAACGAGTCGGTCGCTCCTGATCTTCTGAACGTGTACGGAATATAGACTATGCCAGAAGGAACGAATGTACAAGGATCAAGCTTGTTGTGCTCTATCAAATGGAGTGTCTGTATTCGGGAGAGTTGAAACCGCCAACAAGCCCTGCAAAAATCCTTGCTTACCCACCTCTAACTTCTTAAGGCGCTCTCTTTATTACGAGGGACAACCCGGTCGCAGGCTCAGCTGGTGGCACGAATAAACAGAAAACTCGTGGATGCATGTCTCACGCTGGGGGAAAAGGTTTCCAGACTGCTTCTATGCGAGAAGCATCCCTAGCTCTTAGCCATCCTCAATGTTAGCTCCCGTGAAAATGATAAAATCCTTCTCTACGACATCGAAAGGGTAACAGCTGGCGGGGACGAGAAACAATACCAGATGATTTGACCTTCATCAACCGTCAACTCAGTGTTTCTTTGTTCGCACAGCTGGACTTGTTTGATACCTGAGTACAATAACAAGCGCGGTAGCACCACATCTGCTTGGGAGCAAACCGGAGGACAATGGGCCTGACAATAGCAGTGACATGCCCGTTGTACCTGTACCTGGCCGTTAATGATTTGTGAATCGGCACCGTGCAGGTGAAGCGCAGAGGTCCCAGTGCTACCATGGGCGATTCGATAGCCTGCTAAATCTAGCCACGGAGGCCCAAAACAACTCGGGCGTTGACGCCATCATTTCCTTAGAGTTTGTTGTCCATGTCACAATCTTGCCTTGCTCTGTGCGTGAGGGTGACAGGCTGGGGGTTGGTCTGCCCCCGGCCGAGGATGCCGGTTGATATTCTGACAGGACTACTGTACTGTGTACAGCACTACAGTACCATGACTGTACAGACGTGGCTGCAACTAAAACAGGACTTACTGTGCAGTGGTGAGTGGAGGTGTTGAGTGGGTAGAGGAGGTTGTGGCAGGCATGGTCTGTAATGCACGATTGCACTGGAAGACGGCTGAGGCGATGATCGTAATAGCAATCAACCAACTGTACGTTGACACTGCAAATCTTCGTCGCCCACCTGAATTTAGGTGCCAACTTAGCCCTGCGAGCCTCCACGCACCAGATGGAGCAGCACCTAAACTTATTGCCTTTTTATTACCTCGACAGGCCCAGGGCCGATGTTACTAGTGCTGCCCGTCACCCGAGATTCAGCACCCCAATAGGTACCTAACTAACTAGTGGCCATCTGCAGCTGGCGCTCGTTTGTTGTTTGCGCTTCTCGCCATCGACTACTGCCGTACACTGACTGCGCTCGAAGTCCAGCTGGGATCTCTCCTCGCTGAAACTCTTTCTGTCTCCAGACACACCCATCCTTCCGCTACTCTATTCCTTCCCTTGTGCCTTGTGCCTTGTGTCTTCTTGTGTACGTTGTCTTGCCGGTGGCCTCTGCCTGGGTACTTGCAAACCCCTCGTCGTCCTCTGCATTGCCTCTCTGGCCTGCGTCTCCGTCACGTCTCCCTCAGCCCGCGTCAAACATTGGGACACGACACCCCTTGCGTTTACAGGCCTTCTGGAATTGTCACGTTTTCGGGAACGACGCTCCTCGCATCCCGACAAGCCCTGCCACTGATGGTCAACCCGCCATGAGGAAGGTCCGTTCCATCAGCAACCAGAACGGCTGGGCTGCATCGTCTCGAAGGTACACGGCCAATCCAGCATGATGGAGTACAGTCAAGAGCACATTGCAACAGTAAGTGCACGCTTTTGGCTTATGGACGGAAATCGTCTAGGATGTGCTGACCTCGTTCTTAGCTATGTGCCGTTGGCACAGTCGGCATTGCAGCGGCAGGCCTGGCATTGGGCACGAGCGATGGAGAGTCCTACCTTATCAAGCCTGGCAAGAGGAAGGCTCCTGGCTCGAGTGCGGCAACAAGATCTCCAGTCTCTCCCGAGCTCCCACTCAACACGCGTCCGAAAACGTCTCAACCTTCACAAACTCCATCTGCGCTTTCGGGAAGAATCGAACGCCGGCTCTCGGCGTCACTCCTACGAAGAAGGACGTTCTATTCAAACACACCGTCCGCTGCCGCTACCGAAAGTATCGGAGCCGTGTCTCGTGAGAGCTCTGTGAGCAGGCATTCCATATTAAGGCCCTGGACGTCCGATCGCGACTCGTCCACGGAAAGAAGAGAAGCGACACCCAGTTCATCATGGTTGAGACGCATCTCAAGCCTCTCGCGCGGCAGAAACAGCAGTCCCGCATCATCTTCTTCACGATTAGACGAGTCTCCCCACACTTCACGACCATCCTTCAACGAACTTGACCGGCCTAACAAGCTTGTCAAACGGAACTCTTCCAGACTCATCCTTCAGTCTGACCGTGAAACGCCTGCCTTGCTCCGACGGCCGGCGACGAGCCACCAGAGGTCTGCCACATTGTCCGGGCCCCCATACACTCGACCGTTGACAACAGAATCTGTTCTGGAGACCGAGGCTGCGCGATATGTATCGAAAGCACCATCCTGGAGACCTTTTTTCGATTCGGGATACGCAAGGAAGAGGTATTCCTCGAATGGACAGCGGGAAGTTCATGTTCGCACTGTATCAAAACCCCAATACCCACCTACTCTCCTATTGGGTACATCTGTGACTCCTCGGGAAATTCATGACAGTCAAGACATTCGGCCAGAACCTTTCTCGGACCCTGTAGTACCGTCTGGGACTCGACGACATAGGATGCGTCGTCCTATGGGTTCAATCAGGCGGGGACTTCCCCAACGTCATTTTACTGACCCAATAGTCCGAGTCAGTAAAGATGAAGCCTACGGCAACATCGTACCTCCAACTGGCTTTCCAGGCCTCTCTCCAATGTCGAATATATCCGATTTTGACATCGACTTACCTATTGGCACGCCACAGATCACGTCTAGCCCCCCTTCGTATGGTCCTCCGCAACACCGCTTTACTGTGCAGAAGAGGATGTCGGTCGCTCCCTCGGATCCAACCACAGCAAGCTCCGACAACGATACCCGAATATTTACGGACGATGACTCGATGGATTTCCACAGCGACACTGCTTACGACTCTTTAGCTACACGAGCTACGGCGAGCAGTCATTCTGGCTTTCGCCAGCCCAAGATAGAGACCATTTTTGACGAGATGTCGGTTGATCAACAATCTCCTACGGCTTCCGGTATCGAAGATTTGATGCAAAAGGTTGCGTTGGATGACTTTTCTGCACATTTAGGCTCTGCACGTCGTCTGCCTCCTAGTGCGAACCTGGGCATCGGTATTGAGGGTCTAGAGGGGCCTGAGACAGCGAGAAACGGCAGCCCCAATCAAGCATCCACTCCGGTAAAGGATCCCTTGGCTGAGACGGAGGATTTCGTTTCAACACCAGTACCTAAGAAGCCGAACCGCATCGCCGCCAGACTTGATTCGTCTCCTCCTTCTATCAGTTCTTTCGGTGGTGTTCACAATGCCGAGCCTAGGCTACCTCGAATGATGGATCTTGACGAAGAGGACATCGATTGGTCACCCAAATCCGACGGTCACAAGCTCGAAACTGGTGATATTGCTGCTCCGAACCAATTCCAGTTGGGCTTTGACCAAATGCTTGAAAATGACTTTGATGAGCAGCAGTCGATAAAACGATCGTCGATTTTTGACTGGTCAGAACATCAAAAGATTGGAAGTGACCAATCTGATGGGGTCAGCCCGAGGCCGAAAACTGTTCACGGTAAGCATGGTAACAACCTAGGCCGCAGCAGAGCATCTGGACGTAAGAGCAATGCAGCTATGCACTTACGAAGTCAGAGCGTGCCAGTGAATCGAGACAGCTTAACGGAAGCAGATTTGCCATCTTCTGCCTCTAAGTTCGGCACCTGGGCCCTCGGCACAAAACCGGTCAGCGAAGAATGGAGCGACGACTTTGAATTTGACGATGTCGACGAAAATGAGGAAGTGGTGGAGGATCCAATTGACGACCAGGCGAGGAAGCGAGAGTCTTTACGTAGCAGCGTCCGAGTTCCTCAGTCGATCATGGACCGTCAACAGAGCGTGCACATTCAATTTGGCCAAGTCAGGGATTTTATGCTTCTGGTAGAAGAATTGAAGCGGTTACGTGTTAGAGGCACAATGTTGGGTCTAGTCAACAGCCATTCACGACAATTGTGGGAAGATGCCGTCAGCATCATCGATCTTGCAACGGTCAATGAAGACGAAGACGATGTACCTCGCCCCTCTTCGCCCGGATCTTCAGATACGTTTGGTGAGGAAACGCCACCTCAAAAGCGTTTAACGGAGGACGACACTGGAAGGTTCGAGCTCGGGCGAGGACCGAATCGCCGTTCGATCTCGAGTCCTGCCACACCCCCGTATGGACGATCTCGTGGTGAAAGCCTTCAAACCAAAACCTTTTTGCAGACCATTCACCAAAGTCGGAACGGGGTTGAGTCATCACCAGTACCAGCGATTAGGGAAAAGCTGCCATTTGACACTCAAGATCTGAAAGATCTCGTGATAAGAGCAGGGGTTATTACGCGGGCCTTGAAAGAGATTATTCGAAAGGCAGAAGGGGTGTCTCTAAGCCCTGAGAAACCATCGGCACAATTCCAAGATCCTGTATTCCGCCAGATCTTCAACCCACCCGACTCCTCGCCCAGCCCGGGTTTCAAGAAGCCCGGCCTCCCAAAGAGTAGAAGTGCAAATAGCTATCTGGATGGGGGTGGACCATCGACGGACCATGACCTTTCATCGCCTTTGAGCTTCACAAAGGTTGTTGAGGCCAATTGAGTGCGGCATTCTATGGACTTTTTCCTTTCTTTTTCCTCTTATGCAGGATTGTACAGTACGACGATACGGCGTTCATGAACCAAAAAGCCCCTTGGGAGCACAATCGCTCGAGAGCGATGCATTGGAAGGCGTCTCTCGAATTTAGCATCTTTTTCTTGCGGCTTGGGCGGACTTTGGAAAAGAAACAAAAAGGGAAGGGAGAAAGCGCCTCGTAATACGTGGGATGATAACAATGAGGTGGCCTGGGTATGAGTGGCATTTATCGATGGCTTTTGACGATTCTCCGTGGGGTCCCGAAACTGGACTGAAAGCCAGGGACTAGACATTGATGGAGAGCTGTCTTCCCATTCTCTCCATACACATACATGATTGCAAGATACTGGCCACGATACACAAACGCAAGGCCGAGCAACAAGCACAAAATCCGTTTAGCATTGGGCCTGGGATTGATCTTAGGTCTGTCGAGTTGATTGACATGCACGGCATTGGAATGGATTGATTATTGCTTTCGTTTGTGTGCTTTGAGATCATACCTACCTGTAGGTCGTGAGTCAGTCTTGAATGGCCCCCTACTTTTCTAGGTAGATAGCGGGTATCATGCATCACACAGCCACCATGAAATAGGGTATATGATGTAGCATTTTGTTGTAAGCTGCTGTTTGGCTGTTAATGATGATAATCACGTTTTGACGAGCATTGAATCTACCCACCTCACGTACCGTTCTTCATTTACGAGGTACCTCACATATTAACGTATCAGAATACGGAGGATCCTTAGCTCAGCAGGTACCTTATGTACGGTGAATCTTTAGGTGCTGCATGTACTTGTACGGTCGAGGGGAAGCTTCCCAACTCCAATTTTGTCTTGGCGTTCTGCAGTTCGGGTGTGAAGTTCAACCTCACCGCAGTCTCAACGGTGTGTTGATTGACCCTTGGACTGCTTCCACTGTCACCTGCTTACTCTTAACCGCTTTTTTGTGGGTGGGAAGACATCCAGGTGAAGCCGTATAAGCTTCCTGCAGCCTCGATAACCAAATTAGGTGGTGCACCGACCTGGGCTTTGCACGCTTCTTATCTACCGCTCCCGTCGCCATCCTCTCAGCACTCCTTCACGTTCCGATTGACATAGACTGCCTTTACCGAGGGGCGGGCGGACGATCTCCGGACTCACATCATCATACTCGGAGGACACACTCTCTGGGTGGAAAGGAAAAATAGATTCAGCCCAAGTTGGTGGTCACAGATTCATACAATGTTCGCGCGCAGCCTTCCACGCCTTGCGGCGCGCAGCTCGCAGACGATCCTGTCCGCGACGTCTCGACCAACAACTACAACAACTAGGATTGCCCCACTCGTACTCGCCACACGGACACCGCTGCGTCTCGCGAGCACGCACTCAGCGGGACACGACGACCACCACGGAGCAGCGGCAACAGGAGGAGACCACGGCGCCCACCACGGCGGAGGCCACGACGACCACTTTGATCCTCCTGCTGGATGGCTCTGGGGTGAGCGGCCGGGTGAAAAGTACGAAAAGGAAGGTTGGGAAGGACTCGCGTGGGTGTTTGTCGGGTGTTGGGTCGTTGCCATTGCGGCGTATACGATGAAAGAAGATACTTCGTAAGTTTTACCTTTACACTTTTCCCTCATTCCCATGTTTCCCCCTCTTAGCCCGACGTCCACCTTCGGCAACTTTCTCTTTCCCTCCCTCTCGCTTTCCCCCGGTCTATTTCCATGTGTCAGTGTGTGTACGTTTGCTGTTGGGATGATGGTCGCTAATGCTGCTTCTCTGGTTGTTCACAAACAGGATACAAACTTGGGCTCTTGAGGAAGCGAGACGACGATTAGAAAAGGAAGGGTTCTATGATGAGTCGTCGAAATAGATTGGTCGCCAGTACGCAGTGCAAACATACGCATCCAAACACAGTTTCATACTCAACACCTGTACTTTTGACACTATCATCACGGATCCGACCCAAAAACAAATTAGATTCTTGGTTGATTGTTACATCGTCACATTATCACGCTAATGCTCCTCCCTGCGCATGATATGAAGTCACAAATTTGGCCGACAGCTGGGTAAAAAAGGGAATATTGCACCGTCCGTCAAACAACACCTTATGAGTGGAGGGAGGTGGAGCGGGAGCGGGAGAGGGACAGGGAGAGTACAGTACAGTGCATGGAAGCACAGTCGTGCAAAGCAAAGCTTACTCGTTGAAATTGATGTGGGCACTTTTTCATGTCGTTTTCTTACTCTTGCTCTTGGTCTTGCTCATGGTTATTTCTACTGCCTCACCTCCCTCACATGCCTACCTGCCATCTGTTTTCATCTCTCCGTTTTTGTCCTGTGGTCCGGTGAGCCAGGAATGTCTGCGAGACCCACAACTACTGCTGCTGCTTGAGTATCTGGTTCAATCTCCCACCCCCGTTCTCCTCCCTTCATCTATCCTGTAGCACTACTCCCTCGTCCCCCCCTATAGCTCTTGAGATTCCACAATCCCCCACAAATGAGGAAACTCGAAAGACACCGGGTGATAACGTACGTATTGTATGTGCGTGACCCTCGACAAGTCTCATGGCATCCAGAAACGGAGAAAAAGAGACTGGGAGACGGGTGGAACGCATTCAACCCCTCTCAAAGGATACTACTACACTTTCTGGTACAGCAGTCTTAGTGGTGGTGGTAAGGACCAGGATATCCAAAACCCCCTCTTCCGACTTTGGACGGAAGCGCCACAGTAGTCGAAACAAGATTTGACTCCGTACGTTCATGCTGGGAAATCGCCGTGTCATGTGGTGGGCAGAAGCAGAGCAACATCCTGGCTTGCTTCGGGTCGAGTAAGAAAATGTCCATGGGTCGGTAAAAAATGATAAATGGTCAGAAGACAAAAAGTCGTGACGACGACCAAGGTAGACAGAGGCAAGCAAATCACTTCAGAAACACATCTACGCCCACTTCGTTACTCCAGCCCGAATTGAGGTCCATCTCGTTCCATGCCTTGTCGACGTCGATCTCGAGAACTCCGCTTCCGTTCGGTACATTCTTCGTGTCGACACTGACGGCATCTTCGGGGATGGGCTTGCCTTGGATCATGACCATCATGTCCTCGACCTTGCGCGAGGCGGACTGAACATCGGACAGCCAGATTCCAAGCACCCCGAGAGCCTTTATTTGGACGTGGATCTTCAACCGTGTTGACCCTGACCGGTGGTGGACGTCCGCGTCGGACTCGTCCTCGGCGGGCAAACTGAACCTGGATTCGATGATGGCGCATGCGCCGGTAAACTTGCCGAGCAGTCCCAAAAGTGCGACGTCGAGCTTGGAACCCGACGGCAAGGTGAAGGAGTGCACGGGAAGAGCACTCCACACGTCGTACCCGCGTATGGGCAATGTGCACTGCAGAAGACCGTCCGGTCTGATCGGGTCCGACGGATGGATCGGAGCGGTGATGCGGCGAGAAACGTGGGAACGCACCACCCACTTCTGCTCCGAAACTCCCCCCGAGTCCGGGGCGTTGACTCCGGGGAATTTGGTGATGGGAAGGATAAAGCTGAGGGTCGATTCGGCGATGTTGAACACACCCAACAGACCGGTCCCGACGGCCGATCTGCCGTCGTAGGCTCCGATCTTCAGCACGCCCCGTTCGTCGTACTTGTCGTAGACTCCCATGGTCTTGCCGACCGTGCTGGGCCGGAGGATCACAGTCTGGCCTCTCGGGTTGAGGGCCGTCATCTGGTGGATCAGGTTCACGTCGTGCTCTCCCGGGGTGTCCGTAATGTAAATGGGTCCGCCGGAAAGACAGCGGGCGGCGGCATGGAACCCGCTGTACGGGTGGCTCGATTGGAACATGTCCCAGTCAGGCAGGACATTCAGGTGTTGGACGAAGAGTGCGTTGTGCGCGTTGACAAAGACATGCCAGGCGTGAGAGGTGGGGACGTCGGGGAAGAAGTCGTCGCTGTTCCGAAGCATAATCCGCGGCGTGGTCGTAGGTAGAAAGCTGTGGTAGAGGATCTGAGGAATCATGGACATGCAAGAGATGGCTTTGCCTGCCAAGTGACGCAGATGGGCTTGCGTCCACGCCGATTGGTACGTGTTGGTGAAAGACTGACGGTCGGCAGTGTCCGCCAGGAGGTCCAAGGAGAACTGGACATCGGTCTTTACTCCAGTCACGCCGGCGTTGGCCAGAAACCGGTAAAAGTCGTCGTACATTCTATGGATGTCGTCCGGGTGGACCACGAGTTTCCGGCCAGCCATGGGCGTGCCTTGACGAAAGTTGACTTCGACGGTCTTGTAATTTTGCGCGATCTCGCCCTCGGGTGATATGCAGCCCCAGTACCCCAGGAGTGCGTGCCACACTGCCACATCGCGGATGGCAGGATGTGTGTCACGGATCTTGGATACCGCTGCCCTCAAACCCTCGGGGAAACCGAGGGGGTTTGCTTCGAAACTTTTCCACCCCCGGTTGAACTGGTGCGTCTCCCCTTGCGTACCATCCAGCGATTGCCAGTTATCATCGATGATGAGGGTTGATATGTGGATCTTGTTTTGAGCGAGAGAATCCAAGCCTGCCATGATCTTCTCTGCGTTGAGGTCTTGGCCGAGGGAGTTCCAGGTGCAATAGGCCAGGCTGTCGTACCATGACTCCAACCATTGTGGCGTCGCGGGAGGATCATCCGTCGTGTTCTTGTTGCTGTTGACGAGTACCGTATCCGAGTCGACTGATTCCGCTCGAATATTTCCTGGCAGTTGATCGAGTTGTTCTACTAGCCGACTATAGGCCATCGATTGCCGGACCAGTTTGCGCGCCTCGTACATGACGGCGGAATTTGCAAGCTCAAACTTCCATGCCGAAGCCGCCAGAACCTTGAATTTTCGGTCCTTGCCAGAGTCGTTCCTCGCCTCCACCACAATCTCCCCACTCGGGGAGGATCCGAACTGAGTGAGTACCTCATCGACGCCGTTGATGGCCAACAGCACCACGTGTAAACCATCTGACCGCAGGAACGAGAGCAGAATTGCCGGTTCACTCAGGCGAAATAGGGTATCTCCATGTCGTGGGGCCAACCACGGTTCCCATATCCGCACAAGACCAAACCATCTGCTAACTTGGGTCACCCGACCGAGAACAAGTGATTCTGTTTTAGCATTTCCTTCTCTGGGGGTGGGAATTGGATGAGAGGATTCGATTGTGTACAGTCGGGCGTCCGGGGTCTCGCTGGGAGTCTTTCTTATGACCCAGCCTCCACCAATCTCAACTGGGTAGGCCCCGAGAAAGTTCGGATCGATGGGAGGTTGTAGAATGAGTTCTCCGTCTTTGATGCCAAAGTTGTGGTAGACCCAGGACCAGTCACTGTCCGGATCGATCCGATATCGAATGGTGAACGGAACCCTCCGGCCTTTGTAGGTCTTGTCCGGTGAGACATAAGGACTGTCGAGGTCGCCGGAAAAAGTATATCGATAATTGGAACTTGAAGTGTCGTCATGAAGCACGGCGGGTGTGTGGTCGACCAATTCGAGTTCCAGGGCTCGCCAGGGCGCTTTGACGCCGGAATAAGCGCCGAAGTCATACCATATCGATACTTCCCACGGCCTCTGGGGTAGAGATGTCGAGGACTCAAGGACGACGGTAAAATTGAACTATGGTTTCGGTTAGCAGGGAAGAAATCCATGGAGACGTCATTATGCATGAGTGACGATTAGAAGGGTTGCGTAGATGCTGGGAGGGGGGGGGAATGAGAACATCGTCTTCGGCGGAAAGGTCCAACATAAACCAAGACAGAGCGTATACGTACTTTTCCCCGGGTCGGAGACACCACGGTTACTTGTGCCAAGGGAGGGTAGACGGCCAGCTGGGCAAACAGGGCCATCTGAGCAGGTCGAAAGAATTTTATCTGGGTAGGTTTTGGCGAAGGATCGGAGAGAGGGAGAGAAGAAGGAGGAGGAGGTGGGAAGGGAGAGGGATTGTGGGTAATGAACGACATGCGACCACTGTACGGGGACGAATATGCATGAGAAAGGGAATCGATGAGGAGGGTATCAGTGGCTGTCAGAAGACAGTGGTTCTGTAGGCCGTAGTCGAATATGGGAAATGATGTGTTCAGGATGTCAACGAATCCACGGCGTTATCGACGGGGAATTGAGGGAGACGAGGATGACGGTGATGGATAAGGAAGGATAGCCAGAGAATAAGGTATCGAGATCGATGGCCAGGGTACGAGTATCGTACGACTCAGGCCAGTGCGAGCAGCAACTGAGAGATACTGGCGACAGTGAGCAGATCCTTGTTAAGACGCGGTGAGGCTCTAGGCTGGATGAGGAAAACAGTGGGCGCCGAAGACATGTACAGACCCAGGACAGCACAGATACGTAGGGTGTTTGGCATAATTTTACAAAGGCTATTTCTACGAGTTGCTCGATCTCCCAGTGGCTTTCGATAGTCGTGCCTTGAATCCACCTGGAACCCATCGCTTTACTTTTGAATTTGTATGCCGCCGCGGCTGTAGGATCCGGCCAGCAGCCAACTGCTGGACGATCGTGGCTCCTCTGCAGACCTACGAGCACAACAAGTACCTGCTGGACTCTTTGCGGCGACATAGGACAGTACATGTACAAATGACTCGTCCGCTCCTTGAACCGAAGCTCGGTCGGATCTGAGGAGGTGCATTTCCGGGCGACGTGGTGGTGCTTGGGCCAACCAACATCGGTGACGATGCAGTGACTACGATGATTTTGGTAATATCATAGTTTCATTACACGAATAGGTATACAAGAAGACAGCGTTGGGCGTTGGCTTTGGCTCTGCGACGCCCAACGCCAGCGCCAGCAAACATGTGAAGGAATGAATCGCCGATCACGTGTCAAGATTCTATTCATAGATCGGCAACAACAGGTCCAACGCTGCGATCAACGCCGACCAATGTTCAGATGCCATAGATATCCTTCAATTCGTCGTCTTCAGAGGCGGACTCGTTGCCAAGTTCCACTCCACTGTCAATGAACCCCTCCGTTGTATCCGCCCCCTCGTCGCGCGGCAATTGATGCATTAAGTACTCCCTTGGTGCCCGTTCCGCTTTCTCCAGCACGTTTTTCATGTGGGCCTGCACCTCCGGCAGTAATTTCGCTGCACGCGCAATCGTTTCGATGGTGCGATGGTGAGTTGCCCTCACAGTCATGGTCACAGGTTCGTAGTATTCCTGATCAGCTTTCCATTTACTGCCCTCATCGGAAGGTTGGTCTCCCTTGCTAGCAAGGACATCGGAGCCCCGCCGTTCGACGAGAAATGAGCACAGCATTTCCAATCCTCCCTGCCGTAATTCCAATACTGCGTATTCAGGGAAGAGCCAACGATCTGTCGATGCTTGCTGACCACCAGACGGTATGCTTGTGATCTCGAGGACGATGTGTTTGATGATTGGCTCAGTCCGCGGAGGAGGCGGAGGCGGAACTGGCCGATAACCTCCGTATCCCGCTGGACCAAGACCGTGAGGCTGCGGAGGGAATTTAGGTACGCTTCCAGGCGTCGAATTCGAGGGGGATGGCGTTGGACGTGCTTGATGTTGTGGTGTACCATATGTGGACGGATGCGCCGCCACCGGTGCAGGGGACGGGGTGGGAATATGCGAAGTAGGTGCTTGTTGTGGCGTGGGTGGTTTGGACTCGGGCTGAACGGGTTTCGGGCCTCCACCCGCTACTGGGGTCGAAGATTTGCTGTTTGGTGGTTGCTCTGCAGCTTTAGACCGTCGCTCGGCCTCTTGTCGTCGCACTACCTCGTTGAATTCGTCAATGTGAGCCTGGAATTCTTTCAGTTGCTCTGGGGAGGCCTTGGAAGTTGCAACAATCTTCATCAGTTCTTTCAGTTTAGGGTCTGACGCAGCTCTCGCGGCTAACATCTGAATGACAGGATCTGTCGTGGTAGGTCGCCCATTGGGTCCAGGCGGTGGGTTAGTTGTCTTTTGAGGCGGTTGTGGAGGAAGTTGTGGTGTCGAAGGAGACGCTTTCGGCGAAGGTGCAACGGAGACCTGTTTTGGAGGGACTGGGGTGCTTTGCTCTTGTCGAGGCACGGCTTCTTGTTGGGTCGAGTCACCTGGAGGACCGGTAGGACCGGTAGGCGTGGGTAATTTCGCGGGGTGACCAGCGGGAGGTGTTGGCTGTGGCTGTGCCTGCGAAGCCATGTTTGGGACCGGAGGTGTTCCAGTTGGCCTCTGTGAAGGCGGAGGTACTTGGGCCGGCGGTCTGGGAATCGGATGCGACCCAGGTGGTTGGTACATACCATATGGTGGTGCTGGAGGGATCATATGTTTTGCAGTATGTTGATTGGCGTGACGCTGATATAGCTGAGGAGCAGACGGATCTTTGACTGTATAGAAAACGACGTCGAATATATGTGGTTCAATGGTAACCGTCGCACCACCCAACTTCTGCATAGACTTGACATCAGGATTGTTCGGGGGCGCCTCAATCACACCTTTCCTCTTGACAGGCTTGACCCAGTACTTTTTGAAAACGCCTTCACATAGCCACTGCATACGGGAATGATGAAGGGATGCGGCAAGGACAGCGCTTTCGGCGATAGATTGATATTCATTTGGTGATAGGTCTGTCGGTGGCTTTTCTGCAGAAGTTGGCAAAGGCTTGTGAGCCCCAAATCGAGTTGGTAATGCCTCCTCCGTCGCATCTGTTGCTCCAACTAGCTTGACGCGTTTCGTGTATTTGCGTTTCTGGCGCGGAGGCTCGAGAGATGGAGTTGGTGTCGAGGCCTTGCCAGGCGTTGGCGCGGCCACAGGCTGAGCTGGGGATGAAGGTCTTCGTTTGGTGGCTCGAGAATCTCCTCGCTCTCGAGCCGGCAATGTTCGTCTCGGGGGCGCCGGGTCTGTCATTGCACTTGAAGGACAGATTTAGACTACTGGAGCCTGGATTCTCAGAAGGTGCAAAGGTATAGACTGGGAAACACAGTAAAGGATTGCGGCAAACTAAAGGGAAAGTCTAGCGAGATATTGTCGCAGGCTTATCGAAACTCCCCCAGTAGTACTGGCACAGCCAGGTACTGATCAATATTGCAATCAATATGGGGTAGATAACCCTTCTTCAACAGTCTCATTGTGCACTTGCTCCAGCGTTTCTGCATATGCTTCATTCCCATCGATGTATCCTCGATGGCTTTCAACAATTTCTTCCGCAAAGCGTACTGGACTCTTGCGGCCTGCGGCCTTGCATATGCGTTGTTGATCGGGGCCTTGACACATCCTACAGTCCAAAGGAATGCGACTTATGCCCATAATATCAATCCGACATATTTCCAGGATCTGGACAATACTGAGCAATTCGGCTTCTTGCGTCATCAGATTCAGCCCTTTACAGTTACGACCCCAGACAATGTCACGCTCTTTGCATGGCACATTCTTCCCCTTCACCTTTATCGGGGACATGAGCAATCCTTGACATCCCAAGAAGACTTTGGGCTCAAACCGTGGAATGAAGCCAGAAAGACAGAAGGCTTGAGACTGCTGCTAGAGGATCCTGACGCAACCATTGTGGTAAGCTTCCATGGTAATGCGGCTCACCTTGCGTCCGCGTATCGTCCTCCTACCTATCAACAAATCTTGAGCAGCTCGACCTCAGACAAACCTGTCCATGTCATTACTTTCGACTATCGAGGGTTTGGTCTGAGCACAGGCAGTCCAACCGAAGATGGGGTAGTACAAGATTCTATCACAATACTGTCTACCCTCACTGGACTTGGGGCTGATAGCAGCAATGCTAAGAAAGGGGTAGACCCATCTCGGATCATCCTTTTTGGCCAGTCGATGGGAACTTTCATTGCTACTGCGACCTATCATGAATGGGTACTGAGACTTGGACAGGCCCCGTTCAAGGCTTTGGTACTCATTGCCAGCTTCACCTCGTTGAGAGAGCTTCTCGAAAGTTATTCTATCAAAGGAATCACGCCCCCATTACTGTCTCCATTACTTCCCTACCCTCGCCTCCAGCAGTGGATTCTCGGAAAGATCGTGGACAAGTGGGAGACGACGGATAAACTGGCAGAGCTCGCAGCTAATTCCGACGTTGAGCTCCGCTTGACAATGCTGCATGCTCGCGACGATTGGGAGATCCCATGGCGTCAAGGACGCGCCAGCTGGGATAGAGTGCTGCAAGCCGCCTCCAAGGGCGACATTGGCTTCTCCAGGAATCTGGATCACGAAGAGTGGAAAAGCGAGGACGGGAAGAAGCAATTTCAGTGGATGCGCCTTCGACATGGAGGGCACAACAGAATCCCTACCAGTGAACACGCCAAGCTGGTCTTGTTGGGTCTGTTAGACGGAGAGTAACAGGTTTCATTCCTTTATCCATGCCGATTGCGTCCTTTCATTCATACCTGGTATGTCTGGCTGCGACCAAACTGAAATACTCGGACGTCGCAGCAGTCTGTGTGTCGTTTGGCCTCGTGAGTTCTCGGTAGGATACCTGAGATTTCAGATTATAGATTTTCTTTGGTGTAGGGCGAATTCTAGGCACGATCCGTTGGCGTCCGTCGCTTAAGTACAGCCTATTGCTGCCCACCCAGGACTAGTCATAGGTACCCCCGGATGGGTTCGTCCAAGTGCCCTTAGAGAGCCTCACTAGCCCTATCTATAGGCTGTAAGGGTGGACTGGGCCTTCCTAGACCCAACCGCTTCCATTGTACATTGGGCACCTGGATCCCATACTCCATACAGCGGTGGCGCTAAAGAATCCTCCGTCACGTCAACCCTCGGCTCGATCATCATTACTCACCAAAGTTACTGGGAACATCGTTACTAACTCGTACAGGCCATCCTTGCTGTGTGCTGCTACTTTCTTTTAGAACTTGGTCACAGCCCTTCTCGTCTGGTCACACGAGTTGGAACAAACAAACTCTTTCCCAATCATCACTCCGCAATGATCGAAGTGCCGCCAGGGCGCAGCAAGCTGCGATAGCACGACACAAACACCTGCACTCATGGGCAGGTGCCTGGATGTCGACTTCTACTTCGAACCCTCCCAATGGCCCAGCTGCCACCAGGGTCTCCGAAGATCCTATTGACGAGCGCAAAGCATTGCCGCTTCCCACCTTCCATTCTTTCCAAGATCCCGTGAGGGGAGAGACTGCTAGACCACACTCGGTGGCATCGAGCTCTCACAATTTCGCAGACGAAAACCATGATCATGATCACCGCCACCTATCAGAACGATTCTCCTTTGGGAGCAGCATTCAAAGTGATGGATCTAAAGGAAAGGAAAAAGAAAGAGGAAGGAGAAAAGAAAATCTGTCCGCGCCATACCAGATACCGCGGAATTCTGGAGGTTTCCTGCTCGAGCCTATCACGAATGCAAAGGGAGGGTCGCGCCTCTCAGTGACAGCCTCTCGCAGCGACTCTAGAAGGAAGAGAGACAGCACAGACTCGGAGCTGTCTATCTCCAAGCGAAGGTCCAGGAATAATGCCAATCTCAATCCCTCCTTTAAAAGCTCACCTTTGGCCAGCGAACTCAGAGACGAAGCTGTTGTACACAACAAGTCAGCCGGTGGTGCTCTGATACCTGGTACTGACTTTCGGAGGTCCTTGTCTTCGTCTCAACAGGAGCCTCAAACAAATGGGAGCGCGACATCGCGCTCGCGTGATGATGAGGCCCAATCATCTCGTGGTGCGAGCGTTGGATATGACCAGGACTCGGTGCAGATTGTTCAGATGGCACTTAACCTGAGTGAAGGCCGGCGGAGACTGGCTTCGGGTCGACGATACGTATCATTGGATCAAGGCGAACGTCGTGTTGTCTCTACTGCGTCAACGGTTGATCCTAGAAGTACTGTGAAAAGGAAAAGTATCGCTCCCTTTCTAGCGACGAGCAGACAATCCTCGAGAACTGGGTCACCAAAAGCGAAACAGTCCAGTCGCCGACTCGAGTCGAAGGCACCTGCAATGGACGATGATCTCATCGACTTTGACATAAACCTTCCAGACCAGATATCACCAGCTACAATGGCGCGCGTTGAAAAGGCAAAGCTGTACTTTGAACTTGCCCATGAGCATCGACGGCTACTCTCACATCTACCACCGATCCGCAGGCCTGGTGCGCCTGCACCGTCATCTGGAGCTGAGGCCATGCAGAAAGCGTACAACCCTCTCCAATATGTCCGCAACCGCAAATTGCGCATTTGGGAGAAGACGTCACTTGATAGTGAGGCGGATGGTTGGCACGACATAGAAAAGGTCAGGGCCTGGGTAGATGCTGTAATTTCGAGCCATTCGGAGACTCAGCATGATCCCCTAGAGTGCGTTCGTTTGCCTCCCCTGGATCAGAAACCAGCAGCCTCGGATGATCAAGAACAAGACGGCTCCCCGGTTGAGGCAAAAAGTGCCGCTTCCCCAAGGATACAAGACCCTTATTTTTCCAAGCCGACTCGGCCGCGTTCTGACTGGGTCACTCACCCTGCTGATCTCCTCGCAGACGCATATTGGCTAGAGCAAGGCTTGAACAAGACCAAGATCCAAGACCGTGACAATAACCTGATATACCCTCCAAACACTCATTTCAGATTTTCTGGTTGGCGAAACGAAACTCCTGTAGAAATTCCGTCTACACTACGGCAACAGCACTCCCCTACTCAACAGGATGTGGAGTCAGGGGGCCCGGATGAGGTTCCTCCCTCTGCTTTACCAGAGCTTCCCACATTCAAATCTGCCCACCATAAGCACACGCACAGAAGCAAATTCAGAGGGTCTCTACCGGCCAAGGAGTCAAGTAGTTCGAGAGAACGGTCACGCATCCGGCACAAACTGTTCCACGATAGCGAGTCTGATGGATCGGAGTCATCGTCCTCGGAACATAACAGTACTGACCGTGGGCGTAGGAGGCTCAGGCGCAAACGGCTACACTCTCCCCTCGGTAAAGGAACAGACGCACATCGCAGCGACTCACCCTCTAAGCATTCTCCCCACGTCAACGATTCTAGTCAGCCGTCGTCGACCTTGAACTCGAAGAGATCGTCTGTTGATCACTCGGCCCTAACAAAGATGCTTAAAATCGAAAATCTGAAAAAGGCTTCACCACTTAGTCGATCACGCCACAGGGACGAACTGTCCCGTCCCACCTCCATAAAGATTCCAACTCGTTCAAGTCTAGACCAAGAACAACCCCGACGAGTGTCAAGCGAATACGATACTACCACTGCTCAGAATTCACCTGACGTGCCGCAGTGGCCAAGTATTGCAATCAACCTTTCACCTCCTCCGAGTCGAGGATCATCTCCAGCAAGGAAGCATATGTCCTCGATCCTCCATCCGTTCCACAGCAAGCAGGATTCGAAAGACGTTGAGCACATCAGCGCTACTGACTTTGCGCATGCTCCACAAGCACAGCCAAATCAATCTGCAGGTGAGACCAAACATCAGTCGGAAAGTAACGGTTCGCGTGGCACTAGTCCGATGACGAGAAGCCTGAGTCCGTTTTCAAAACCAGGAACCGAATCCACGCACACCGACGACTTTGGGGGGTTGCTCTCAGGCGATAGCAAGTCCACTTCCATAAGCAAAGTCACCACCCGCTCAGCAGGTACTGGTGGAAGTGATCATTTCAAGTTCCGCGGGATCTTCAAAGGTGGTCGTATCGCCGAGCTTGTTGGAAATGAAGTGTCTAGAGTCGGGGATTTCATCTGGAAGCGTGACCCTCCTCCGCCTGATCATCGGCACCATATGTCGATATCCGACTCAAGTCTTCGCTCATACCGTGGTTCAGACTCGGAAAAGGAGACGGGTATCAATGGCATCGTCATAAAAACACCCCCGCCCATGCGCCCACTATCAAGGTCATCTACTGTATCAAGCACCAAAAGTGAACGACTCTTGCCCACAACATCGCGAATTAGCCCAATGGAGAATGGCCGTCCTCAGTACAATAATCCCAACCTCCCAAGCTTCGTATCACCCTTTCAAAGGGATAAGGAACAGCAGCAGAGGAAGCAAGCATTGTCTCCTGGCACAGATGGCATCAGGAGCGATAGTACAGACCATATCTCCCGCCTTGCAGTGCAACATAGGTCCTCGTCTCGTTCGCCGCGCCTTGCTCGATTGTCTCTTCCTAAGCTCGACACAGGGAATACGATCTCTCCGAGCGAATTGGAACGGAAGCAGAGCTACGGGTTCGGGGCGGCTATTGACTTGAGTCGATCCCGAGATGCATCGGAGCTGTTGAACACTGCTCTCGGCTCTACGACAGGTTTGACGGGTCTCCACGGCAGTCGATCTGCTGGCGACCTGACCCGTGTTCCAACGACTTCGGAGGAATCCGAAAGTACCGGGACCTCCTGGCGCGACATCGGTCGTGCCGAAGCGCTCTTGTACAGCTCGGCGGTAAAGGCTCGAGAAATTGGTCGGCGTTCGGAAGAGGAAATGCCTGAACTGCCCAAGTTCTTTCTCGGCACCCTCAATCCTGTGGAGAAAGACTTGTGCATGACCCAACGCCAACGGTGCAAGAGGCGGGAATATTATATCATGGCCGCCAAGAATATCATGAGGAATTTGGACCAGCACTCTGCGGTGTTTAATGAGAAACTCCAGCTCTTCAGTTCAGAGGTCGCACCTCGTCTCCACATGCAGTTGCAGCAGTTGGAGGATATGATTGAAAACAGGATGACGCCACAGATCCGGACGACGGCCGACCACGCAGGGGAACTCGGTATGAAGTTGACCACGACAAGTACTCTTGCGGTGAAGGAGTTGAATGATTCGATTGAGAAGGCCATGAGAAATAGACGAAGAGGTCCAATTAGGCTTTTGCGGTTATTGTTATTCGCCGGCATCGAATGGACCGTGGTTAGTTTGCTATGGTTGATTTGGGCTATTGTGTCCATTGTGCGCTTGGTCACCGGTACATTTCGAACCATTGGTTGTGTGGTCAAATGGCTACTTTGGATCGATTAAGTGAGACTGGGTAGTGACGATGATGGCTTTTTTTTCTCTCTTTTGATTTTAAGATCTTGTTTTCTTTTTACATATCAAAGTGGAGCGACGCGAACAATCGTCCTGGTTGCGCTGACGTTATGTTTTACATCTATGCGCCGAGCGGTTCAGAATGCATACATAGCCCATGTACGTACCTAATGGAGTGAGTACACCCTGAAGGACGGAGCACGAGGAAGGTGATTTTGGAAGTGCAGGTTGGTTTTGCCCAGCGAGTGATAAGAAAGGCGGGCTCCCCCCCCCCCCCCCCCCCCCGCCCAAAAGCCTCGCACCGAACGTCGCGCTGGGTCGATGGTCGATGGCAAACTGGCAGGTGGTACAGTAAGTACCACGGTGTAATATTACTCTGCTGCATCGACGAGCCGCCAGGAGGTTTCCACCTACAAATCTATCCTTTTTGGATCCTCCCGAGACCGGCCAAGTAGTTACCTAGTTAATTACCTCGTCAACTACGTTGGAACCTACAATACCTCGATCCTCGAGCAGGATTCAGCACAATGTGTGTATTTTTCTGGCTTCCACGGTTTTCGAGGGGTGTGTAACAAACAACACCTCTTTGCCGTTTCCCGTCCATCATGACGAGAGAGAGAAAGAAAGGAAGGAAGGAAGGAAGACGGGACGGTGTACATGAGCACGAGGGGGAGAAAAAAAAACCAACGTCACGCGCAATGTACGTTACTTCAAAGGTAGTTCTCCTGCTATCTATCTGTCACACAGACAGACCTGCAACCGAACAAAAAACCATACCAAACAAAAACCCTACGATAGTTACTCACTCGGTACGAGTACACTGTAAATCGCCACACTCCCATCCACCTGCCGGGGGACGTACCTAGGTACCTAAGATTCCTGAGGTGCTTCCCCTGTGTCCTGCTGAGGTAGGTAGGTGGGTTATTCATTCCTCCTTTCTCAAAGGACTTCCAACGACAGGTCTAAAGCCGACGTTGACACCTAGAGTTCTCCTCCGCCCTTTGTCAGTCACACCACCACCACGCATCTTCAATTGAAACTTGTTTTCTCCCTTGTTGTTCTTCTTCTTCTGCTGTTGAGCAATCTCTGAGTTCTCATTCTCTTCTTCTCCTTCTTCTCCATCATCAAACAATGACCGACCAGTCTGTTTAGGAGGCGCGCTCATCATGATTGCAGATGCCTTGTCCATTCCAACACCACGATGACCACCAAGATTGCCACCCTTGGCCCGCATGTAAGGAGTCAACGGTGTAGCAGCGGTCCTTGGATCGTAGTCAACCTCCAAATTGACCTTTTCATCGGACTGTGGCGTCGTCTTGCGTGTGTCTGCCATTTTCACTTCGGACCGCGGACCAGTCTTGGACCCTTCCTCTCTCGAAAAAGGTGATGAGGAGAGCAACTCCGACGACTCGTACTGTGCAGGTGCCGTCAAAGTAGTATTGGACACTTCATAAAAGTGCATAGTCTCGCCCACTGTCGCCGCAGCTGGAGAGTTGTAAGTCGAACTGATTTCGCTCCCCGAGTCTGCTGAGTTCTCGACTCCACTTTCGTCGTTCTCACAGCCGAAGGACTCGTCGTGGCCGGCGGCCATGGAATCATCCTGGTCCTCGCTATCAGCGTGCGTCATGCTGGTGTCGGTATCGATGTCGATGTTGGACTCCTCCACAGAATGATCCTGTTGAATATCGGCATCAGCGTCGCCATTTCGCATCTCGGACCGTTGCTCGACCAAACTCCCACGAGCAGACGGTTTCGTATCCTGGTACTTGAAATGTTTCGCCGGTAAACTCTTTCTCTTCTTTGAAGTCAAATGACCGCCTTCGTTCTTCAACATATGAGGTTCCATACTCTTTCTCCTTCTTGACCCCCCACGTGGCATGACACCAGTGTCCACCGAGAACAAGGCCTCATCAACCCATGATTGCTGGCGGTGACACTCGAGGACCCATGCAACGCCGACACAAAGAACTTGGCCTCCTGCACTTCGTACCTTCTCAAGAGTCCGCTTACCGCCGTCCTTGTATACGACGTGCGTGATGCCAATTACCTGTCCATGGTGCCCAGGAGTCTCTGCGGCCTCATCCTGGGATGCTCGTGGGTTCCATCGCCATTCCTTGACGCAGCGTGCACCCATGGCTGTGAGAAGATCAACGTAGATTGCTGACGCATCACTCCCTTCGCTCGTGTGAATGTCGCAGTGCACAACTACCCCGTTGAGGGGGCCGTCGCTAATAGCTTTGAGTGGCGTTCGCGCAGGAGTCTTGCCTTTCAGAGACGTTGACGGCGTCTTGGTTCTGGCTTTCGACACTGTAGCGGGAGTCGCAGCTTGGACGACAGGAGTCACAATCGCACTGGCTGCGGCATGAGACGGCGTGCCGATGCTCTTCCGTCTGCTAGAATTGGTTGACCGGGCGTAGCTTGGTGTTGCAGTGTTTGCTGCAACTGATTTTGCCGTAGACGGAGGAGGAAGCATGCTAGTTTTAGGCATCTTCGCCGAGGGAACAGGCGTCTTGAACATATACGAGCCGATAGTCATCATTGTATCGTCGTTGGCGGCGGGCCGTGCAGGTTCGGTTTCTTCTCGATGGTCCTCAACTTCGACATCCGAAGACATCTCCTCATCTGGTAATTCAATGCCATCAAGCGTGCTGTCGCCGAAATCGTCAACTGCAAAACTATGCTGACCAGGGGTCGAAAAGGCAGTGGAAAGAGAGTGTGCAGGGCTTGGTGCGGCACTGCGAATGCGACGTTGTGGCGATGAGCTCAAGTTTCCATCTCCGTTTCCATCGGGAGCACGCATAGCACTGATGATGGCCGTGTCGTTTGGGCCACCGAAAGCAAAGCTTCTTCTCTTGACCGACAAAGAGTTTGACGTTGATAGTGATCTAGGTCTCTTGCGCTGCATTTTGACGGGAGACGAAGTTGCAGGAATCTCGCCCTCTGGACGCAGAGGGACTTTGGCGACCGTATGGACAACTCGTGCGACATTTGGATCTGGTCGGACCGGAGTCACGCTAAAGTCCATTTCTATGCTCTTTTCAATGGCCATAGGAGTGGTTCCAACTGCTGAGGGAGAGACTGCAACGCTCGTGGATGCATCACCAAGGACCGTGCCGCTGATGATTTCTTCATCTGCGGCTTCATCCTCATCTGCAGATTCGTGAGAATCAATTTTTGGAACATGCTCAGTGACTTCCGACCCGACAGGAGCAGGAGGATTTGAGTTTTCGTCTCCGTAGTTCTCTGAAGAATATGACAAGACAGAATTGTCTTCTTCCTCGACTGTCGAAAGCCTATGACCTGGCTCTGTAGGTTGAAGTTCGTCGTCATCGACCTCTCCCTCGGTATGTTTACCATCAGCCATTACCTCGGCTTCGTTTGCTAGAGCCTGGAAATCGACCATGGCAGTGTCCGAGGCATTGGTAAATTTGATAAGATCCGTTGTCAGCTCGCCTGGTTCATGGCTAGGCGCTTCAGAATTGTAATCCTCTTCGTCAACCAACACATCGATATCTTTATCCTCTCCGTTGTCGTCCTGCTGCTGCATGACCTGATGAAGATCTTCTTCCTGGGCAGGATCTCTTGCGAGCTCCTCAGCTTGTTCCTCAAACTCTTGAGCAGCCATTCCCTCACCGAAGAAGTCGGGCCGTGCTGGGCTTCCAGTTGAGGAAGGCGCGAATGATAGTCGAGCAGCGATCGACTTTCTCTTCTGGGCCTGCTTCGCAGGAGTATCTTGTCTATTCACCTCCACAGATCCAGCGACATGCAGTTGCGCAAGGGGCGAAAATACAACATCCGAAATAGGCGTCTTGCTCGTCGAGCTCATTCTCTTATCTGGGCTTGCCGCACGCCAGTCACGAACCTGGGCTACAAGTGGAGTGAAGCCGAGGCCTCTGGAAGCGCTGGGTGGTGCAATGCCAGTGGAGAGCCGTGATTGAACGTTTGCAGCACTTACATTAGGATGCCTTCGTCCTACTGGTGTTTGATCTGCAGAGAGTTCGTCCTCGGATTCGTCGTCAATCTCCCGAAGACGGTGGAAAAGAGCATTTAACAAACGCGGCGTCTTGCTGGAAGCTTGTTGGACAGGCTGGGGACTATTTTCATCCTCGGAAAGCTCTGTCATTGCATCATCTTGGCTGTTGCCATCTTCCATATCCTCGTCGAAGGCACCTTGCTCCACCAAGGCCGGATCGAGGACTGTCTCATCGTTGTCGGCTTCAGAGACCTGGTCCTGCTCTAGGTCATCAGCAGGATCGACCAATGCTGGTTCAACGCATCCATCGTGGTCCTCGTGTCCGTCCTCATCGTCTTCAGCGGGTTCATGGGCCTCGAGTGCTCCATCTGGAGTCTCGATGACAGGTTTGGCTTTGTCTACTTTCAGTGGGCTTCGCACGTTTAAGACAGACTGATCAAAGTCCATCTCCGCCACCAGCTCTTGGGCGATCTCTTCTTCACTCATCTTGTACACCCGAGCGCCTCGTTGAGGAGACATGGAAGGCCTAAAGTGAGACGACATGACGATGTCGACATCTCCGGGAGACTTTGCTTGTTCTACAGGGGTAGATTGCTTCTTGACAGGTGAAGGTGAAAATCGAGCCGGCGTCTTCTGCTTTGACGGTGAGAACAAACGTTTGGCTGGCGAAGACATCAGCGCCGATTTCAATGGAGAATGCTGCGTCTTCACAGCCGATGGAGGAAAGACAATGTTCTCTGCCAACCCGCGCTTTGGAGACTGCAGCAATTGCGGCTGGTTGGTTGGGTTCAAAGTCATGGATCCGTTGTTGTTGTTACTCGGATCTTGAATATGGGCACGGAAAATGGTCACGCCTTCTGGTGCACGGCGTGGAGACTCTTTCAAGATATCTTTGAACGGTGAAGACGGCATTCGTCGAGGTGGACTCATGATCCCAGGAGACGTATTTGATCTTTGTTTTTCCGGTGACTGGAGCGCAGGTGTAAAATCTAGTGTCTTCACAGGCGACATTGGTCTGACTGGAGACATATGCCCTCTTCTCGGGGAAAGACTAAGGTCACGCACAGGAGTCTTGCCACCTGCAAGCTCATCTTCCTCGTCAGCATCGACCGGCGGCGCTTTGGCAACTTGCGTGATCTTCTTGGGAGTGAGCACTCGCGGCATCACCTTTTCTGTCTCGGCAGGTTTGGAAGCTTTTGTTGCTCTCGTAGCGCCACGAGTCGACTTGGTGGCCACCGTAGGCTTGCGGATAGGCTTTGCCCGCATTCCCGTTGAAGTTGTTTCTGATTCCTTGGCCGCGGGAGCAGAAGAAGCAGGGGCTTTCTTTATACCTTTCACTCTGGAGGATGTGACGGGTCGTTTGTTTTCTTTCTCTTCATCCTCGTCATCTTCAGGCAGGTTTTGGAATGTGACCTTCTTGCGCGCTGGTGCTTGAATGACAACGTTGATCGTAGATCCCGCAGCGGTAGCCGATGCTGTTGACCCGGACCTCGCGCGTGTCTGTCTTGTGGTCACTGGAGCCGCCGACACGGGCTTGTCAGGTTCAATTGGCGTGTCTTCTTTCTTTGCTCGACCCCTAGTCTTGCGCGCGGTTGTTGTGGCCCCGGGAGCGATTTCCTCGGGCTCTGCCTTCGTTGCTACCTTGGGCCCCCTTCCGCGTCTCTTAGGCTCGTGCTCGGCCTCAGGCTCTTCGGGTTTCTCGTCTAGTTTCGCTGCCGCTATACTTCTCTTTGCCCGCGTCGTAGAGGACTTGGTTGTCGTTTCAGTCGACTTTTGTTTCTTTTCCTTCGCTGTTGTCTTCTTGACAGGTTGCGGTTCGGGTTCTGGAACAGGTGCATCCAATGGCGTGACCTTTATTCGCCGTCTAGGTGCAGCTGCAAGTGTGGGTGCCGCGGATGCGGTTGTCGTCGTGCGAGTCGATCGCGATGCTCGAGTTGGTTTCGGCTGTGGTTGAGCAACAACAATCATGTCGTCTTCATCATCTGTCTCACTGACTTGCACGACCGATGTCGACCGCGTGTTCTTCGGCGTCTTCGTGTCTACTTTCTTCGAGACCCGAGACTTCGCCTCGATGGCCTTCGTCTTAGTCGTCGTCGGGACGTCTTTGGAGGTGGTGGCTGTTTTCCGCTTCGGCGCTTCCTCGAGAGCTTTCGGGCTGGTATCTGCAGCTCGAGCGCGTGTGACGCGTCGTGGTTTTGCGGGACTGGTGGGCTTCCTGGGAGCCATGATGATGCTGGGCTCGACGCTTGGCTCGATGGCGATGGGGATTTGGAATACAGTTCAAGTAGTGCTGTCTCTATTGGTGCAACGCATCTGAACCATGTATGATGTTCAGTTCTGGATGCGAGGGTTGATACCTAGTAGGGTTCCGCAGGGTCGCCGGTGCTGCTCGTCTGAGGGTAGAGTGTTAGTGTCGATAGTAACCTGGAGTTGGTCAGCAAAGGCAAGTATGGAGGAACTGGTCATAGTTTTGAATGGTGACGGTCGAGGTTGTTTACACACTGGATGTTGATATGCTCAAAGAGGCTTAGCGTTGTTTCTATCTGAAATCAGATTTTGATTGGCGCCCGGACAGGCACCGAATTGATCTGATCTACGAGTACGAGTATGTACGGAGTACTCGTCGCACGTATTATTTATTCCATTATAGTGTCTATGTATTTCCAATCATCTACCAGTGTCATGGTGAACATTAGCTTTCCAGGCCCACATCTTCTACCAACTTTTGTTCATAATTCATTTAAATTGCTGAGCACCCCGCTTCCTCAAAATTCATCTAACAGCTCAAGCTGTACAGAGGTGTCGTGGGAGGAGGAGTACCAGCACCCACAAGGCCGAAGCTGGGGCTGGCGCCGGTATCTTGGAGAATGTACCACCAGGTGCTGATGTTCTTCGCGAACGCGTGGCAAGCAACATCGTCATAGTACGTCTTCGCGTCGTCAACCGAGGCCACGGCCTGGCCACTTGTTGGGCCCGAGACAGGCCATCCGGTCTCGGTGATCCAGACCGGCTTGCCCTGGCTCGCAGCGACGGTGACCTCGTAGTCGTCCCAGAAGGTGGCGTTTGCGTTCGCGATGCTGTTGGCCTTTGTGGTCTATTCACGATGTGTGTGTCAGTCAACCTCTTTCGAAATCGTACAAATCAATCAAGACTCACCTCGTAGTACGGATATGCGTCGACACCGAGGAAGTCGCAGTCTGCAATCAGGGCATTCTGGCTCGAGTTGGTCCACACGTTGTAAGTGTCGACGTGACCAACCGGCACACCCGCGAGTGCTGTCCCGGCGATGGCCGATCGGACCTGAGAGATGTAGTTTTGAATGACGGCAGGCCCGGCACCGACGCCCGAGTTGTTCTCAATTCCAATGGGTGTAATGCGATAGATGTCCTCCGACCCAACGCTGATACCGGCGACGAGAGGGGCTAGAGAGGTACCGTACTGCTCGATCGCGGCTTTCAAGGCGGCCAGCTCGTTGGCGAAGGTATCACCCGAGGCCCACAGGCCCAGCAGCAGCGACGTGCCGGTGTTGATGGCGGCCGGGATGGCGGAGATGGGGGTGTTGGTGGTGCCATCTTGGATCATAGTGTACAGGCGGGCGGAGGTATAGCTGGAGCCGACCAAGTTCTTCGCCGAGTTGAATTCACCCTCGAACGCAGCTTGGTCCCGTCCGGTCGAGCCATAGTTGAAGCCCTTGTAGGCAGCGAGCGTGGAAGGAAGGGCAGCCACGATGGCCAGAAGCTGTGCAGGGCGCATGACGAATATAAATATACTGTGTGTATAGACTTGTAACGAGTGTCCAAAGGAAAAGGGAAGATACAATGGAATGGTACAGTACAGTACAGATATGGGATGCAAATATGTCGTTGGAGTAAAATTTGGAAATGCTACGAGCACGAGACGAACTAGTTATACAAACTGCGCAGGCCCGTGGACAAAGAGCCCGCTACCGAGTGGCAAGCAGATCGAGGCGCAGGGACGGCGGACGCAAGAAGAAAGGTAAAAAGGCCTGATGGTGGAGAGACTCAACGCTTCTTCTTTCAATGAGAGAGGCAACCCGGGAGGGAAAACTGGGGAAGCGTCAGAACATGATCCCTTCCATCGACGAGCGGCTATCGATAGAGCGACGGTGCATTGGCGAGGGATCAATAAATGTGGGAATCATCGACGAGAGAAGAGCGTTGAGAGGGGAAAAAAATCAATCGTCGTCCTCTCCGGCAGTACGAGTAAATCCCATGCCAGCTAACTAATAACTACTAGTTAGTGACGTACCTGCAGACACGTTGCATCCATGCGCTGAAGCTCTCGATCCGACTGGCGACACCGACTCGTGCTATTCTTATGCTAGCGATGCTTGGTCGACGCCCTCGCATCAACCCACCACCGTCTCCCGCACCTAAAACTTATCCATTGACCGTCGACCACGAGAGACTCGCAGCTCCACATCGACGCATTCGTCAGCCACAATCGATACTCACGAGCACCCGGGTACGTGTGATGAGAACAGCGCAGAAGGACTTTGCCCGGAGGACAAGATAGAAAACAAAAAACCACTCCCCATGACAGCGGCATCAATCAAAGACTTCAGCAAACCACGATCAGATGGCATACCTGAGAACAGATTCTCGTACTCTCAGTCATATTCGTACACGAGATAAAAAACTATAATCACCCCTTCACATGCTTGCTACTTGTTACTCGTATAGTTTTTTTAACTGCTCACAACTTCATGCCCAATGCTTTGTGCACCTTCATGCTCTGTCGAATGCTTAGATCCAGCATAATTTCCTCACTGCCACCAGGGATCTTGTACGCCAAAGTGTCCCGGTAGAGTCTTTCGACTTTTCCACCCTGACCTCCTCGAGAGTAGGCAAGACCCCCAAAGATCTGAGCGGCTTCCTTGGTGCAGAACTCGAATGTCGTCGTAGCTTGAGCCTTGAGGCCGGCAATGGCACCTCCCAGTCTCAACATGGCTTCCGTCTCACCCATCTTCTGGCACTGGTACACAACATTCTCCAACCAGGCGTAGCTGGCCTCAATCTGTCGTGCCATATGGGCCAGTTTCAAACGGATGACGGGATGATCGATGAGTTTCTTGCCAAACGTTCTTCGCTTGGACGCGTACTTGACCGACTCTTCAAAGCACACCCGGGAGAATCGCAGACACTGGATGATGATGCCAATTCGTTCGTGGTTGAAGTTGGTCATGATCACTACCGACCAAGGTCAATACTCGTGACAAGGAGGTGGACGAAATTGGTCTTGCTTACCTTGGAAGCCGCGGTCCTTCTTGCCCAACAAGTTCTCAACGGGCACCTTGACATCTTCAAATGTGATATAGGTCGTCCCAGAGCTCCAGACGCCCTGGCAGTCCATTCGTCGGGTGCTGACACCTTCTCCTCGCTCGATCAACAACAAGCTGACGCCGTTCATGCCGGGACCGCCGGTTCGGACGGCGGTAGTGAAGTAGTCAGACCAGATACCATTGGTGATCCATTTCTTCCTAGAGGGCAATATTAGCACTCTCTAATAGCATTTACGCACACCACGTCGACAACTCACTCTCCATTGACGATGAAATGCTTTCCATCTTCGCTGAGCTTAGCTTCACATGTCAGGTTGGCCACGTCGGAGCCAGCATCAGGTTCTGTGATGGCCAGGCAGATTCTCTTGTCGCCCGAAAGAATGCCAGGCAGGATGCGATCGACCAACTCCTTCTTACCATACTTGACCAAAGGTGGACATCCAATGCCGTAACCACCGATCAAGTTCCAGACGAGCCCGCCCGAGCCGGTACGCGAAAGCTCATCGGTCAGAAGCATCTCGTGGAACAAATCCCACTTCTCTGCAGGCACGCTCTTGACTCCATTCTTTACCAGGTGCTTGGGATATTTCACACCGAGCAACCCGGCCAGGTATCCTCGTTCGCCCATTTGCTTGTAGATGGTGTCTGGTACTTTCTTGCCCTCATCCCACTCGGTGACGTAAGGCTCGATCTCGGATTCGACCCATTCTCGAACTTCGGCACGGAGGGCAGCATGCGTTTCGTTGTAGTAGGGCGAGTGATACTGTGTTCCATGTCAGCCCAGGCCATGGTCGGATTCGTAGCCTGCGTGCACTTACACCTTGGTACCAGTTGGGATCACCAAAGGGAATGAGGTCGCCAAAGGGATCCAACGCCTCGGTCTCCTCTGACGCACTTGGACCTGGTGCCGGAGCAACGGTTCCAGGTTCGGCCTGCGGCACAACCTTCTTCTGCTCCTGCGGTGGCGGTGTAGCTGGAGGTGTCGGTGGTGCCGTGGCCTTCTTGGTATCTAACGATCCAACCTGCAGTTTGCCCTTGTATTTCTTGAGGATGCTTTCATTGTGGTATTTCCAAAACTGCTTCGAGGCGTCTTTTCCTGCTACCCGTTGGAGGACTGTCGATCGGGGTCAATGAACGAGTACCGTAAAGTGTGGTGTGGAATGGCTGGACTGAGCTGGGCTGTGACTTACTCTTCTTGCCACCTGCGACTGGAGTTAGTACTGCGTGTAGTAGTAGTAGTAGCAAGCGTGGAGAGGTGACTTGCCTGGGTGCTCATCTTGAAACTTGGTGAGGTCGTAGACATCCTCGTCGACGACGATGTAGAGGCTGTCTGCCTTGTTATGGGAGGACACATCCGCGAGAGAGAATGTTTTAGACATGACGAGTGGATGTAGCGCCGAGTGGAAATGAAGTCACGCTCAGTGTGTGTGTAGTCAAGGCCAACAACGGTGAGATCAGCACGAGGGAAGGGGCAAGGAATGTTTCGACGGTGAGAAGAAATCTACAAGATTGATCCTGAATGAAAGAGAAAGAACCAGTCAGGTAAGCTAGTGACAAGGGAGAGTAGAGAGCGCGCGCATGGACTTGGGTCTTGTGCACAGTTTGGAAAAAAACAATGCGATCATGGTAAGAGTCGGCATCTATTGAGCCTTTCACATGCCAACAACATGACTGAGGGAGCCGAGCGACGACGACGGCGACGATGACGATGACGGCTCGAGACGCGCAGCGACACTCGGACTTGGGCACGGAATAGGAGAGAGCGTCTCCCCCATTGCCCACTCCGTAACTCGCGGCATCCACTGCGCCTGGAGCCCCCGGAACAGATGGGAAAGTGAGCGGGCGCATGCTGACACTCACTCGGCCTTTGTTGATGTTCCTATTCGTTGCTCGCCAGGCTTTTGGGGTCATCTGATGTCGCGACGTCTGGAGACAAAACATTCCTGGACGTCAATGAGCCGAGGCATCTTTTTATTAGCAGCCACCGCAATTCTCCATGGTGGGCATAATACAACACTGTGTGCGGATCTGTAGGTACCCGATTGCACATGTTACGGAGAGACGGAGAGCATTGTCGTCGGCAACCGAATCTACCTGCCTACAATAGAAGTAAGGGGGACGATGCCGAATACAACTTGATCCTCACGGTTGCAGCCTCGCTCACTGACCGACCTCGTGCATACAGACCTGTCTCCCTACACAGGTGGCTACCTTAGACCTAGTAGACACGGTGCAATGTCTACAGAGGACAAGAGTACGATTTACTCGGTGACGCATTGGTGCTCCGTACAATAGGTACGAGGTACCTTTGCCATTGGATTAATTATTCAATTGATCATTCAGTCCGAATCCCGGCCATAGATACCGTAGGTACCTTACTGGAGTACCTTAATCTATCTACAATTTCATTTCCTCATAACCTCCTCCTTACTTGCATGTTGCCTGCCAGATACCACGTCTTCCAAGGAACATAGGTACATGGTAGGCCGCTTGTGTTCTTTCTTTGTGCGAGTGTGTCTCAGGATACCATGATAATAGGCTCCTAAGGGAGGTAGGTGTCCCATGGTTCACGAACTCACACAAGTTCACCTTGGAATCGAAATCCAAACACAACTCTCACATCCCCTCGACACCCGTCGCCCCAGTGTTTGCTCGTTCCCTCAACCGCCGTCCCTCCATCAACCCTCTCAACCCACGTTTCTGCAACCCAATCACAGAACTCACATCTCCTGTCCACATTTCTCGACTTTCCCTGTTGTTGTCTCCTCCCTGCTGCCGACTGCCTCGCCTGCCACCTACAGTTTCGTCGAGCGGCGAAACCTCTGGATCCGTATGTGAGACGTCCGTCGAGGTCGAGGTTGAGGTCGTGTCGGTGGAACTACTCTTTCCGTGCCCCTTCCATTTACCACCGCCACCCATGGATGGCTCTTCGTAGCTCGTCGTCAACTTCAGTCCCGCAGTTTTGATGGTCAACGTCTGCTCGCCGACGGTCGTGGCCTCGCTCTCTCTCCGTCCCATGCTCGACAGTCCCGCCCCCACGGCGCCCACCAGGCCACGTCCCCCGCCGGCCGCCATGGCCGCCGCGTTGAAGACGGCAGCCGAGTTGCGTCCGTCCAGGGCCTCGTGGAGTCGTTCGACCGTCGCCTCGAGCAGCCCGTCAATCTGGTACGGCCGTGCCATCTGCAAGAGCGAGCAGAGCGTGTGAGGAGTGCAGAGAGGGTACCCGACCGGTGGCAGCGAGGACGTGTACAAAAAGTGTAGTAGTAGATGGATTGTCTGCGCCATGTGTGGCAGGTAGAGTGAGCGTGGCCGATTAGACGCCGGCACCGACGTCGGGTTGGGCAGTTCGACCAGTGTACGTGTCGTCGACCGACTGAGTGAGCGCTGAGGGTCGAGGATTCCATCGGGCCCAGATCCCACCGCGGTAGACCCTGCCGTGGACCCTGGGCCCCCGAATCCGTTGGCTGCACTGGGGGTGATGGTCAGTGACGAGTTGCGACTCGCTTGTGATCGGTCAGCGGGACGCAGCGTCGCGCCATCCGATATGCTACCGTTGTCGTGGGTCGTCCCGTACTCGGCCAGCAGTTGGTTGAAGAACGGGCCCCATCGTCGAGAAAGGATGAACGAGTTGCAGGGGATTTTTTCCCCTCCAAGCGCCACAATCTCCATGTCCGAGAGCTCAGTCAAGCTTAGTGCCGCTTGACCCAACTGTTCGGCCTTGATGCTGTATGGTCGTCCACCGGCCAATTGTGTGGGTAAGTTTGATCGCAGTGACGTGGGAACCACTGGCGCAGAGACAGACACGTACGACGACGTGGGTGCCTCAGTTCGCGGGTTGTCGTACAGTCCAAACGCCTCGAGCTCCACCATGCACACGTGAGTGAAGTTGATACGGCGGTGGTTGTAGTCATCTACGAGGCTGCGCTTGCGGTGGCCTAGGATAACGAACGTGTTACGTCGGTTCCACAGGATCCCTCGGTTCCAGCTCCCCTGAGAGAAGATGGATCCGTTGGTGTCAATCCTCGCCCATGTTAGTGTCTTGAGGTCAAGTGCCCACAGTGCGTACTCGTGCTTTGAGGACGTTAGGTAGGTGCCGCTGACCACGAAGTTGCCGTCGATGATGCCTCCGTTAGGAAAGCGTAGCCCGGGCGGTGACACGTTGCCGCTCATTGGCTTCTCCACCAGTGAGCCGTCAGGTAGCCTGATCTGTAGTTCCAACTTTACGTCCAGGAAATTATAATTGGAATAGATGAGCATCGATGTGCCGGGCCTCTTGGTCATCTTTAGAGCCTCGGGGTCGTTCAAGGGAACTCCACGTCCGACCAGTTCTGCTGATAGCCCTGTCATGGGGGCCACCATGCTCTTGTATGCTCCGCATTTGCGATCCCACGAGGTGGTGTTGGTCCATTTGAGACTTCGCAGGTTGAACACGCTGATCTGTTCGATGTAGTTGTTACTGCTGTCCTGGCCTCCAACCACGATCATTTCCGCACCTCCGCTTCCATCCAGCTGTACGCCCAAAGTGCCTGAATGAGGGTCTGACGAAGGTGGGTTGTGCTGAATAGCAGAAAGGGGAGCATTCGCTGACGTGAAGACGGCAGACGAGGGCAAGACAGCTGCGCAATGCGCGTACCGTCCTTGAGGGTTCTCGGATGTTGAGATGAGCGTCCATTTTCTCGTCGGGACATCAAATATATGGATGTCCGACATGACGACCACCTCGGGCTGTGGTTCAACTGCGCCTTTCCCACTCTGAGGATTTGATATGTTCTTGTGAGTGGCTGGAGACATACCGCCGTAGCACACTAGTTTGGAGTCGCCCAGGGCACAAACGCTGTGAAAGTATCGTGGAGGAGGGATGTCGCCAACAGCTTCAATCTTTGCCCAGTGCCGATGGATCAGATCCAGCTCGTAGAGGTCCGCAGTCAATTGAGGTTTTGTTCGGGAATGTACACGGCCTCCAAAGACGTACAGCTTGTCCCCCAGAATAGTGGTGGTCGCTCCGACAAGGGCGTGAGGTTCTTCCCCTGTTGTTCTATGTACATTGCACACCAGTCCCGATAGATTTGTCGGTGCGGTTCCTTGCTGCGAGACTCCTGGCGCGGTTCCATTGTTTCCCGTTCCATTGTTGGTTTGGGTGGAGCCATTAGGCGCCTCCGCACTGACATCTGAGGCCGTGAGGCTGACCTGACTGTTGTTCATCGCTAGATCTTCTTGTCGTGCAACCAGGCTCAACTCCTTCTTATTCTCTGAACCCGTTGCAGTCCTCGGTACGCTAACTGCATTCGATAAGGTTGGTGAGAGCACTGCCTCGTACGTCAATGCTTTTATAGTCGAGGCGGCCGAGTATCGATGGTTATTAATATCAGACTCCGATGCGCATGGGCGGATTTCCCTCTGGAAAGGTTGTGCAAAGTCGGGAATTATAATAGGCACATGCCGTGGCAACCGAGTCGCTCTAGGGGGTTTGGTTGCAGAGTCCGCTGGGCAATCAGGATTTGTTGAAGCAAATCTGGGATGCTGAAGATCGGCAGTGAGGATTTGTCGGGGCCTGACACTCCAATGGTTTTCGTCGGCGACCGAGCTCGCTGATCGATTCGACCAGAGAGCGAATGGTCCCAGAAGAGACTTTGAACTGCTGCCCGAGGTAGATACGGGGCTTCGCAGCCAAGATGGCTCCTCGGACGACGGAGGTTCAAAACTCGAAGTCCAAAATCGTAAGCCAGCTGTCTGCAGAGGTTTGCTGTTCTTCCGGGAATTTTTTCTGCGGAACCTGGTCATGATCAGCTCGATTCAGCGGCATATCAAGTGATGTAGATTTGTCGAGATAAAGACGTCAAACAGTACGAAGAAGGACAACAAAATGGAGAAGGGAAAGGAAGATTCCCAGCGAAGTATGGAACAGTAACTCGGATCCTGCTTTGGCACCTAACCGGCATCATTGGCATATATCACTTTGGGCCCTATCTCGACCTTGCGGCCTCGGAAAGGTCACCAAGAATCTCGCACGCCCAGAAAGCCCGTAGGCAGCCGAATTGAGAATCGGAAACAGGAGACGTGCGCAGCGCGATGCATGACGAGAAAAAAAAATGGACACTCACCGACAGGACAAAGAACTTGTCTCGGGACCACGCCTGTCCTTGAGGAAAGGTCTTCACTTGGTGTCACTCCGAGAGACTTTCTTGAGAATAGGGGCCGACGCCGAAATCTGTGCTTGTTGACCTTGACAAGAACAGCCTGTGCTATTTGGTGTTGCAGATGTCTTCGAAAGCGGAAAAGAGACAGTCGAGTCTGTACAACGAAGGCTGTGGTGTAGGAGAATTTATTATGCAGGTTGTGTAGCGAGTTCGTTTGACCTCATAAGGTCTAGACAGGCTTCATGCAGCGCGCCCGCGAAGATCGGTGCCAAGCCGGCTCCTGGCAGACGCAAACGGGCGAGTCCGAGGAGATCAAAGTACCTCCTCCTGACCGGGGTCCAGGATCAAGGGGTGGGATTTCGCGCCCTGGCATGCTAAGGTTGCTCTTCGATGTCGCTATCCGCGTTGGTCCCGATGCGAATGGTTATCGCTGGCTGACCAAAGAGACCTGCGCGTCTACGAGGAGATACATCACACGGCTGACATGCACATGCAATCAGTTAGGTACCCGTATCTGTCGACCTACGCAATCAGGTGAAGGCGCCTACTACGCGCCCAACACTCCTGGGAAGAAGCAAGTACAGCAATCTTGAGAGCTTGGAAGTATTTTTATTGGCCTTAAGGAATTTCCATTATTCCGTGCTTATTAGTGGAGTTGAACAGTACTAGAAGCTCCCGACACCGCCAACGCGAGGAATTCCAAGACATGCAGTCAAAGTATTTAGGCCGCAGTGGTCTTGTCCTTGGGCAGAGGAGTCACTCGCAAGTATGGCTTGACAATCTTCATCTCGGGCCAGATCTCCTTTGCCTGTTCCGTCTTGACACTGGGGTGGACAATCACATCGTCACCGGGCACCCAGTTGATTGGGGTAGTGACCTTGTGCTTGTCGCCGGTCTGCAGAGAGTCGACAATCCTGAGCACCTCGGCGGTGTTTCGGCCAGTCGAGGCAGGGTAGGAAAGGATGGTTCGGATGGTCTTCTTGGGGTCGATGATGAAGACAGATCTAATGGTGAACGCAATACCCTTGGAGTCGACGTTGGTGGCGTCTTGATGATCGATCATGTCATACAACAGAGCCACTTGTCTCGCCTTGTCGCCGATAATAGGGAATTGCAGGTTGCTGCCGCTAATCTCGTTGATGTCCTTGATCCAGTCTCCATGGCTGTCGATCGTGTTCGCGGAAAGACCGATCAACTTGACGCCTCTCTTTGCGAACTCGGGCTCCAACTTTGCAAAAGCACCAAGTTCAGTGGTGCACACTGTGAATTGTCAGCGCGAGCTCGTCCAACACGCCTTGGCTGTCTCTTCAAAGGCTCGCGGCCTCAAAACTGCGCGACAGAGGTAGGGTTGGTGGGTTGCTCGCTACGAACCTGGAGTGAAGTCCTCGGGATGTGCTAAGTGACCTTGTTAGCGACGCCTCGATAGTTATGGGCTCGAAGCTCTTACAGAAAAGGACGACCCAGTTGTCGCCAATGAACTCGTGGAAGTCAATGGGACCCTTGGTGGTCTCGGCCTTGAAGTTGGGGGCGATTGAACCCAGACGGAGACTGCAGCAAGAGTGTTGTTAGCAGAGGTTCATAAACACGAGGTTGTCGCTTGCGCCAACTGCTCGAGGGTCGGCCAGCACGTACGGTTCTGGACGGTCGGCCATTGTGAGTGCGTTGCTAGAACTGCGTGAGGTTGGGAGGTAAGAATGCGCTGGTCAAGAGGTAGGTCGATTGGCTGTGTGAGGCCAGAACTGTGGAATCAGAAAGATGGCGGGGGATCGATATATAGTAGATTTATTAGTCTCGTGTTGTTTGGGACAGCTCAAGCATCACGACAAATCTTTTTTGTCTTCTAGTCGGGGATCACCTGTCGACTGCGGGCAAATTTCTGTGGCCCAGACATGATGCGGGAGGGGCCCAGGATTGCATCAGCGAGCGATGGAGGGGCAGTGAAGGCGTGCTTCTTCAGCTGCAGAGTGTAATACGAGGTACAGTGAAGGGCACAAGGGCCCTGTGAGAAAAGGCCTTGGCCATCAGTTCCACAGCCGTGTCAATTTTCAGTCTCTATACAAATCATCTTGTCCGTAGATCACGCAATCGCATCAGCGCTAGTACCCTTTTGGCATTTGAGCCCCGCGTCTTCAGCCTTGCAGAGCCTGTTTCTCCGCGGGTCACGTGGAAGGCTGTTAAACTATGAGCGCCGAGGGACGGGATGGGATGCACTTCCAGTTGGGTTTGCGTCTGGGCAGTGTGCAACTGGCCTCGATCTCGGACAGACGCTGGATATGTAAGACTTGTCCTCCCCACATTGAAAATTGGTACCTCTGTGTTGGGCTGAAAGATGTGCCGGACACGGCTTTACTCGCATGAATAAGCAAAAGCCTCAACGACGTCATTTAACAGCAGCGTTTATTTGTGTAGCATTATATCTCAAAGCTGATCACTGGGTGCGAGGGCTAGAAATGGATACATCCTATCCCGCACCCAGAGTCTGTTCAATCTATCTGTACCATTAGGATTAGAACTATGGATTTTGCCCCTCATACGAGCGCAGAAGGTGGCCCACCAACAGCCGATGAACTGCCCCCCGAGGTCATAGCCTTAGCATCAAGGTTCTTCGAAGCAGCCCGCAATGGGCAGATGGACATCTTCGAACACGCGTTACCGCAGGGTCTCCCGGCAAATCTGACAAACGACAAGGGAGATAGCCTAGTAAGGATGAGACTCGAGCACCTGTCACAGGGGCTGACTTAATGCTGCTCAGCTGATGTTAGCATCCTATCATGGCTACGAGGCACTTGCGTCGTTACTGGTTGAGCATGGCGCAGACCCCAACAGACTGAACGATCGAGGCCAGTCTATCCTGGCTGGGGCAGTGTTCAAGAATGAAGCCGAGATCATCAAACTCCTTCTGAGGGCTGGTGCCGATCCAGAACTGGGTGAACCGAGTGCACTTGATGCCACAAAAGTACGGAGCATCCTTCATGAGGAATTTGATGAGTACTGACAAAGCATAGATCTTCAGGCAAGAAGAGTACGAGGGTATGTTTAGAGAGCAAATGCAAAAGCTCAAAGGTGTCGGGACTGCAGCTGTGAACGGGGATTGACCAATGGCTTGGAACATGGAATAAGTTCCTTTTGAATTACTATTAAATGCAGCGGTAATGGTGGCTGCCGTATGGGTCTATAACTTCATAATTCATCAATCTCATCCCGAAGCCAGTGCAAGACATGATTCTTTCTAGATCGACACCAACTCCATGCTCAAGTTTCGACAAAATGCCAGAGTAGACTCATACTTCATTGATAGGCGTGAGAAGGTTCGTGATTGTGAAAGCGTTTTTGTAGGATTTGCTGGGACGGAATCTCGAGCGTGGACACCTTGGGGTGACAACCTTGACACCAGTCGTATTTTCGATTCTGCATCAAATGAACTTGGTGTGCCCATTCAGCCACAGGCTGTGTTGGTGCCAGTGAGGCTGCCGAACAGGTCCGGGAAGAAGCGGTCGAGGAAGAAGGCGTCGAGTTCGCCGATGTCGAAGGCCGGGAAGACTTGGTAGCCTTCGCCTTGTGGTATGCTTTTTGTAGGGCGTGTTCACATTTAGAAGACAAGGGATTGGTGCCGTGGGAGTCGAACATGTCGAAGAGATATTTCCCAAGTTCGATGGCAGTTCGATGGGTGTTCGAATAGTGTAAGGCTAGCTTCTGGGTCGAAAGCGTGGGAGCGAGATTGAACTCTGGGGGATAATCGTCTCAAGATATGTTGCTAGACGGTACCCGCACAATTTTGTGGAGAGGCGTTGGCTGTGACGTTGAAGGTATGTACGAGTACGCGCAATTTGTGCTCGTGATGCTCGTATGTCTCTGCACAATGAGATGTGGTGTGTCGAGGTGGAAGACGGAAGCCCCGGTGTTTCTGCACAAAACACAGTAGGGGGTTGATGGTATTGGACGAATCAGGCCACAACTGCAAAGATCGGATCGAGGTTTGTGGGTATCCCTGGATCACAGCAAGACGTTGGCCGGTGTTATAACGGCGTGCGAGCGAGGAACAAGATCGAAAAGTGGTCACTGGCATCAGAGGGAATACACCCGAGATATCACATACTTGTATGCTGATTCTCAGGTGGCTCCCAGGTGGATTCAACAAGCACGAGCAAGGTGAAACGCGCTGGAAATGGAACGTGCTGTAAGCAGAACAGAACTGGAACGTGGTCTGAACAAAGATAGCATCAACAAACCAAGTTACAGCATCGCGTTCACATGCAACCACACATACTCGTATTGGGGGAAATATGTGTTGAGGCTGCTGCAGGGGGTGTTCAAGACAGGGAGCGGGTCCACAAGCCCGGATGTGCAGGCGAGAAAACTTCCATACTTCTCCCGAAGAAGAAATCTGAAGCAGCCACAGCCGCCGCCACGAGAGATCTGGTGGGCAGTGGGAATGTCTCGGAAGGAAGAAAAAACCACACGTACCAAACCAAAAGCATGCACGGCCACCGAGAGGTCGGAGTAACGATAGATAAGGAAAAAGGAAGCAGGATATTGCCAGACATTTTGTGGATAGGGGGCTACGTGGCACCGGGCGTCACGGTGGCATTACCTACAATACTCTTGCTCCTGTGTGAGACACCAAGATCCTTCAAGAGAGAATAATAAGACCCTCGACAGCATCAGCCACCACCGAAAGCACCACGAAAACAAAGCCACCACCGTCGCCTGCGCCTACAGTCATGGGTACCGGTATCCAAGCTACACTTCTCCATCCATCAGCGACGCCAGTTTCACTTCTTTGGTCCACCCTATTTTTGGCCGCACAGCTGACGTACAGTGGCTCAATGCCATTCCGTAGGGTCCTACGGAGGACCATGAAGCAATACGGCGAATTTTAGAATTTCCTGTGGCATGCTGGTTGCGGAGTGTGACGTTTGCGATATCGGCTCTTTCTACTATTTTCCAAGACGTAGCCTTGGAACCTTATGTAAACTCTGAACATATTCTTCATTTCAGCCTGCCTTCCAAGCCTGAGATATTTCAGTAAATCAACGTGATGAGTCCATTGCGCAATGTCAAAGTGGTGTGCATGAGGCTGTAACGCCACGTGGGGGTAGAGAGCTAGATCTCTAGAGCTCCAGCCTGATCTCAGCCGCATTGTTGCCTGCGATATAGAATTGCTCTCGCACAAGCCTCCTGCACCATGATGCTTGACGCTTTGAACTTCTGACTATTCAAGATCATAAATCTCTTATTTCATACATCTGAAGTAGCGAGCAACTCCATTCCAAATGCACCAGCAACCTCCTTCATAGACAACAGCTCTAGCACCGTCGTATACTACCTGTACAACACAGCCCAGAAAATACTACCTGAACGATGGCAGACCACTTGAATAAGAAAAAGCTCACTTACGATGATTACACCGTGGGGATTATATGTCCACTAGAGGTCGAGATGACGGCCTTGCGGTATATGCTAGATGAAGAACACGTCAGGCTATCTGGCAGGGATGGCGATCGCAATAGATACATACTGGGCAAGATGGGGAAGCACAATGTTGCCATTGGCTATTTACCTCAAGGATCGCAAGGTATTGGTGCAGCGGCCACCGTGGCGACGGACATGAGAAGAACCTTCTCCTCCATCTACCTGCGCTTGCTAGTGGGAATCGGAGGAGGAATTCCCAGTCAAAAGAATGACATTCGTCTCGGTGACGTGGTTGTGGGTATGCCAGATGGTATCCACGGTGGCGTGGTACAATACGATCTGGGGAAGAGGACGGTTGATGGGTTTGAGCGGAAAGGGTTTCTCTGTCCGCCACCAGATGAATGGAGAACCGCCGTTGTGGAAATGAAGTCGGATCATGAAGCGAAGCCTAATAAAATTGCAGGATTCGTGTCAGAAATGTTACGAGCGTTTCCTAAACTGCAAAAATACTCTCGCCCGGCCACGCATCCGGACATTCTCTTTCCGCCCGACGTTCAACATGTTCTGGACGCTCCAACATGCGATCAGTGCGACAAGAGTCAGGTCATTCCTCCTCGAGGCTCGACCGACCCTGAGATATTCTATGGAACAATCGCCTCAGGAGATAGTGTCATCAAAGATGCCAAGGTCAGGAACGAACTCAGTAAAGCAGCCGGAGGGGCGCTATGCTTCGAGATGGAGGCGGCGGGATTATCCAATGGGTTTCCATGTGTTGTCATTCGGGGTATTTGTGACTATGCTGATTCTCACAAAAATGACTTGTGGCATCCTTATGCCGCGGCGACAGCGGCGGCTTGCGCAAAGGAGCTTCTCACTTATATGGACGTGGTTCCTGGTACGTTAGTTTCATGAAACTCCTCATATATATCTCAATGATGTACGGTGTATCACACACGCCCCTGGCTCAATCGTTCCTTTGCATCGATATTGGGAGAAACTGACAAGGACATTCAGTAACGAAGCCGGTCGAAGCGATTTCGTACTTTCTCGTGCCTAGACAGAGGGTAAAGAGGTTCCTTGGTCGCGAGGCGGAGCTTGAGCAGATCAGGTCCTCCTTCGACAGTGAAGTGGGGCGACCTCGCATCCTAGTCCTCCATGCGCTGGGTGGGCAGGGAAAGAGCCAAATTGCCCTTGAATATTGCCGAACAGTACGCCAGACACACCGAGGCGTATTCTGGATTAACAGCAGCTCCAAATCCACCCTCACGCAAGCTCTCGTCAGCATTGCATGCGAAATCAGGGCAGCAGCAACGGGGGCATTAAGCGATGACGATGCGAAAGTCGCTCTCGCTCTGCGTACACTCGAGAAATGGGAGGATCGCTGGCTAATGGTGTTTGATAATTGCGACGACCCTGCCACGTTCTCGGATATCGAGCAATTTATCCCCCAAGGTATGTTATTTTGTGGATCCTCGTGTATGGACATTTACTTCGATAGGCGGCAAAGGAGATATTCTCTTCACTAGTCGCCATCGAGGTCTGGAGGAACTGGGTGCTATTATCGATATCCCACCTATGCCGGACAGGACCGGTGTCGAATTGCTCCTACATCGATACAACAACATCGATGTGAACGATCACATGTCTGCAGGCTCCATAATAGTGAGACGTCTCGGGGGTCTGGCATTGGCTATCGATCAAGCATCGGCCTATATGGCGTATAAACAGCTGTCTATCGACCGACTGAGTGACTTCTTGGAGCTTTTTGAGACTGAACGTAAGAAGGTGCTTCGATATACGGCTGGCCATTTTTGGAGATACATGAAAATTGACGAAGAAAGTGGCCGACAGACCGCTATTAACGCCTTTACTACGTGGGAAATGTCGTTCCAACAACTCCTCTCCGCCTGGGATCCGCCTAGATCCGTGGCGCACTTTCTTACTCTTGCGGCGTTTCTGGGTCCCGTGCAAGTCAGTGAATCTCTGTTCAAGTGGTACCAAGAGATTGAGAAACCTCCACCGGACTGGTGCGACATTTTTACGGCTTCTCGTGGTTTACACGACGAAAGTTCGTCCAGCGACACCGAGGGAGAAGTTGACCAGCAAGAGCATGTAACACGTGAACCGTCCGTGGTTGTTCATCAACCTGCTGCAGGAGCTCCGGAGAAGACATGGGATGCTGAACGCTTTTGGCGTCTGATCCGACAGGCATACCAGATGTCGCTACTACAAAGTATTTTGCCGCCGACACCCCTCAAAGGGGCCACTTTTATACTACATCCCCTGATTCGCGACTGGCTGCAGCTGCGATTACGCTCGAAAGAGCGGCAGACGTATACTCGCGAGGCTGTCAACGTGATTGTTCGTACTATTATAACTTATCAACTTCTGGATAGCGATGCCACTCTCAAGAGGTCCATTCTTCCGCACATGGATGCCACTCTCTTGACGTTCAGAGAGTTCTTCAAAGCTGGGCATCGACTAGGCCAGGATATTGCGAGCTGCAACGACGCGGAATGGTTCGCGTCATTCTATCAACTTCAAGGCCGGTTCGATGCTAGTCTCGATCTATATCGTACAGTGACTGCGACAAGAGAGAGAATGCTGGGCAAGGAGCATCCAGATACCCTAATGAGCATGAACAATCTCGCCACTGTGCTAAAAGATCAAGGGAAGTATGAGACGGCGGAACAGATGCTTCGAGAAGTGGTGGAAATAAGGGGGAGTGTGCTGGGGAAGGAGCATCCAGATACACTAATGAGCATGAACAATCTCGCGATAGTGCTGCAGAATCAGGGAAAGTATGAGGCGGCGGAACAGATGCATCGAGAAGTGGTGGCAGTGAGAGGGAGGGTGCTGGGGAAGGAGCATCCATCCACGCTGGCGAGTATAAACAACCTCGCCACTGTGCTAAGAGATCAAGGAAAGTACGAGGTGGCAGAACAGATGCATCGAGAAGTGGTGTCAGTGAGTGAGAGGGTGCTAGGGAAGGGGCATCCGTCCACGCTGACGAGTATGAACAACCTCGCTTTAGTGCTGAGCAATCAGGGAAAGTACGAGGCGGCGGAGCAGATGCATCGAGAAGAACTGAAACTGACAGAGAGAGTGCTGGGTAAGGGGCATCCAGACACGCTGAGGAGTATGCACAACCTCGCTTTAGTGCTGAGCCATCGAGGCCAATACGAGGAGGCAGAGCAAATTCAAGCCGTGGTTGTCGTGGAAATGTTGAGAGTCTTCGGGTTTGAACATCCTGAAAGTCAAGCTAGCATGGGCAAAATGCTTACCATATGGGAACTCCAGGGTATGGAGGAACATGCCATGGAAAAGTCACTTCTTGAACTCTGCCTAGGAGCGGTGACAAAAACGGATCTGGCAGACCCTGAGCTTCAGTACATATCGGGTGACGTCCTGGCGGATCTTGGAATGCCAGCATGCCAGGAAGACAAGGCTGAATGATTACATTGTATACACGACCCAACCTTAACAGAGGTGGATTGAGACAGCATTGTTGAGGAAACTTAATCTCAACACGTCAGCTCCCACAGCGTAACAGACTCCCTACGACCAAACCGGCAATATAACATCGGGAAACGCTCATCGGGGTAGCTTGCAACATACTCATACTGAGATCTGGTTAGCACGTCGTCAGTCCAGGTAGGCAGGTCAAGATGGGTGTCGTACTCAACAAGGTGTCTCCTTGTCAGTGAGTTTCGTCTGCTCTTGTGTCTTCCTTCTCCAGCAGACTAGGTCGCAACTGTACTCTGGCGGGGACCAGTGGTACGAACGGGCATGTTGATGGTCGCTTCTTCCGATACCTTTTGCTCCGTCGATAAGCTCGTGTCTCATCAGTATGACTTTGTTATTGTTGGAGGCGGCACCGCTCGTCTCACGAAAGATACAAACATCTCTCTCAGGGGATGTTCCAGAAACCGGGGCGAATCGTATGGACGATCCCAGGGAGCGGTCTCGACGCCAGCCCTTTACCCTCCCACGGTGACTCGGTGAGCACATACTCTGAGATTCTTTTGGCTCAGCCAGAAATCCCATATTTGTTGAAGAGCTTGTAAAGATGCACTAAGGTGTGTACCAGTAGAGCGTGAAGGGCCGGCTTGCGTCTCTCGAGATGATGCGTTCTATATCTTACTCCCGAAGCGGATGAACTAGAAATCACTGTCAAGGAGATACGGGAAAAGCCTCTCGCCAAGACCAATTCCGAGAAGACCTTGAAGAAACGGTTTGTGACAACGAACGACTCCTGTGTTCTGGATGGAGATGCGCTACGGATATGGGTGTGAATATGAATAAACATGAATAGCCTAGCACTAACTAAAGATTGATACTGTAGCCGTACTGGGTTATCCTCCTTCTCTCTCGATGTTACTTCCAACCCCTGTGTTCTGTATGCCGGTACCTCTCATGATTTTTCTGGTGCGCCTCTTTTTGCCATGTGAATTGACCGTATCATCATCATTCATGCAGACCCGACCTCGGCGTCTAATCAACCTATCTATACAGACTGCACAGTACGCACCTTCGTTTTTTGTTCTGGACTCAACCATTTCAAAACCCAGTCCTTGCCAACGAACACAGCAACGCCACACCGGCCTTGACCCCATCGACAATAGACACCTCCTTGGCCGCCTCGGGGCCCAGTTCTTCTATACAGGCCTGCCTCACTGCATTCTCGAGTCCTACCATGCCCGCACAACCCAGACAGATGGCCTTGACTCTTGATGCGGACCCTGACGATGTCGTCTCTCCAGCTTCGTGCTGGTACTGACCCCTTTTCAAAACCCTCTTGGTCGCCTCCATCATCTTCCCCCTCACCTGCTCGGCAGGCAAATCGTGCAACTCGCTCGCATTCAATCCTGTAGTTTCGCAGCCGTAGAACCTGCTGGGCTTTTTCGCGTCGCCGTTCCCGTTCCCGGCCTCGCCCAAGAACTCCTCCACCGCAGTCTTTAGCGCCTTTTCCCACACTTTCCCCGTCGATACGATCCCGAACCCGTCGTCCTCGGCGTCGTCCGTCACCGCGAGACTCGCGAGGACACTCGCCTCGAAAATCCCCGTGACGTATTTGCGCGCCCCGTGGCCGTCGGACCCGCTCGTCGCCGCGCGGATGAGCCTCTTGCACTCCCGCTTCAGCTGCGTGACGAGCGGATGTTGGCTGTAACACGCCACGAGGAAGGCGTCGTGGTGTGGCAGCAGGGGGACCAGCAACGGTAGACAGCTCTTTGCCGACTCGGCCGCGTCTTCGGGTGAGTTGATACTTGGAATGCCCGGTGTAGGGGACGTGAAGAATGAGTATTCGACCTGGAAAAAAACAAAACAAAAAGCAAACGTTAGACGATTGGTTCAGACATCTATGTAGTCACTTAATTCAGTGTACGTGGAACTCTTCGGCGCACTCGTCTCTTTGGTCTTTTCCGCTGTTCGTAGAGAAAGAGAGAGTGTGCGTTGGAAGAGATATACGGGATATTCCAGACCGCAGACTTACAGACGGCATCTTCAAATCTTCAAGGACCGGTTTCAGTGCCTCGGTCATGTGTGTCGACGTGTTGGGGTTGATGACAAGGATGCGCACTTTCGGTGTCGTTCCCATTGTCATATCGAGTTCCTACCTAGGTAGGTAGGTATTTGGCGGGTGTAGGTAGGTAGATAAGGTGAGCAGACACTGGTGGTAGAGTGTACGGGTAGACCAAGAAAGGAAAAGAAATCGATGAAACGAGGACAGCAGAAAGATCAATATCCTAGATGAAGAGAGGTGGTTTGAATACCTTCGGGTATGTTGAAGAATACGTGAGACTCGTCCCGAGAGCTTTTTTAAACTGTATCCTTTATCCATAGCTCGAGTTGACTCAACCTTTTATTATGACGCTCAATGCGGGGGAGTTTTTTCCTTATCGCGATAAGTAAGGTGGGACTGAATTGGCTTGCTCCACACTTCAGATACGTGTGAACGGCATACCATTTGGACCATAGCGCAAGTACGGCGGAACAGAAAGGTCTCGGCTGCAGCAACATGGCGACGACGTTTGACACGAGGTGGCGTTCCGTGACCTACAGGTAACTTTGCATCAACAGCGCGCCCGCTTGGCTCGGCGGCCTTCAATTCGTACACGCAAGTTCGATGTCTTCACAGTAAGGGTTCTTGAAAACTGAAATACGTAATCACCCATCGTCTTGGTGCATGACAATGATCACATAGAGACCTTGTCTCGCAAAGCACGACGCTACTTACCTGTTAACCTACGGCAAACTTATCTCAAGCGCCCGTCTTTCAAACCGCTGTGCGCTATGAAGTGCCCGTTCCTTGTGTGTTCCTTGATTTGTCGCTTGCAAACGCGGAGATCTCGGGTATTAATCATGAGGGGGTCGAGGCTTGTTTGCGGGAGAGTTGACTTTGATATCAAGTAAGCAGAATCAATACTCGAGCTACCTCAATGACTTGGTCGCTCGGAAAGACCCTGAGACGTCTCTGCCGTGCCGGAGAACGCAGTGGAGTGTAAAGTCGCAGTGTTGATAGTTCCCATCGGCCATGGACGATAGGTAATATTGGAGAGATTGGTAATGGTACGTATTCGTGTTCAGAATGTCCTTTTGTTACTTACTAACCCTTGGCGAGTCTTGTCCTCCACAGCACTCCAGCTGCACTCCAGCTGCACTCCAGCTGGAACTGTACTCCCACAACAACTATACGAGTCCCTTCAGCTGCACTTCGGCTAGAAATCATATTCACTTGAAGAGAATGCTCAAGTGACACCTTTCAGCCGTAGCTTGGCAGAAGCCGTATTCGCTTAAAGAATGCTTGATTGACACCTTCAACCGTACCTTGGTTGGAGCTGAGGCTCAGATACGGCTACAGACATTCAATTTCATTACTGTCCAAGGCACCTAAGTCTGTGGCTTCAGCCTCGAGACTGCGCCATTTCACCAAGGCGTCTCCTCAGCTAATCAAGGTACCAGCTGAACGCCTTACAGTATTGCAGACCATGTAAGTCGACGCGGGCACCGAGAACGGTTATCAACCCCAGCTCTCCTCGCGTCGAGAGATTGAGGTTTTGTTATGTACATGTTATCGTCCAGTTCCCCCGGTTCATTTCATCGCTATTGTCATACAAGCCAAAATCCCACCATTTCTTAAGCTAAGGTTATCACTTTTGACGAGTTGAACATCATGGTGTCCAGCCTAGTCCCCGATTTCGAGGTCAAGGTCCTTCTGAAGCCCTCAGAAGTGCTCGACTCGGAAAACAAAGCCAAAGCTGATGTCCTGTCTGCGTTCGGTTTCACGTCAAGGGCCAAGAAAATGAACGTCCAATTCTTGGACACCAGGAACCGAGAGTTCTACAACAACGGCTGGAACCTTCGCATCCGCAAGACCGAAGACGACGATAAGTACGAGTTGACGTACAAGAAGCGCTATGACATAAGTACCGGATTCTCTACGACCGCCGAAGGTCACATCAAGGAAACGCTTGAAGTGGCCAGGCAAGAGGGTTTAGACTCCTCGACCGGCTTCGAGGCCCAGGTTGACATTGGATACCAGAAGCAGACCCTCTCCATCAGCCGCGACAAGGAGGTTCCCACCGGGCAGGCAGGAACCGACCTTCCCCCTCTCGAAGCCTCGCGCAAACTCCTCGCCGACGGGGCACCCGAAAAGTTCAACAACTGGAAAGGTGCCAACTGGGGGACTCAGCGTCTCGCTGACTCCATAGTGTATGGTCCGGTACTCGCCGAGCGCTTCAAAGTCAAGTGGCAGGGGTTGAGGCTTTTCTTGGAAGTGTGGCCAATCCGGAAGAGCAAGACAGATGCGAGCCTCGAATACATCGTCGAGGCGTCGTTCAAGGCGGATACCTTACAGGAGGCCGTGGAGGGCCGCGACAAACTCATCAAGGTCTTGCAGGATGATAGTATCGGGAGAGACTGGTTCCTGCCTGGGGATTCCTTGAGGACGAAGCTTATCATGGAAAGGTACGGAGAGGTTAATTGAGAAGTATGCGCAACGGTGGTGGAAGATCTTTGTGTGTGGTGGTCGACGTAGAGAATAGCTGCCGCGGAGGACAGGGGGGCGGTGGCAAGCGGCGGCCACAGTGGTACATCATCGACATCCAGGATCTGGCGACAGACGTTGACAAGCAGCAACTCTCTCCCATCCTTGCTTGTGCGGATGAGGAATCGGTACTAGGTTGGAAGAGAAGAATTGTCTATATACGGAGATACGGACACATTTCTGGAAGAAGATGTTCCAACCTCCGACCGCCCTGAGAGGCCTTTATCATGTACCGGGTGCTAGGTATGAACAACGCAAACCACTCGTACACAGACTCAACGACTTGTATCGATCGTTACCAAAAAAGAAAAATGAAGACCATTGACGGGTCATGCACTGTTCTCTCAGGAGATCGTATTTCGTTTTCATTGAGAATGGTTCTGGACAACCATTCTGTAGAGTACAATACGCTGACACCTCCCCCCAGCATCGTCAAAGAGCGATAACAAAAACCAACCTAGATACTAAAATCACCGAGGGGTATCTCATGTCGATTTCCACTGAAGAAATAATCCAGGCCAAAAACCTTGCAATGGACAGGCGATCCTACCCGTGTCCCACAAACAGTTCTCGAACGCCCACCCACAGAGATCCAGGTAGGTACTTCACCCAATACAATTATTCCGGTGGACTCATCATGCTCCTCAGTCTTCTCCCTCCTATGGTCGGTCCAACCGATTGACTGAAATTCTCGATCCCTGTGTTAACCCCCATACCCGTCATTGTACTTTTAGCTCGTGCGAATTTCTGTTTGGCTGGCAGTCTGCTCTCCACAACCGCATTTGTTGTCGCATGTCTCTTAAGCGGCGGCTGTCCCGAGCCATGGCCCAAACTCTTGCTAAAATCCAGGAGAACAGGCCGTCCTTCGCGTTCTCGCTCTTTTTCCTCAACCACTGACGCACCTAGGGAAGGCACAGATAGGCCCGAATGCGGACGACCAAGAACATTGATATCAATCTCCTTCAAGCTTGTGCCCGCCTTACTCTGATCAACTGGCACTGTGGCCGTCGCATCTTGATTTTGTTGGTTGGCTTGGTGTTGTAGATCGGTGGACAAGTCGACATCATTAAACACTCTCGTCTTACTGGGACTGGCCGTCTTGTTAGGGGAGCTAAAACCTTTCCTAGGCGATATCTGCTTGCGGGGAGAGTGGGCTGGTGTTTTTGAAGTTGGAGTTTTTGAAGTGAGTGCTGGATCAGGGAGACCATGCAACCTTGCAATGATAGACTCATGATGTTCCGTACGCGGAAGGGTGGTAGGGTATTCCCAGTCGCGCTTCTGAGGCGTCTGTCCGGTAGGTAGGTAGTCTTTGAATGTTGACCTCGTCACCTCGGACTTCAGGTCTTGTAAGTGTGGTTTAACGGTGTCCCGGAAGGATGCGACGAGACCTTCTCCATCGGAGTGTGTCTGAATTTCCCCCTCAAAATTGTCCAGAATCGTCTTCTGCTCGATTGAGTTTTTCTCGAGGCTGGCAAAGCCCTCATTGACGTTCGAGACGAGCTTGTCCAAGTTTTGGCTTCTTTCCGCATGATCATGGTCGATCTGCGAACGCGCCCTTGTCACAAAACCATCCAGGGTGGCCATCTGCGTAGACATCTGGATCAGCTGAGCATCAACAATCTTGGTGGACTCTTCGTGAATTGCTTTGGTGGATTTCTGTATCGCTGAGTTTCGCGTGTTGATAGCCTGTACATGGTCAATTTATGGCTTCAGGTGAAGAACCTGGTACTCACAGTCCAATCCCCTTTCATTTTGGTTTTGATATCTTCCCTCGCCTTGACCACCATGGTCATCAGACCCGTATCATCCTCTGCCCATTGGTCCATCTTGTCGCGATACTCCTTATCCGCGCTCTCGAATTGCTCGGCGGCGCCAACAAGATTGGTCTGGGCCTTAATCAGACTGTCCGAAATTCGTTCTTGCTGTCTCTGAGACGATGAATCGACGAGTTGGAAAATCTGTTCCTTGAGTTTTTGCCTCTCCTCTTCCGCGATTCTTCTTTCGTCATCCCGGATGGTCTGGAGCTGTGTAGAGACGGCTAGCTGCGACTCGATGTTTGCTCTGTTTGCTTCTTGCAGTGCGAATCTCAGAGTGTCTGCCTCTTCACGCTGAGCTGTTAACTGCTTCGTCAGCTCATCAAACATGGTCTTTACATCTTTTCCTAGGCCACTGTAGGATGTATGCAACTGAGAATGAAATTGTTCGAGCTCCAATATGACTTCCTGTGAAATCTTGGCCGCTGCATCGGACAGCCCCTGCAGACCTTCGCCCACCTTTTCCTTGACGCTTTCACGCAGGTCCTTGATTTCTTCAAGGACAGAATTCATATCATCCTTGGCTTTCATGGATTGGCCATTAATCACAAGACGGCTTTTGTCGAGCTCTGTCGCTTTGGATAAAACCATCTTCGCTGAACTTTCGAGGTGTGTTCTCTGGGCCGACAAGAATTCTGCCATTCTTTTCTTGCTGGCCTGTATTAATTCTGCGTGGGCTGCTTGAAAACGCTCAATTTCGGCATCAACAAGGTCTGAGACAGTAGCCACGTTATCGACCGAGGTCTTCCATGATCCCTGGTTTTGGGCATGAAGGTCGGATCTTCGCCGTAGTTTCGCGTGAAGTCTGTGGACATCCCCTACTGACATGTCAACCGTCGAGACCAGCTCTGTGCCGATTCTGAACAGCTTTTCTTCTGTTTCTTCGTGTGCTTCGCGCAGAACAGCTTCTTCAGCAAGATTTCTTGCAGTATCTGCTAATACCGCTTCAGTTTGTAAAAGGGTACTCTTGGTGTTCTCTAACGTCGATCTTGTTGCCTCAGTATCTCGTTTGAGTGTGGTGAAATTATTGGTCAAATTGAACAACTCTTGGACTTTGTTGCGCAAGCTGACCTCCATGGTTTCAATACGTGCCTTTTGCTCCTCGCTAAGGATCCTCCTAGACTCGCTCTCGACCGTGATCTCTTCGTATTGATCGTTGGTCAGATATACGCCATTGCGTTGTCGAGTGGCGATCAATTCGCTCTTGAGCTTCTCGATCTCATTGGTAAACTCCCTAAGCAACGTCTTCTTCGAGATCATGGAATTGACTTGAGGCTTATTCCGAATATTCTTTGCTCGGAAGGCGTAGTCGAGAGTTGAAATTGTTTCCTCGAGGTTACTCTTTGCGGGAGATACTGTTGCGATGATGCAAGTCTTCGTCCTGCCACCTAGGGAATCTTGAAGTAGCCTCGTGAGTTTCGATTCGCGATAGGGAATGTGAGCACTCCTGTCCACAAGTGCATTGATCACACGCCCAAGAGTCAGTAAACTTTTATTGATGAGGCCGGCCTCTGCAGCTCGCTTGTTCTCGGCGCCGCTTCTCTGGATGTTCTCACTGCCTGCAAGATCGACAAGGTTGAGTTTTCCGGAACAGATGAAATCCTCTCCGCTCTCACTTGGCTTCTTGACGTAGGTGGTAATGGTGAAGACCGTGTGGCTTCGCGAACTCAAGTCGTTGCATTTTGTCGCGGCAACCTGTCGTCTGTAGCTGCCTTGCTGTAGCAATTTGATTCCTGCTGCGGCGCTGTTGATGTGTGACTCTTCCATTCCTTGGACCACGGTTGCGGAATGGCTCTTTTTATTGTTAGAATCGTCATAGATTTTCAGCTTGATCGCATCGTCCGGTGACAGCAAGTCTCGCAGCTCTTCGTTGTACAATTCGATAAACGAGCACTTAACCGAACATTCCAACTCTTCAGCTTCCAATTTCTGGAACAATGAATAGAGTACCCTGGGTATGATACCAGCTGCATCTGAGAGTAACCCGTAGGTGTCGGTCATGTCGCCAGACATCGTGTATGTCTTCCCTGTGCCCGTCTGGCCATATGCGAAAATTGTGCAATTGTAGCCCGTCATCATCTCGTTCAATATCGGTGCGACTACGTCTTCAAAGATAATGGCTTGATCTGCGGCGGGCGAGAAGACCTTGTCGAAGTGGTAGGTCTTGTTGCTGATTGCATTTGGCCCCATCGACAACTCGACATTTTTGCCCTTGACGCCGGTTGTTGATACCACAACCCCGCTGTTCTCTCGCACTTCTCGGTCGCTGCGGCCTCGACACCGTACCACAACATGAATGTTCGTCTCTTCGCCGTGATCTTGATCAAAATCTCTTTCTTTCCTCTTCGTTCCAGCGGTCGAGACGATCGACTCTGCGGGAGACGGGGCACGACCCGTCATCGAGGCATGTTGAGCAGGATGTGGTCGAGGAGGAGGACGCATTGATCTTCGTGTTGAAGGCGCCGGTCGCTGATAGCCTACCATCCTAGCGGTACACCGCGATGCGCGATGAAGTAAGAATGGTTTGTGTGCAGCGCAAGAGAGAAGCGCATGTGTTCGTTGAAGATTCGTGCGGAATGCAAGGCTTTGGCCTGAGCAGGGATGGCCGACCGCGGATGGCCTAAACGGGATCAGAAATAAACAAACCCGGTGCTTACATAATGCAGCCTTGTCAGCCGCGGGATGTCCTTGTGATTCGTCACACGCCGACTTCACTCCAGGTGACCAACCGAACAGTCGCTCATCATCATCCTCGATCTTCGAGTAAACGCTCCCTACACGAGGCCCACAGTATATTCCACCTTGCTCATTGTCGATAAATCCCAGGACTTCCTGTGTCGATGCCCGCATTCTCGTAATGGAGCCTTCTGCAAAGCTCTCTCTGCAGATACAGCCAGAGAGGGGCATCGGCTGGATCAGTATGACATGAACCTTTTCACAGTCTTGTGCCATGCTGACTTCTTAAAGCACTCGGCTCCTCTCTTCATAGTGTGTTGACCAGATTGAAAGCCTCGCCGCAGACATACTGCAACATTGATCTGTCTTACTCGGCAGCACAACCAATCGCTTCGCCCATCATTCTGAGTCTCTCCTACAACGGATTAAGGCTTCGATTTGACGGTCCGGATCAGCGACTACGCTTGATTGAAGTCTTGGATTTTTCCGCAATAACCCTTGTGTACAAGAATACAGATCTCGTTCGCCGTACTAAGGGTGTGGATGGAATCAACCCGGAGGAATATCCCTCCACCCCCGGACCAACGTTTCGACATATTTACAGTCGACTGTTTGGACCTACATATGCCGGAGAGTATCTACCTCCCGAGCAAAACCGGTCCACTGGGACTTATGTCCTATCATATCCGGGGCTGGCATTCAGCTTTCCTATCAAGCATCAATCCTGGTCGGACAAAGTAGATTTTGTCTCCATACTCTCATCGAATGCCACTAGCCCAGCTGTTTCCATGGCCATCTTTTCTGGGTCCTCCTGGACAGAAGCACGATCGAATCTGTACACGAAACCACCCACCTTTCCCAGACTCTCATTGCTCCTCGGCAAGTCCTCGGAAACAATTGCTGATGAGATCGAAGAAGTAAAGGTTCTAGGTGGTGGCAAGGTCGAATTTATTCGCAGAAATACACCCGCATTCACCCTCACTCTGAGTGAGGCCACTCCCCAGGATCTGGTAGCCGAGCTGGGGCCTCCAGATGCCATCTACCGCAAAAACGATCGTCGTATTTCCATACACGCCACGGGCAAACCTTCCAACCAACGACTCCCGAGTATGTCGCCGGCGCTGGACCCTCAGGCGCTGGACACCGACCAGTCGTCGCTGCAAAGCTATACAGAAGACTCTGATGTTGAGCCGGAACACGATGAGGGGCATAGCGGAGCAAGCAGAGACGAATGCTTCTACAACTACTTCAATCACGGATTTGACGTTCTTATATCGTCTCCAGCCCCGAGGTCACGGCCTTTTCCTGGAAGCTACAATACTGAGACTTCAAAATCACCCAGCGCTCCACTTGTGGCCACCAAGCTATTCTTACATGGAAACGTTCCTGGATCCTTTTCTTTTAATCGCCACCGAAGATGTCGCTGGACGATACATACAACCGAAGAGGGCCAAGAGCAAGTCTTGACTTCGGAGACGGGATTTTCGGACATATCATCCACCTTGAAGCAAATATGGCGCGGTATATACCGGAACGAAGACGAAGAAAAGCAAATGCAGAGAGGAATGGTATTGAATAGAGGTTGGGAACAAAGTCCTGAGAGTTCAATCGAACTGCTTGGAGACCTGGAGGAAAGCCCAACCCGGGGTCAGGGCTTAGGGGGTGGCTCTGCAGAAGTACTTGGGAACGGGATGAGCAACACGGAGTTGTTTGGATTTCCTGGAATGCTTTTTGAGGTCCTCAAGAACGATACCATTAGTTGCTTGACGGTGTTCTAGATGAATGCATTCATACCTTGCACCGTGCATGAGTATGCCCATGTATGCGTGGCTTGATCTCTGATTGATGTCTAAACCCTGGTCTTGAATGTAAGCGCCAAAGACACCGACATGGAGGAGAACAAGGCGGGGGCGGCGATGAAGCGGTCGCTAGAGGATGAAGAGCTGTTGTTGACTCGGATACCTATCTACCTTGACTCTATCCAACTTGGTGGTTTACACGATTACGAGGCAGAAGGCGGCCCGCGGTTTTAGGCGCAAACAAGGCCTCCTCAGGCTACACCAGGCTCAGTTAGGCTCCGTCCTTTGGGTGCCTTAGGCCGTTGTGTAATAGGCTCGGTTCTTATAAGCGGGCAGCCTGCAGCAACCACCGGAGGCTGGACGCCAGAGGGCGGACAGGGCTCCCAGTGATGGGCCGCCCGCTCGGCAGTGATGGTTGATTGCCTGCGGTTCAATTGGATTCCAACCTCCTCAGCCCGCAATCTCATCCCACTGCGGCACACAAACCAGCTTCTTACGTTTCCCGCTGATCCAGAGCATCCTTTACTCTCCTCGTCAGAACAACACACCTCGCGTAGATGCAGTCGCATATGTTTGAGGTCGCCTGCTCCGAGCAAACGACCCTGGTTTATTTCTAGCGAAAATGCGTACCTATCTTTACAAGAAGAAGACCTGCCAACAACGCCACAGTCTTCGCCTCCGGTATTGCGCCTCACCTTCACTGCTCCTCCTATGTCACTTGCTTCGTCACTGCATACGATCGTGAGTCGCCCTCGCTGACACATGTGCACAAACCCAGACGTAGCGCTTAGCTACAGTACCTTCCGCATCTTGCGCGGATGAAAAGTCAAAGATTTACTGCATACAAAACACCACGCACAACGCCGACTCGAATTTACCCGCCGTGCGACGAACAAAATGGCCAAACAAAACGCCATTCGTTGTCTAGTAGACGACACGGCGCTGACCAGAAATATCGCAGAGATTGAGAGTTGGCTGGCACAGGGCAAGATCTGTCTGGTTGTGCCTCTTTACAGTATGCTTGCCTACGTCGGACTCGCTTTTGCGACGATGCTGACCTGACCAGCGATTGGCCGTCTCCATGTCCTCAAAAAGGATGCTTCCCAGATCGGCGTCAACGCCCGCAAGGCCGTCAAGTTTCTCGATCGCAGCACATCCTCGCGAGGCGATCTCGCATACGATCCAGTCATCTTGCAAGGTCCAGACGAGGAATATTTAACTTGGGCTGAGGTGGAGGCACACTACTTGAACGAGGATTTGAAGAGGGCCGGTGCAAATGAGGAGGCGCTTACGGTTCCTCTGGAACACAAGAAGGGAGAGGGCGCACTCGATCTGACCGCGAAGGGCACTGCGGGTGCTGCAAATGCACTTTCGCAGGCCTTGTTAGACAAGCTCAACTTTTCGAAAGATCCTACTGCGGCTTCGCCTGCGTCCACACCCCCTCTTTCCCCTGCCTCGTCCGGACTCCAAAGCTCCAAGACTAGTCCAGAGATTAAATCTGCCACTCTGATCAAACACGACCAAACACCAGTCCCTCCCTCACTCAAGCCACTGCTCAACTCTGTGGTATGGTATATGCACGAGAGAAACACTCCATTGAAGGACAACCTGGTCTTTCTCACCAATTCAGCAGACACCATGCACCTGGCTCGCGACTTCGGTGTTCCGACCAAGAACATCCATCAACTGCGCCGTGCTCTTGGCATTGAAGATGTAGAAGAAAAAGCACCAGACAACAACAAGAAAGAACTGGTCAAGAAATCGCCACCTACAGAGCCAAAAACCTTGTTCAGTTACCATGATGTCGACAGCGACGAAGAAGAAGTGGTTTTCAAACCGCGCGGCCGAGGCTCGAGTCGAGGTGGACAGCCAGCCCGTGCTGCAGCGATTGTGAACGGAAGGGCAAAAGGCGGTCATGCCCGTTCTCCAAGAGCTTCTTTCAGCACTCAGGCTCAGCCATCTCAGAACAAACCACAGATCCCTATTGAGGAAATTGATCCTGACTCTTTCGACCGGGGCAGTTTTGGAAGGGGCAGCATACCACTTGCGAATGTCGGTGGTCCTCAGCCCAACCTGAACTACAACGGTGGACGTGCGCCTGGACATCGTGGCAACCATGGCCCGACCGCAAGCCGGGGCGCGAATGCAAATCGTGGTTATAACCGCGGGACCGAGCGAGGTTCGGCTCGCGGAAGAGGTCGACTATTCGTTCCTTGAGCATTGATGGCGCCTGTCGCTTGTATTGACTTTGCGACAGCACAAGAAACAACACTAATTTCGGAGGCAAACTGCCATTCCTACAACATCAAGGCATCAAGACACGACAGTCTCACATTGGGTGGCGCGAGACACTTAACCCATTGACGGTCAATGTCCTGGTATGGACCACGACAGGCTAAAAGGCGAAACCATTGCCATTCAGTTCTGCAGGCGTCGATTACCTATTCTTGTGGTACTAATGCATCTTCGTTCGGCAACTTTTTTTGCGGCGATCGCTTGATGAATGGACAGCTTGAAATAGAGCTTGAGGTTGATATTCGAGGAGACTCGAGGACGACTGGCGAGGATCGAAGAAGACAAGGGGACTGACAAATTGGATTCATACAGATGCGAGCCGTGTCGATATTCCTTCCGCTAGAAGGTCGGCGGTCATCTTTCTTGTCTTGGACAAGAATTCATTCGTTTCGCAACATCATTTGGTTTATGTGGTGCCAAACTGGACCGATCAGGGTGCAGGGAGGGCTGGTTCTGAACCATGCTCAGGTCGGCGCGAGTGTCGTCGGGAGGAGAGCCTTACGGATTTCCTCGGGACGACTGGGATACTAGGGGGGCAGATTTGCTCTACCCGTCCATTCGTTACAATTGTTGTAGCTTTTTGCAATGTCATGTTATTGGATACATTGACCTGCGTGAGCTCTCTCTGCATCGTGTCTCAAGAATTTCTGCCCAGTCAGATCGGGACTTCGCCTCGTATTCGAGAGACCCCGCAGCTGACTACGCGACGCACATCGCCTCGTTTTGGTGTTGTGATACCTTCCTTTACTGGCTCTTCGACCCTGTTCTTGACTCAGGGTGATGTTTGGGGTCTAGACCTCCCTCCGTGCCATGGCCTGCAGAGCATGCTTACCTGTACCTATATAACCACCATGGCGAAGTCCGGTTTGATGCGTTGAGCTGTCCGGTTTCTGGTCGTCTTTCCAGGTGTCGTCAACAACGATAGATATCTATCAACCTGTCCAACAGTTATCTACAGGAAAAAACCCTCTCGTCCACACGGCAAGAGACTAGACAAAAACCTACAACCATGGAGTCGGTGCCGCAACAGCAACCGCCATCACCACCACCACCACCAGCAACACCGAGAGCACGAGTAGAACCCCGGAGACCGGGGCTGACTCGACTCATCACCTCGTGCGCCGATGCTCTCTCAAAGACGCTCACCCAGGGGACAGGAGACCACGGAGACCTCGCGACTTGGTGTCCCGACCTCGGTGTCTGCGGCGACGGCGACGATCGGTCCTCGGCAACGGCCACCACGTCCACGCTCACGAGTGACACGCTCGCGTCTGCGCGGGCACAGTCAGACATCGCGCGTCGCCGGGGTACGAAGGGTCCAGAGATGGGCGAGATCACGCAGGACGTCGAGCGAGGGTCAGCACGCGAACAGCCAGCGCAGAAAGAACGGGAACCGGACGACGACGACGACGAGGAACGAGGGTGGAGAAAGTTTGTCAGATATTTTACGCCGTCGTAGGCTTTCCCTTCTCCGGTGTTTTTTTTTGTTTTGCCTCCCTTCCTACCTACCTACCTAGGTACCTCTACAGGTATCTTTTGGCCGTGGTCGGGAATTCGACTGACATAAAATACCCTTGCCAGATGGTATACGGTGACGATGGGAACAGGAATCGTCTCGATTCTCCTCAACCAGTTCCCGTACGGGGCGCGATGGCTCTATTGGCTCTCGATCGTGGTATTTGCGCTCAACGTCGCCTTGTTCCTGTTCTTCCTCGCCGTCTCGACGGTCCGTCTCGTCATGTACCCGGCCACGTGGACGCTGGCCATCGATCGGCCCAGGACCAGACTCTTTCTGGGCGCCATCCCGACCACCATGTCGACGATCGTGAACATGTGGGTCTTTGTGTGCGTGCCCGCCTGGGGGGAGTGGGCGGTATACTTTGCCTGGGGGTAATGTGTTGACCCTTTTCCTTTTTTTTTCCATTCCCTCCAGTTCTTCGTGTCATTGTGCTCGGGTCCCTGCCAGCCAGCCAGCCAGGAACCTCGAGTTCAAAGTGAAAAAAAGCTATCTTTACTGACACCTCAACGCCATCACAAAGGCTGTGGATCGCCGACGCCTCTCTCTCCCTCCTCTTATCCCTGTACCTGCCGTTCGTGGTGGTCGCGTCTCGCAATAACGAGACGCCCCTCAGTTCGTACACGGCGCTCCAGCTCTTCCCGATCATCGCGTGCGTCGTGTCGTCTGCGTCCGCGGCCGTCGTGGCCAGTGTCATCCCTCACCCGCACCAGGCCCTCGTCACCGTCATTGCAGGATACGTTCTCTGGGGTTTGGGCGTGCCGACCGCTCTCTTCGTCATGGTGATCTATTTCCAGCGCTTGACCATCCATAAGCTTCCTCCCCGAGAGGTCATCGTCTCGTGTTTCATGCCGATTGGGCCGCTTGGCATGGGAGGACTGGCCATCACGAAATTGGGCACGGTGGCAAGAGGCCTATTCCCGCGCACCGACACCATCCATCCTCTCGCTGGTGACCTGGCATATAACCTGGGCGTGTTTGTGTGCTTGATTTTCTGGGGGTTTACCTTGCTGTGGCTGTTCCTTGCGGTGGCGAGCATCTGGAATTGTGGTCGATTTCCATTCAACATGGGCTGGTGGGGGTAAGTGAGCTGCCGCTATCTCATCTCTGGGGTTCCCCTTTCTCTGGTAGTGAACGAGCGAAGAGGAAGAGACACGAGTCTTTGGCGACATGATCAGGCTGACGACGAGTAAGGTTCACTTTCCCTCTCGGTACGTTTGCTTTGTCGAGTGATGCACTTGCTGTGGAAGTGCCGTCAAGGTTCTTCAGGGTCATTGGAGCAGTAAGCGGCGTTGCCGGGTTCAATGCTTGGAACAACAGGCTGATGTGCGCACAGATAACGTCAGTTTGCGTGTGCCTATTGTGGATGCTGGTCGGCGCTGCGACCTTGAGAGATCTAGTGACTGGTGGCAGGAAGTTGTTCCACGCACCGGGTCCAGTGAAAAAGGTAGTTGATGGGAATCAGGGTCTCAGAAAGATGGGTCAGGTCGAAGAGAAACAGGCATAGTTTTGGCCCAATTTGTGGGAATGGTGATGCGAAAAGTTCTTCAACTATGAGCATGGTGTAAGTTCTTTGATTTTGCTAGATGGTTGTTCGCCGTGCTTTCCTTTGAGGACTGCCGCCTACCGTCTTATCCTCCGTAAACAATCTCAGGGGGTATATGTATGATTGCATATGCATTTCGTCAAAAGCCATAACTCGTCCTGACGTGAATGGATACTACTCATCCACGCCACTACCTGGTGCGGCTCCTTCCACCTGGCCCTCCCCTGGGGAAGTTGCTTCCATGACCTGCTTGATCTCTTCGAGACGACGCTGGAATCGCTCAATCATCTCTTCCATACTCTCCTTATAAGCGGTCGCAGGATTGTCACTAGGTGTATTTCCTCGCCCTTCAATACGTAACATCAGTGCGTCATCGTCTCCTTCTCCGATGGTAGGAGCCGTGGTAATGCATGATCTCAGAACTTGCCAATCTGCGCTGAAACTCTGGGCTGCAGTGACTTCGTATGAGGCCGGCGTGGCGACCGAGTCCTGTCCCTGCGTTGGGAACCGAGGATGTACATCAAGCACTAAGTATTGCTCGCGTACACCTGCAATGGGTGGTGGGAGCCTTGGATCTTCGTGGTGCTGCGCACCTGTCCGCTGTGACGGGTCGAGGATCTCTAGACTCCGACAAGCGGCTTCAGTGATGATGTCCACATCGTCGTCGGCGAAAATGTAGTGGACCGTGGGATGGTGGTGCTCGCCGGTCACGCTGTCCTCGATTAAGGTGAAAAAGGGCTGGAAGGAAGGGATGGCGTTGGCTTCGGCATCCTGATGGATACCATACTGTTCTGACTCATCGCCTCCTTCGACAAGAGCATGCTCGGAGTACTCGATGGCGTGAGGCTGATGGGGAGATTGATGTGAAGCCACAATGGGATCGTCTTCGAAGTGTGGAGAGGGAAGAAGGCTGCGTGCCTGAGGGCCGCCGCTTGTACGCCGCAAGGAGGATTTCGACGGCGAGGATGAGTGCGTTGGAACTTGACGGGGCTGGGACATATCCAGATGCGGAGGGTGTCGCGGCTACATCGTGATGGGCATGGTTGATGTTGGCTGTTGTCGAGAAGAGGGTGAGTTGAGTGGGCGTGGTGATTGTTGGGGCAAGATCCAAGGCAAACAGATCGGCAGAAGATTAGATAAGATCAAAAGGCAGTGTGCCATGCACCATGCTATCACTGTGTCTGGGAAGATGGCAATGAACCGATCCCCTCTGCTCGTGATTAGCTGTACGCATGCTCTGATATAAGTAAGACTCTATTCTTGTCTCGAATCTCGCAAAGAACGAGGCACCTGCGCTCTTTAGTCACCATATATTCTCAGTCATGCGACGGACGCAGTTCGGAAAAACAGATCCGCCGAATTCTCCCAGTTCTGGAAAACATATATCATGGCGATGACTCAGGTATTCATTCCATCCTCGTCGCTTGCTTAGATATCACCTTCAGTTCCATTCAGAGATCCCCCCATTTCGTTTCGGACTGTTTTATGGTTTCACCCCCTTTACAGCGTTCAGCGTTCTTGTTAGACAGTAAATCATGGAAGGAAAGAAGGTTCTCGTGGTCGGTGCGGGACCCGTAGGATCTCTTGCTGCAATCTATGCTTCCATACGAGGTGCAGACGTGGAGGTCTATGAACTTAGAAATGGTGAGTCGGGAGCCCATTTTAGCATCTGTAGCTAACACGAGGTCTGCCCCTAGATCTACGGAATATCGACACCACTCCGCTCAATTTCACAAAATCCATCAACCTCGCCCTTTCCGAACGGGGCATCAACGGGCTTCGATCTGCTGGAAATCCCGAACTCCTGGAAGCAGTCCTAGCCCAAACCATCCCGATGCATGGTCGAATGATCCACACTCGTTCGCCGACAGGGGCTCGGTCTGAGCAATCTCAACTTTATGATGTCCACGGTCGATTCCAACGTTCCGTCGACCGCGGTGCGCTCAATCGAGTTCTTCTTGATTACCTCGAATCCCTACCAAACGTCAAGTTATTCTTCCAGCACAAAATGACAGGAGCCGATTTTCGGGTAAAGAAGGCTTGGTTCGAAGTCTCTGATCGAAGCAGCACTTCGGACCGACCCAAGGAAGTGGAAGTGAATTTTGATCTCATGATCGGTGCGGATGGCGCACATTCAGCCACTCGATACCACATGATGAAGTTCGCCCGTACAGACTACCTCCAGGAATATATTGACTGTCTATGGTGCGAGTTTACCATGCCGCCCACCGAATCTGGCGATTTCGCTATCTCGCCAAACCATCTACATATCTGGCCGGCCGGAAGCTTCATGTTCATCGCGCTTCCCAATCTTGACAAATCATTCGTGTGCACTTTCTTCGGTCCCGTCGAGCTCTTTTCCAGGCTTGAGAAAGAACCAGACTCAGCGCTTCTCGATTTATTTGACAAGTACTTCCCAGGGCTTACTGATCACATCAAACCTGGCGACCTGGTGTCTCAATTCAAACGAAATCCACATCTACCACTTATCAATATCAAATGCTCTCCCCATCATTTCCACGATAGCGTGGTAATCGTCGGCGATGCTGCCCACGCCATGGTCCCTTTTTATGGCCAGGGCATGAATGCGGGCATGGAATCAGTCCGAGTGTTGTTTTCAAAGCTGGATCAGTTCCCCAATAATACCGCTGAAGCGCTTGCCAGTTATACTATCGAGCGAACGGAAGATGCCCATACCATTGCTGACCTTGCACTTGGGAACTATCAGGAGATGCGACATTCGGTTACGTCGCCATTGTATAAGCTGCGCAAGTTCGTCGAGGAAAGTCTGGACAAATACTTTCCAAGTTTGGGATGGGCGACTCAATATTCCCGCGTCAGCTTCAGCAACATGAGGTACAGTCAAGTGGTGCAACACTCAAGGAACCAGAAACGCATTCTCAGCGGTATGCTGCTGGCTCTGGCTGCACTTGCAGCTTCAGGCCCTGCTGCTGCTATATATCTGTTTGCCATTCGTTCAAGGCTTATGAAGAACGTCAAATTCCCGTGGCCCCGAAGATGAATGCTTGGTAGCTCATTGTATCATAACGTATCGAGAACCCACGTCTAGGAGACGCTGTATTCTTTACCTCACAAATGACGTTAAGAGAGACAAATCAGCTTTGATGGTCGCGATGCAGGTGATGTCTATACCATCCACGAGGTCGTTGTCGACAAAGTCTGAGGTCTCAATAAATGCATTGCATCCGACAATGCTGGTTTTGCAATGAGCGCTGATTTTGAGCAAACCTCCAAGACCACTCCGTAAACACCGATCGCAGCTTAAATTCCACTAAATGGTGGAGACATAGTGCACTTCCAACCTGCACACTGGCCTAGTACGAACGTTCTCGTGCTGGCGTCGCGCTGGCACAGGGCCTCTTTAGCGATGTTAAAAAGACAGCTCGAATCTCTCTGCAGCTGGGCCTCTACGCGAACAACGTGGGTAAGACTGATCCTGACCAGAGAACCACGGCGGCAGTTGGCATTTCCAGGCAAGAACAAGCTTCGCTCCAAAGCACAGAGTAAAACCATGGTCTCAGTCATGCAACTTTCCATTCGCACATTCTTATCGTACGGTATGTCGAAGTACTGGTCTCCTGAGCCACGTCGGATGCTTTCTCAGCTTTGGAATGGGCGGTTGAAAGCACGCCATTGTGCGAAATATCGCGGAATGTCCAGGGATTCTTTATCTAGTGCTGGTATCCGAGAACCCTCGAATTCGTACTGACGTCTCAAAGTTCATGCGAAGCTTTCTTACCCGGTCCAACAAAACCACACCTCAGTCCTGATCAACAAATAGTTCTCACCACAATGGGGGATGCAGGACCATTACAAGAGTCCTCAACGCTCCGAGTAGCCATCGTCGGCGGTGGTCCGGCTGGTCTTGGCGCGGCCATTGCTCTCTCAGCCTTGCCGAACATCCAAGTCTCGCTCTTCGAACAAGCCAAGGAACTTCGCGAGATCGGCGCAGGGATCCGTATTGGATACAATTGCTGGAGAGTGCTTGAGTTATTGGGCGCCGCCGAGGACGTCAAAGGTCACCACAAGACCTCCATTATACACCGGTAGGTCATGCTACACAGACCCTTCCTTTTTGTGTACCTCGGATCTGTCTTTGCGCCGAGTATTGTCTAACTGGCGAGGCGAACGATCTAGAAACGGCCTCACTGGCGAGCTAGTAAAGCAAACTGGTCCCGTCGATCTGCCGTTGAGATACCAGCCACGACGGGTGCGGAGGACTCGCCTGCAATCCGCGTTAAGAGCCCAAGTTGCTCCGGGCATCATTCAATTAAACAAACGGCTATTGTCGCTGGAGGATTTGGGCGACAGTGGCGTGAGACTGACGTTCCAAGACGGCACGATTGCGGAAGCGGACCTTGTCGTTGGGAGTGATGGCATTCGATCTGTGAGTTTGACTTTCGACTCCCCCAATGCGTCCTTGACCAGAGGCACAACTCAACCGTGGTCATGTTGTCTTCTTCACGGTATGGTCCATTCTGACATGTGAGAACAAAAAAAGGTAGTAAGGGATCATATATTCCCAGAACACAAGATCAGGTTTACAGGTTTGAGATCCCCCGTCCTCGTCGTCCCCAACGTCTTCTTGAAACATGTGAGGTGAAGCCAACGATGATGCCGGACAGGCACTACGATATGGCGCGTCATAATCCCCGTATCGAAAATCTCGAATGTTCCCGAACTTACCGTCTCGACGTCTTGGTGGCACGGTCCGTCGGGCCATGTATACCATTCCTTCGTCGATGATCCGGACGAGACGCCGGAAGAAGAGCGCTACATCGAGATAGCCGCCAGGAACGTCGTCGATCCGGCTACCGTGACCGGGAAGACGTTCAGTTGGGGTATCCCTGCCACGAACGAACGAGTCCAGTCGCACTTTGAGGTAGTCTCTCGTCCTTGTCCCAGCGACCCCCTTCATCTGCGCATTACTCCCCCGCCTCTCAGACGACACTTTTTTCTGACATGGACTGAATGGACAATTCGAGATGAAAAGCTAATTCATTCCCTGGGTGCACATAAATAGGACTACGACGCTCGAATCCGCGAATTCCTCGCCCAAGTGCCCGAAGGCCAATGGAAAGAGTTCGCAGCCTTCGCTGGGCCCAGGCTGGACAGATTGACAGGCTGGGACAAAGTCGTATTGTTAGGGGACGCGAGTCATCCACTGTCTGGTAAGCTTGGTACCTGTCTCCACCACTTTATCGACGCTGTCCTACCTTGCTTGGTAGGTTAGGTATCGATGGTGGTGGTGGTGGTGCAGTATATATACCTGGACGTCGCTTCATGATTCTGAGTTACCCTAACCATGCATTCGTCATCAGGGGCATTTGGATCCGGTGCCGCATTCGCCCTGGAAGACGGCTGGATCCTCGCGCGAACCATCGAACACGCATATGCCCAAGGGGGGGCCACCTCGACCTCGCAACCGTTGAGCAAAGCACTCGACGTGTTCGACCGCATACGGTCACCGTATTATTCGAGAATGTAAGTCCTGAGAGAACCGGTGACCTCCGCACATTCAGTTCGACCTCGCAGCGAAAGCGCTCACACACACACACACACACACACACTCACCCACTCACCCACTCACCCACTCACCGCTCGAGAGAGTCTCCGTCCTGACCTCCTGACTAACTTGAACGTCTTTGAAAACAAATTAACAGGTACCAATACCTCGACGGTCTGAAGCAAAAGACATCTCGGCCCAAAGACTCAAACGCAACGTTCGCATCGACCTTGAAATCGCGGATCGAAGCGTTTGGAGGCGAAGAGGCCCTGCCGTGGATATACCGTAACGACATCGAGGGCGTTTGGCGCGACTTTGTCCTCGCCGAGCAGGCAGAAGCTCCCCAAGTCAGTCCCGCAGGAGAAGCGGTGTCCGGCTGAGACTCGATTTGTCTATACTCATACCGGTTCATGCTCAACAGAGTCCAGGCTCGCGCGGTTCCAATCTCACCATTTTATCCGGAAGACGAGTACGTGAGGAGGGACGAAGTCGCATCTATCTATGTACGCTCCTATATACGGAATTTGGTATTAGACTGAACTAGATTTCTCCTCCAAGTGGTTTTCCTCAATCGACGCCTCAATGTGTTTTCGCTGCTTTGCATACCTACCTACTTCGACTCGTATCTAGGTAGGCCTTGCGATGCTCTCTCTGTATGACCCTCAGAGAGTACAAGGCACCAAATAAAACCCCGCTATGCGTCTCATGCAAGTAGACCCAAACGTGCGCCATGCCGCTATGCGAAACATCGCCATAAGCCCTCTCACATCTTGAGCTGGTACGAAGTAGGCAGCGCAAAAAAATAGAACAACAAACAATAACAACCAACCACCCCCCCCCCGGTGCCGCATCTCAGCTTCGACATTCGCGTCTTTTTGCCTGTTCTTCCCCGACGGCACCCTTTCTACTGTAACCCTTACTCCTGCCATCTTCCTTGGGCTACGACAAAATTTGCACCTCGTTCTCGCCAACGTCCCCGTCCTTATCACCACCTTCGATACGCAACATCCTCCTCTCCACCTTGACAGGTTTGAATTGATGCCAACAATTGGGCGCCTCTAGCACGTATCGGTTCATTGCTTCGCGGAACCTTCTTTTGTACTCCTTAGGACTTGTCACTGTGGGCCGGTTCTTCCCTCCACGTGCAAAACCACGGTCCTTGATCCAACTCTCAAGCTTCTTATCCCAAGTATACGTGCGAATACAGTCGATGATCCCCACAACGAGTTCCTTCCTTACTTCGTCAATGGCGACCATCAACGAATAGTCCATGACATTTTGCCTGGCCAAGAAGAGTGTATCGTTGTGAACACTGCTTCGCAGGAGCTTCTTGCTATGCTCACGTGTGAACAAGGGAGACTCGTAGATGAATTCCACCATGTTCTCATCCAAGAGTACTTCGTTCTGCTCGCCAGTGGCGTTGATCTTGCGGTTGCGCATGCTGCCTTTCAGATCAAAAATTCGCGTGGGAATACGATCGTAGAACAGGTTCTCCATCACCAACAGAAACCAATTGTACTCGAGACCCGTCACTGGGTTCTTGATGATGATTTGGTAGAAGCCCAACATCTTCGCGATTACAGAGGGCAACTCATGGAAGAACGCCTCGGACATGATCTGGAAGTAGTTCGGAGCGAACTTGAGAAATGACTGCGTTTCGATAGGTGAAAGTGACTTCAGCACGAATCGATCGTCCAAGGTCTTGAGAAAGAGGGACTTTGTCTTTCCACCTTTCGAGTCCCATTTGGCACATCTCGAGAGTGACTCGATGATTCTATCAGCAACGCCGCATTTCCTGCGGACAGCGTCAAATTGCTCAGCGAAGAATATCTTGCAGAGCATCTTGGCCGGCCCTTCCTGAAACTGGTATTTTAGGTGGGTACCAGTCTTCCGTAGCAGAGAGTGCATGACATCGGCCTGCAGAGCGTCCGAATGATCATGTCCACCCATATAATGCACACTATCGCGGACAGGACGATTTTGCAAATCCTGCAGCATGGTTTTGTAATCTTGCGAGTCAAGGGCGAACGCAATAATGGAGCTTGGCTCATCTTCACGAACGATGATGTCGCAATCGGCAAAGATATGATCTGATGCTCCAAGAGGATACTCAAGTGGAGTCCATCCACTTGCTGATCGTTCGGCCCAGAAATTGGTCAACATCTTCATGAGAGAGGTACGTTCGTGTTTGGGAAGTTCTTTGAGATCCATATCTTCCTGGGACATGCGTAGCAGGTCTTCGGGTGAGTCCGGAAGGTATATCTCTTCTGAAACCTCTTCAACATCGCTTCGATCTTCGTTCTCAGAAGGAGCGTGACTCGAGATTTGCGCATCTACCTCATTCTCCAAGTTATCGGGTGATGCCGTTGTCAACAAAGGGTGCGCCTCCCGCTGAGTAGTTTCGACTTGCGCCAAACCTTGCACCAGATTTGCTGACGTTTGGTCAATGTCCGGAGCCTCGTCCATACCGAAGACATCATCCGAGTCATCTCTTTCTTCAACTGCCTCGTCAACATCTTTGTAGACCTCAACGATTGGCTTTGACACTGCCAATGGATAGATCCTGGACTGTCTATTCCTAGCGGCCCTCAACTTCCTCTCTCTAATTCTCTCACGTTCAAACTCGCGACTAAGCTGTTCGAAATGCTTGGCTAGGTTTGACACGCGTGATTCTTTTCGTTCCTTGATCGCTCGTGGTATAAGCGAATGTCCTTTGGAGAATGTATTCTTTTTGAGCTGTGAGAGTCCCAATCGTTCAGAAAGCTTTTTGTCGGGAACGGGGAGGTTAGAATCAGAACTGATTGCTGGCAAAGAAGGATTATTTTTGGAAGATCCAAAACCGTTCATAGCGTTTATTGCCGACAATGTGCTAGATGGTGGTTGGCCAGCGGTCTGGCGTAGAGATAGAACCCCGGCTGGCTGAGAATGTGCGCGAGATAGCTTCGGAGAGGTGACTTGACCATCAGCCGTTCGCCGCACTGACGATGATTGAGCGTGATCTTCAGCTGACACAGGCATATCAATCGCCTGCGTTTTGGGACTGGTAACCGGGGTCCCAGACGCTTCAGTAGTTCGGGAAAGGGTAGTAGAAAGTTCGGAGACAAGTGCTTCTCGTTGCTCGTCGGTCGCTGCATCCTCTGCAGCGATGGAAGGAATGGTTTCTCGGTGGCCCGGCAATTCTATTGCAAGATCCAGATGTTTGACATCTTCAATATTCCTTGGTCCATCCAATACAGAAGGAAGACTTTGGACGTCCTTTTGCGTCGATGCCGGCGACAATAGTGCCTCGTCTTCTGTCGATGCGTGGTTAGAATGCTCATTGAGGACAGATTGAAGGACATCCTGCGTCTTCTCCGGGGAAAGCTTTGAACCTCTGCGTAGTTCAAGCATATCGGGTCGTTTCTCTTCCAATTCTTCCTTTTCATCAAACCTGTCGTCGGTGGATGGCGTTGCCAGACCCTCATCCTGGGTTGTAAGCGAGGTCACCGAAACATCACGATCTAGGAATATTTTCTTGAGCTGCAAAGTGGCTAGTCTCCGGATATCTTTTTCTGAAGGGAAGAAGTCCCGCTCGAAGTCAGAAAAGACAGTGTCCCATTCTGATACCTTTTCTTGACTCTCTCGTACGATGCTGTTCAAAGGGATGGTCTCCCAGTACCTTGAATTTGTGTAGCTTTCTTGAAGCTTCTTGATTAGGCTGGCATGTTCTTCGGTGGCTCTCTTAGTTAGCTTCTCAATCTCAGCGCGACAGGCCTCTGCAGCCTCAGGTAATACAGCATCGACATTGATGTTCTTTAAGCGAAGTTTGACGGATACCATGAATCGTGTAATTCGCTGTTCCAACCGCGTATATACTTCATTACGAAATTTCAGGTCGTTGTCAACTTTCCAAGTGATTCTCATTCTTGGAACAATGATCTCCAGAAGATCGATAGGATCATAATGAACGCGCAAGGCAAAATCCTTGTACCCAAAGTACCTCAGGTGGTCTCGATGAAGGTCGTGAGGACAGATTCCAGCTCGAGCGTGAAGATCTGCACTCCAGAAGGAGAGCTCGAGGTATTTTCCGAAGGAGTATTTCCAGGTACTTGGTGACATAGGGGTGACAGTTGTTTCGACGCCGCAGACTTTACACTGACTCCACATGAGTATAACATCTTGGAAACCACGCATCTTTGCGGGATATGGTAGTACAAAAACCGTAACTTGGGCTTCCCCATGCACGTACTGTCGGTGATGATCGTGCATCTTCTTTTCACAAGCTTCTGATTGGCAAGCCTCATTTGCGCGATAGCAGAGATCCTCAACATATTGCCCAAGTGTGCAGTCGGCTTCAAATTCGGCTTCTGTCTCGTGCTCATTGTAGAAGCTGAAGGCCAAAAGATCCGGTCCTGAGCATGGTACAGAGGTTTCTGTGGAGACGAGACTGAACAGCACCACGATGTTCTGGTGGGCGAATGGATCGAAGAGATTGCGGTTTCCCGAAAGGTAGGTTTCCCACTGCTTCTTTTGAGTTTCGTAATTGTAGACGGCTTTGTCGTACTCAGCGTCGTGAACAGCATGAATAATTTCCCTGACCTTCTTGCTCGCTCCAGCTAAGGGTCTATGAACCATCTCGGGCTGCAGCAGGGTAAACTTGGCAGTCTTGCCCTTGTCTTCTATTGCTTGCTCGGCAGACAAATCCTGGTCTCTAAGTCTTTTAAGATATACCACCCGCCTCTCTAACTCACGGGCACGCATTAACAGATAAGGTTGCGAGAACTTGACGAATGGCGATGCGGAGAGAATCCGGGTTTCATGCTTCAGTACAAGGTCTTCATAAAACGTAGGCACGGGAATGTCGTCCGGAATGTGGACCGAATCCGCTGTGTCCATTCTGGTGGCTGTCATGGTAGTACTGTCCCTTTCCGAGGAGTCAGCCTCTGTGTTGGAGGTATCGGCTTCTGCCTTCGGTAGACTATCAACATTGGTTGCTTCTGTTTCTCTGGTTTTCGTAGGTTGAGGAGCTTCATTGCTCACCGAAGGTGCCTTGCAAGTTGTATTCGCTGATCCAGTAATAACAAGGTCTGCTCCTTGCACAGTTGGAGCACTTGGAATGAGAGCCCACTCATCTCTCATCAAGCAAGTCTCTAGCTTCAGGTTATATACAACATACACCATGAATTCCGTGACGTGCTTGATCTTAGTAAGTGTTTGCCGATCGGCACCCCTTAGCGCGATCGTGCAGCCAAGAGCTGGAGGGCAGCCGGATAGATAGACGTATGTTTTCTTTCGGCCTTCGGCTACGAAGGTCTTGACCTCGAAAGAATCACAGCGGCCGAAGGGGTCCGCCTGTGATGTGAGCTTGTCCATTGAGTGCATGACCCGAGCTCGTGTGCATCTTGAGACAGCTTCGAGGACAGACGATTTGACGTTGAATATCGTCGTTATCTTGGCCTTCTCCAAAAGATCCAATGCCAGCCCAGAGATGTTGCGCTGAGCCAAAAGAACATCCGGTTTTAGGGCAGCAATACGACCCACAAGATTGTTCAGGTACTCCCTTTCCTGCCTAATGACAGGGTCCAGACTCAGAAAATGCTGCTCATGTCGAGCGTATTCTAGAGCAAAAGTGATGATCAAGATTTTGGGATTTGAATGGGAGCGAGCCATACTCTTCAGAGCCACATTCTTTGTGAATACCAGACCAGAAATGTATGCTGTGTCCCCTGGTTTCCCCCCCGGTATTTTCTTTAGCTTCACATAGTTGCGAATATCTATGTCATCACCGCCCTGAACATCGGGATCAACGTCGTCGGTAGCTTTGAGAAGGATCGGAATCAGGGCATCTTCCCAACTCGACACCTTTGGGACATCAGCATCTTTAAGAAGCTGCTGAAGAAGCTTATGTACGTGTTGTATACTGGCACGGTTGAGTTCCATTGCCGGAGCAGCCACTCCACGCATAGACGCGCTGCGGATCATCCGTGACCGCCCACGGTAGATGCTGGAACTCTCGGCCGCAGAGTCCTGTACATCATCCTGAGTCGGAATGATTATCTGTAACCGTTCTCTTGTTGTCCGAGGTGTCCTTTGGTGAATGCTACTCGAGACACTGAGATTTCGTTTTCGAGAGCCTCTCAAAGATTCAACATTGCGAGAGCCAACTACGCTGGCATCGTCGTTATCCTTTCCCAGGCTCAGGAGTCCCGCAATGCTGCGATCGCCAATTCGAGATCGCCCTTTTCGTACGGCAGCGAGGAGGCCACCGATCGCAGTTCTATCGTTGCTGGGCCCGCTACTCGAGAGCTTGTCCGCGCTTATGGCGTCGTTGATGGAGGGCTCATCCTCACTAGATGGGTCATCAGAGAGATATTGTGCAAGGTCGGGATCGATGATACTGTCACGGTGGAAAGCAGACGATTTCCCTTCTTTTAGAACTTCCTCGGCAGCGCGCCGTTGAAAAGGTGCACGATCTTCGTGATAGGCTTTGAAATTTCGGATATGTTGGTGCTTATTAGAATGATGTCGCTTATGGCCGTGACCAATAGAGTGAGTTGGTTTCAATGACCTGGACGAGCTTGGTCGAGGCAACGGACGGTCTGTGGTGTCGAATTCAAGGACAGCCGAACTCCGATTAGCACCTTCAAACGCCCGCCGAAGAGGGAAGCTCATAGTAGGAGTCTTTGACATTTGCTCCAAGGATTGGGAAGCCAGAGAAGCATTATCATCATCATTGCGTGCAAGCACCCGAGTTTGAAAATTTGTTTCCGGCGTACGAGGACGTGCGCCAACCTCTGTGAGAGATAGATCTTCGACTGAGTAGTCGGAAGAATCGTCATCGTGAGAAGTGATGATGGATTCGCAAGGTTTACAGACACGAACAGCACTGTTGGCTCCGAAGTGACTTCCGCTAATAACGACAGTACACTTATTATCGAAGATCTGTCCGCAGGTCCGGCAGTGATGCTTGCGACGGAATGTTGTGAACGGTTCACCACAGTGGAAGCAATCCTTGGCATTCTCGTCCCGCATCCAGAACTCCTTGCTCAGAAGCTTGCTCCTCAACCGGTTGACAGGACGTGCTTGAGAAGCTCGCAAACCATCATCCAAATCGGTACCTGTGGAGTCGTCTCGTCTGGGACGCGACATTCTCGTTAGAACCGTGGAATCAGATGAAGACGTCCGGGAAGTGCGAAAGCCTGGTAACTTGGATTGGCTGATTCGGGGCGCGAGCTTTTCAGAAGGGCGTGACTCTGAAGTCATGGAAACGGGTGATTTTAGAGCCGGAGGATCGTTTGGTTTTCCGTGCGGCCCTGGATGGCTTCTGCTAGCATGAACAGCATTCTCGGCAAGCAGGTCCAATGGGTTGCTGTGGTGTTTCTGAGACGACGTGACGTCCTGCCTGGAAGTAACACGGGAAACAGACACATCTCCACTAGGCGTGGATTGTTGTAAGTTTGGCAAAGCGTCTAAATGACTCGTATGGCTCTGCGTGGAAGCGGACGATAGCCCGCGCTCGTGCGACACAGCCAGTTTGGAGTTTGGTCTTTGAGAAGCAGAAAGTCGAGGCGAGGTAATATGACGATTAGTCCTATCAGTTGTGGTACTCTCGGTGTTAGGTTTCGAGAAAACTCTCCGGAGCCCGTCGCTGTCGGTAGCTGCTGTCATGTTCCTCTCCCCTTTGGGTGATTCAAGATCGAAGCCAGACCCAGTTCTTGAGTGCCCCCCTGCACCGACAGCATGAATATTGACATTTGTAACAGAAGGATCAGCTAAGTGGGCTGAAGGCTGGGGATGACCAGTAGGCGATCTGATCGAGGGAGTCGACGGCAGGGACACCTTAGATATACTTGTCGCTTTAGAGGACATCTTGGACGCATATGGGTGCTGCTCAACAGCAACAGGAGAGTCAAAAGCAGGCAGCCTGGGCGACTGCGCTTTGGACGTTAGCCCAGAGCTCGGTTTAGAAGCCACCAAATCCTCCGGAAGGATCAGTGCAACTGGTTCTTGATGGCGGTCTTCGCTTTCTTTCACAGCGCCCACACTGGCCTTGAGTTTGTTGTAGAGACCTGAAATCCCGCCCTGTATCTCACCGGCCAACGATTTGTTTTCATGATTCGAGGCGGCCGCGGGAGGATCTGTATACTCGTTGAAGACGGTGAGATTGTTCGACTGAGAGGCTGCGGTATGGATGGTATTGAGGGCATGGTTGAGGGCATCCTGATCTAAATCAGTAGACAAGGAGGATTTGGAGTCTCTCCGGCCCCTTCGTCCAAGTGGAAGAAAAATGGATGAGGCAGAGGGACTAGGGTTGTCTTGAGTAGAAGACGCCATGATGCATCAGTCTGGCGGCCTCTCGGCCACAAAGTATCTGTGATAACGGCGAGAGGGCTTCATGCTCGAAGTCCCATGATATCATGGAGGATGAGATAACGTCGAGAGTCGCGTTCTGGTGACTTCTAGAAGGCCGCGGTGAACAAAGCAGCTGTGATACGACAGGCTTCAAGACAAGTTGAAGGCGGCAGACAAACCGGACACTCGGACTCGGGCGGCGACAGTGATGGATGGCACCAATGCGAGGGACTCTCTGCTACCGTAGGTACGCCGTACGAGTACGAGATCGGTTGCCGCCACCTTCCTACTGACAATATGGATACATACATGTACCTACCCCAACGTCATCCTTGGCAGGCCCGGCGCGTCTCGACGAAGAACAATTTCTCCAGACGCGACTTGCACATACCACGTGCATCTCTGAACGCATCTCTCGACACCGCCGGCCTCACCTTACTTTGCAACTCACGTAATTTCTACCCTGCTCCCGACCGTGCCCTGACTCCAGTGTGAGGCCACAGAACTGTCACTACCAACACCTATGAAGAGTGGCAGCAGATGGCTAGCCACGAAGCGTGGCTCGGTGCTTTCGTTGTTCAAGGCTTAGACGAGTACCTGCGCTTCGTTCAGACTGGCCAGCCCATGGTTGAGTATGGGTATAAAGTCGAAAGTGGTATTGTCAACATTTGGCGCAGGGACGCCTTCGTCCGCTCACTTTGCACAATAGAGGTACGGCACATGGCACCGGGCAAACATGATTGCTAACTGGAATGCAGACCCCTCAAGCCCCTCAGACCACTCGAGTCCAGGTGACCGACGGGAGACATTGTTTACCAGCAGTATTCTGGAGGGTTGCGGAAGAAGGCCTTGAGCGTATTGGAGTCGAGCAAGCTCATCTTACCGGGTCGACGGTCAATCTCCAAGTTACCAGACCGATCATAAGCATCGACTGCAGCTATCCGCATGAAACGCTGGAACTGCGCTTGGAAATTGAAAAATGCGAACCTATACAGAACGATAGTGCCAAAGCTATTCGTCAAGTCGAACGCCAACCACTGGGAACCTTGCCGAGTGTAAAACAGAAGATGCTCGAATTTACCACACAATGGTCCGCTCAAAGTCGCAATATCGGCACACCAAAGGGTAGTCCTAGTGGATCGATCCGATCGCAGGCTCGGTCCAGCCTGGGCAATGCTTCTGACGCTGATGATGATATCTCTCAGGTGCCGTTTCAAAGTCAGATAAACGTTGTCACGTGCGGTCAAAAATCGTCAATGCCGTCTCCCACTGTAAATCATGAAGAGACTCTACGTACTGCTTCGACCCTCATCGGACGCGCAAATGCCTTAGCGCAGACCATCAGCAAAGAAACCAGGCTCTCTCCGGTTCAACAAACCAATCCAGTGACTGCGCAGAATGAGGAGGACGTCACTCCCCACGTTTCAATCAAGCCTGTTCTCCGCGATCTCACTAGACACGGGCCGGCGGCAGAGGTGGCTTTGAACGAAGTTGTGGATGGCGAGCAAGGCCTACATAGCCGAGAGAGTGTCCAGGATGAATGCGGAGCCAACCATTTTGAGAGCGCAAAGAGAAGTGATCAGATAGGTGGTACAGCTCGGTATCCAGACCCTACACGATCGGCCGGGTCAAAACAGGAGTCCTCCCAATTACCAACATCGCTGATTCGTCATTTCAGACGGTGGAGAGAAGAGGCTCAGTCGGGACGCTACATTCCCAGATATCTACAAAAGATCCCCAGGGATCAAGAAGCGCTCCTCGAGTCTGATGACAGCTGGCAGCCAGCTCTTGTCGGGCGTACCGTCATGCCAGGACAAATCCCTATACATCTCAACGAGCGATTTATGAAATTTGCAGAACAAAAGGATTCGCTAGTTGAAGAACAGTTGCCAACCAATGAACCCATACCAGAACTTGAGAAGCCTATAACCCCTGAAATCAAAAGGACACTCCATGAACGTTACCTCGATAATGCAGCCAGTGATCTCGAGGACTCAGTTGCATCGTGGTCACCAAGCCCACCAACTCAAGATCGCCGTCGCCAAGCATTGCCAGCAGACAGCCCTTTGCCGAGTGCACGACAGAGGAGAAACTCTACATTGAAGTCGGCAGCTATAAAAGCAGAGGCGCCTCCAAGGACGCGGTCCGTCACGTCAAAATGCGGTGGCGACAATCAGCCGCTGCTTTCCTCATCGTCATCCCCGGTGGACGAGCATCCGATGGTCCAACCCGACAGCCTAGTAACTAATCGTAATCTTTCAAGGGAGGAACAGGTAGCGCACCGCGTGCCTGACCCCTCCCGAAACGGAACATCCGTCTCCGAAACTACAGCAGCAGATGCTCTGAAGAGTAGCATTCAGCCTGTCGTCGAGAAATCCGTGGCAGGCTCAAAGAAAGCAAGCAGCCCACAGGAAAAGCTTGTTCAGGTCGAAAGGACACCCTACATACCTAAGCGTCCTCTGACCCGGGTTGTCAAGACCGCGTTCAAGGGCACAGATAATACTCATGATTCTGGCCTGGCATCGTCTGGCTGTATTCCTTGCTCGTATGATGAACGCAGCTGTGCATTGCTACCTGCAATGCAAGCAGATGCGGGTGTACCTTTGATCGGGAGTTGCACTATTCCTCGAACAGACACCTTACAATCCAAATATGCTGGTGCTATTGGTTCAGCAAATGAGTACAGCCATTCCCTCTCTACCGGGGGTATGCAGCAACGGGAGAGTATACCACCGACAAACAAGACTAACGATGAAAATGGCCCAGGAGTGAACGCCGACAAACAAGCTGGGATCTCGTCTGAGAATGCCGACTCGGTGCGGTTAGCCAGCTCCTCGGAGCGATCCCGACGTCCAGGCTCCACAACATCTCAAGGTGATCAGAGATTGGAAGCAGAGCAAAAAACAGTAAGATCTCGTTCTGAGACTGCTGAAACCGTTCCCGCATCCCAGATTTTGTTGAATTCGTTGACCTCTCATGAACATTCGGCTGAGGCCAGCGGTGGTGCGGCTAGTGCGATGACGGGTCAACCACGGGATATTTCAGACGTTGTAGCGAATATTCCTGTTCCTCACTATGTTTCCGAGCTTAGAGATCATCGTCGAACGGCACTGAAGGCCATAAGTAAGCAGCCTTTGCAATCGAGGAAGTCCAGTTCATCTGCGAGGGACACCACCAGCAGCGACGGAAATGATCAATATGGCATAGCTGGTGATGGGAGCCCAATCTTGCAAACGGAAGCTCCATCTCCACAACTGTCCACTCCGAACAATCAATTCTCAACCTATGGTCGTGCTGAGGGTTATTTGAAGATGCAGCCGAGCGATTCTATCTCTCACGCAGCGACACCTCTAGTCATCGATCTTCAGCCCGTCTTTAGGAGATATCAAAATGCTTATGCAGATTACCGGGGCGACTTCACCGCATTTGAGACCGCATGTCGCTTACTCGGTAAGTTCTGGAGGTTGGGAAAAGAACTGCACTCCTACCTCTATGATGACGCGATATACCATCACCACCATGGATTTCGATGGTATCTCTTACATGAAGGTCCTGATGAGGACACTAGAATTATGACCTTTTATGAGTACTATCTCCAAAGAGTTGTTAAACCTACTCACACCAAACGTGTTGTTACCAAGGCAGTTGTTGAGAACTTGCCCGGACCTCGACCCCTGGAGTTGTTTCGACAAATGGAACCGCCTCTGCGCACTTCTGACGCGGCAACATCCCCGTTTCCCAACGCGAATGAAAGTATTTCTATTCTGCCGGCTCCTACCATGCTCTCAGACGTACCTATAGGAAAAGGGCACACTGGGCACTATGCATCGCAACCCGGCAGCGCCGTTGAACAATGGCGCCGGGAGATTTCTAGATTGCCCTCTCCGGAACTAGGAACTCCTGGTGTCGACCGCGGTCAAGTGGATGTTGTCTCATCCCCAGAGATCACAAATAGCGAGATCGGGCACGGCCTGCCTGCCGTTCAAGAGAGTAACTCCTCAGTACGTCAGGCCGCTTCTGTCCTACCCTTGCAAAAGTCGAGAGAAATGGAAGTCTCGAAGAAGAGAAAGAGGTCGCCCACCTTGAGGAATGTTATTCCGAATTCACTGGAGGCAGAAGTATCTGTTACTCCTAAGCGTGCTAAAGGCTCCAAGCCTTCAGCAAATCCTTTCGTGAAGCCATCCCGACCCGCTTCTGCCACAGCATCAACCGTGAAGATGACACCTACGCAGAGGGCACAAAGATGGTGGGTCGACTCTGATACACCGTTCAAACGATTTGAGCGGCATTATTCCTCTTTAACTCGAGAAACGCTGACCGGCAACAAGGGCAACCATACAACGACGTATCAGCCTGGGTACGTCAAGAAGATCGAGATCTTTTCTTGGAGACCTTGAGGCGGCATTTAGGACAATAAATAGGGCATGAACAGTTCCGGGGGACAGGGCGATAAATTCGAAACAGCAGACCTCAATCTAGAAAGGTTTTATTGCAGTTGCAAAGAAGAATCTGTGCGATATTTCGGTTTCCCCTTGGGAAGGACAAACTACCTTCATGGGGTCCTATTTACTGTGCTGATGTCAGAGCTTGCATTGCGCCGACAACAGCTGTAAGTGTGCCAGTGGATTTGTCCCCGTGCTTAAAATACCATGCGCTGCTCGCCCAGTAGAGCGCCACCAAGATCCCAGCAATAGCCCGCTCAATTGTAGTCCAGGTCGATGGGTCCCGTTGTGACATTTGATATGTGTGTAGTCCTGATCAGCATGTCAATTATTTTGCCAAGTTCGTCTCCCTGCTATCGAAGTCGACAGTTATTTTTAGAGAAAGAAGTCAGACACTTTTTAGTCTTTGATTGTCCCTCTCTTTCTTTTTTCTTTTTTCGTTTTGCCTTTTTCCTTTCTCCTTTCTTTTCCCCTTTCTTTTTCTTCCCCGTTTGTTCTTTTATTTGAGATGTTTGGGAAAGTCACGTTACACACTGGAGTTGTGCGGTGAGCACGTACCTGCAATCAAGAAAAACGCTGAACCTTGGTACCAACCGACACGCGCGTAGGCGAAGAGAAGTCTAGGTAAGGTCGACCATTGACCACGAGAGAAGACGTCTAGGCCGAAGACCTGGTCTCTTTCATATCAGCTAGCGCCTCTACGCGAGAAAGAAGAGGCGACAAACGGTGTGTCCGATGGCGACTCCAACGTGTGCGATGGACGTTGCGAGGGCGAGGCGAGACATTGCTGCTGCTGTTGGTTGTCGTCCTCGTTCAGTCTGCTTATCCTAAGAACTCGGTAGGAGACGAATGCTGGACGACCTGTGTCGAACCAAAAAACAAGGCACAGGGGATCCCGGATCGATACTCGACTGAATGGACTAAAGTTTCTCCAACTCCAGTTTGCTTTGTCATCACCCTCGGCTTGTGTTTTGCCATGAATGGATTCTCGAGTCGGCTTGGTCTGCGCTTCTGAAAGACAGCTTTGTTTCTATGTTCAGATCGCTTTCATGTTACATGTCCCACGAGTCTCCTGGCTATGTTACAGTTTCCGTTATTACAATCGAGTCCTTTCTTACCATTGATCTACTGGGGGTCCGGGCGCGGCGAGAGAGTCTCGTCAGAGTGGGATAAAGGTAATCGCTATTACGCACAACTGCGTCTGTATTACGCACAAAGACAAGGTGCTATACCCGATTAGGCTGTGGTATATCTGTTGCAACTTTCCCTATTCCCGCTCCTATTCCTGTGATGTATCCTGTGATGTGAGCAAATGACCGGAGAATCAGGTTGCGGGCAAATTTACATGGCAAAGCCTTCCTCCTTGCATGACTTGGTGCATAGTCTCAACCTGTCAAGTGACGATATTTGACGTTCCATTCTATCGATTCCAACTGCCATTCAAACATGCCTGGTATCACAGAGCTAAGTGCAGTTCCTCGTCGTCGTCGACGTCCTCCGCGGCCTCTTATTGCCGTCTGTCTCGGTCTTAACTGTCTCCTTGCCTCCTCTATCGCTTGTTCAGCCCCCTCAAATACGCTAGGCATTCATGTATGTCTGGTGATTCATGAGGATGACGAGGACTATTGAGCGGAGACGCGTGTAGCCAACGCGCACCGAGGCCGGAAAAACACCCTCCGGGGCAGCACACTTAGCTGATTACCGTCGGCGTTGTGCGTAATACAGACCCTGTTATGCGTATTACCAAATACCTCTTACAAAGACGATTATCCGGTGAAGGTATATAAAAAAGGGTCGATACTTCTCCAGGGCTTCCACAATCCGAAACCATCAGTGTGCCCAGAATGCAAACCCCACCCTCATCGAACGCAACCATGGAGGAGTACTATCCGTTGTACTTTGTGACTTTCAACTACGACGATGATCTCTTCAAGTTTGATATAGACCGTGTTGATCGCGCTCTGGAATGTTTCCTCGACTCTGACCTGCTCTTGTCGGATGAACGCGATTACAAGAACGCTATCGAGGAGTTTATACAATTTTCAGTGCCCGAAGGACTTGGCCGCCGCCTGTATGAGCATCACAAACGTCGGATCAAGAAATCTTTCCATACGGGATTGCTCGTTCGAGCCAAACGTATCAAGGCCTTTCGGAGAGTCTTGCACAAGGTCGAGCCACAACAAGCACCAGGACTGAAGACGTTTACCCGGACAGTCGGAAATTTGGTTTACAAGCATCTACCTCCAGGCGTCACTGTCGCACCAATGGAGATGTTTGCCGGGACAGTCCGAAAGTTGTGTTGCAAGCTTCTACCTCCAGGCGTCGCCGTCTCATCGATGGAACCCGGCTTTCTTGACGACCCGTCGTGGGTGCCTGTTCGCACTTCGTGGTTCGTCCCTATGTGCGATTATTACAAGCTCATCCCGCGAAGCCACCCCCGCTGGCGCCCTGAGATGCCCTTCTATCCGCCTGACATTGAACAGGCTCCGTTGCTAAATGACCTTCGCAATTGGGTACTGGATTTGAAAGAACTCAAATCGGTCCTTTTTCGGCTAAGCACTTCCCTTTCCTTCCTATTACGGTCCTTCTGCCCCCGAGACAAGCACAACCCCGACAGCGAGCACAACAGAGTCCTCAAGTTACTCACATACCGCAAGCACGTACTGAGTATGTGTGGTATGCTCCCACACGAGGATCGCCTTGTCAACGGCCGTGGGGTCGATTCACTGGAATTCGGCCTTGGGGAGGTGCAATGGCACCTAGTCAAGGGTGTATGGCCAGTTTTCACGGCAACCGAAGAGTGTCTCATCCTCTGGGAGCGTTCCAATATCGACAAGCAGAAGCTTAACGTGGCTATCAGCAGATTCGGACGGGCAATGATTCGAGCTGAAATGAACGATCTGGTGAACAATTTCCGAACCCCGCATCTCCGGAAAGAATTTCAGTTTGTCGTTACCGAGGACAAAGGCCCAATCTGCCCCGAGGAAGCGATAGAGGTGGGTGAGGACGACAGATGCCCAATCTGCCTCGAGGGATTGAAAGAGGTAGGTGATGCTACAACCCCCCTTGTGAACCAGAGTTGTTGCAACGCGCCACCATTCCACCTTGACTGTCTTGTGACAGAGCACCTGAAGAATTTCGCGATGCACAAACCTGTCAAGTGCCCCGTATGCCTCGTGAGACTTTCCCAGGACGAACTCAAGAACGTGGTCGACAAGGCGACGAAGCACATGGGTTTTTTATGAGCGAGCGCAGCGCTTCTGCTACCATCAAGAATGTTGAGTGAGACTTTGGATTCATGCAAAAGGTAAGGATTGTTACGGATGCACATCGTGGCGTTGAGGAGTGTTAAGTACGTGCACATCATCTGATTTCCAACAGCGAAGTCGAGGCTGGCCCTCGAAGCCCTCGAACAAGGTACTAGGTAGGCAATATCGAGTTTTTTCTTTAACACCATTGGAGATCAATTATGAAGTATGAAACCGTGCTCTCGATTGCATCGTGATTGCAATCCACGACTTCAAGCATTTGCTTATAACCTTTATACGCACTCCGCTAATGGCAAGGCAAGCGACCGGCGTCACGGTTGCACAAAATGAATACTATGTGAGACTGATGAAAGATTTTCCAAGGGTCCGCGGGCACAAGGGTCGAGAAAAACAGAGCAGCTGGACGGGGCTTTCGGTTGTTGTTCTCTAGAGGGATCAGAAAGACCGAAAGCAGACAGCTGGTTCGATTGCATATGGAGCCTTGCTTGTGACCTGTTTTAGGATAGCTAATACCCAATATCCACATCTCCTATGCGGCCATTTGCGGCACCAAGGTGTGGAAGTTACCCATTGCGTGGGTTTGGGGAATTATGCGCCATACCAAGGAGTATGGCGTGGGGATTAATCGAACTTTTCCAGCCTTTCGAAATCAGAGAACGCCAGGTTTTCCAGGTCGTCCGGTATGTTGATCAATGTCTTCGCACGCCTGCGAAAATAGATACGTTTGGCCCACTTCCATGTCTCGCAGCCAAGGAAGAACAGCAGCGCTTCGACGAAGACGATGCCCCATTCCCAGGAAATCCCAGTGTGTTTGAACACGGTGTGGTTGATGACCTGGATGAGCATGAGTTGGGTTGGTTCTAGGTTTTGCTACGATGTGGACTGCTGAAGAAGGACTTACCGGGATGTATATGGTTGGGAAAATAGTGACGAAGCCCGCAATGACAGCCCAGAACAAGAACTGGTTACGCCAGATGTCGTACGCCCACTGGGTAAAGCGTCGCTTGCTTGAAGGCTGCATGCGGAACAAGCTGCGTCTGGTATTGATCATCTCCCAGGCAAGGAAGAGTGCGAACCACGTCAGGCTGACGAAAGTCGTTGCCCGAGCTCGGAAGACCGTGTCGCACGATTGCGAGTAAGACCTGTTGCAGTCCACGCCGAGGTTTCCGTCCCCGAAGCCATACACGACGAGCAGGAACGACGAAAGGCAGAGAGCGGACATCCATAATCCGTACGCAAGCATGTCGAAGCACACTTCCCACGTGAAGACTCCCGCCTTGAGGGAGTTGGGTGGTCTTTCCAAGATGTCGGGAGCCGCAACTTCCAGGCCAAGGCCCATATCCGGCAAGCCACTGGTGATCATGATGACCCACAAAATCTGCACCGGTGCCAGGGGGAAGACGGAGAGTCCCGAGCTGTCTTTGAACGCGAGCCCGATCAAGAGCGTGCAAGCCTGGGCAATGTTCTCCGCCAACAGGTGCAAAACGAACTTCTGGATATTATCGAAAGTCCGACGACCCTCTTTGATGGCAGAAAGGATCGAAGCAAAGTTGTCGTCGGTGAGGACAATGTCAGATGCGTCTTTGGCCACATCGGAACCAGCCTGACCCATGGCGATACCGACGTCGGCTATCTTAAGTGATGGTGAGTCGTTGACGCCATCTCCAGTCTATTTCTGTTAACACAAGGGTTGTAATGAGATGTGATGGAAAATACTCACCATTGCCATGAAAGCGTTTCGACGACGAAGAGCCTGAATCATTCGAACCTTTGTATTCGGCGCGCATCGAGCAATTACAAGGGGTAACGCGGGGAGGTCGTCGATCTGGTCGTCGGTCAAATGGTCAAACTCCTTTGCAGTCATGACCATGCTTCTGGCAACGTTGGCAGAGAGGTTTTCCATCTTTTGGGGAAGGATGCCGACTTGTGCTGCTATCGCTCGGGCTGTGCCAGGATGATCGCCAGTGAGCATATGTACCTTTATGCCGGCACGATGGCATCGCTTCACAGCCCCCGCTGATTCGGGTCGAGGAGGATCGTAGAGACCAATCAGCCCGTGGAAGACGAGGTTGCATTCGACCTCTTGTCGCGGTGGTGGGTCTTCACGACTCGCCTTCTGCCCACTCATAGGATCATATGGTCGGCTGGCCAATGCTAGGACTCTGAGTCCTTGTGCAGCAAGAGCTTCCATGTTTTCCAAGATGGCCTCCTTCATGTCTTCAGTGAGATCGACAACGTCGCTAGTCTGCCACTTGATCTTCGTGCACGAGTCAAGGACACGTTCGACGGCACCTTTGGTAAAAACGTTCTGCTGCCTGCTTTGAACCTCTTCCATGATAACGGACATCTTCTTGACATCCGAATCAAAGGGATACTCGCTGACTTCTTTGTACTTTGCTTCCACACCACCCAGAAATCTGCTTCTGTTGAAGTTGAAGCGGGATGCAAAGACCTGGATTGCTATTTCGGTTGGATCCCCGAGAGCGACCCACTCACCTTCCTGGTTCTGGTGAACTCGTGCGATATTAGCCAGCGAGGCAACAAACAGAAGATCCGTCAGCTCAGAATTATCCTCGATTAGCTCCTCATGGCTACTAGCCTTCATTTCATGATTTTTTTGTTGATCATCCTTTGCAGGGGCCATTTTACTGTACAAGAGGTATCCGTCAGTGGGGTCGTACGGCTTGTTCGACGGCCCTACTGAATAGGTACCACGAGAAGGCAGCCAGCATTTTTTGGCAACCATCTTTCCTTGGGTAAGAGTTCCTGTCTTGTCAGAGCAAATGTCTGTGACAGCACCCAAGGCCTCCAGCGACTTGAGATTGCGGACAATGACATGGCGCTCGACCATTCTCTTAGTTGCGACGGCCATGGTGATCGTAAGTACAACCACGAGTGAAGCGGGAATCATCGAGAGACCGGTCGCAACAGCGTAAATGATGACCTCGGACTTGTTAGAGAAGTTGTTGGCAGCAAGGACAATAATTGCACAGAGTACGGCGATCCCGAAGAGGAGGATTGCAAGCCGTGATAACTTCTTTTGCAAGGGGGTCCCAATGTTCACGCCCAGAAACCGACCAACTGCATCGCTGAAAGTAAGTGCCCAGGACTCAAACTGCCGGAAGGGCGAGGCTGTCCCGTCAGGCCGCCTTTTGACTGGACGCCTTTTGGAGTCGCCTTGTCGAAGGGTTGCTGCAATAGAGCCGATTTCCTAAAGCCGCATTAACCTCTATCACTTGGTGGAAGATACGCATAATGAAGCGTGGACGCCGGGAAATCGACGGTACTTACCGTGTACATGCCTGTGGCAAAGACCAGACCAGTTGCTCGGCCTTTTGTTACAGTCGAGGAGCTGTATGCAACATTGAGACGATCACCAGGCCCAGTGTCGACATCGAATATCATCCCTTCATCCTTACTCACGGGTAGAGATTCTCCTGTCAGCAACGCCTCGTCGGTCTCAAAGTTTATGGATTCAATCAACCCAAGAGGTCGTCAGCGTTGAGAACATTCAATTTGGTTTGTAGGCAACTAACCGGACATCTGCAGGGACGGTATCTCCGACTTTGAGCTCGACAATGTCGCCTATTGTGAGCTCTGCGGTGGGGATATTCATGGTGGTACTATCTCGTATAGTATTGGCAGTCGGAGAAGACAAAGAGCGAAGTGAGTCCATGGTTTTCTCTGCAGAGAACTCTTGGAGGAATCCCACCACAATATTCAGAGCGATCACAGCTGCAACAACGCCGCCTTCAATCCATGACTTGATCGCGAATGAGACGATCATCGACATGAGGAGGACCAACATCATTGCATTGGCGACTTGTCGCACGAGGATCTTGAACGGCTGCACGCCGGGACCATCATCGAGTTCGTTACGGCCATATTGCTCCAGTCTCTGGTGAGCTTCCTGCACTCGGAGCCCGTGTGAAATATCAGTTTTGAGCTCCCGACTGAGGTCTTCAAGCCCAAGAGCATGTGCAGGCTTGCTTAGGGGTTTGTTGCTCTGGCCTGAAACGTGGTCCGACATCGTCCTTCACTTTGATGACCACCGGGGAATAGGAATGCGCAGGTGAAAGAGGAAAAGATAGGGGAGCCAGTGCAGTAAAGAAACTTACCACAATTGCACGATGGCGTTCACATATTGTGACGAATGGATCGCAACCGTCTGCTTCTGCCGATGGGTGTGGCGGAATAGTTGTCTTTCCGCATGAAGCCAAGAGCGCAGGGTGTCAAGCCGTAGACTTGGCAAACCAGGTCATGGTATGTCTTCTCTGATCACTTCCATCAAAGTCTGTACCGTCTTGCCGAGCATAGAACGGCAACACAACAAGGAGATGTCTTGGGGCCTCGAATAGGACATACATGTCGTGGAAATCTACCCGGCATCTTCTCAACATTTTGAACCTACCCTTTCGAGTATCGCGCTCGTTTATTGTTCGCCGAATACAGGATACAATATCGACAACCATGTTTGGTCACAACAACATACGTGTATAGGTGAATCACCTGTCTTCAGGTGCTTGAAAATGCTGTCGACTCGCAATCACAGGGTACACAGGTCTGTTCGTATTCGACTAGGATATGGCGATAGAATCTCCTCCGCCCGACTGCCAAGGAATTGTGGTGCATCAGCTCTTAGTATGTAAGTATGCAGGACAGATGGGAGGAGATCTTCGATGGCCGAGAGAAAGGACGGAGTCTTTGGTGCCAAGACAGGGCCAAGTCTCAGCCTTGTTCCGTCTAAGCGGGACTCTCCCATTGGCTGAGGCGACGACGAGATCGTCTTCCGGGCATGGCGGAACGTCTTGTATCTAGGATAACGCGATGTCGAGTATGCTGCCCAGAGTTCTCACTGAAGGATAATCGAATGATCATACAGTACGAGGATGTACGGTCTCCCTAGAACTTCTACCAAGCCGCTGCTCGGATGCCGAATCACGTGAGATGTCGTCAGGGGCCCTCACGATGATGTAATACCACGTGATGCTTCAGCCCTCCATCACTGATCCCTCGGCTACCGCAGTCTCCCGCTTTGTCTGAGAGAAATCTTCAACATCAGTGTCAACACGAGTCGACCGGAGGTGCCTCCAAAGGTGTCGCAAAATGCCAATGCCGTTTATCGATCCTGATTGACTGTTTCAGCCATGCTGTCCATACATGTTAGTCTTTGCTTGTGGCTTTGTTCGCTGTTGGCCAGCGCCTTTCCCACCGAAGCCCAAGCAAACAGTTTAGGAATTTCCCAGGAAACCTTTGAAACTCTCGAAGAACTCGCTCGCATCGTCGACATCTCCTACTGCGTCGGAACCAGTGGCATTCAAAAGCCCTTCAAATGTCTTAGTCGATGTAGCGATTTCGAAGGCTTCGAATTGGTTACCACATGGAATACCGGACCCCTCCTGTCCGATTCCTGCGGCTACATTGCTGTGTCGCATGCTCCCTTTCGGAAACGAGTCATCGTCGCCTTCCGCGGCACGTACTCAATTGCCAACACCATTGCCGATTTGTCCACCAACCCTGCCGAATACGCGCCGTTTCCGTCCCAAAGCGACAACGACTCTGTTTGCGCATCCGTCGAACCCCATGACGAACAGGAGCCTCTTCTGCCACAACTGTTGAAACAATCCGAGAAAAGATCTTTATTGCAGTCGGAATGTCTAAATTGTACTGTTCACGCTGGATTCATGACCTCGTGGAGAAACACACGGTGCACAATCGTCCCACACGTCGAGAAGGCTCTCGAGGAACATGCAGGCTATGAACTAGTCTTGGTCGGACATTCACTCGGCGGCGCTGTAGCCGCGCTCGCCGCATTAGAATTCCAAGCACGCGGCTGGACACCTCATGTCACAACCTTTGGCGAACCACGTATTGGAAATCTTGCCCTCAACCAATTCATCGACAAGCGGTTCAACCTGGACACCGCGGATCCAGAGCAAACCTTATATCGCAGGGTCACGCATGCGAATGATCCTGTACCTCTGCTGCCATTGGAGGAATGGGGTTATAGAATGCACGCCGGCGAGATATACATTTCCAAGTCATCATTGCCGCCCACTCGAGCCGATATATACCACTGCCAGGGGGATGAAGACCCATCTTGCATTGCGGATGGAAGCACAACGTCGGCTGATAGGGATATCGCCGGTGTTGATGCGGAGGATCCCCAGAACGAGTCGAAAATCAAAACCATGTGGGGCATTGGCCGCCGATACAGGCTGTGGGAATTGTTCTTTGCACATCGGGATTATTTCTGGAGGCTGGGCCTCTGTGTCCCGGGTGGTGATCCTTGGGATTGGTCGAGAGGCAAGTACAACGTGAGCGTGATGAATGACGTACTATGAACCTGATTACAATACGTGTGATCCTTTTGTCTCAAAAGCATGGAGTTGGTACGGGCCGAATGCAGTCTAGTTTCTTCAGGTTTCCGTTTCGATTCTGCGCACAGAGTACGATACCTAGATGGTTGTAAGGAAGTGTTTGGATCAACGAAGGTTGGCCTTGTGGGCCGTAGGGAGCAGCTTACATAATGTATCCACAGACAAGTACATCGCAACATATTGATCATGGTTTTCTGTCTTCTTCGGATCATCATTCTATTTAGGATCGCCCTCGTTATCATGGCTCTTGACCCTCTATACCAAGAATGGCCTTGTGTTCGTCGGCCCAGCATTGCCGGCGCGCGTCAACGGAGTATTCAAAAGCCCGATGGACATACTGGTCTCGGGGGTTTCTAGTTCCCGAAACCAAACATTTTCGCTTGGACTCACCAGAGCTTGCACGCACAGGCCCACGAGGCTGCCTCCTCAACTGGGTCCGGACGAGGTCAAGAAAATAGTGGTTCAATGTTCATTGTCGATATAAGTCAGCCAGATCCTCCCCAGGTAAGTGACCTTTCATTCCCCCAGAACAAAAGTCAAACCGTGCTCTTCAAACCACGCCGTGGAGGCACATCTTCCGGCACAGAAACACTTGTGCATCACTATCGTTTCTCTCTGCCTTAACCGTTCGCCTACAAGAATAGCCGTCTCACACGGCTGGTTTGCTGCGATACTCTTCAAACCGCCACATCCGAAACTCAACCCCACGCCACAGACATCGTGTTGCTGCTCAAAATGCCGATACGCCAACCACGTCTTGCTATCGTTGGAGGCGGGCCTGCTGGACTGACAGTCGGGATTCTCCTCCACAAGCACCAAATCCCCTTCACCATATTTGAGTACCGCCCTAAACCTACAGATGATGAACTCGAAAGTCCGGTTGGAATGCTTGACTTGCACGAAGAATCTGGCCTGGCAGCCTTGAAGGAATGTGCCCTCCTGGAAGGCTTCGAATCGCACACGGCTGTGTGCAGTGAGGCTCAGATTATTGCTAACAAAGAGGGGGACATCATATACAAGGATGATGGTGGCCCAGAAGCTCGTCCAGAGATATCGCGTAACTCCTTGACAAAATTACTCCTTGACCAACTACCTGCTGGTAGCATTCATTGGGAGCATAAACTCTCCTCCGCTAGCTATCTCGCTGGAGACTCGGACAATGTGGAGATCGAACTCAACTTCGGCCGTCACGGAAAACACACGTTCGATTTCGTGGTTGGTGCCGATGGTACCTGGTCCCGCGTACGTACGTTGTTGACAAGTGCAAAACCCAGATATGCAGGCTTACAGTACATGATGTTGGCCATCAGACACGTGTCAGAACGTTATCCTACCATTTCTGAATACGTCGGCACAGGCAGCTTCGTATCTCTTGGCAAGAGAAACGGCATCATGTGCCAACGTGCCCTGCAAGATTCTGCTCTGATATATGCCTTCCTGTCCGTCGATAACGAGCACTTTGCCGAGGATTCCGGTCTTACCAAGGGTACACCTGCCGAGGCAAGCGAGAGATTGTTGAATGATGAAGGACTCTTCGGACAGTTTGGGCCGAAATTGAAGGAGTTGTTGCAGACTGCGTGTGAAGAGGAAACGAGACTGGATCCAAATGCAAAACTAGTGGTCAGATCACTATACACGCTACCCCATGGCCATTCATGGGAGCACAGAACGGGAGTAACTCTTGTGGGAGACGCTTCTCATGTGATGTTACCGTTTGCAGGAGAAGGAGTGAATGTCGCCATGTGGGATGCACTTGACGTCTCGCGCTCCATAATAAAGGCATACGAGTCTTCGGCCACTAGTGCTGTAGCCTTTCAGGCGGCTTTGGATCCCTTGGTCAAGGAGTTCGAGGTGAACATGGCGGCACGGGCGAAGGAGAAGGCGGACGAGGCTTCCAACAATGCCAAGCTCATGCTCGGTAGCGAAGATGGTGCCACGGCCATGGCTGACTGGATGCGAGCAGCAATGCAACAAGCGAAAGCAACCCGACCTTCGGTTGAGTGACTGACGCGCTGCAGGGGATCACTCCAGCACCATTTCTTAGAGCAATAGAACGGGCAAACGGCGAAATTGTGTCCTGTTTCAAGCTACGTCAACTCTCCTCGTAGCTTGTTAGAACCAGTGTAGCTAAATCAAAAGTCATCTCTGCCTCCAGGAAGTGACGACAAAGGGCAACTAATGTACCAATCTGAAATATCTTGTGAGACATCGACTTATCCAGTCGGACTCTAGAGTACTGTATGTCCCTCTTAGTCAGCAATTCCTGTATGGCAGAGATCACATGATTATGATTCTTGGCAAAGGCCATTCCCATCCTGGACAACGTGAAAGACAAAGTTGAAGACAACCAGGCCAGGCCGCGAGGATCAGGTTGAGCATTTTATCCAGCATTTCCGTTACCATTCCCTTTCGCTATTGCAGCCTGGTGTTGGCTCTGGTCTCGTATTGAACAGCCAGCCCGGTTTTATCAAGTGCAACTCACTCTTTGACAATCATGGCGTCACAACTCCTACCACTGGGTACGCCTTGCAACAAATAATAAGCATGGCCCTCGATGCTGATGATCAGACTAGAACTCATTGACAAATGCGTTGGCTCAAGGATTTGGATCATAATGAAGGGTGACAAAGGTGAGACTCGACTTTCGAACCCTCTTCGTCTCTGTCACACTTGCTTTGATCGCTGGAATTTCGACTAACCTATGGTCCTCAGAATTTGCCGGCACATTACTTGGCTTTGATGATTATGTCAGTACGTAATGATCCTCCTACCAAGCCAAGTCATGTACAAATCAACCGAGACATGCTGACCTGAGTGAACTACAATAAGATATGGTACTCGAAGATGTTACTGAATTGTAGGCGGTCTTGAAAAGTCTCTGCCACCACCCGGACAAGTATACTAACCCTTTTCCATCTAGTGATTACACTGGAGCGCAAACCAAGCTGCCAAAGATCCTTTTAAACGGAAATAATATCTGCATGGTGAGTGGTGGCGCCCTGTGGCAACCGACATCAAGATCTTTCATACGCTACATTGATGGTCTCCTTTCTGATTAGCGTGGCTAACATGCGCAACAATCCCTAGTTGATACCCGGTGGCGAAGGCCCCATTGCAGCGGCGTCGTGACAAAGCACCAGCCAGACACCTCTCCAACAAGCTACAAGGTCTCTGGTCGGAACTTGACCAGAGCACCACAGCACGACGACTCGCGAGCACCGACCCGAAAGTGGCAATACCAGTTGTATAGCGTTGTAGATAGGTAGGCAGCTTTGGTACACCTACGGCGCTGCCAGATGTGAATTCTGAAGCATGAACTGCTGTCGGGCGGATGAGTCAAACTGCAAAAGGCAGCAAAAATGGGCATTAGAGAGCCTACCAGATGTTGTGGTGTCACAGATTGTTGGATCCTATGGGGCGAAGCGAGCCGTCGATTTCTGCAGGACTTTTACAGTCTCCTGCTGAACCTGCTTTACAATATCACCCGCAGGCAAAACTTCTCTCACGAGCCCAATACCTGTTCCAGCATAGGTTGTCATCCGACCCTCAGGTCCCCATCCTGAATCTCCTTGCTGCATTGCTTTTTTGTAGAGCTGCACGTTCTCTTCATTGCTCATTCCATGCTTGGCGTCTTGATATGTCCTGTTGACCACTCCCCTACCATTATATGTCTGCGGCCATCCATGGATGTTTCTCACGACGTCATATATTGTTGATGCAGCTGTGCTGACGCCGCCATCGCTGACTCTTAACACCTCGTCTTGGTAGCCTTTCGCGATGACGGCTTCTTTCGCGGCGAGAAACCTTGTGCCCAAAGCTACACCGTCGGCCCCTAGTGCCAGAACAGCTGCGGAGCCTCTTCCATCCATGATACCTCCAGCGGCCACGATGGGGATTTTGATGCCCTCTTCCGCCAAAGCATCTACGGTTTCTGGCAACAAGGTCAGCAGACTTGCTCGGTGCGCGAGTCCATGACCCCCAGAGTCAGCACCCTGTACTACCAGCACATCCGGCTTCGCCGTCTTGGCAACTTCCAGAGCTTCGGAAACCGTGCCAACCTGGATCCATATCTTCGTCTTGTTCTCGGTCGCTGTGCGAATCTCTCTAGCCCATTCTAGCAAGTCGCTTAACTGCTTAGGCGCGAAGAACCACACCGCTGCGACGGGATGCTTTTTGATGGCTTCGAGGGCGAGTTGCAGATCGCTTCCCCAGTTCTGAAATCCCACGCCGATAGGGAGACACCCGTTATGCAAAGGGACCTCTTGGGCTTTGGCAAACTCTGCTGCTTCTGCCAGATCATTGGCTAAGGGTGTCAAGTCAAATCCGCCGGCAAGAAATCCAAGGCCGCCGCTCGAAGATACTGAGACGGCATGACTGCCTAACGTGATCTTCATCATAGGCGCCGAGACCACGAGCGGAACATCTGGACTCGTCCATGGATAGTCAGCATGGAAGATGTTTTGCGTCATCATGAAATGGCTGGGCTCCTTGTGTAGAGGAGGTGCACCACGGACACGAATAAATGCACTTCTGCGAGAACAGCCAACTTGTGCCAGCGCCTGCCCTAGATATATTGCCTGATCCTAGACATATTTATAAGCCAACGGTTCCCACACTGAAAAGAATCTTGAATCTCCGCGGACGCTGTCGTGTACCATCGGATGACTCTGTGAGCGGATACGAGGCTATGAAACGTACAGCCAATTGCTGCGTGGTAACAGTCAGCTACCAAGCCGAGATGGACCTGGAGTTGGTGGATGTTGGAGTCAGGATGTTGGAGTAACGAATGACTGCTATTGAGATGTTGTTCGTCGGTCAATAATGCCTCGGATCTGGTCTCAGTTGTCCCTCACTAGACAGTGACACACACCTCTGGCCTTTCCTCTCACGTGATTCTTGGCAGCGACAGCATTTTCACGTTGTCGGTCGAGTCCAGCATCGACACCATCAATAGGTTCAATAAGTTGTTGAGCCGCAATCCAAATCGCATCCCTGTGATTGTCCTGGTATAGTCTGTCGTTTCTCAAATCCAAACTGCCGCTTCTGCGCGAACAATAGATTCCCGTGCGCATCGCTTGGATATTTGTCGCCATCTTAACAACAGCTTTATTTGCGAATTTTCCAGTACACACCAGTTCTCTCTGCCTTGCACTCGGACAAAAGGTCTTCAAAATGTCCGGTATCAATGCTCCAGATCGGTATGTGCATGCACGCCTCCTCCTCTTTGATGCAATGCTCTGGATTGGTGGTGGTGATTGCAAACGTGGTTTTGTTTGTGGTGGGAAAACGTGGCCCATGATGAAGAAGGATCGATCCTGGACCTGAGCGCCATAATCGCTACTTGATGTTGGACAACTCTCAAACAAAGATAACAAACACTCTTCGAAGCTTTTCCCAGCAAAGGCCTATATTTACAGCAGAAAACAGCTTGCTTCACCCAGGCTACTGCTGCATTTCACCGCCTACAGCCTTGGCATAACATGGACTGCGCTGCCACCCACAGCACGACATTGCCTGCCTTCGCCATATCTCATATTCAATAATCAATCGCTGCTACTTGTCAAACAGGAGTGCGTTGTTGGCAACACAAGAGGTTGAACATCTGGTGTAATGGACAATTCTTCAACTCCTGCGGACCTCAATGCTCAGCCCAACATGAATGCCGCAAGAACCATCTCTGCAAGTCCCTCCCGACGCCGACGTAGAGGTAGTTTGGCCGATCCTCTCCGCAACTCCAAGCAGTAAGCCTAACTCTGCTCCTTTCTGACCAGGTCATCCCATCAGGTGTCTCTGGACCGTATTGCAGCCATCATGTTTACAAGACTTCTAGTGACAACAACAACAACGACAGAGGCAAAGAGAACAGCGCCACTGTTAAAACCACCCTCACTGTCAACATCGAGACTATCAATGAACCAGTTACTCCCGGACCACCCTCACCAAAGCCTGGCGACACGTATCCTGGATCGGGAAAGGGCGGAATTCCACAAGATGGCCTAGCCTGGAAAAATCACATCTCCAACAAGAGATATCATAATCCCGGGGTCAATCACAATGAAATCAACAATCAGGAGAGGTGCGCAACGGAGACCACCACATCCAAAACGAGCTCGTCCTTCTTTGAACTGGGTCACGTTTCCTTCGCTGCTGGCCTTTTTATCCGTGCTGAACGGCGTGACATTTCGCTAACGCATTAACTTAGTACCGAGGCATTTATACTGGGTGACGGTGAGAAGAAAATCGAAGAGAAAATCGACACTCGTGGGTACGCTGATAACTTTGCCGATTCTGCGGCTCACTTCTGGACTAGGAACTCCCAACACTGTCATTTTCACATTCAACAAGGAAGACCATACTCTCGCCAACATGCTCCGAGCAAAGCTCCTTGAAAATAGCCACGTCACATTCGCGGCCTACAAGGTCAGTTTTCAGGCCACACGAAAGCGATAGAAGCACGGCAGACTGATAGTTATAGGTTCCCCATCCTCTCTTCGCGAAATTCGAACTCCGAATTCAAACCGATGGCGAAATCACTCCTAAGGAAGCTCTCATCGCTAGCTCCAAAGAAATCATTCGAGAGCTCGATGTGCTGAAGCATAGGTTCAAGAAGGAGTACGATCTTCGCAAGATGGTCGGCAGCGTGGGCCAAAACGGAGCTTGAACCAGCTACCTCTTGCCCATGTTGCGGAAATTCGGCGGTGAAGACGGAGCAAAGACGCATTCCGACCAAGGCTCAAAGGATACCCTGTACCATTATAGGACTGCAGACGATGGCGTTTCGGAGTCCAAGCTGGATTCTTCGTGGTGTAGATTATGATTAACATTGTCGTGATGGGCGTGGCAGGCAGGAGATCGACAGACTCACATACCTGCCACCAAAGTAACCAAAATATCGCTTTGACCATAACATTTTACGTCTCTCTTTGTCGCCGTGGAAGCGTGACTCCTCAGTTCTGCGTTTGAGTGTCTCGCTGATCAGGGATCCCGTCGCCGTCGGTTGATGCCAAGATGCTTAGTCAGGTGCCTCGCTAGCAGCGACCCAGCCTCAGTCGCCCGCCCCAAAATCCGCGTCATTCGAAGCAAGTCAACCTGCTGGCGCAGTCGTCGCCAAACCCAGATTACCACCAGCATCTCACTCGTTCCTGCGTTTTGTTCGTTCTTCATCTGCGGCCAGTTTGTTGTGTTCTTGAGCATCATGTATTCCTCCTCTAACTCGTTCCTGGGCGGTTCGAATAGTGCCCGCCCAGGCGCGGGTTTTGGACAGCAACAGTCATTTGGCTCGTTCAATCAAGCTCCTCAACAGCCATCGCCGTTTGCTCCCCAGCCTACCGGCTACCCCGGACAGTTGCAGTCACAGCAGACCGGCTTTCCAGGACTTGGGCCGCCGCAGAACTTCCAAGCTCCGGCACAACAGCCACAATTTACTGGTTATCCTGGCCAAATCCAAGGCCAGCAGTCTCAATTCCAGCAAGCACCGCAGCAGCCTCCTCCTTTCCAGCAGCAGCCCTCTTTCCAAAGTGCTCCCGCTCCTCAACAGCCGCAGCAGCAACAGCCACCTCAAGTAGCTCCGATTCGCCCCCAGCAGACCTCTACCCAGATTGCGCAGTCATTCAATCCAGGGGCTTCGAGTACGCCTCCGTCAAACAGGGGCCAGAGCCAGAGTACGAGCAGGATTCCGAACATAAGGCTGTCATTCATTACTGCTACGGATCAGGCAAAATTTGAACAGCTGTTTAAATCAGCAGTTGGCGACGACCAGGCGTTGAGCGGAGAAAAAGCTAGGGATCTTCTTCTGAGATCTAAGTTGCCAGGCAGCGCACTGTCACAAATATGGATATTATCGGATACCACAAAGTCCGGGCAGTTGCTGTTCCCAGAATTTGCGCTGGCAATGTACCTGTGCAACCTCAAATTGACCGGGAAAGAGTTGCCATCTGTCCTCCCCGAAAAGATCAAGAACGAGGTGTCGAGTATGGTAGATATCATTTCATTTGGCGTTCCTGATGCGCCCATCAGACAAAATGCAGTGTCTCCACCTGCTCCTCAAGCTCCACGACCACAACAGGCGTCTAACCAACAGCTGTTGTCGCAGCTTACTTCGCAGCCAACTGGTTTCTATAATCAGGCGACGGGTTTTCAACCTGGGCTTCAAGCCCAACCTACCGGCTTCCCAGGCCAGCAGCAAGGCCTTCAACCCCAAGCCACGGGATTCCCGGGTGCTACTGGATATACCGGCCCACGTCCACCCCTGCCACCCATGCCTACTGGATTCACGAACAACATGTCACCTCAGCAAACAGGCCCTTTGCAAGCCCAACCTACCGGCTTGCCAGGGCAGTGGGGCTTTGTGAACGCGCCAGCTACGGGACTTCCGAACATTGAGGCTTTGCGCCAACAGTTGATGCCTCAAATTGGCCGCGAGGGTGGTTTCACTACGCAGGGACTGGCAGGCTCTGCCAAGATTCCTTGGGCTGTTACAAAGGACGAAAAGCGAATATACGACGAATTGTTCCGCGCTTGGGACGGCTTGGGCAGGGGCTACATCTCAGGAGATGTTGCTATTGAAATCATGGGCCAAAGTGGTCTCGAGCGGGGGGACTTGGAAAGCATCTGGACCTTGTCTGACCCTAACAATAAAGGCAGGCTCAACATGGATGAATTTGCCGTGGCAATGCACTTGATCTATCGCAAGTTGAATGGATATCCCGTGCCAAATCGCCTTCCGCCAGAATTGATTCCACCCTCGACCAGGAACTTCAATAATTCCATTGACACCGTCAAGTCTTTGCTCTCGCAAGATGCTGAAACTAGGAAACAAACAGGCGCATTCTTGCAGCCCCAGAAGACAGGTGTCAGTTATCTGAAAGATCGCTCTTTCCGAGCGGGTTCAGCCTCTCCAAGTTTCGGACGGAAAGATGCCACTGTGTTTCGCAACAATGATGATGATATCGGCTATCGATCCAGCGCAAGACGCCGCATTGGTGCCGGCGGGAGGACCCCGTCACCTGCTCAGTCCTCAGACGTCTCCGAGAGTGCCTATGACGATATGACACCAGATCAGATTAGGAAGAAGATTCGAGAGAAGAAGATTCTTTTGGACGCAACAGACTTTCAGGATGAGCGTCAAGCTGATGATGATGACGTCCTGGACCGTCGGGATAGACGCGAGGCAGAGGACCTTTTCAAGCAGATTCGCCGCATCCAGGACGATATCGATACACACCCGAATTCGGGATTTGGTGGTTCAGACACTGGAGCTGAAAGAAGATCCATGCGTAGAGAACTACAGAAATATCAGGATCGCCTTCCAGCACTTGCCTCAGACGTTCGAAAGGTCGAGAAGAGTATTGCAGAAGCTAGGCTGCAGTTGTTCCGCCTGAAGGATGCCAAGGCTCATCCAAATAGCGCCTCTAACATCGTCGGCACAGGTCCTGGTGGAGCAGTCACCGAGGCTGATCGTATCAAGGCCAGAGCAAGAGCGCGGATGCAGGCGAGAGCAGCAGAGCTAGCAGGACGACCTGCTCCAACGACGGATGATGAAGGAGGTGCCCAAAGACGTCTGGAACAGGAAACTTCCAAGGTCAAATCCGAGCAGGAACGACATGAAGCTATGACCCGAGACGTTGAAGATAGTGTCAAAGACTTTGTCTCCAGTCTGGAAGACGGCCTACGCGTCGAGGGTGAAAGCGCCACCCAGGAACATGAACGGAGACGATGGGAAGAAGCTTTGGGTGTGGAAGACGAAGTCAAAGAACTGATCTATGACTTGCAAAGGAGTAGCAGGACAGCCAAAGTCCGCAAAGAAGAGTAAGCACATGTTTTATCCATTGGTGAATTTCATGCTGATCAAAGAAAGGCAAACGCGCGCTGCTCCCCGAGCTTCTGCAGATTACGGTCGCGACGAACCAAGACACACCAACGGTAGCCTGCCAAGTCGTCCCGCCCCTTCCACCACCACTTCATCGTCATCTTTGACTGTCGGTACATCACCTCAGGATCGAGTCGCTGCTGCCAAGGAGAAAGCTTTGAAGCGTATCCAAGAACGCATGGCTGCAGCAGGCATCAAGCCGGCTGGGGATTCCGGAGAGACACTTCAACAGCGTCAAGAGCGCGAGAAACAGGAACGAGCGGAGCGTATCCGAAAAGCGGAAGCAGAAGATGCCAAGCGTGAGCAAGAGAGGCAGCAAAGACTGGCGAACGAGGGAGTTGCCCCTCCGAGTCCTAAATCTGCAAAAAAGCCTCCTCCCCCACCTACTCGAAAGCAGCGACAGGAGAGCTATGATCTCTCTGACCGCAAAGCACATGAGGCGGCAGCACAGCAAAAGGCTAGAGCTGAGGAAGAAGCAGCCGCACAGATCAGGGCCGAGCAAGAGGCACAGGAGCAAGAGCGCAAGAGATTAGAGTAAGTTCATTCTGACATAGTCGCTATGTGTACTAACAGATGTACAGGGCGCAAGCCAAAGAGCAGGAAAACGACTTGGAAAAGGAGCGTCAAGCCGCGCAAGACCGTTTACGTGCCTTGGAGGAACAAGTCAAAGCTGGCAAGATCAAGAAGCAAGAAGAGAAAGCTCGTAAAAAGGCGGCCGAAAAAGAGGCCAAGGAGAAAGAGGCCAAGCTAGCTGCTCAGCGAGCTGAGCTTGAAGCCGCTAGAGAGAGAGAACGGCAATTGCAATTGCAGCTTGAGAACTTGGGTGACTCTTCTTCCGACGACGATGAGCCAGAACAGGTCACCCCACAGGAGAGCACACCGGCCACAAGTCAAGTCCTGACAAGCTCGATCTCGTCACCTCCGCCTATGGCACCTCCTCCCCCGGAGCCGTCCACAAGCAGTGGCTATGATGCCAGCCCCCTTTCCAGCCCTCCAGGAGAAGAGTCAAAGAACCCTTATTTCAGGAAACTCTCCCAACGTTCAGAAGATGCAACGCCTGTCTTTTCACCACCACCAGTCCCCCAGAGTCAGCCCTTTTCTCCGCCAGCTGCAGCACCACCCCCAGCTCCAGCGGCAGACCTACCATCTACCAATCCTTTCCATCGGATTGCTCAACAGGAGGCTACCAAGCCGCTGACGCCCTCATTCACTGGTGCTCAATCAAGGCGTCGCCCGGAAGAGGACGAGTGGTCAGCCGCTGGGTCTGACAAGGACGATGACAGCGACAACGAGGACGACCCTCCGGCAGCTGGGTCAGCCAAACATCTTGCATCCATTCTGTTTGGCACCATGGCACCACCCCGGCCACTTTCAGCCATGGATAGTAAAGACAGCAAACCTGCTACGCCTGTCCAGGAACCTCCACCTGTTCCAGGTGCCTTTGAGGCTCCGCCCGCACCGCCACCACCAATGCCAGACAGTGGTGCACCATCGGCAGCTCCTCCTCCTCCCCCAATGCCTAGCTTTGGGGCACCAAGCGCACCACCACCACCTCCTCCTCCTCCGCCAATTCCGAGCGGTGGTGCGCCTGATAGTGCCCCTCCACCCCCGCCAATGCCCGCGCCAGCCCGCACAGGCACCGGAGATATTGGGGCCCTTCTAGGAGAGATTCAAAGAGGGAAAGGGCTAAAGCACACGGAAACAAAGGACCGAAGTGCTAGTTCTGTAGCTGGAAGGGTGCTGGATTAGACGAGTGAAAGATGAGCGTGCCTGGTGTATGTGGAGTGTAAGAGGTGTTGCAATGTCTGATAAGATCTGATATAAGTTTGTGTATCCTTAAGACTACGGCGTCGTTGTACTCGTAGGAAACACATGAGGGTGCAAGGCGGGTAGGCCCAGGTGATTGAACGGGCTAATCCATATGAGGCTTAACCGGTACAAAGGACACTACGTCTCATCACGTGATTTGGCGGCGCGTAGAGCTAACCAATTTCGAAAGTAACAACAAATAACTGGTGATTGGACCTGAGACACCAGCAGTTAGACGACAACACTCAAAACCCGAGTAACGACTGTGAGAGGTGCTGCAAGAGGTTCATGAGAGCCCGGATGCAAACCTCGTCCCCTCTAAGAGAGTAGCAAGGTTGCCCACACTCCTCGGACGACGACCAGACGACAACATGCCTCGAGTTTCAAGCCAGAGCGGAGGCCGCCCAAGCAGGCAAGCCGTGGTCATGAACATGGCTCGTGAAAAGAGCAAAGCATCGCCGATAAAGTAAGGGTACACATCCTTTTGACAGGGCTATTCAGCGAAGTGCAAGTGAAGGTCCAGAGGGATGTGTGAAACGAACGTTGTCTAAATTCACCGTGCATCACCGCATGGCTTCACAATTCTTCCCACCCTGGTATGACGGTGTTGTTTACTGACGGAATTTTTTTCTAGGCTGGCATTAAACGATGACCGGGGTGAAAAAGTTGCCCGCCTTCAATCTCGACAAGCACTCCAGGAAATCCACATGAACGAGATTCGCGCCGCAGCGAGTCCTGTCCGCAAGATCAACCAGCACCGCAATCGCGACCGCCGAGATACTTCGGGCAGTCGAGCCATGTCCGAATCCCCACGCACTCCGCGCACGAGCGATGCGCACTTGCGCAAAAAGGTCGCATTGCACAGAAGGCAGAGTCAGCAGAACCACGGTCAACATGCGAACAGCCCGCGAACCGATACGCTGACACCTATGAAGCGCGTACCTATCCTCGCAAACTTCGAAGAGTGGATGAAAATGGCTACAGACAATAAAATCAACGCGGCGAACTCGTGGAATTTCGCATTGATTGATTATTTTCACGACATGAGCCTGTTGAAGGAAGGGGACGGGGTGAACTTCCAGAAGGCCAGTTGCACGCTTGATGGATGCGTCAAAATCTATACGAGTCGCGTTGACAGCGTGGCTACTGAAACAGGTCGGTTGCTCAGTGGCCTTGCGGATGGCGCGGAGGGGAAAAAGCGGAACAAAGACGATGGCGCGGATGACGATGATGACGAAGGTGAAGAGGGCGAGGACGGAGAAGGCGAAGACGGGGAAGGAAAGAAGAAGAGCAAAAAGAAGACGACCCGGAGTCATGAAGCGACACTTGCACCGGGATTTGCGAGTTTTCAAGGAAAGAAACTCGAGCTGGAATTCGCCGTTGACCCTCTTTTCAAAAAGGCATCCGCAGATTTCGACGAGGGAGGGGCTAAGGGTCTCTTGCTGAATCACCTATCGATTGATTCGGATGGGCGGATTGTTTTCGACAGCAGTGACGACGCCGGCGATGCGACACTGGTAGCAGACAAAGACAAGAGCCAGCATCACGGTGATGGCGATCAAGAGGACGGGGCGGACGCAGCTGTTGCACAAGCTACTAAAGCAGCTGCAGAAACTGACGAAGCAGAGATGGAGGATCCAACTCCTACGCCAGAGGCTGAAGAGCAAGACGAAGAAATCGACCTCGGGGCCCTTGCAGCAAAGTTTTTCCCTGACCTCGGCGTGCTCGACAGCCAGGACGTATGCCCTTCGATGAAGTCCTTCACTCTCGGCGATCCATCAGGAGAACTGAACATTCCTTTCCTAAAGGCGCCAGACGACTGGCGTGAGCAGAAGAAAGGATCTACAACACCTGCGCCCCCTACACTTGATGGCAATATCAATCTCTCAGATCAAACGGGTATATTCCTAGACGGTACTAATGCCATGGGCTTCGACGATGATGACGATGATGGCGGGCTGCTCGGCGGCTTTGACGTGGCCGATAATGTCGGTTTCGGTGAGGGTGGCGAGGCTTGGGCCAAGGATGCTGCGATCGAGGCGCAGACTCGAGTTGTTCAGGCCGGAGAGATGGATGACAATCTACTCGAGGGTGACAACAACGCATATGCACTATCTCTACAGCACAAGTACCAAGAAGACGCCGAGCACGAGAGTATCATGGCGTACTTTGATAAGGCGTTCAACTCTAGAGCGAAAGGCAAGATGGCGTTCATGACACTGGAAAATTGGCGCATGCAGAAGATTCAGAAGGCGGCGCAGGCTGAGAATGCGCCAACAACGCGGCAGCGCAAAGAAAAGGAACCGTTTGAAATTGATTTCCTGGGTCCCATGTCGGAGAGTCTGAAGGAGTTGCTGGAGGCGCCCGCTGTGCTCAACAGTCAGATCAGCCTGCCCAAGGGACAGTGGAAGACGAAAGGTCGCAACCTGTTAGACAAGGACGACGAAGTTGTTGATCCCAGGAAGTTGATGAGACTCTGGACGAAGCCTAAGTGTCGGGTTGGTCGACGTAAGGGCAAGATGGGGGTCATTGACGAGGGCTTTGGGGCCCGAAACCGACTTGCCATCATCCACGGTCAACAAGGCGACGTTGACGAAGACGAGGAAGACGAAGGGCGCAAGGGCGATTACGATGCCGACTTCTTCGCCGACGACGATCAGATGCCGTTCTTTGATGGCCCGCTGCCCATTGATGACGAGGACGACGGGCTTGGTGTCGGTGATCTGGACGTTGGGGACGAGGGCCAGGCGTTCATGGACGCAAGAGAAATGTTGTCGCCCCCTCCACCTGATGGGCAGCATCAGCGGCAGAATGATGGGTTCATGGGTATGATGGAAGACGGTGCCGTATTGAAGCAGGAGCCGCAAGAGGGCGCAGAAACGCAGGACCCTCAAGCGCAGCACAATGGCCTAGACCTTCTTCCGGGCAGTTTCGGCAGTCAACTTGTCACGCAGGCCGGTCGTCGCTTGAGACCAGAATATGTCAACTATGCACGCACAGCGAAGAAGGTGGACGTCCGGAGATTGAAGGAGAACATGTGGAAAGGGATGAGTGAGAAGTTGGCACTGATGAGGATTGATGTCTTTGAAAAGCCGACGAGTGTGCAGCAGGAGCATGCGCAACAACGACAGCAACAAGTGTCGGAGGCTACGGCCAACGGTGTTGTTGATGAGGATGTTGACATGATGGACGTGGACGTGGACATGGATGAGCACGAAACGTCACAAGATCAGGACCAGCTTCAGGGTGAATTACAACGACAAGTGGATGATGCAGACGCCACTCGAGGAGATGAAGGGGTGGGTGGTGGCGGCGCCGGTCAGGTTGGTGAGGCAGACGACGCACTCAAGTTCACCGAACTCATCCAGGACCTTCGTGGCGTTTACCCCGAGCAGCAGATGAAGGACATCAGTACGAGTTACTGTTTCATCTGTCTGTTGCACTTGGCCAATGAGAAGGGGCTGGTGCTCGAGGGTGAAGTTGACGGCGAGAGAGCGATGCAGGAGATCCGCGTCATGCGGGACAAGAGTGTCGGTGAAGGGTATGAAGGCGAGTGAGTGGGTGAGTGGGTGAGTGTTGACCCTGTCGGAAGGTGTAGGTAGCTATTTTACCTTTTGTTACGTGCGTGTATATACCCAATTGAGGGTATACATTTTGGGTTCGGTTGGTGTTCAGATGGAACCTCTAGGTACATTACCTGCGTATGATTGATGATGGATCGGACGATGACCGGGACGTCTGTGGGCGTTGTCGGTGTCGGTGTTGATGGAGGAGGGTTTCGTGACGCATTCCTCGAGCGATCGGGTTGGTTTCTCTTTTCTTTTTTTTCTTTTTTTTCTTTTTCTCTTTTAAAGAAAATAAAGATTTACAATTGTTGTTGTGGTTGTGGTTGTGGTTGTGGTTGTTTTTTCAGAGGTTGATATTCTTTTGTTTTCCCCCAAACACGATCTCGTACAGACTCGTTCATGGGTGGGCGAGAAGGAGGGCAAGAGCGAGGACGAAAGATGAAAGATGAAAGATGCAGAGGCAGATGCAGAGGCAGATGCAGAGGCAGATGCAGATGAGGGGGGGTCGGGATGTCCAGGTTTGACGATAAGCAGCAAGCGATGCTTTATTATTAAATATATTTACCGACCGACCTTTTTATTTTATATCGTGTACGGTACCTTCTGGATAACCCAACTGGTATCTAATCAGTAAATCTACCCCGAGTGTCTTGAGTATCTCGTCAGACAGATACTGTACACCAGCAGGTACAGTAGGCACCGTCCGTCCTTGTCGATGTGGGCACCCCGTACTCCGTGCATACATAGACATTCATCAGTATATTCTCTAGCGGAGTGAGGTTCCACAACACACTGGGATGCTCAAACTAGCTAGCTCAACACAAGGCAGGCAGTTCGCGAAAAATCATCAAGACCTTTAATAAGAGTGCGGAGTGTAAGTTACTCTATTAGGCATCGTATCTCTCTACTCTATCTATCTACCTGGCGCAGTTTCGTATGTATGTATGTATGTATGTGTGCATGTATGTCTGTGTTCCAGATGCAGACTTTTAGCCGAGAAGGGTTCTTGGACACTTGGACATACCAAAGTCAAGGCGGGCCACCTCTACCTAGTAGACTGTAGCTCCCAAGTAAGTACGGGAACATGGACTGTAGTAGTCGACGAGCCGTAGGTGCTCCGTACAAACAGGCAAACTCGGAAAATGAGTCTAGCTTGTCACCGGGTGACGCGGAACAAGAGACCCGGTGTACCCGTTCGGTGCAGCGAACGCCAGGGTAGCATTCGGAAAGTTGTTCCTTGTGCGTGGTGGATGTACTCGTACACGAATCGTACTCGTAAGTGTGTGTGTACGGGTCGAAAGAAAAAGATAGAATCCAAATAAATATGTGGCGTAGCTCCACTCCGAGTCTATTGTACTTGTAGTTTGTACCCGAAAGCAGGGCACTTGGGAGTCGTAAGGTATGGATGGAGTACAATGGGACGAGTCCTCCTTCTGCAGGCTGGTACTCCATAATTTGTCGTTTGCCAAAGTCGGTAGGTTTGAAGGACCCGGAGAAAGAAAACCGGCTCGCTCGCTTGCTGGCTGGACAACCAGGAACTGGAATGCATCAGAGTGTCCTTCTTTAGTGTGGTGTCAAACTGTCAGACCACGGCCATGCATCGCCGACGACATTCTGCCCTTACGGAGGAAGTACTTTCTTTTATAACTTGGCTTCGTTTTTGGCCAGAACCCATAACCCTTCTGCTTCGGTCATGACTAGGCCATCCTTGTTGACGATTTGGCCTCTTGACTTCCACTTGCGGCCTTCTCTTCCCTCGAGCCAGCATTTGACAATGACGTCGTTGGGCGTCGGTACGGGTGCGCGGTATGTCACGTTCAGCCCTGCGGTGTAAAGGGACTCTCGGGCTCCCTCGAGATGCCGGTGGTGTAGCATGACGCACAAGCCCATCATCTCGTCGAGAATGGCGCAGGCCACTCCGCCGTGGAGCGTGGTAGGGTGTCCGTCAACACCTGGGCGGCCGAGGTGGAGGAGCATGATACAGTCTGGGTTCTCGGGCACCTTCACCACCGCCTTGTGGCCTTGGCCTGTCTTCAATGTGCCCTTGGGACTTTCTTCGGCGATGGGGAAATCCTTCAACTGTAGGGTGACCAGATACGGGATGGTGGTCGGGGTAGCGACGGTTCGCGAGAAGAAGTAATCTTCACCGTCATCTTTGAGGACGCGGGAGTAGGTTGGGATTGGGCGGTAGACAGGGTTTGAGAGGTACTTGCTGGTAAAGTCGTTGGCTGCGAAATGCGCCAGTGCTTCCTTCGGGACGTCGTGGGCGGCAATGAACTTGTCCATGAAATCCATTTGTTGACCCATGCTGGCGGTAGAGGTCGCACGGTGTCACGTCTCGTGCATCACCCGCTCTCACAGACGCACAATGCAAGAAGCCAAGCTACAGAAGCGAGGGTGCTCTGTCCTGATATACTCGTAGGGTCGAACTCTGCATAGCCGGTTCCCAGAGCGCGGACATAATCCGCGCCCGCGGGAGTCAAGGTGTAGCCAGGAACCTCGGAACTGAGTGCGCTGGCGGCCCAGTGCCCAGCCTCGTCTGGCGGGCTTTCTGCGGCGGGGGTTGATACAAGGACCAGTACGGATACTCCGTACTGCACAGGCCTATAGCTTCCTACAGTCTCTGCGCTAGGCAAGGGTTACGTGGACACGGTGTCGGAGGAGGGAGACTTCTGGAGGCTCTGAATGGGCGGTGCGTGGCCGGGGCTGGTGAGGCTGGTTGCCATTGGCGGCGGCCCTTAATGTGTTTTAGAGCTGTGGGCTGCTCCCGGCGGCCTGCGAATAGGGGCTTTGGACACCCCCGGTTAGCGAGCTTTAGCTGTGCTTAGCTGCGTCTCAACCCTGGTCCAGGCCTGGTGAGTCGCCCCGAGTTCGAGATAGCAAGCACAATAGCTTCGCTTGACATCAACCCGCCGCCTCTTCTTCCGCTACGAACAAAAATAAAAAGGCCGCACTCTCGCTGCTGTCGCGTCCCATTATTGACTGCTGTTTCACCTTCTTCATTATCGCTCAAGAGAGGTAAAAGTGCGCTGCCGTAGCAACAGCATCGTATACCCAGATCAAAGGTAGCTATTTCCCCAGTTGTTCGGCGCCGCCATCGCACCTTATCGCGGCGGATTGATCGCTCCTCGGTCGCTGCGTCCGCTCCATTCCATGCGGCCCGCTCTTGCCCTCCCAGCAAACTGCTCTCAGCTTTTTCTTCCCTTCTCACTCCCCGCCGCGACCTTTACTCTGCCGTCTTGACCTTCATCATCCTCTTTTACCCAGCATCAATTGACATTAGGCATCTCACAGCAGACAGACACCAAGTCTTCTCTCCGTACCTCCATCCACCGTCACCATGATGTCCAGGGCCCTCCTCGTAGCCTCAGCCATTGCTGCTGTCGCTCATGCGCAAACCCTCGAGACCTCTAGCGCTTCGTCGGTCGCTGCCACGTCTACTGCCTCTCAGGTGATGCCTCCAGTTGCCACGCAGGCATTCAACCCGGCTGGAATCAACACAACCGTATCATGTAAGAGAAGACTACTGAACTCTTTGCGATGAGCGAGACACTAACTGGGAGCAGTCAACTGGTGCCATGCGCAGCTAAACACTTGCCCGTTGATTTGCGGAGGAAGTGCTTCTCTCAATCAATGCGACGATGTAAGTCACTCAGGATCTACTAAGCTTCTGGCGCTCTGATCTAATTGTCCCATCAGGTCGCCTTCACCTACAGCTGTGTTTGTGCCAACGGAACCGTCCCCGATAGCACTGCTTTCATACAGACGCTCCCCTTCTTCATCTGTCAAGAGACCTACATCCAGTGCATCAACAACAACCCCAACGATGCTCAAGCTCAATCTGTCTGTAAGGACAACGAGCAGTGCGGTACTCGTAATGCGACTGCCGAATATCTTGCTGAGCAGGCCGCTGCCTCCTCAGCCGCTGCCTCTACCACAGCTGCCGCCTCCTCTGCAGCCCCTTCATCCACCCCTTCGACCTCTGAAAACAGTTCTGCCACTGCCACCAGTTCCTCTGCTGGCGCTAGTGGCTCCGATAACGCCGCCGCCGGTATGGCTCATGTCACTACTGGGGCTTTCGCTGCGGTGCTCCTGGCCGCCTTCAAGCTTCTCGTCTAGACCCGCGGTCCTCAGCTGTGTAACAGCGACCTCCATTCTTTGACTCGAAAATGATGTTGGACAGACTCTTATTCTCGGGTAAGGCCAGAGGCACAAAAGTTAGGGAGGGTGTCACTGTTTGGTTGATAACAAAACAGAAGACAAAAACAATTGACAAGTTATTGGAGGATGAACGACGACATGCAAATGACTTGGCATGATTAGGGGCAATGAATCGTTACGAGTTCATGGTGACGTGAGAGACTTGGGGCAAGGGCATTGAACGAGCGAATGATTTATGTGGCTTTGTGAGCGTTCTGCGATTGCTTCTGGGGGCAAAAGCAATTTCCAATCCTTTAGCGAGAGTGTTTGTACCTCTGCATTGGCACAGACAGGGGAACATGACCATTGGAGGGAAACTTGGTAGAGAGAGAGAGATGGGCCTAGTAATAAATAATAACATGATTGTGGTTCGGAGACTGGTACGGAGTATTCTTTTTTCTTTATCTTTTCTACTGAGAAGATCTACACTTGAGATCATCGTAGGGAATTTAGTGATCGGTAGAGTCTAGAGATGATGATGTTTCCACTTTTTATGATGCGCACTGGTCGATCTTTGGAGCTTCAGCCACACGAGGCTGCGAGAATGAGGCTGAGGTTCAGCCTTGCCGAGGGACAGCGTTTGTCCGATGACGAATGCGGAGAAGCTATTGTACTCCGTCTAGTCCCAAAAGTACGAGTACTTGTACTGTAATACGAATCTCGGTACCAGTACTTTTGGGACTAGACGGAGTTAGTGCGTGAATCTTCCATTCGTCCTGAGCCTCCTTTTCTCCTCTGAGGAGTCAGTCGATCAGCCCGGTGCCAGGAATGCGGGGGGACTATGAATTTGAGATACTGTACCTATTGTAGCTAGGTAGTATGCGGGTACGAGTGTCCTTTTCCATGACGAAAACCTTCCCCTCCCGAGGCCTTTTGTTGTTGTGTTAACCTTGCGTGGTCTTCCGCCGGCTTAGACGAAAATGGAGAAGCCGAAAGGTTTTCTTAATTCTTGTCATCGCACACTACTGTATGTACCTCGTCTGGTCATGTACAGAGCGTGTGGTACCCAGGTAGCTACTAGTACAAGACGTATGTAGATGTGTTATATATATTATGTGGCAGTGTGTGGGTTTGTCTGTGGGTATTTAAATTGCCGGTGGTGTGATATTTCCCTGTTCAACAAGTCTACCTGTCCATCTACCAACCACTCCGTATTACCTACGTACCTACATCATACTTGCATACATCTCCTGTGCACCCGCTGTACCTGAGCTACCTGACCTACACCTCCTAAACGAGCCGCGGGATTCTTTTTCTTTTTTTTTTTTTCGGTCACCATGCGCGCCTTACGATATCACGGTATCAAAGACTTGAGACTCGAGCACGACGTGCGAGAGCCGGAATGTACAGAGACCGGTGTGAAGATCAAGCGTGAGTTTTGCCTCTCTCTCTCTCTCTCTCTCTCAGCCAACCTGGCTGGCGATCTTCAACGCGTATCTCTTGATTGCAGTCGACGGAATTGTGCGTAAATGTGACGACTGACTGACGAATCTTCTGTTGATGTTTGGCGAGGGTTTAGCGGCGTTTTGTGGAATTTGTGGCACTGATTGTGAGTTGTATCCCAACCCCCGAACTCCGTACATATGCTCCCACCTATACACACACACACACACACACACACACACACACACACACACACACATACACTCTCTATTTCTTGTTGTCTCATGCCATTGACTCACTAACCACCAATCAATGATCCACTTGTGCGCAGTACACGAGTACTCGGCTCCCACTTTTATCCCATCCAAGGATGCACCACACCCGTTGACCAAGGAGTCTATGCCTGTGACAATTGGGCATGAATTTGTAAGTGCTGTACAGAGCCTCCAAGCAAAAGTACCTTCAAGGCTCTTGCCTCCTGACCTCTGACCTCTGACCTCTTCTCCCCCGGAATTGCACCCCCCAACTTCCAGGGTGGTCCATGCGAGATCCAAAATGCTAACCTCGACAACTCCCATGTTTCGGGCGATTATGAAGAGCGGCGAAATTGTCGAGATTGGATCCAAGGCACATAACCCCACGAACCTCCAAGTCGGAGACAAGGTGGCCGTGCAACCTACCATTGCTTGCTTCTCGTGCGGACCCTGTCAAGAGGGGGCCATCAACTGCTGCGACGGCGCCGGGTTCGTCGGCCTCAGTGGCGGCGGAGGCGGGATGAGCGACTTCGTCACCGTCGATCCGCAGTTCGTCTTCAAGTTGCCCGACGACGTAGCCCTCGATGTCGGCGCGCTGGTCGAGCCCCTCGCGGTCGCGTGGCATGCCGTTGATCAATACCCTGTCGGACCGGACACAGAGGCCATCGTCATGGGCGCTGGGCCCATAGGGCTAGGCGTGATTCAGTGCCTGAAGGCTCGCGGGGTCAAGACGGTCATTGTCGTCGAGATGGCCAAGGAACGGCAGAATTTCGCTATCCAGTTCGGCGCCACGCACCTGATCGACCCGACGAAGGAGGATGTGGTGAAGAGGGCCAAGGAGATTTGCGACGGGCAGGGTCCGCACGTGGCGCTCGACGCTGCCGGTGTGCCGGCGAGTATCAAGACTGCCGCGCTGTCCGTGAGGGCGAGAGGGACCATTGTCAATCTGGCCATCTGGGAAAAGGAGGTGAGTTTGCCCCCGTGTGGAGACGGGGAGATGAAATTTTCCCACACATACACAGAGAGAATAGTGTATCTGAGAAAGCCTGGAACCGAGAAGATGATTGTTGACGACTATGTTCTTGCATGGCGTAGGTCCCGTTTCAACCTAACAGTTTGGTCTTTGGAGAGAAGAAATACGTCGGTGGTAAGTAGAGTTGAATGGGCGGAACATTGTCCTGACTCCTGAGGAAAGTCCTTGTGCTGATACTTATATGATGGCGAACAGTGCTGGGGTATCTTCAAAAAGATTTCGCGAGCGTTATCTGCGCTCTCGGCGATGGAAGCCTCAAGCCCGAAAGGATGATCACGAGTAAGATCAAGATCGATCGGGTCCCTGAAGATGGATATCGGCCCTTGATTGAGGAGAAAGACAAGCATGTCAAGATCTTGGTGGATTGCAGAGCTTGAGTTGGCTTCCGGGCGTACTGTGGATTTCATGACTTGCTTCCATCCTTCCACTGAACACTGGTGCTGAATCCTTCCTGATCCAGAATTGAAAGGACTTCCGAATGCTTCGAGCGAATGAGAGATTGGACGTAGTACTTTATGCACAGTACCTTTTTGGATCGTCCTTCAAGAGACGTTCAGCAATTCCTAGATGTCCAGCTCCGTATCTGGATCCCGCAGTGCCCCATTCTTGATGAGAAGACGTGCTGCAATCTCCCATGGTTTTTTTGTTCTCGTCCAGCTATATTCAGTCTTAGATGATAAACACCATGATAGCGGTGTTCGGCCATTGTTGTCCCTGGAGTTTACTTCGGCACCCAACTCGATGAGAATTTCCATTCTCATCACGTCAGCATTCTCTGCGGCATGAGAGAGCGGCGTCTTGCCCTCATCGTCTCTGGTATCAAGAATAGCACCATTCTTAATGAGAAGCTGTGCTACGGCCTTTGTTTCTGTTGTGTCCTCTTTCCAAGTAAGAGCCATTTCCGGTGCTAAACACCATGAGAGCGGTGTTCGGCCTGTTGTATCTACCGAGTCAACCGCTGCACCCTCCTTGATCAGTAGCTCCGCCACAAGTATACTGTCAAACTCTGTAGCGTAAGAGAGCGGGGTTCGGTCGCCTGAATCTCTTGAGTCCACTACAGCACCACGGTCAAGAAGAAGCTGTACTATCGCCAGGTGACCATTTTCAGAGGCCCACGA